ATTAACATTCTTAAAAAGCTCTTGCTTATAATTAATACCTTTAAGAAGCTTTTGCTTAGCATTTTTAAAAAGCCCTTATTTATAATTAATACTCCTTAAAGTATTTATATAATATCCTTAGGGCTTATAATTCTTTAAAGACTCCTTTAAGTACTTAATAAAATATAAGGCGCTTAAATAGTTTAAAGTATTAATAAATAATATTTCTTTTAAATAATTTATATACTTAATTAATACCCTTAATTAAATATTTTAAAGTATTACTTAATAAATAAGCTATTAATATAATTATTTTATTTATTTAATTAACTTAAAATTATTAAAAAGAATAATTAATATTTATTATTAATTTAATTATATAAATAACTTAATTAAATCTTTAAAATATTTACCTTTTAATAATAATTAATATTTAATTAATAAGCATAACCTTTCCTCTTTTTAATGCCCTTTTTATTAATGCCTTTTAATAAAATTTTAAGTATAAATTACCTTAAAGCTAATAAAGATTAATTTGCTAAGTAATAATAATATTTAAGCATTATTATTTATAAGTAAATAATTTAAAAGCTAGTTATTAATTTATAAGTATAATATAAAAACATTTTCCCCTTTTCCTTTATCTTATAATTAATTATTATAAAATTTACTTTAATAATAATAATAATAACCTTAATAATAATAATGCTTATTATTAAGCAAAAATAACGCTTATTATTAAATAAAAGTAGCTTTATTACTAAGCAAAAGTAGCCTTATTATTAAGCAAAAGTAACCTTATTATTAAATAAAAGTAGCCTTGCTATTAAATAAAAGTAACCTTGCTATTAAGCAAAAATAATAATTATTATTAAGTAAAAGTAGTATTTAATATTAATTATTAAAAAAAAGCTATTAAAATAATAATTAAGCTAATTAAAGCATAGCATTTTAAATACTTAAAAGCTTTAAAGTATTGCTAAATAAATAATTTAATTAAGTAATTTAAGTACTTAAATACTTAAGTATTTATAATATTTATAAATATTGCAATATTGCTTAATTAACTTAATAACTTACTTTTATTAGCTTAATAATTAATTTAATTAGCTTAAAGCAAATAATTTATAAAGAAAAGCATAATTTTAAAGCATATATAAAAAACTATTAATATGGGAATAATATATATAGGCATTATATGCAATATGCTTATATAATAAATATGTTATAAGTAATGCATAAATTTAAAGGTATAAGATTTAAATTAATCTTATTAATAGCAGCTGCTAGCTAATACTAGCTAGCTGCTAGCTAATAATTACATACCTTGCATATAAATTATTATAACTAGCTTATAGCTAAATAGGGAAAGGCTGCAGCTTTATTATAACTTACTCTTTATATTATAGCTAAATTAATTATATACTTTATTTATTTATTATTAACTATATAAAAGCTAAACTAATAATATCTTAAATTAAGAATATAAAGATATATTTTTTAATATATTTACATTATTTATTTTTATATAAACTAAAAAAACTTTTAAAGTTTTTTAAAACCTTTTATTAAATTATAAGAAAAGTTATATATAACTCTTTCTTAAGGGCTATTATATATTTATTAAATATATAATAAATTAAAGAATTTAATAAAAAAATATAAGAAAAAATATAAATAAAAGCTAAACTTTATAAGTTACTTTTTATTTTATTTTAAAAGAAATATAATATTAATTATATAAATAAAAAGAATATTTATTTATATTTATTAAAGCTATTAAAATTAGTTTAAATAAACTAAAAAAATATTTTCCTTAAAAATTAATTAAAAATAATTTAAAAGATTATAAATCTTTTATTTTAGCTTTAGTTTTAAACCTTAGCTTTAAAATATTTTATTTTTAAATAAATAAGTATTTATACTTTTATTTAAATATAAAAGAAAATATTAAAGCTTTTTTAAAAGTTAAGTTTAATAAATAAGTTTTTTTATTAATTATTTTTTATTACTTTTATATTTATATTAATATTTATTAAGATTAAATTAAAAGTTTTTAATTTAAATAAAAATATATTTAATTCTTTATTTATTAATTCCTTTTAATAAAGCTATAATTTTAATAATAAATTATATATTAATTCTTTTTTTAATAATAATAAAAAAGAATATATAATTTATTTATAAAAACTTATTTATAATTTTAAGGTATATATTTTTAAAAAAAGATTTAAATTTTTTTAAAAATAAATTTTAATATTTAAATAGCTAAATTTATTAAAATATTAAAAAAATAATAAATTTTAATACCTTATATTAAGTATATTAATTTAAAGATATCTTATTATTTTAATTATATTTATTATTATAAAAAGAATATTTTTTATTATTAATAATATTATTATTAAGTTAAGAATTAATCTTAATATAAAGATAATAAGGGAATTAATATTATTAAAGAATTAAAAATTTAATAATATTTAAAAGTTAAAAAAAGAAATTAAAGATTTAAAGAAAATAATAAATTAATAAATTTTATAATATATTTTATAAAGTTTATTTAATTTATAATATATATATATTATTTATTTTAAATAAACTTTATAATTTAATTTATAAAAAAATAAAATATATAAATATTAATAATTATTTTAAAATTATATAATATATATATATATATAATATAAATTAAATAAACTTTATAATTTAATTTATAAAAAATAAAAATATATAAGTATTAATAATTATTTTAAAATTATATAGCTATTAAAAAAATAAATAAAATAAATATATAATAAAATATATAATTTACTTTTAAAATAGCTTATAATTAAAGCATTATATTAATAAATTAATAAATAACTTTACTTTTTAAAGTTTAAATAATATAATAAAACTTAAATTATTAAGTTTTAAAATATTTTTTAAGGCTTTTAATAATTATAAATTAATATAATATTAATTATAGCTTTTTAAAGAAAATAAATTAATTCTTTCTTAATAATAACTTAAATAATTATTATAATTATATACTTTATTATTAAATTATAATAATTACTTATTAATTAAAAAAAAAATTTATAAACTTATTTTAATATTTAAGAAAAAAAAATATATATTATATTATTAAAGAAAATTTTATTTATTAAAAATATTTTATATATTATTAATTTTTAAATTTTATTATATTTAATAAAACTTTTAATAAATATTAAATATTATTATATATAAAAATATAAAGTTATAAAGTTTTATTATTATTATTATTATATAAGTTATATAAGCTTATTAATTAAATTTATTTATTTTAAATCTTATAAGTTTAATTTTAAGTATATTTATTATATTTAAGTTTTAAAAGTAAGTTTTAAAATAAAGTATTTATAAGGGTAAATAAGCCTTAATAAGCTTTATATTTAATTTTAAAATAAAGTATTTATAAAAGTAAATAAGCTTTAATAAACTTTATATTTAATTTTAAAATAAAATATTTATAAAGGTAAATAGGTTTTAATAAATAAGGATAATAAAATTATATATAATATTTTTAAAGATTTCTTTTTATATATAAAAATAATATTATTATATTAAGAAAAATCTTAATATTATTATATAATTATATAAAGTAGTATTTAATTTTTATATTTAAGGTAAAAGTAATATATTTTTTTTATATTTATTTTTTTTTTAATAGTAAATAATTTTAAATAATATTTTATTTATTAAGTTATATATAAAACTTATTAAAAAGTATTTTTTTATATAATTTTAAATTTCTTATATAAAAAGATATTAATAATTATATTTAAGTAATAATGTTAAGGGTAAGAGGTATAAAGGGGGTGGTTATATCTTAAATAAGTAATTATTATTTAATAAATTTAATATAAATATATTAAAACCTTTATTTTTAAAAAGCTATAAGTATTTTAAAGAATTAATTATATAAAAAAAAATTATATTATATAAAATATAAAATTTTATAAAACTTAATAAAAATAATATATAATTTATAAATAAAATAATAAATAAAAGAAAATTTAAAAATTTTTAAAAAAAGAAGTTTATTTCCTTATTATATAAAATATAATAAGCTAATAATAAATATTATACCCCTTAATAATAATTTATTTTAAGTATATTATATTTTATTTTTTAAAAATAAATTAATGCTATATATTATAAATTATAATAAAAGTTTAAGTTATTAATTTTTTTTAAAAGAAATTTAATATATATATTTAAAAAAAGATATTTATATTAATTAAATAATTATTATTATAATTAATAAATTAAATATAAAATTAAAAGTAAATATTATAATATTATAAATTAAATAATATATATAAATTTATATTTATTTATTTATTTATTTATTTATTTATTTATTTATTTATTTATTTATTTATTTTATTATTTATTTATTTATTTATTTATTTATTTATTTATTTATTTATTTATTTATTTATTTATTTATTTATTATTTATTTATTTATTTTTTATTTATTTATTTATTTATTTATTTATTTATTTATTTATTTATTTATTTATTTATTTATTTATTTATTTATTTATTTATTTATTTATTTATTTATTTATTTATTTATTTATTTATTTATTTATTATTTATTTATTATTTATTTATTTATTTATTTATTTATTTATTTATTTATTTATTTATTTATTTATTTATTTATTTATTTATTTATTTATTTATTTTATTTTTATTTATTTAAAAAAAATTTTAAGTTAAACTTAATTAATTAAAAAACTAAAAACTAAAAACTAAATTCTTTTAATTTTTAGTTTTTAGTTAAACTTATTAACTAAACTAATTTTTTTTTAGTTTTTAGTTTTTAGTTAAACCCATTAACTAAACTAAACTAAACTAATTTCAACCCTGGTAGAAGCGCTGATCTCTTAAAAAAGTTAAATAAAAGCCATTGAGCAGCTAAGCTAGGACGTATCTTCTGGTAAGACTTCTAGTGCTATTTAAATTCAACTTGTTTGTTTTTGGTTCCTCAGGCTTTCCTGAGACTTTCTTGCCCATAAGAAAACCAAGGGTGGTCCAGAGCTTCACGTGCTGTGAGCCTCTTTGCAGGATCAAAATTTGTCAACCGGCCAACTAAGTCCTTCAGTCCTTCGTCGACACCCTGCCACAGAGAAAATGGCTTGCGTGGATTATCAGCCTTGAAGCCGTCTCGGAGAACGCCGAAGACTTCTACCCATGGACTATCGCCAAGATGCCTCAATAGCCCGGCCAGCCCTTCTTTGTCGGCGAAATAGGAAATCTGTCGTTCGAGAACATGTGCCAGAACGTCTTCGCCATCGCCCAACTCATTCTCGTCAACAGCAAATATAACTCTCTGATGAACAGCGTAAATACACTATCAAGCAATCAGCACATGGGCTTATTGTAAAGGATTAACAGAGCAACCCGTGCAGAGTTACTTACCACAATACCGAAAGAAAACATATCCGAGGGCTTGTTCACAGGGCCTGACGCATGAGCTTCTGGGCTCCGCCACATCCAGTTACCCGCTTGCTTCCCAACTATGTCGCAATTCGGCGGGACATGAGCAGAATCTTCCAAGTCAGCTAGCTGTACTTGATCGATTTTCAGGGCCTCAGCGTTCTGCCGCTGGATCAGGATGTTGTTCGGTTTGATGTCTGTGGAGTCTTAGCATCGATGACTTTGCTGTGACAAAGGCTTGACAGTCTTTACCAGTGTGGACAATGTCTTTCTCGTGTAAATCCGCGAGCCCCCGCAGTGCATCCTTCAGAATACGCTTCACCATCGGTAACGGGGGCTTCTCCTGAGCTAGACTCAAGAGATGATCGCTGAAATACTTGTAGACAAAGGTTGATTGATCTGGTATAGTGTCACAAGAGACACGTAGGTTGGGACAGTCATGAAGACTTCGATAAATTTCCTGGTAGTCGATGAAGCTAGTCCTGGACACGTTTTTCAGAACGAACTTTTGGTCTTCGGCGCTGTGAGCACGAGTGTCAGCAGGGATGCATTCTAGAGGTGGCACTGGAGACTCATACCTTGCAAGGTATACATGGCTTGGTGGAAGTTCTTTCTCCTGGAGAACCTTTTCAATAGTATAGATGCGGCCTGATTGACCCTTGAGGAAATTTGGTTGGGCCATCTTGGGTGACGGCTGTCTAGAAGGGGCAGAAGAATAGCACCGCAAGACTGAGAAACGTGGTGAAAGGCTCGAACGTGAAGGAATGGCAGCAAGAAGACCAGCGGCTAGAAATTTCCTTCGGCTTTCATTACGGAGCAGAGACATGGTTAGAGCCCGAAGCATGCAAAGTGCACCGAAGAGGGGATGAACACATCAGGAATTGGTGGGGGATGGGCGGGTAACAAGCATCTACTTTTCGAAGCGCCAAAGCGCCTAATTGGGTCTGTTCTCATGTGCCGCCACGGCAAGACCTGGCCCACTAGCACTAGCAAGGAAGTCTGCTATCAATAACTGACCAGGGCTGACGGCAGCCTAACTCTACTCCCCTTGCGTGGCCACATTTTGTGGGCGCAGAATGCGACGGCTATCCTGGCTGTCGCATCCTTCACAACCAACAGTCCATTGCTAAGGCATACTCAGACAATAAAATTAGCAATTGGTAGCATTTTACGTTTTGCCGCCGGATGGCCTGCGAAATTGAGACCGAGAGAGGGGCTTGCAGTCTGCAATGCCCGCTAAACACTGTGATCTACGTATATCCGCCCTCATTGAATCCTGCACATTTGCGGCACAAGTGCGGCGCAAGCCTTGCGCGCGGAGCTGATGAACACGAATCAGCCATGAAGGCGCCGACAGCCAACATCACCAACAGCTGGGAGAAAGGGTGAGAAGGCTCGGAGCACATTCTTCTAGGGCTTTGCACGACTGGTGCTGCCGCCATATTAATTCTGATCGCTGCTGTCCGTTCTGTGGCTGCTGCTCGCTGAGTATAAATAGAGTCCTATGCTCCTCCTGATGTTGAGACAACGTTTCCATTGCTTTCAAATTATTGTTCAATTACACCTTGCTCCTCTGATTGCTTCTGCTTTCAATTCCACCTAGATTCTATCTTAATATACCCTAAAGTTCAAAATGTCTGCAAGATACGTTTCTAGCAAGCTCATCAAGAATATCTCCAAAAGCGGTCGAACATTAGCCGTTGAATATGTCGACAAAACAACGGCTTGGACTCGACCTTCTGAATTCCCTGCTTCCTCAATCAAACAAGACTTCACAGATGTTGTCCAAGAGAACATTGATAATTTTGGGACTGAGACAACGAGGGTCGCTATGAAGTACGTTGACTATCTGGATCCATTTATCACAACGATCTATTTTAATTTTAGATTCAGACTCACTCTATTATATTTTACTAACTTAGCATGGATGGACAGGGAGTCAGAGCATCAGAGTGAGAAGGACAAGCGGGTGCATTATACGGCTTATGCCCTTGACAAAGACGGGAACGTTGTTGAGACGAAGCATCTCGTCAGGCACACTGGCAAGTGATTGCCTGGCAGGACTTTGGGCGTGAGCACTGGCGTTCCGTCACTTCAGCCTGCTCTAGGCCTGCGGAAAGCTGTCTGATATACTTGCACATGGCAACGTCGGCCGGTGCCCAGTTCGTACTATGGGGTTCTGAGTGCATGTTGTTTCCAAGATCGAGAGAAGCAGAATATAGTCCGCAATTCAATCTTCTTCTAGAGATCATTGGTCGACAAATTTAAACAGGCGATAATTGCTTATGAAAAAAACTGGTCATCAGATATTGTAAACCTTAATGATGCTTTCGAAACCTTGGGAGCCCATATATTTCTCTCCTTCTTTCCCCCTTCTCTCATCATCACCAAAAGACGTGTAAGCGATTGTTTCTTTATTATTCTGATATGGAAATTGGTAAGTCTTGCCTGGATGTGGGACCTGGCCCAGGATCCAGACAGCTGGCAGCATCCCTAAACCTGGTACCTGGTGACGCGCTCATATCTGCTAGGCAAGTTTAGCGAGGCGTGCCAAGCTTAGCAAAACGCATGTTCGCTTCCCAGGCATTAAGACATTCAGATTCTGACCTAAAAACTATTCCAGATCCCAGGCTCACTGCACAGTTGAGGCGACTATACAGGTTGTTCAGCAGTCCGGCAGCTGTAAGTGACCTCATTTCAATGTGCCTGAATTGTGGATGGGGTACAAAAAAAGCGGTGTAAAGGTATTTTAGGCCCGTTAACGTTGCCGCTTCCGGGTACCTTTTTCTTCAAGGGCCTAGCTATCGGACAACGCACCTTAAACTCTGTCACAACTCTTAATATTGTAAAATCAGCTGCTTCTAACGGTCGAACAGACGACGGGTAGTCTATGTCTCGAGTCAAATACAAGGGGGACAGGCTTTTGCAGCTCACTCTTCGTTGAAGTTGTTCAGCTCTCAGCAGACTGCCGCGGACCACATAACAGTAGCACTTTTCAGCCCTTGGAGGGATTCAGAACGGCCATCTAGCACTTAGTTAAGAGATTCCGGTTGGCGTAATCAACCGTCGACAAGCCGGAAGATGCAAGAAGAGCCGCCAGTCCTGCACAAAGCACCGCCGCTTGACCCAGCATGGCTCCAACACGAGCAAGAAGCCAACCTCCTGGCCCCAAAGCCACCCATGGACCCCCTCGTCAGACAACAAGTCTACGCAGCACAGTGCCGTGAGCGCAACGGCGCCATGATGGCCCCCGGGGCAAGAGACCACCACCTCGCGCAGGGCATCAAGACGCAGACGACGTGTGTGCCCTCGACCCTGGACGGGTATGACATCCCCATTCTGCAGTACGACCGGATCTCGGGGCCCGAGCCAGGGTGGGTAGCCATATACTACCACGGCGGCGGTCTGCTCGTCGGTGAAGCCGACAGCGAGGACGTGAGCTGCCGGCGCATCCTTAAAGACACGGAGTCATTCCTCCCCGGGCTGCGGCTGTACTCGGTCGGGTACCGGCTCCAGCCCGCTCACCAGGCGACCACCATCGTACAGGACTGCGTCGACGCGTTCGATTTCGTCACCGGGCACCACCCGCAGGCAAAGGTCCTTGTGGTTGGCTCATCGAGCGGCGGCCAGCTCGCCGCGCTTGTGACGCAGCGGATGCCGAAGGCGAGCTTCCACGGCGTCATCCTGCGCTGCCCGGTAACTAGCGACGCGTTCAGCGGGAGGGAGTACGTCCCGGAGGGCCTCCGGAATCTGCACACCAGTGCATGGGACAGAAGTTTCGACACGAGTCTCCTGGGTTTCATGAAAAGGGACCTCCCCAGAGACGGGCTAGAGAGAATGCCGCTTGAAGCTAGGGAGGAGAGCTTGAAGGGGATGCCGAAGACGTGGATTCAGGTGTGCACGAATGATGTGTTGTACTCGGACGGGGCGTGCTATGCGACGGTCTTGAGGAATGCCGGGATCGAGGTCAGGATCGATGTTGTCTGCGGATGGCCACACACGTTTTGGTTGAAGGCTCCGCACTTGCAGAGGGCGCTTGAGGCGGATACGGCAATGCTTGAAGGGTTGGCTTGGATAGCCGGGCCGACCGATTGATACCTTGTTGAAGCCCGCAGTGTACATCTCTGGCCTCCCTTAGTCTGTACGTTCCAGCTGGTTGTACCCAATTTGCCGACACACTCGGAGCTGTGATGTTGGCTCCAATCCCTGGGAGACCTGTGACAAGTTAAAGCAGGCCTGAACTCCGGTTTGGAATCAATGGCATTCTGAACAACGGCAAACAGCGTCAACGGTGCACATGGATGCGTAACATGTGATGAATGACTTGGATTCTTGCTCATGCCGTCCATCTCACTTCTCCTGTCTCTCCGATCCCGATATCTACAATGCTAGCGTACACAAAGGGAAGGCGTAGTCCATGTCCTCTATAGCACGGAGAGGTCGCCGAATTTTTCCTATGACCGACGTTAGCAAAGATGGCTGCGGGGCGGTGTAGGGAGGTGAACGCACCTTGTATCCGGGGACGCCCCAGCGGCCTCTGGAAACCAGCTTGGAGGTCTTCTCGTCGATCGAAGGCTCAGCGGCGGCAACATCGTCCTGTAGATATCCATCAGCATCTTCAACTCTCCTATCACTTCCCCATCCCCGATCCTCAGCCGTGTACATACCACAGTGAGGTCCTCGAAGGGCCTAGCCTGCTCGATGTTCTGCAGCGTCTTGGTGAGGTCCTGCAGCTCGAGGTCGACCTTCTCCTTGGTGGCCTGGGCGTTCTTGACGGCCTCGGCCTCGAACGTGTCGATGGCCTTGAGCTGGCGGGAGATGTCGTAGGTGGCGGGCTTGAAGGCCTTGAAGCGCTTCTCGATCTCGTCGACGACGGCCTGGTTCTTGAGCGTGGAGCGGTACTGGGCGAAGTCGACGGCCGTGGGGAGCTCGGACAGCTGCTGCACCTTGCGCTTCGCGTTGTCGTTGCGCGACTTGAAAGCCTGCAGGGACGCGACGGTCTGGCCGCGCAGGCCCAGCGAGGTCGTCACTTTGGCCCAGTCGAGCTTCAGGGCTGCGGATCGCTGCGCGGGAGAGGGCGGGAGAAATTAGCTCAGGATCTTTCCCGTTTTGCGGTCCCGCCGGGGGAGCTCGGGGATGGCGACCGGGGAGACGGTCATCGAGGACGAAAAGGCATCTGTGCGAGTCGATTGAGGGGATAGTCACTTACTGCGGCCATCTTTGCGGTTGATATGTGGAATCAAGGGAGTGGAGAGTTTGAGGCACGCGGTTCAAAGCGGACGGAGGTTGACGATGACGGTTTCGGTCCGGCCAAAGTCGCAGCGGGTCACGTGATTGAGCTCAGCGGATGAAACCGGGGGAAACGACCTGCAGCCAACACGCTTAGATGCTCTACCTGGACAAACTGATGGGAAGTAATTGATACGAAGCAACTCATTAATGACATTGAACATCGATTTCTTGGCAGGACTGGTATCCGGCATTGGCTGGCATTTCACTTCGTGCTTCATGGAGCTCGAACCTTTGGTCACTGGTCGCCATCCGCCGGCATGCCCAAGTCACAGCAGGTCCAGAAACCGAGAGACGGACGTAATCATTTCAAAATTAATTGGTCAAGTGCATGGTGTTTTCATTTTTGAGTGCATCACTCCCGGGAATCGACTCCGACTAATCTGATGTGCTCCAAACCGGCCCCTTCCGGCCCCGAGTCCACGCAGAACAGGAGAGGTACTAAACGACATGATCCCTTAACGCTTCCATGCACCTCATTCAGTACCAAAAGAGACTAAGTGTGAGGATGGGCGGGTTTTAGATGCTCAGAGCCATGATGGAGTTGACAATGTCGTTGTCATTCTCCTTCAGCGCCTTGATGGCCTTCTTCCGTGATACGTTGGCCTGGGTCATGACGAGCTCGATGTCCTTGTCCTCGATACCCTCGGCGTCGACCTCTTCACCGTCATCCTCCTCCTCCTCCTCCTTCTTGGCCTCACCACCCTCGACGGCCTTGCTGGACTCGCCGTGGTCGTGGCCAGCGTGGTCGTGCTCGGCCTGGGCGAGCTGCTGGGCGGCGGCGGCCTGGGCGGAAGCGTTGAGGTCCTCGATCTTGGCCTCACCGAAGACGCTGTGAGGAGTTGGGATTAGTCTTGTGTTGAGCGAGGGGCATGTGGTTTTGTGGGGCACTCACATGTACGTGTTGCTGTTAGGAGACTTGTACACCTCGGGGTTGTTGATCACGAAGAGGATCTATAACATCGCGCGGTTAGCCATCTTCTGTTGTCTGCGCATCCTGTGGCTGCTGGCAGTTTGTTTCCAATGACACAGAGGCGCCACTCCTTTTGCGCAGCACATGTTCCCATGCCCCGCCAACTGTCCCCTCTTCCTCTCCCCCCCCCCCCAAACCGGGCGTAGACTCACGTTCTTTGGTCGGCGGAGGGTGACACGGGTGATGCCCCTGGATGCGGGTCAGGTGCAGCTTCTCCATGGCCTTGCGAGCCTTCTTCTCGTTGCGAGAGTGGATGACGGCGGTAGAGCCGGCGGGCAGGCTGGAGTCGCCCGCCTCGATCTCGGAGTCGGAGCTGTCATCGTCGGCGCCCTCCTCGACGGAGACGTTCTTGGTAGGCTCCTCGTCCGGAAGCTCCTCGACTCTAGGGTTGGCCATTTTCGCGACTGTCTTCTGCTTCTGCGAGGTTGGGGAGGGTTGGTCAGCTCAGTCAAAGCTTGGTCGTGCAGCTGGGTCGAGTGACCGCGGGCGCCAGAAGCGTAGCAGGAGCGTAGCCTTCCACAAAATTCAATCGGGCAGACCCCACACAATGCAGAAAGCCGCTGGGCAGACGGCGATTTCCAGTTGATGATTGTCGGGGACCGCCTGGTCCTACGGGTGCCAAAATTGCATGACGAGTAATTGAGATCCCAGAGACTCACCTGCAACAATATCTACCCCAAAAGGTCAAGGTGGCTCGTCGTTAGAGTGGCGGGAAGGTGATGGACTGACTGACTGGAGGGGGGTTTGGTTGATGCAGAGCTCTCAAATTGTCCCTGGCAATTCTGCCACGAAGCCCTAGCCACGCTAACCCGATTCAGCAGCCGACCTTTTGGGGAAGCTTTTGTATTGTACGTCCGTACTGCGTTGAACAACGACTGGGTTTCGCAGTTGCCCAGGCAGACAAACATTTAATCACTGGCTACGTAGCAGATACAATAACTCAGACACTCGGATAAAGAGAGGGTCTCGCTCGCCCAGATCACATCATAGCTACCTTAAGATGCCTTACGCTGTGGGCACCCAGATATCTGTGGTTCCTTTGTGACCGGGATGCGCGTTTGAAGCAGCCCTCCGGCCTCAGTCTCTCATGACAACGTCAGAGGCACAAGGACGTATCGAGAATTACAGCTCCGAGGGGCAGGATGCTCTGCTTTCGATGCTGCCTGGGTTTCGCGCCGCGTAGTGCTCGTTCACTTTGATTACAAAACTTTAGAACTGTTGGTTGGTTGGTATCACAATAATTTGGTTTGGACCATGACGAGTGGTCTTGATTCTCGGTTTCTGAATTTCCCTATCATTGACGCCGGCCACCTTTGCCTTTTTGGAGGTGATATGTTCCGTTAAACGCAGCAAAGAAAACCCAGCGGCCCAAAATGCTGTCGTGTTGGTTGTTGTGTTCATGCAGTGCCGTCCAGAATACCGTCACCCTCTAGTAGAACACCATCCACCATCGTCCAGCCAGCCGCGCAATGCACGCGACCGCCATCGTCGCCGACCCGATCCCTCACATGCTTGCCCTGACGCGCGAAACCCGAACTCTTCGATGTCTGTCGTTTGCCGAGGTTGGCGGGGTTTGCTTATGCGGAGGCCTTGACCTTGGCGACGGCCTTGCGCTCCTCGAATCGTCGCTGCTTCTTGAGGCGGAGGACCTTGAAGCGGTCGAAGTCGGTCAGGGCCGATCGCTTGGCCTGCTGGGCCTTGGTCTTGGCCCAGTTGGACGCCTTCCACTTGCTGTCGATCTCGGCCTTCTCCCAGAACTTCTTGACGGTTGGCGTCCGCGCGCCCCGGGGCAGGTTGGCAACCACGAGGTCGGAGAGCAGGACGTTGGAGAAGGAAACGGCTTGTCGGGGAACAGCGAGGGCGGCATCGGAGGCGGGACCGTCAACCAGGGCCTGTGATATCATCCAGTGTCAATCAATACGTCCTCCTTCCACATCCAGGTTCTCTCAATCGCAGGGGCGTCAACGTACGCGCTTGTGGTCGATGATCTCGACAATGGTGGCCAGGCGGCCGGCCGAAGGACCCTCCTGGATCAGGACGACACGGCCGACCTCAACGAGGCGCCACTTGGGAGCAGAGATGGTCGCGTCACCCATTTTCGACGAAGTTCTGTGTGCGGGGGGTATACTGATTAGAAGGACAGTTCGGCTGGGTCGTCGGTACAAAGAAGAGAGAGCAGTGTCACGTACTGATGTCGAGTGCTGGAGGTTGTGAGGTGAGTTGGTCGTTATCAAAATTCCCCTGTCGGCGTTGGCGATCCGCTGTTAGCAGTAATGGGTGGATTGATTTTGCGAGAGAGCCGGCGCGATTTGTGCTGCGCTGGGTCCGTGCACGACGGCGAAAAGTTTTCGCTCCTTCCGATGCGAAAGTTTGCGCCGGTTGCGCTTGCCTGCAGTTTAGCTGCAGTTTAGCTGCAGCTCAGCAGTGAACAGGGGGCGCAACCTCGGGAAACCAGCAGTCACCCACCCACTGCTGCCACTGACTGGCAGCCTGTGTACCTAGGACCCCGCTGGTGCTGCCCCAGCAATTGATTCATTAATATTGTGATGTTTGTTTACTTTCTTCAACCAGGCCTCCCATTCAGACACTCAAGGATTTGTCAGATTGTGGCGTGACCGCAATAAGAGTTCAGTTCTTTATTTTGTAGACCAGAGAGAGAGATGCATCAGTCTCTTCTCTCCGGCTGTAGGCGAATCCTTATACGGAGAGCAGCGCTGTTGTCCCGTCGCAACGCCAGTTGCCCAGTCGCCATGGGACGTCATCCCACTCTCCAGGTCCTGAATTGTCTCGCTAAACCCATGTGGCACTCTCTTTCGCACTCTCTTTGAATCAATGACTACCGTGCTGTGTACAAGAGGATCCGCATCTATGCGGGACCGGTTCTATCCCCAGAACTTCAGCCTGAGGTTCCACAAACCGCGCCTCGGTCGGAGTTAAAGCAGGGCTCGTTGCAGTCAGTCAGTTCAGTCTGACTGCAACTTCGAGTTCGCCTGCTTACAGATGGGGCTCAAGCATGAGACACGCCTTGCCACGGGCAAAGATGCTAACACGCTCTTCACCTTCCTGGTCCAACCAGATACCGGACAGCAAAAGGACCGTCTGCAGATAAATGATGATTATTGCAGACAGTAAGGATCTGGCCAGGCTGCCCTCAGGATCTGGTGATGCTTGCCGAACCCTGCACCGCAACTTGACATGCTCCAAGCACAGACACGGGAAACTCGCCGCCGGCCAGGGCCTCTGTTGGTCTCTGCCGGCTGGGTGGCTGCAGCACTCAATCCCAATCGAGGCCTAATTCGCATCCCAAAGTCTCAGGGTGGCACAGCCCAGCCCAATTAACGAATCTTCGGGATGGATGCTGTCCCGCTGTGAGATGCAGAGAGGGCTGCTGTGGCTGAAGTTTGCCCAGCCCGCCATCTACGCGAGTCTTCCCACCTTCACGGGTCCTGCCACGCCCCCGATGGCGATTGCCTTTCGATCCGGCTCCTGGCATATCTACAGGCCTCGAGGCTTTCTTGGCGTCTTGCGCACGTCAGTTCACGCAACACTGCTCGAAATGCAGCTCGCGAGATTTCCATTTCATTTCAGCGAAGACATCTGATAACCCACATTTTCCGGCTTACAAGCTGGGTCTGTGTTGAATCTTTTTCAGCTGCCTATAAAGGGGCTAGGGCGGGCACCACCAGCAAGTACCCGGTGCCTTTATCACATCCACCCTCACTTCTATTTCACATATCAAGACGACATTACGCACCACGGGAAGATTACCATCTGACAACATGGGCGACCCCTTCCTTGATGACCAAAACATCAGTACCGAGGACGTCGTCTTCACAAAAGCCGACGGCGAGCTGCAGAAGCTCGCATGGCGTCTCAACGGCAAGGCATGGGCTGCCCCCATGAGCATTGACGACTACGTAGCCCGGGAGACACACTTGTCGCAGCAGGCGCTGTCCAAAGACGGGCGTTGCATCTACTGGGTCTTATCCCACAAGGACGACCCTACTCACATTGTTGCTTCGTGCGAGTCCGTTGAAAAGACCGTCTTCATCGCCGGACGCGGCACAGGCATCAACGACGGCTTCGTGGAAGCAAAGGCTTATGCTATCGCCAGTGTGTATACAAACCCCAAGTATAGGCGATTGGGGATGGCTGCATACATGATGGAGAAGCTCCAGGAGCACATGGACGCCGACAGTGAGTGCAGTGCGCTGTACAGCGATATCGGCAAAATATACTACGCCAACCTTGGCTGGGCCGTCTTTCCCTCAGATCAGGCGACCATCTACCTGGAATCAGAGGACTTCAAGCTCCCAGAGCACCCGGCGACAAGATATCTCACTTTGGGCGAGCTGGAGCCGCTGTGCGACAAGGACGTGGCCGCAGTCAAGGCCAAATTCCAGGCACTCGCCGCTGACCACAAGAAGACACACGTGGCCTTCTCGCCCAACTATCCGCAGATCGCATGGCAGCTGGCCCGGGAGCAGTTCATGGCTGGCGTCCTGCACAAGCGCGAGATCAAGCACCGAGGTGCCATCACACATAGCCGCAAGGCCTGGATGTATTGGGATCACGACTGGCGCGAGGGCAAGCTTAAAATCATGCGGATCGTCACTCTTGACCACGACCCGGAGACAGGTGTGAAGGTCATGGAGGAGCATAAGATCGTCGACGTCTTGGAGCTGCTGCGGGCGGCAGCTGCGGAAGCCACCGAGTGGGGACTGCGGAAGATTTTGATCTGGAATCCCGACCCGACTGTGACTCAGGGGATCAAGGGCTTCCATAACTACCATGAGGATGATGTTGATGTTATCTTTGATGAGAGGTACGAGGGCTCAATCCCGAGTCTCAGGTGGAAAGGGGGAAGGAGCACGGAGAACACGGTGTGGGAGGACAATTCTTACTACGCATGGTGCTGATTTTTGTATGGAGGTGGTAGTGTTTAGGGTATAGCCGGCGTTTTGGAAGCCACGGATCAGAAGAAATACCGGTGGGCTGGTTCTGTATTATGAGCTCTTGATATATAAATCGTACTACCTGCGCCTCGCTTCCGAGACCAACCATACCCGAGAGCAATACCTAAATCCCAACCTCGGATATAATCGCATCAAGGACATCGCCAAATCCCATATCTATTGCTGCGACCATGCCCTCGAGGATCGGGCCCTGCTCGTCCAAGAATCCGGTCCTCCACGTCTTATTCCAGCCAAACACGCCTCTCATCAACTCTTTCACACATCGCCTGGCGTCACTCTCCCGCTCTGGAGGATCATCCAGGTACGCGTCAAGTACTCCCCGCATTAAAACGCTGATAGAGGCATTATATGTGTCCATCGTGGCGGGCTTGATAGCATCCTGGCTCCTTCCCCATATGGAATTCCTCTCTTCATCATCCAGCGGCTTCGGGTCGCCCTCCCGCAGCTCCTTTTTCAGGCGCTTCCTCTCCCTCGCACTGAGCCGCGAGCCGACAGCAGAGCTGACCATCCTCTCCAATCTCGTCCTCACGGGATGCGGGAGATGAATGTCCACGACATTCAGGTGCCGCTGGATCTGCTCTCTCATGATGTGGAATGCCCTGTTGTCCTTGGTCCATTTCGTAACCGTCGACACCCACAGGCTCAACACATCCTCCTCGCACCCCCGCTCCTCGGCCAGCTCCCTCGCGCACCTGGTGATCTCTTCTACTGTCTGGGTGATGGTGATGCCGATCACCGCATAGCGAACCTCTCTCCAGAGAGCCTCCCACAGAACCAACTGCACGGTCTCGCTCAGAGCTTCCTGGACCTCCAACTCCAGGAGAACCACGTGGTAGAGGGCGTCGCTGGTGGTGAGGGAAGGATGGACGTCATACTTGTCGTCAATATCTACGCAGCCTTCGACATGGACGAAGTTCTCATCAAACGGGTGGATGATCACCACATTCAATGGCGGGCCCGTCCATTTCTGGCACAAGTCCACAAACCAGGCCACTATCCCATACTCCTCCTGCCCGACCGAACCGATGGAAATATACACCATCAGCCCCCCCAGGTGCTGCACGAGAGTGAGGAACAGATCCCACAGCTTAGGAAGCGATGCGTTGGCCGCGGAGAAGGACCTCAGGCCCAGCCCGGCCCTCTGCAGGACCGCTGGCCGCTGCTGGACCATTTGGAAGACGATGGACGCGACGGCGCTTTGCGCCGTCATGCCCCGGGCCCAAAGCAGGAATACGGACACGACGTTGGGGGACTCGTTGCGCACCTGCGTGACCCACTGCAAGCACGTTGCGGCGTCCGGGGCGTCGCACTCGGCCTGTACTATATTCGTCTTGTGCGAGAACTTGCTCGGGACGTACTGCTGCTCGATGGACAGCCAGCGTGCCCAAGCCGCCGAGGATGTTATCTTAAACGTGGCGGCGAGCTCTTCGTGGTAGGATGCCTCAATCTCGAAGCCGTGGAAGAGGGCCCTCTTCATGTCGAGGAGGTAGGGCGACACCGCGATGTCGGGGACATCGGACAGGCAGCCCTCATTGTGAGTGCGCCGTATGGACAGGTCGACCCGGTGTCTTGCCATGCTCTGGCTCTGGGTGACTTGTAACAGGATAGCGCTGGCGTATGCGTCTTTATCGATGGTCTGTTCGAGGGACTGGATCCGCGCCACGAGGCGGCCGAACTGTAAGTCAAAGGGCCTGGTGAAGTTTCCGAAGAACTTCCGGTAGTTCTTTTGCTTGAGGTAGATGATAAACTCCTGCAAGAACTCGAGAATTGCCGCATAGAGCTGTGATACGAACTGTAGTATTCGCGTCGTGGGGAATATCTGTCTGTATAACTCGACCCGGGGCAAGTTTATGCCGATCTGGCTCATGACGTCCGTGAATCTAAACAAGGTGTCGTAGTGGCTCTTTGCCATGACAAGAACAAATTTCAGGCTGCCCCAGATCAGCGTCATATATCCGAAAGCACATTGTGAGAGAACGTCAAAGACTCCCGAGTAGTGGCTCAGCGTGTCGACGAATCTCGCGATTTGGCGTTGCTCGAGCACATTTGTCTGTGCTCTTTGGATGCCGATGGCCACCTTGTGCAGCTCTGTGACTGTCGAGGAAGGCGAGAGGATATTGTCGAGATCATCGGTCTTGAGTACCTGCTTTAGTTGCAAAATGGCATCGTGGTAGGCATCGACGGCATGCCTACGAGTTGTACTTAGATACGTCCACGCATGGGCTACGATGTGGCTCGCGCACTGAATATGCTTGTCTGTTTCTTCCTTGTCCGGCTTTGGCGCCGAATCCGAGAACCTCCGGACAACCTCATCTCTTGCAGTCCAGCCATCTGCTCTCGAGGATAGCGTAGATTGGAAGGATTCAACATGAGCGAAAGGCCGACGTTCAGGCGGCCGGGACGCCGCCAAGGGGCTGGAAACCATGTTGAACGAGTGCTTGCTCGACTTTCACATGAAGCGCCGCCCATCACTGAAAGAATAGTTTGTCACTGGCAAAACAGCGCGAAAGAGTAAAAGAAAGAGAGGGCTTGGTGAGGGCTTCGCGGCATGAGAGAGAGACACGGGGGAGGAAGCCTGCGACCAGGACATCGAGAGCACCCTCTGGTACCCTCAGACACCCACTCGGGCCATCTGTCAAGCTGGGAGCCGCCAGAAATGAAGAAGCGCCAAGGGATCAATATTGCATCTTGTGCAACTCGAGGTGTTCCCAGGACACTGGTTCCAGGCCCCGTTGGCGTCCCGTCGTGCCCTCGCCAGGAGAGGTAAGCCCGTGCCATGTCTTCTGAATTGAGACATTGTTGCTCGCATATGGTCCAATGGAGAAGCCATGCCTGCACCTGCAACATTCCATAATGTAAACTAGCCCGACCGTTCCATCGAGGCTGCTGACTGCCGACCCAGAGGACACTCTTCGAGGTTGTTTGAGCCTCAAGGAATGACATGACCCACTCCATGACCCACTCCATGACCCAAGCGTGCGGTAGACGGACCTGGCACTCAAGTCTCGAACGACAATCTGACATGGGAGGGCTGACGGGTGGGGAAGATGGGACCTCGTCTCCATATTGGGTGCTGGAGTCAAGAGATGAACTCGGAATATTTCCAGCGTTGGTATCGCCACGCGGGGCCCTGCTAATCTATCCGACGGAGTGCAGCGATGTGGTCAGTAGTGATTCTCTCTCGTGAGCGTAGTAGGCCAGATCAGCACAAAGATGTACTCGACCTGTCTCTCGAAACGGGCTGCAGCAGCTGTGTGCATTATATGCGAGGCTACAAAGGCTACAAAGATGCATGTCACATGCAGGCCGACCTGTCTGATTGTTTCGACAGTGTGCACAGGAGCCCCGGCGCCTACTCTCATATGCAATCAAACGTTCCATTTTGGCGCTAGTAACCTGCACATAATACCTCATACTAAAAATTGTATATACTTGTTATGCCGTTAGTTAATACCCTTAATATTATTAATTTATGCATTAATTAAGGTTATTATTACCACTAAAAGCTTATATATAAACTATTATATATAATAATTACCCTTAAATATAATTTCTTGCCCTTTAACTTATTATTAAAGTTTATAAAAGCTATTAATACCTTATTAAAGCTTTAAGGAAATATATTAATACTAAGCATTATTTATTTATATATAATTATAGCTAATAAAAGTATTTATATATTATAAAGCCTTTAAGTAAAGTTATTATTATTAATACTTTAAAGTTAATTTTATATAATAATTGCAAGCCTTTAAATTATAACCCTTATTATTAATTATAATTCCAGCTTAAATATTACATTATCATTAATAATAATTCCTTAAAGCTAATAAATATAATACTTATAAAAAAATATTATATTTATAACGTTTAGCAATCTTTTTATAAAAAAGATTTAAATTATTATTAAGCTAAAGGCAAAGCCTTTTTTATTATTATTAGCAAAGCTTGCTTAAAAGTTATTAATAAAAAGGAAGCTATTATTATTAAAGAAAATATTCTTAAAGCCATTATTATTATTATTATCGCTAAAAAGCAATCCTATTAAAGATAATAAAAAAAAGTTAAATTCCTTATCTTATAATAATAAAAATCCCTTTATTAACTTTTTTATTAATCCTTTTATTATTAAAAATAATAATATTTAAAAAATTATTAAAAAAGCTATTATTAATAGCTTTCTTAATAAAAATATTAAAATTAAGTTATAAATAAATATTAAAGTTGCATTTTTCTTTTTCTTAGTTAATTTAATTAATTAATTTAAGAATATTATTTTACTTATTTTCTTAATAAAATATTTAAAAGAGCAATATAATAAATTTAGCGGGTTTTTTATTAATTAGCTTAATAAATAGCTTAAAAAGTTTAAAAAGCAAGTTTTTAATAACTTTAAAAATTATTAAGTAAAGCATAAATTTTTTATTATAATAATATAATTAAAGAAAGGCAATACATTAAAACTTTTATATTTTAATTAATAAATAATAAATATAAATATTAAGATTATTTAAATATTAATACATAATTTTATAAAGTAAGTTAAAAATAAGGCAATATATACTTTAATTATTATATATTTCTTTTAAATATTTCTTACTTTTTATATTGTTTTAAGGCGCTAATAAGGTTTAATTATATTATTATTAATCTTTAAGGGCTTTATTAATATTTAATTTTATAACATTAAAGATATTATTATTATAAAAGCAAAAGAAAATAATTTATTTTAAATTAAGTAGTTTAATATTAAGATTAATAATATTTCTTAATTAAGCAATTAATTAAGTTTCTTAGCAAGATTTATAAAAATTAACATTATGCAAGAAGTTATTATTATTTAAAAAAATGTTAAAATTAAGTTATTTATTTAATTAAGTTAATAGCTAAAGTATTATAATAAAGGATATTATTTTAATTGTAAAAGGGAGTTAAAATTAACATTATAATGCTTTATTAAGGGAAATAAAATATATTTACTCTTTATATATAAGGATTTACTTAAGTAAGCTAATTTAATTAAGAAATAATAAAAAAAAGCTTTTTTAAATTATATTTTTAAAAGTATATATAATTAAGTATTATTTCGCTTAATTAATTAAAAATAAGATAATTAAGTTAAAGTATTTAATATTCTTTTAATCCTTAAGTTAAATAATAATGTTTTCTTAATTATATTAAAGTGCTTAAATAAAGCTAATATATTTAAGTTGGGAAGGGGTAATATAAGCAGCGGGAATATTATTAATATTAATAAAGGTAATAATAATAATAATTAACTTATATTAATACTTATAAATACCCTTAATGGCTATTTAACGCTTTAATAATTAGCTTTATTGCTATTAATATTATGGGCAGCTAAGCATATATATATATTGCTTATAGCTTTTTCTTTTATTAAAATGCTAATAATAAAGATTATTTTACCTTTATTATATTATTTATTAATATTTTTATTATTCTTAATAATGCTTAATAACTTTAAGGGTAATGAATTATTAAATAATTTTCTTTAATATATATATTATTAAAAGGCGTGGCATTATTAAAAAAAGCAGAAAATAAGTTGCTTAATTATAAAGCTTTAAAATATAAGCTTAAGCATGCTTAAAAACCTTTTAATATAATTAAATAAGTAATTTATTAATTATTAATTTAAAAAGAATTTAAAAAGCTTTTTTTATTAATATATAAAGGATTTTATATAAGAATATAATATATTAAAGGAAGGTATATTAAGCTTGTTAATATCCTTAGGGGTAATTAAAAATTATAAAGATAATATTATTGCTAAAAATAATTAATTATAGCTTATTTATTATATATAAAAAGATATTTTAAATATTACTTTTATTATTATAATAATAATAAGTAAAAAGTAATAAAGTTAATATTAATGCTTATAATATAATAAATTTTATAAACTAGCTTAACTTATTTATACTTATTATGCTTTAATATAAAATATTAATTTTCTTTATAAATTTTCTATTAATTATAATAATAATATTATAAATAAAAAAATAAAAAGTTAAATTATTTAATATAAAAATTATATTATATTTATAATTCTTTTTAATAATATTATAATAATTTAAAGTTAATATATATATATATATTATACTTATCTTAATTTATACCTTTCTTAATTATATAAACTACCCTTTTTATTATTTTTTATTTAATAATAAAAAGCTTTTAATATTTTAAAGTAATAATAATTAAATATATTATATAATTAAAAGGTTATAAGTTTAATTTTATTATTTTAAATTATTAAAAAAATTATTATTATTAAACTCTTTTTTATTATTTAATAATATTTATTTATTATCTTTTTATATTATTAATATTTAATAAAATAATTTTATAAAATATAATTATAACTTATAAATAGCCTTAATATTTAATAATTAATTAATATACTTTTTATTTAAATTAAAATTAATTTAATTTAATAATTTTATATTAATGCTAGCTTTTTATTTAATTACTTTATTATAAGTATTAACTTATATTTTCCCTTATTTATAAAGTTATTACTTTTTAATAAAATATATTAATTATTAATTTAGCTTATTAATTAATTAAAATAATTATAATTAAATTAAATATATAATAAAAAAGTTATAAATTTAATTATAAATATATTAATTAAGTATTAAGCTAGCTTATAATTAATATACTTTTTATATATACTTTTTTATTTTAATTATTTAAGGTAATTATCTTTTTAATATTATATATATATAAAATATTGCTTATTAAATAATATAAAAATAAGGTTATTTAATATATAAATTGTATTATATATATAATTTTTTTAATAAAAATATAAAAAAATAAAGTTAATTATTTAAATATTAAGTATATTAATATAATGGATTATTATTTTATATATTAAGTATATTTAATTGCCTTTAAGGTAAAAACCTTTTAATAAATATTTAAAAATAAATAATATATTATTTAATTTATTTAATTAAGCTTTTTTTTATAATATATATTTTATAAATATATGCCTTATAATTATTAATATATATTATATTATAATTAAAATATTATAATAAATTTAATTAATAAATATAACAATATATATTATTAAAAGTATTTAAGTTATTTATATATTATAATGCTTATAATAATAATTAAAGCTTAAAAAATATATATATTATTAATATATATATTAAAGTATATAATTAATTAATTATTTAATTAATTTAAGCTTGCTTTAATTTAAGAATTATAGCCTTTTAAAAATAACTTTAAATTGTTTTTATATTTAAAGCAACTTTATATATTAAATTAATAAAAAACTATTATTAATTCTTATAATATTAAAAGTAATAATAAATATACTTTTTTAAATTATTAAAAAATGCCTTAATTAAGTTAAGATTAAATAAATATAAAAGTAAATACTTAAGCTAAATGCTAACCTTATTATATATTTATTAAAGGTTTTTATAAAAATAAAAATTAATATTATTTATTATTAATATTAAGTTAAGCCTTAAAAATAATAATATCTTAAATAAAACTTTATTTTTAATAAAGTTAATAAAGCCTTAATTATTTATATTACCTTTATATATAAATAAATTAAGTATATTTATAATTATAAATATTAAAAGCACTTAATATATATATATATAATTTTTATTATTATTAAATATAAATTTCTTTAACTTAATACTTTTTAGTAATTATTTTATATATTATAACTTATTTCTTTTATTTATATTAAACTTATTAATAAAGATAAATTAATTTATATAAAGTTTTTAAGTTTTAATAATTTAATTAACTTAAATAAGGTAATTTTATTAAATAATAATTATATTTATAATCTTTTTATTTTATTTAATTCTTTTAAATATTTAATTAATAATGCTTTAAAAAATAAATAAATTAAAGTTATTTAATAATTATTATTATATTTTAATTTTAATATAAATTATTCTTTAAAATAAAATAATTAAGAAAAGCTTAAGTAATAAAAATATATATTAAAAAGAATAAATATTTAAAATTTAAATAATATATATTATAATAAAAGTTAATTAATTAAATAGCCTTATATAAATTGCTTAGCTTAATAATAATATTAAATATTAAATTCCTTTTCCTTAGCTTTTAAATTTATTAATTAAAGTACTTTATAATCTTTATAATAATGGCATTATTTACTTAATTAATATTTAATAGCTTTTAAATTATATAAAGCTTTAAGGGGGTTAAGTAATAAAATATAATTATAAAATTATTATAAATTAATTTATAATAATTAAAATATATGGTATAATAAAAAGCATGGCGTTATAAGGGTTGTAGGATAAGCAATTATGCTTAATAGTTAGAAAGGGCACGGTATGATAAGTGCATATGATTTTTGGTGTGAGGTGTTATATGCAGGTTATTAGCGTCAAAATGGAACGTTTGATTGCATATGAGAGTAGTGCACCCCTGGCGTTTCCACGCCCGCATCAAACGCCAAGATCCCTAGGTCCCCACCGTCAAACCTTCTGCAATGCGAAGCCAGCGTCAGAAGATTTGGGAAAGGGGCAAATCACCATCGACAGCTATGATCATCAAACCTCAGAAGCTTGTCGCAACGACATGTCAACCCATATGAGCTTTTTAATCTTCTAAGTCTTTCCTTTGCACTATTGCTGGCGACAGCCACGCGCCACACATACGCCCACCATGCCTCTCCTTCAACCTTTGACCCGACCGAAGTCGCCGAACAGCTCTCTGCTGTCCGCGAAGAGCTACGATCCCGATGCTTCCTCCATCCGCAGCGATCAGGAGAGCGACTCCGAGGATGACGAGCGCCAGGCTAGAGCTAGGAACAGCCGCGAACTACGCGCCCACGATCGAATAGTGCTCCTGGAGGAGGAGGAGATGGACCAGCTGGTCATCGAGGCACGCCGACGCCAGGAGCGCCAGCGCGAACGCAGCGGGTCCGGCCAGCGCAGGGGCTCAAACCTATCGTTGCCGCTACCAATGCGCCTATTCTCCAAGACGAGGAGCGAGAAGAGCCGATCCAGCAGCCCGGCCGACCGAGCAGTCATCGAAGAAGAGTCCATTGAGGACCTGAGGGGCGAGGCGAGGAGACAACGCCGTCAGAGGAGGAGGCAGAAGAAAGAGAGACTCCTTGAGAAGGCACAAGACGGCGAGGATGGCGAGCTGATGCACGAGATGGAGGAAGGTCACATGAAAGAGACCAGCTCGACAGGTAGCAGCGACCGCGAGGACAGCGATGAGCTCGACCGACGGGGGCTTCTTCACCTGGCGGACGCGAAGTCACAAAGGACGAGGCATCGTCGCCGGTGGACAGTGGTATACTCGGTGATCGCAGTCGCTTTTGCAGCTCTATCAATCGTTGCGTGGAGGCTGTCCATCAAGGCACCACCAGTAATCAAACAGCAGGCCCTCGTTAGCAACGGCACCGCCCTGTTCGCACCGACCACAATCATCATCAGCTTGGACGGTTTCAGAGCAGATTTCCTCCAACGGAACCTCACGCCCAGGCTCAACGCTTTCGTCCAGGAAGGTGTTTCACCACTTTACATGAATCCATCCTTCCCAAGTGTTACCTTCCCGAACCACTTCACCCTGGCTTCGGGGCTCTACCCTGAGGCGCACGGCGTGGTCGGCAACAGCTTCTGGGATCCCAATCTCAAGGAGGAGTTCTTCTACACCAACACCGATGTTTCGATGCAGCCGAGATGGTGGAACGGCGAACCTTTCTGGGTCACAGCTGAGAAGCAGGGCGTCCGCAGCGCTATCCATATGTGGCCTGGCAGCGAGGCACACCTCGGTGACGTCGAACCCGCGTTCATTGATAAATATAACGGCAAGGAGAAATTGCCCAACAAGGTCAATCGGATTTTCGAGTTCCTTGATCGGCCAGGAATGGAGGCCCCAGACGTGGACCCCGCCGACATGCGTCCGCAGCTTATTGCTGCATATGTCCCTGACGTCGATGGCGACGGCCATAGGTTCGGGCCTAACAGCACAGAGATTCGCTCCACTATCCAGAGCGCGGACACGATGATGGATGGCATTTTCCTCGGTCTTGAGGCAAGAAACCTGACCAATATCGTCAATGTTATTGTCGTGTCCGATCACGGCATGGCCACCACGGACGTCTCGCGGATGATTCAGATGGACGACCTTGTTGACCTCAGCAAGGTTGACCACATTGATGGCTGGCCACTTGTTGGTCTACGACCGAAGAGCTCGGTCGACGTGGAAGAAATGCACGATGCTCTGGCCGAAAAGGCCAAGACGAACCCGAATTTTGATGTCTACCTGCGAGACGTCAACATGCCAGAACGGTATCATTTCTCCCAAAACGAGCGCATCGCGCCGCTTTGGATTGTTCCCAAGACCGGCTGGGCGATCGTGACGAAGGACGAGTTCAACATAGAGGAGGCGAAAGCAAACAACCTCGACTACAACCCCAAAGGCCTGCACGGGTACGATCACGAGCACCCCCTGATGCGGGCAATCTTCATTGCACGAGGCCCTGCTTTCCCCCATACGCCTGGCAGCAAGCTTGAGCCCTTCCAGAACATCGAGGTGTACAACATTCTTTGCGATTCCCTGGGCCTCGAGCCCTCGCCTAACAATGGCACTCTGCGCCTGCCCCTCAAACCAGTTGGCGTGCATGACGATGTCCCAGCCATCGAAATCCCATCAGATCCCGTCACTAGCTACACCGTCGCGCCAACGACAACTCAGTCGCCACCAGCCTCTTCACTGTCATCGTCAAAGGCGCTAGGCGTCGATCCGGTTGTCACCGGCGAGGTGTCTGCTCCGGTCGGAGTCGACGTCCCCGAAGGATCCACCGATGACCAAGATAAGGACGCCGCCGGCTCTGTCGGCGACTCGGCCAAAGACTTCTGGGGCTGGGCTACCGATGAGTTCGGCAAGGCTTGGAAATGGACAACCGGAAAGGCCGGGGAGGCCTGGGAGAAGATAAAAGGGGCAGGTGGAGATGAAGAGAACAAGAGCTCCTGAGATTTTCTGTGCCTATAGTTTACTCTTATTTGCATTCCTTTCTCTTCTTTCGTCTTCTCCCTTTTGCGCGGCTCATTGAACGGTCTTGTGTTGGGATAGGTTTCACATATGCCCAAGGGCTGGTGCAAGGCGTCTACAGGGTTTTTGGGAGCGTGGGCTTTTCGCAGATATCTTGGTATTCCTCATTCACTTTAGGAGGCGTTGGCTTACGGGCTGGAGTAATTTTTTGAATTAACCAGATTCATTATATACCGTGGTTGTGTATACTGTGGAGCGTGATTTCTCCGCTGGGTCTTAGATGTCACCAAGATCGATAAACATATACTCCCAGAAAGAGCACCACACAAAGGTAACGCCAGCAAAGATTGAGAAGACGATGTAGAGTATCGCGATCTGGACAAGCAGCAAAATCAGTACTTATGGGTGTTCAACGCCAGCAGCAGGGGAGAGTTGAAGGCAACGCCAAGTGTGTAAGAAGGGGAAACAACAGCAATAAATGGAATGGGATATTGCGAACAGAAATCCCCTCCTCTGCCCCGAAAAAAATGAGAGGAAAGAAGGCCGTACCTTGCAGGCGTCGTCGTATTCCCGGCCGTCATAAAGCGGCGTGAGAATACACATCGTCAAGCCCATGACGAAGGCGATCAGGGAGTACGACAGCAGCATCATAGGCGCCTGCCATGTAAACACCATATTCCACCGCACCTCGGCCCAGACAGGCGGCGTCGCGGGGGTGACAGTGTTCTGCCCTCCCGCGGGCCCAGTGGTGGTGCCCTGCGCCGCAGCCTGAGGCTGGACGGCGGGGTCGGGAGGAGGAGGGGCCGTGGAGATGAGCAGGTCACCCGGCGCGCCGCCTTTGATCCTCACGACCATGTTCAGCCGCCTCCTGAGGTCCGGGTGCTGCGTGGTGTCCCTGGAGGCGGCGTACAGGAAGTGCTCGGAGGACGACAGGAGGACCGCGCAGAAGGACATGATGAGTGAGGCATACCACGACGCCGGGCCGAGCCAGTGGATGGTGTCTGGGATCGGCCACGAGAAGGAGCCTATCACCGCCGCCGCGAGCAGGCTTGCCTAGATTACAGCATCATCAGGGGATGGAGTCTGAATACACAGGGGTTTGAGGTTACATACCGAGAGCTGGACAAACCTGTATTCGTCTAGCTTCCGGGTCTGCCACTGGTGCAGGCGCTGGTATATCAAGTCGGCCGGGTCTTTGTCTTCGACGCTTTTGGCCAATCGGACGATGGGGAGGAGCGTGTTCTGTCGGTAGAATCTATAATATGGTAAGGTGATCACATTTGAGATGCCCAATACCGCTGTCCTCGTGAGTATCCAAGCTCTGTCCTGTTTGAAGAGGGGAAACCGTCTTGATTAGCTCAGGGCCAGAAGCCGAATATGAGGGAGGATCGCACATACAGATCTCGTTGCCTTTCGAGCAACGGCCGGCGCTGTCATTGCGTTCGAGGGGCTCTGATTGAAGAGACCTCTAAAATCTCATTGGTAACACAACGTTGTGGTTTGTTAATGCATGTCACTGAGCAGTCGGAGGCACATACCAGGTGCACAGCAGGAGATTCTGGACGGCCTGCGCGGTGACGCAACATGAATCCCAATATCATCACACTAGGCCCAGATGTAGGCGATCGGTTGGAAGCTCGAAGACATGCCAAACCCCGAACACCTACATTGGAGCGGGTGACAAGAGCAGGGGGAACCTGCAGTAGCCGCCTCCTCGCTGCAATACAGTGGAACACCCTCAGTTCTCCCTCCGCTGAAGCAATGAAGTGACAATAAACAAGACAAGAGCATCGTGAGGAGGCCCCAAGTTCTCGGCTTGGATCTTTTCTTCGGCGTGTATTGTGCAACCCGCGAAGATAAGGACGGAGAGGCAATCAATGGTCGTAGACTTCGTAGATTTCATACGCAAAATAAACCTCTGTACGTGAACGCCCAGTTGAGAGAAAAGCAAGTCCAGCTCTTTCTCCACCCTCCCTCATCGCTGACAAGACTTCCTCAACTTTTTCTTGAACATCAAATGATCAGATGACCGAAGTAAGTGGTGGTGATGCGCGTGGAGACTGCTCCGCAGGCATCATGCAAAGGAATCAAACAAGCTATATAGCAGAAATCAAATGCCGTCGTCTCTTCATCATAATCTCATCTCATTCCCGTGCCAGCATCCAATTCGTCTCTTCCGCCATCATTTTCCATGTCGTCGTAACGCTATGCCGCGCGCTTTGCAACAAAATCAACAAGCGTGTACTGTTGACCCACCAGGTAGATGAATATAGTCCTTCTGTAGTTGAGACAATCTGCAAAGGGAAATACCGACGTCAGGGTATCCAGGCTGAAGGGATCAAAAGGCACAAGGACGGCAAAATAGAACAGGGCCGTCAGTGGCCCGCCGCTCTCTATGTAATGATATGCAAATATTTCAGGTCTGATGTGATGGAGTGATCGTGTCCAAAAGGGTGCAGGATTATATTTCCAAGATATGCCGGTCGACAGAGCGACAGTTTCGTGCTTCCAGGCATCTGGTAGATCATAAGGTTGCAGGTAAATATCTCGTGGAGGCGAGTGTGTTTACTTGTCGTCGCATGCTAATACCTCCGTGGGCGGCCAGTGTCGTACACGACCTCTCGCTCGACGACCCTCTCCCGCTCATCATCCCACCTGGGACGGTGGCGGTGATGACGGCGGTCGCGCTCCCAATCGTCGCGGACTTCGCGCTCATACTGGATCTCTCGAATACGGTCCTTTCTCCGGGCTCGTATGCGGTCCGATATCTCGACCAGTTCAAGGACGTCCTCCTAAAAGAACACTCAACGTCAGCCGTCTGACTCGATTTTCTGTACGGGAAGAGTTTGACTTACATATTTCAGATATTGCATCACGTAGAAGAATTGCTCGGTCTCCTCATAGTCATAACCGAGCTCATCAATGGCTTCTCTGACAACAAGATCCTTGGTGACCTCGGTCCACATGTCCCTACTCTTCGGCATGGGTGCAGGCGGCGGGGGTGTAGGCCGCAGGCTGATACGCCTATCAGTAACTTTCTCGACCTCTACGTCTCGTTCGCGTTCGCGTTCCTTGTCATAGATCTGAACGCTCAATCGATCACGCTCCCTGTCACCGCGAGGAGGAGCATACGCCTCACGGTCGGAGATGACCGTCGTGGACGAAGAAGTAGGGGGCGACAAGGGCACCAGTGCACTTTCACTGGCTCGCTCAGGGATGAACTTTGACCGGCGAGCACCATTGTACCGCTGCCAGGTCAGCTCAGCAGCACCACCACCAACGCCATCCATGCGCACTCTTTCGGTGCCAGGTGGAACATCGACAACCACCCAGTCTTTGGTGGCTCCGCCCCAGGCCTCGCCCATGCGACCGCGTGAATCAATCCTGCCCCTGATCATGTCGGCCTCATCATCATAGCCCGGCGCAGCGGAATGTGAGCGAGGCCGAGCCGACGAGCTCCGGTGCTCATGCTCAATGTCGACCTTCAGTTTGTCACGTCCACTGGAGATCATGATATCGTCTTCGTGGTAGTATGAGTGATCGCGGGCTGGAGGAGGGTCGTACGAGACCCTGGGCCGTTCCCGGGACACCGACCGTGCTCGTGAGCGTGATTGAGACCGCGTTTTGGTGATGTCAATCTCGGTCTCATTGCGACCGTGGTAGATGTCGATGTCTGTTTCTCGCTTTTCAACTCGGCGGGGTGGCGGTGGAGGAGACGGCGGTCGTGCCACAACCAAGCCTAAATCCTATCGTGTCAGTAGCAGGTCCCTTCAATTCCGCGGCACGGAATATTATCAATCGGAGCAATTAGAATGTGGAATGGCACAAGGCTAGAAACTTACCGTGATCAATGTCTCGATAATGGGTAATGACTTCTCTCTCGATAGTTGGGCCCCTGATGACTTGCGGCTCAGGCGGAGGAGGCGAGGGGCTTGGACTCGGCGTGGGAGCCCGCTCACGTTCCCGCTCGATAATCCTGAGCCTACTCCTCTCGATCTCAGGTGGCGGGAGGGGCCTCGGAGATGGCGACCTTTCCCTCTCAATAACTCGCGTGCGGGTGCGTTCCATGACCGGAGGCGGGCTGGGTGAACGGTCAGGCCGCTCGATGATCCGTGTGCCGAGACGCACTCGGTCCATGGCCGGCCCCCGGCTCGGGCTCCGTACCCGCTCCCGGGAGTGATCGACAACCCGCGTGCGGATCTCTTCCCTTTCACGGATCTCTGGCGGCGGGGGCGGCGGCGGTGGGGGTCCAGGGCTGACGCTCCTCGCCCTTGTCTTGGTGACAATGCGCTCTCTCACGACGGGTGAAGGAGACCTTGGCCGCGGCCTAGCTCGCTCAACCGTCTCGACGTCACGCTGGCGCAGGACCAAGGGCCCTGCCTCAGGTGGTCGACGGGACTCATCGCGCATGAAATGGGGCACCCTAGACTCGCGTTCTACCTCTTCCCGGACGGCAACCTGAACATCGCTGCGCCGGGCCATGGGAGGAGGAGGGGTGCGCGACCGTCTCTCCTCCCTGCGCTCGTAGTAGACCTCTTCGTCGCGGGGAGGAGGCGGTCTCCGCATGGGAGGGCCTCTTGGCGGTTCATCATCGTAGTAGACGTCACGCTCCTCGTAGCGGCGGAAGGTCTCAGGCATGGTGGCTGCTGTCTGGGTCGAAGGTCGGGTGCTTGATTGCAAACGGGAGATCGACACAGGCTGGACGGGTTCGGATGGAGGGCTGAGATTTGGAGACCGTCACTGGAAACAGGTTAGTGCCCTGTCGCTCTATAGTCGAGGCAATTGTTGGTCCGGGAACCTGCCTACCTTGCGAGGCTGCTCTATGCGGCAGATAGAGGTATGACCTAGGTCAGACAGGGCCAGATGCCAGACCAGGGCAGGCTCAGGTAGGGCAGGTCACCGGGAGGTCTCGTCTCCCGTCCCTGGGAGGTGGTTTATTGCTTAGGAGAGGGGGAGGAGGAGTAGGAGGAGGAGGCGAAGGGGTAGAAGAGGTGAGGAGTAAAGACAAGTGGGTGTGAGCTGACCAGCGCAGGAGGTAGGGTATATGGCACAAGACACTAGAGAGCGGTCGTCCCGCCTGAATTACCGGTCTCCCGCGTGGCCTGGGTGCGATCCTGGTTGATCTTGTTCGGGTAGCTGGCCGGGTTGTGCTGGTCAGGTCTGGCGTCGAGGAGGCTGGCCCAAAGGTGGGGGGTGGGGTCGGTTGCGATGTGCAGGGCAGTTCGGTGTCGATGTGGATTGCTTGCTAGAGTTTCCCCGCCGAGAATGGGCGAGTTAGCAGCGGTGATGTATGACGGTATGCAGCGGGCCAGACCACCTGGGCAGGGTAGTCTAATAATGCCTGATCCTCCGTGTCTGCTTGTTCAATCAATTGCCAGCACCAGGGAGATGGGCGGAATACCGCATACACTGAGCCCCCAGGCAGGCTGGAATGGTGAGCTGGCCAACAGGCTTGGAACGATGATGGGCACAAAGTAAAAATAAGTGTAGCAGAAGAGGAACAAGGGATCCAGGTATAAGGATGGGAGGGATGAGGACGGGGACAGACGGGGGATGGGATGGCATGGGATGGCATGGGTTTGGCAGGCTGGCAGGCCTGTGTCTGTGTCTTGTGCCTGTGTGACTGTGCCACCTGTGTACCCCCAGCGTTGGTCTCGATGGGCTTGCCAATCCGGGATGTTGTGGCTGGCGTCCTGTCAGACAGGCAACCTAGTGATGGTGGTTACCACAGTACGGTATATCGATGGCCAGCCTAGCCGAGCCTCGGTCTTGCTGATCTGATTGATCTGATCTGACAAGGGCATGCATGGTCTGGCCCTGGCCGGTCTTGTCCGATGGATGTATTCTGTCTGCTTGATTCTGGTTGATTCTGGCCGGAACGAAGCACGGTCAACCAGACAGCGGAAGCTGGATTTATTTGCTTCTCAATAGATGCCGTGTATGTATGGAAGTGGGCGGGCCGAGGGGAGAGATCCATCAGGCTGGGAGAGATGGTGGGAGAGCAGGCACACGGTAACCAGGCTCCCCACTTCGTTTTCCCTGCTTCGGCAGCTTAACAGCATGAACACCTAGGCAAAGACGGTGATGATTGTCCAGTCCGATACAGCATGCCGCTACCAAACTTTGCCTGGTTCTTGCTCTTTCCTGCTCGAGTCTGTCCTTTTGTCAGGCAGTCACTAGACTGGGCAGTGGGCATACGGTGCGAACCCAACGTCGTCATCTTACAGCTGTACCGCGACTGCCCCATGCACACACACACACACCAGACACATGCTGCCGCTGCAGGCTCCTCGTTGCTACAACCAGGCAGCCCGTCCATTCAGCCGTCAAGCTGCAAGCCCAATCCCACCTGGTTCGCCCGTCCCGAACGAGGCCGGCAGTCTAGTCTCGTCTCATGCAGAACGCACAGAGAAAAGTCCTGGAGCTTCTGCCCCTCGGGAAGCGGGAAGGCCAAACCTTGGAACCCCCCGGCTTGGCTGGCTGCCATACAACGCTGGAAGCTGCTATAATGGCCAGGGTTTGCTTGCCTCGTGTCATCAACACGCGAACGGCAGCAACCGGGGGCGACAATCTGACAGGTTTGTCGAGTCGTGCCCGGACAAAGGTTTGGTGTGGGTGGGTGGGTGCGCCGATGGGTGGCCCTGGGCTGAACACTTGATCGCAGGCTGAGGGGGGATGGTGTGCAAGCATTTGACAGGTGATCCTGCCCGTGCTTGATGCAGCTGGATCTGACACGGCTGGTCTGTCTTGTGTGTTGTTGTTGTATAGCGAGTCCTCGAGCTCCCAAAAAAGTTGCGCTCGCTGTGAGAGTGTGTTTCAGGTCGGATGTGCCTCGTCCATGCATCGAAACGCCGTGTCCCGGGATGGATTCACGGTCGAGTCGACGGCAGGATCTTGGAATAGGTCTTGTCTTTGGGGACCGGGCCCGATATTCAGGCCTGTCCGCCCCATCGAGTGGCGCATTCTGCTCTATTTAGAGCTGACAGCCCACATTTCACCAACTGCTGTGGACAACGGCTGCATGCGGCTCTGGGTCCATCTCCAGAAATGCAACAACCAGGTGGGCTGGCAGGTGGCAGACCAGACCCCAGCCTGAGGGACAGCAGACTTTGGCACTGTACCGTGGTTGCAGCTTCTAGGCCTGCGAGATGTTGCACTGCTCGTGGTGAACCTCCAGAGTCCGCAGAGTGGGGCCTCGCTCTGGTAGGGTTCAACCTCACTCAGCCCCGCGCTGCTCCTTGCTGTCGGACTCGAGGACAGAGGCAGTGTCAGACCAACGATGCCCAACACAAACCTTATCAGCGAGGTGAGCGCAACGGAGCTTCCTGGCCGGCTCCTGGCCTCATTCTCACTGATGTGCCGTCAAAAATTTTCACCCAGACCGGCTCGAAGAACACATCACCTCTCTCAAGTTTGCAACGCATTGGCGAGCCGATCCCATCGCGGGGCTGTATGTGACGTAATCGTGCAGTAGAAGATTCCATCGCCGCTGTGGCTGGGACACCTCGCGGGCGGCAGCGTCTCACTCCCGATTCACGCATCTCGCAAAATCAGGGCTCAACTGCCACAATGCGACCTTGATTCCGGATTACGGGAACCCTTCGGCTCAATAGCGCCTAGGGAGCTATAATAGGTCCCGGCTTTTAAGGCAATCGTCACCGACCCGGAGCCGCAAGCTCGCATGCGAGTCCTGAGGGAAACCTGCCTGGCAGAGTCTCGTCGCTGCACTTCAAGTGGATTGTTGGCATGGTTCAAATCAAGATGCCGTCAGCACCACTGAGAGCAAGACTCCCTGCATACGAAGTGCTCGACTACTTCCCTTGTTTATATCGGCCAACACAAATGTTGCATTAAGCGCTGGCCTCATGTGGCAGTCCCGGGGCAATTGTTGGCAGCCATGTCTGCCCAGGTGTCTACCCTTGTTACGGTGAACTGACGGGGCCGAACATGAGCCACTTCCAAAGCTTCCCCCCAAGATAAGACCCGCCAACTCCCGCGCTCACCCAAGCAGATGTCACAAGTTGAGCCCATGATCCTTTTTTTCTCTCAGAAACCTCGCTTGCCTACAGATCTCAATTTGACGATTAGAAGTCTCCACAAAGGCCGATTGCACACGCACCTCCTATTTGACCAGGCGGCCACCGACCGGAACTGTTGGAGTTGCGCAGGGGACACTTGTCTAGCGACACTGTTAATTCGTGCACCAACAGCTGTCGACATGGAGCCGTCTAGAATTCGAATTACGACTTTCATCACTTTCTAGACGCGTACACCTATCCCTTTAACTCGCTTTAGTGCTGTAGTGCTTCAATTCAAGCACTACACGCCTGTTAGCTCGCACGTGTAACGAGAACAGTGCTTAAGTAGTCGTTGGTAAAAGTAAAAAGAAAGAAGAAAATCAGTCAGTTGCTTAATGTCAGGCCCGGATCTCCGTACTCAGAAGTCGGCCCTCCTGTTTCAAATTAAGAAAGCACAAGTACTACTTTTAACTCCATATCCAAGCACTGGCAGACGTATTACTATAATTTCTGTTGAGGTTACTAAGAAAATGGCTGCAATGACGGGTTTGCTTTGGCTTTTGCTACATTCATCTTAGTCCTCTTGTTTAGTGCCTCGTGGCCATTTTACCATCACTCCCCGAGCTCATCACCAGTTGCTGCGATGTGATAAGATATCCAGACCCAGCAAGCTTGATATCGCGGTTCATGACCGGCAGCGCCGCGAACCCTCAATCCGCCGCTATGGCCTCAGCAATGGTCTCGACATAAACCCGGACGCGCGCGCTGTGCTGAAGCACCCGGACCGCTTTGCCACCTGTGCTGCCCCCGAGGCCGCGCCAACGACAGATGGCAGGAAGTCGCCGACAACGTCTGCCACGGGGACAACGTCCACTTGGCCATCGATCGCGGCGAAGTCAGGGCGCCTGCCGAGAGCAAGTGTGATTCGGAGCAGCTCCTGTAGAACATCCTGGGCGACGGCCGACGATGACGACGAGTCTGTGGTGGAGGAGGGGAGAGAAGCAGGCCGATGGAGGTACAGCTGCAGACCAAGACCCGCGGGCGTCGCGGACGCCGCGAGGTTCCGCAGCAATCGTTCCGCGGCCCACTTGTTGAAGACATAGCCATCGGTCCCGTCCGTCGCTGGTTGCACCTGTGTCGAGACATCGCTGTCCCCGCCGCCGTCGTACACACGCACAGCCCCAGAGGAGAGCTGATGCATCGTCAGCGGTCGCACGCCACCACCACCACCACCACCATTGGCGAGACCGAGCCGGGCCAGTTCCTTCACGGCCTCCGAATTGATCTGACGAAGACTCTCGTATCCGTCCCAGAAGGTGCGGTCTGCCACGCAGTTGACGATGATGTGTGCCATTAACGCGAAAGAGGCGTGCTTCTCGGGTGAGAGGCCGAGGGTTGGCTGGGACAGGTCCGCGGTGACGATTGTGACCTTTGAGCTGCGGTCTGCCGGCGACAGGAGGGGTGGGCTGGGTGCAACTGATGAACTTGTCCGTGGTCGTCTCGGGCGGCCCCAAGTAGCCTGCGGCAAAACCAGGCCCACCCACCACGACCTCTCCCGGCGCGCCTAGCGGAACAGGGTCGAGCTGCTCATCGACAATGATCACCTCTTAGTCTGGCAGGATAAAGCCTGCCGGCACGTGGCCCTCGAGACTAGGGAGGGTCACGGTAGTCGACCTCGCGCTCGATGATGGAGAGCGAGGCCTCCGTCGGGCCGTCGTTGTTGTAGAGCTTCAACCAAAGGTTCCCAATACTAGAGTCGCAATACTCAGATTAGGACACCATTTGCTATAAAGAGAACAAGCCCATGTGCTAGGGTGCCACGCCTCCAGCCCATGGCGCAACATGATTCGGATCGTGCACTACTAAGTCTGCCCATGATGCTTCACCTTCTATTTCCTCAATTTCTATGTCTGCGGTATTGTAATTGGGCATTGGCCCCATGAAGCCTAGGAGAGTTAGTCAGCAGGCGCGTTCGTCCGAGGACAGGTGTATAGTGTTATAAAGCCAGAAACTCAATCCTACCTTGAAAGTCCAGCGGAGCGGGTGAAGGGCCCGATATTCTGCTCTCCAGCGCAAATGGATCAGTCTCTCGAAGAACGTATCTTAAAGCCTCGGCAGCTCTTCTAGCTTCAGTAGAATTGGCGCTCAAGCGCAGCCAAATATCAAGCGATGTCTGGAGGAGCTTCCGGGTGCGTAACGCAACTTCTGCATCTTCTATACTGTATCGCTGCTGTGGGTGTGGATGCTGCTCTTGATTTTGGGTACGGGTCTGAAGATAGAGACAAAGGACACTTGTAGCCAGAAGAAATTCCTGAGTCACGGCTGTAGAGACCCGCCAACGGATCTGATGTAGCCGGCCGTCTGGACGAGTTTCTTCGTCAATGAGATGCTGGAATTCCAGAATTTTCATGGCAGCAGTCAGACACGTCGATCGCGAATTGGCGTATTGCTGCCGTTGACTGAATGACGGGACCAGAAATTTCTTATGTAGGACCACCTTCAGCCTCTGGATACACATGTTAACCCATATCCTTTGAACTAGGACCAGTGGTGTCGCAGTAAGTGAGGATGAGAGGCCCTCCCACTTCATACTGGAAGGTAATGAATCCATGGCCTCATTTACTCGCTGGTCGAGGTGCAGAACCTCACTGTAAGGATACGTCCGCGGTTCCGTAGTCAGATCTGAAATCTGGATACCGACAGACAGAATTCGAAGTTTTGCAAGGGTATACAGGATAGGTGTCACCTCTGTTTGCGGGCGCGAGGGTGGCAATTCTGCCGTTGATTCATCAAAGTCTGAATCGGCGAGGTTCCGCGGCTCTGTTGTGTTTGCCTGACTGGCCAGCCTGGGCATTCCTAATTGGGTCGAAATACTGAAGTCAATCCGGACGACCATTGACCATACCCGGCGTCGCATCTCACCTGCAAAGGGTGTGATGTTTTGGGGGGAATGGACAGGGTCGCGATGGTAGGGCCTGATTCGCGCATGCGAATTGTGCCATAGTCAGAGGGAGAGGGCGAGACTTGACGCTGATCGTGGGCGTCGCGTGGTTGTGGCCTGGCCTGGCTCGGGGTGGTTGGGCATTCAACCTCGACCTGGACATCATCGTCGGCATCGACACCGGCTCCAGCATGGGCCCTTCTGTCGCCTGGCGTATCCAAAGCAGTCTCATACTGCGGGACTGGCTCATCTGGAGTTGAGGCAGGCTGCTGCTGACGCTGCATGAGACCCAAAACGAGGCTCTCGAGGTGATCAATGCGATCCTGCACATGTGCACGAGGACGACCCAGAGTGGTGCGCGTGGGATAGTTGCACAAGGATGACAGTCCTCGACTGGAGCAATTGCTGCAGGGAACTTGTCTATCACGTCGCACTCTATGCGAGGATTGCAAGATGATCGGTTAGCCGGGAATAGTACATACTGTAGCGACGAGTACAGTCGGCCTGGGTCTGAGTATGGGCATGGGGACGTTGACGTGAAAAACGACTTGTCCTCCGAGCCCACCAACTTGCCCAACTGCCCCGTCACCGAACCTGGGCGACCGACCCCGAAGTTTACCGACCCACAACTCGACCCGACGAGGAGGAGAACGGTGCTTACTTGCGCTTCCGACACGCGTTGCAGCTCAGTTGGAGCTTCTCTCTGCCAGTTGCGTCCCGGCGGTCTTGCGGCGATCGCTCATCTAGAGTCCTGCCACCGTGCATATCCAGGCCTGGAGTAGCCATTTCCAGTCTCGATGGTTGTGAAGCCAGGTGAAACTTGCAAGGACAAGATTCCTCGTGAGTTTTGATGCTGGTTCGGACGTCCGCGGTCGACGCAAGTCAGCTCCGCCGTCCAACGGGCCGGCACACGTGGTTGACGGCGCCTTCGGACGTTAAAGCGCCGAACCTCCGCGCAACCTCTTTATGTCTTTCCAAATTTTACCTATTGCCATGTCTACGGCCCAGCAGCCCGAGCCCGAGCCTCAAATGATACTTTGCTTATCGGGCCGGATACTCGCCAGCAAATGGGTGGCTTAGAGACGGAGACAACCCCCCAGACTGAATTGTCACCGGACGAACATGGCGACGCGCAGTGAGCCTGTCGCCGGCTCACGTCCGGGGCTGAGGGTCAGCAGTTTGTGAACATGGAGTGTTGTCCGTTTGGATTCATAGGCAAACAAACAGCGGTACTGATTTCTCGCTCGAACACAACCCAATCTTCTCATCTCGCCATCTTTCTTGTCCTGTGTTCACCATGTCACGTACAACTTCAGACGGCACGATGAGTGACGATATGGCAGCCCAGAAGAGCGCGGTGCTGGACCCAGGCGCTGCCAGGCCTCACGCCGAAAAGCAGCACATCATCAAGTGGGACGGCTCCGATGATCCAGAAAATCCTCGCAATTGGAAAGCGACTACAAAAATGGTACACGTCTGTCTCGCCAGCGCTTTCACTCTCTACGCGTGAGGCCTACTCCACTCACTGGATATGCACATCTTGCGAAGACTCTTTACTCACTGTCTAGATTAGGGACCTGGCTTCCGTAATGTTTGCTCCAGGTGCTGATGCCCTCTGTGCCGAATTTGGCATTGGCAACGGCACCATCGCCGCCCTGACCGTCACCATTTACATCCTCGGCTCTGCCCTAGGCCCCTTGTTCATCAGCCCCTTGTCCGAGATCTACGGACGGCTGATAGTCTACCACGTGGGAAATAGTGTATACCTCGGCTTCACCATTGGATGTGCGCTGAGCACCAACACAGCCATGGTCATGGTGTTTCGTTTTATGTGCGGTGTTGCTGCTGCATCTCCGATGTCTGTTGGCGGGGGTACCATCGCAGACCTCCACAGACAGGAGGAACGCGGAAAGGCCATGGCGTTGTTCGGACTCGGCCCACTTCTCGGACCAGTATGGTTTTCTCTCCTGGCCCTCGCCGCTTTCACAGAATCTTGTGCTAACTTGGACCAAGTGCATCGGTCCTGTGGTTGGAGGACTTGTGACTGAGTATGTTGGATGGCGTTGGACATTCCGGATAATACTCATCTTTGTGAGCCAGCCCAAGGCCCCTCCTCTGCGTCTTTTCTTGTAGGGTCTTTGAGCTGACAAGTTGCTCCTCAGGCCGGCGTCGTCTCCGCAGTTGCCCTGGTTCTCAATGCGCGAAACGTACGAGCCCGTTCTTCTCGAGCGCAAAGCGACTCGTTCCTGAAGTCGTGCAAGTCGACTGGAGACAACAACCTTTACTCTCGCACAACTGCACTTGACCCAGACGATACTCCTAATAGGGTCCTTCTACGCACATTCATCCGCCCGACCAAGATGCTCGTCTTCTCGCCGATTGTTCTCATGATGTCGCTCTACTCGGCCTTCATGTTTGGACTGATCTATCTTCTCTTCACCACCTTCCCCGCCGTGTTTGAGCAAACCTACGGCTTCAGCGCCGGCATCGCAGGCCTCGTATAGCTCGGCCTTGGACTGGGCATGATTGTCGGCATCGTTCTCTTTTGGTAAGCTGAGCGACAAGCTGGTCGGATCATCACGAGGCGGACTCACTGGCCGGCCAGAGCTACGCCTGATCCTGATGATCTGGGCGACTCCGGTCATGCCAGCCGGCTTCTTTTGGTATGGCTGGAGCGCCTATGCCCAAACGCACTGGATCGTGCCTATCCTGGGCACCTTCTTCATCGGTGCTGGCGCGTTCCTCCTCATGATGCCTGCGCAGATCTACCTCGTGGACGCATTCGGGACCAATGCGGCTGCTTCGGCTCTGGCTGCGAACACAGTGCTGCGCAGTCTAGCGGGTACTTTCTTGCCCTTTGCCGGTGCTCCTCTGTATGCGAGGCTAGGCCTAGGCTGGGGGACTAGCTTGTTGGCGTTCCTGGCATTGGCATTTTTGCCCGTGCCTGTCTTCTTCTACAAGTTCGGTGAGCGCCTGAGAAAACGCTTCCCGGTAGACTATTGAGTTGCATGTTCTACTGGGCCCTGCCGACTTTCGGACATACAGGCATGTCCTTTTGTGATTGGTACGTTAGATGGTGGCTTTATTAGACCCCGGAGTGAATTGAGAGGAGAACAGCGTACTTGGAGCTTTTTTTCAGCATTGCATTACGATCATCGGTACAAGGCAACTACGCGGAAAGTGGTCACGGCTCATCGGGTTATGGGTCCGGCCATGTTGGGAAAGATTATTGCGTGGCTTGCGCTGCATGATTGTGTCACAGATCCGGAGATGTTTGACTTCGGAACTAAATGGAGAGCAACGCTGCAGGAATTACTGGACCAGGGGAAACCCTACGAACACCCTCTGTTGCTGCAGCCCGGTCGGTTGGAGAGTGTCCTCGACGGCGTGGAGATAATCAAGGCCAAGAAAATCTCTGGGAGGAAACCGGTCTATACAATGTTTGCACCGTGAGATGAATTGGAGAATGGATGATACAGCAAAGTGACTCACTTGTGATATCCACTATGGAACGAAGTGGGCAGAGAGAATGGTCAGAAATCGAAGGATTTGTCCACTTGTGAATTGTCATCTTGGCTGTGCCATCGGTTGGCACAGGAAGGTCCACAATGGCCTAGGCAAGCGCATCGTCTCCGCAGCTGTTCCCCACGGTCTCCTTCGGCGAGGTGCACTGCCGGCCCCCAGAGCCGGAGAGGTATTCTCGTGGTTTTGGAGAACCGACCACTTGGTCAGACCGGACAAAACAGCCAAGCGGATCTAGGCTTAAGGCCGTGAGGGGGTAAAGTCAGATAAGTTGGGGCGTTTGACAATCGTCACACTCACCAATTCGTCGACACCAGCTGAATTTCTACTGGACGTGATAATTGCCTGGCTCGCCTCTGTCTATCGAGAGCGAACAACGCAAAAGACTTCCGCGTGATATTTTCCAATTTGTGACTTACTGCGACGGTTCTGAACAATCGCCGAGGCCACGAACAAGAACTAGTACAAGTGTCTCAGGATCAGCGACCCCTCACCTGAAGCACTGGGAACAACATGGGCTCTCTTCTGGACGACGGTAGAAGTTTCGACTTCATCGTTTGTGGGTGAGTCATTGTATGGGCTTGGTTCAACGGAAGTAGGGCACTGACATGCAATCAGCGGAGGCACTACCGGGTGTGTAGTTGCAGGAAGGCTAGCAGAGGACCCCAGCGTCCGAGTGCTCGTGCTCGAGGCTGGAAAAGACAATGAGAACTTGGAGAATACGCACATGGCTGGAGCGTGGGTGTCCCAGACCTGGTCTACATCCCTCGATTGCTTTGTCGAACGTGCATGCTGATATTTCCACCATGCAGATGGACCAACAACCTCGACGGGCCAGAGGATTGGAATATTATATCAGAGAAGGGTTCTGGTATCAATAACCGGCAAGTGAAGCTTAGCAGAGGCAAATTCCTCGGCGGGTCTTCCGGATTAAATGGTACTCTCTGCATTAAAGGCTCCAAGCAGGACTACAATGACTGGGGCCTCGAAGGATGGAGCGGCGACGAGTTCTTCAGATATATGGAAAAGGTCAGTGATTCTTCCAAAGGAACTCTATATAGACGACGCTCATTCTGAAACTGAAACTTCTACTGACATTGGCGCTTTCGAAGGCCGAGACATTCCACAACAAGCCTTGGTTCAAAACTCACAGCAAGTCTCACGGCTACCAAGGACCGCTCCACACCGAGCCCCATGACCTAGCACCCATCTCAAATCTCGTGCTCGAGTCCATGGTCTCCAAAGGGCTCCCACTCGATGATGACATGTTCTCACACGGAGAGAATCCCCATGGCTGTGGACACGCCCCTCGAACAGTACATTTGGGGACCCGCACCACAGGAGCCGACTTCATTACCAAGACTCACCGCAAGGACAACGTCGTCATACTCACAGAGACATACGTCGACAAGGTCCTTTTCCAAGACGTGAAGGGTGAACACGTAGCCACGGGCGTGCGGGCGGTGGGCGCAGACGGCGTGCCCTTCGACCTGACGGCGACCAAGGAGGTCATCATCAGCGGCGGGGCATACTGCAGTCCTAACATCCTGCAGAGGTCTGGCATCGGAGCCAAGGACCAGCTCGCTGCTCTGAACATCCCAAGTATCGTCGACCTGCCAGGAGTGGGCAAAAACCTCATGGACCATCTCATCGTCTTCATATTCTACGAGGTGTCCAAGCCGGGCCTGACCAATGACCACCTGGCGTACCACGACGATGCCCTCGCCAAGTCGTACAAGCTCTGGAAGGAGAGCAAGGCCGGCTTCCTGTCGAGCTTCCCGTTTGGCTCTTTCGGGTTCGCCCGGCTGGATGACAGGCTGGCTGACTCCCAATTGTGGAACTCTGCCCCCAGGACCGCTGGCCGTGACCCTATGGGGCTCACGCCAAAGCAGCCGAATATCGAGTTCTTCCACACAGAGTGCTACGGTGGGCCGAAGCAATTCGATCAGTTTCCTGTCGACCACAAGCATGCGTTCGCCATGATCGCGGAACTTTTTTCGCCACGGTCCCGGGGCACGGTGGAACTGCAGAGCGCAAATCCCCTGGACGGGCCAAAGGTGGATTGTGGATATCTTCAGGATCCGTTGGACCTTGAGGTCCTTGCAGAGGCTTGTCGATTCGGAAATGAGATCATAGTTGGTGGGAAAGGGACCAAGGATGTTATTAAAGGATCATGGCCGCCTGACCTGACACACCACACTTACACCAGCAGGGAGGAGTGGATCCCTTATGTGAAGGAACACGCTACCACATGTAAGACCCTACCCTTTCCCACTCCCATCTACGGTCATACCACATGTGGCTTGGGTGTAACGTCTGTGTCATTTAGGTTACCACGCAGCGGGAACATGTGCGATGGGCAAACGCGACGATGCGAACGCAGTAGTGGATGAGAAGCTCAGGGTCAAGGGCGTGACAAACTTGCGAGTCGCGGACGTCAGTATAATGCCCACATTGCACGGAGGGCATACCCAGATGCCGGCCTACGGAATCGGTGAGAAGGCTGCGGACCTCATCAAGGAGGAATGGAGGCTGAAGAGCGATGGTTAGACAGAGAGCTCTTGTGGGCGACGTGAATTCTGTGGATTGATGGAAAATTGCAATGTACCTGACTGGTTCCAAACATGGTTCTTTTTTTGACGTATGGATCTATCGCTGGCTCGTATTCATTGCCTCGCTTTGTATCTATAGGTGTCTACTCAAGTACTTGATCGCCGTTCTTACAAGAATGGCCTGGTTCTGCTATTTTCGGATGCCGCTGCTGTACTTGCGTGACGTTTGACCAACGGCCTGAAAACAGTTTCGGCCATAGGTAGTGCTCTATGACGGTCTCACTTAGACTCGACAAGGTAAACAGATGTTACTGGCTTCAAACCGACGAAATGCAATCATGGCCTATTGTTGTTGATGGGATGTCATTACTCACCATAAGCTCAGACTGCGCCAATCACTGAAAGATTGGTGTCATGGCTCACGGGCGTTGTTTATTAAAGGTGTTCCGTCTGGTTGCTTGTCCACCGGCAGGCCTTTTATCTTATCAACACCACACAGCACAACACATACAAACGACAGAACAGACCGCAACAGTCTCCTTTCAACACACAAGAGTTTTAACAAAAACTCACATCAGCCCCAGAATCTGCAAAATGTCGAACCTAGAGGAGTCGGACGCCCTCAATACTGACTGTTACATACACGGTCCGGTCAAGGCCACCAACACACCATGGGGAAAGCTCTGCATAATCTGCGCAGAGCCACAAACGACCCACGGATTGCGAATCGCCTGCCAGGTTCATGGCGTCACCAAGGCCACACAGTCAATGCAGTGCTCTGCTTGTGTCAACCCACAGACGACACACCAGCTGAGGATCTACTGCAGTGTACATGGCCTGACCAAGGCCACTCAATCGATGCTGTGCTCTGCTTGTGTCATGAGCCAGAGGTAGAGGATCCGACGAAATGGGGGCTTCCAAGACCATGTCGCCCAATCCCAAGAGGAAGAAAGCCTCCATCAGGATAATGTCTCCTATCGAGACATCCGTCAAGCAGGCGCGTGGTGCGGCCCCCAAGAGTGGGCTTTCCTGTGACTACTCGGCCCACGGGAGCACCTCTCTCTATACGCAGGCGACGCTCGCGCAAGAGGCTTGCAGGAACGAGCAGGAGGTCCAATTTCCGTCCAAAACACTCGGTGCGGAGTGATAAAAAGCTGCTGAGCAGGCAAGGCTGGAGGCATAGGACTTAGCCTCAACTTCTGAGACAATGGGCACTTGCTTCTTCCAGGTAGTTCGCTCCAGTTGGGGGGGGGGGATGGGAGGCATAGCCACAAGTGACAATGTAGTGTAGACAATAACATTTAATCTAAATCTTGGTCTACAGTTCCTGCGTGACTCCAGCTGTGTCGACCGCGGACTTCTCTTCCTTCCTCCTGTCCCGTCTGGACAGCCACCAAATCGTCCAAGTGATGATTGCCTGAGCCACAAATGCGATGGTTGTGTACGTGAATCCCTTCTTGAATCTCGGGGCATCCACCACCGGATAAGTCAGGAGTGGAAGCCAGGCATTGAAAGCGTAGCCCGCCGCATTCATTACCCCCAGAACCACTGCCCTTTCCTCAGCATCAGCACCGCAAATTTCGTTCGCCCAGGTCATTGATAAGGGTCCGTAGGCAACGGAGATTCTTGACGCGAAGAACGAGAACCATTTTAGGCCAGTTGGGATGGTCCAGATGGCGAGCAATAGTGACGTGAAAAATCCGAAGAAGGTTGAGATCGACATCACCGCCGGCCTGGAGCGCAGGTAGTCAGACAAGATGGAGAAGCTGACGGTTGAGACGAGTTGAACGGCAGACTGGGCTGTGGGTATGATGTTCTGCAGGGCTATCGTCAGTAACTATACTTGAGCGGCACTGCACGTCGTCAGGGAATGGACTTACGACAGACGTCACGGGCCACCCGTTGGCCTTCAACCACAAAGGCAACGGGTTGACGCTTGATGAAGGCCCCGTGTTGATGAAGATGATGTAGAGAAGCGTCAAAGCCCACACATGCCAGCGCGTGAAGACACGCTTCAATATGGACCACCCCAGCTTCCGGCGAGGGGCGCGGCCGATGGAGTCCATTCGTTTCCGGGCGAGTGCAGCGTCGTCGTCGGTCAGATAGAACGCACGAGTGTTCTCCGGCAGGTCGGGAATCATGAAGTAGCCAGCTAGGCAGATGGGAGTACTAATAACACCGTCCATGATGAACAGCCACTGCCACCCAGCCTTACCCAGGGTTCCGTTCAAGCCAGTGTAGACCGCAGCTTGAAGATATCCGGAAAACATTCCTGCCGCGGCTGACGACGCGTGAAAAATACAGGCGCGTTTCCCCAGCTCGCTCGGCTTGTACCAGCTCCCGATCAAGAAGTGCGCGGCAGGATAGAAGATACTCTCGACGAGACCGACCAAGAAGCGTATGGCGATGACTTGATTGCTGTTGCTCGTGGCGGCGAGGCAGAAGGTCAAGACCGTCCACACCAGCTCACAGCTTGGAATCCATATGGATGGTCGAACTTTGGTGAGAATGAACTGGGACGGCAGCTGCCCGATGACATATCCGGTAGTCCAAGCCACGTCTATCAAGTTCAGCTGGTTCGAGTCCATGGCCAGATCCTCCTTCATCCCGGACACGTAGGCGTTGGAAATGTTTGTTTGGTCCAGGTTCTTGATGAAGTAGCCGAAGCAAAGAATCGTCAAGAGCGAAACGTCGAGTTTCTGGACGAATTTCCTCTCTTCGGGAGTCCTCGTCGGTTCATAATCCTGGGTAAGCCGTTAGGTTGGATCATTCGAAAATGCCGGTGAGAGATGTCGCCTCACCCAAAAATAGGACCACCATGGTGCCTTCTTCCCCGCCGAGTCGCCGGTGAAGCTGGAGCCTCCCAGGCGAGGAGAGTCCGCCGAGGATGCGCGCACGTCGTGCTGGGATTTGTCTTCGGTCGCCATTGTCCCCGAGAGCAGCGGCGCGTATATATCCGGGGAGTCGTCCAGGTACAAAGACGGGCTGGCACCCTTATATGTACGCCCCGACATATCGACCCGTTATCTCCTCGGCGATCAAGGAGGGAGAGCGGAGCCGGATTGTAAGGGTGATGGCAAACTCTTCTCGGACTAGGCAAGGAGTGTGCATGGAGTCGAATGTAGGTCTACTCCGTTGTATGGATTCAAGCTCTCGGGGCTAGTGCGGGCCAAGTATAGTACAGCCGTCCTCGAGATTCGCAATCGCAAGCATGTATGGCGCGTATGATATACAAATGTGGGGGGGGGGGCATCCGGCATCGAGGAGGGATGGACACAGGGACACCACGGAATACTCAAAAGGGACTCCAGCCAGTCGCAGGACCTCTGATAGGACTTTGGGGAGCAGCTGCACGGCTTTTAAAAGCAGCCAGCCCTCTTCATGTAGCAAGCCGGGCCAGCTATTGCGAATATGTTGTGATGCACGGGGCCAGCAAATGGCAGCTGAAGCTGACCAGCCCGAGATGGCCACAACTGACACGACTGGGGCTGAGACCGAGACATTGGTGTGTTGGCTGGGCGATTCAGTCATAGGATCTCGCGGGTGAGCCATTCCCCAATTTTGATGTACCGTGGATTTGAAATCGGGATGGCGCAATCCGTCTCGCCTCTCGCACCACCAGCTCGTGCTCGTTGCCGCTGGCAGAGCCTCGAGCCACGGGGTGAACCACTGTTAATTTGCCAAGTGATTGTCAAGAGAGCATGTCATATATCTTGACTCTATACAGGCACTCATGTGATATATGCAGCCAAACTTCATGATTGGAGAGCACGAACCATCTTTGGAGCAACGTTGTAGCCTTGTGAACATCGCCTGGGGATGGATTTCTTCGCTATAGCAGCCCTGCCCACAGCATATCCGGCCCCACAAGTTTCCAGCTGTCATGCAGATTAATGATCAGCTTTATGAAACATGTCATACAGGTCACGGCCCTTGATGCGCCTTAAGACGGGTCAAGGGGACGAAATTGCAACTCCAAGGGAGGGGGCAAGGCACGAAGACCAACATACAACTAGCTACGGAACCTAAACTGTGTCACAACCACATGAGAAGACTTGGTTGCTGAATGAATTCAGTATTAGAAGCACCCTTTTACTATCTTCGGTCTGGGGATGTGACGATCATATTGTTGGTCACGAACCATTGAACGGCAAAGCCGTCGCAAACCTGAGATTGTTCACACCCACAGCGAGTTCCACGAGGATTTATCGCTTAGAAAGTCTATTACTGCATACTCACATAGTGACTCAATTGATTGTTGTCTAATTTCAAATCTCTTGCTGCCCAGATACCTAATGAGTAGTCAGGATTGAATTTTGCTGGTCTAATATCAAGACATTATCTTCCAGCTACACTACTCTTCGGTAAATAGTGCCCAATTTGGCATCTCACGGGAGTCACCATGATTTCATAATGCATACAGTCTTCTCGTCACGAACCCCGCCCCAGAACTTCATGATCACCCGCAAAAAGAGCTCATCCGAAGTGCCAAGGCATACCTGCGCAAAGAGTGTCATAGAAGACTTGAACCCCAACGCTTCGTCCGAGTTCCCAAAGAGGTTGTTGAGGTTGTCTTCTCCACTGTTGAGAACAGCTTCTGTCGCATCGTGTAGCCTTGGCCCGATGACCGGGTGCTCGAGGAACGCCCTGGCCTCCTCCATCGTCCCAATTCCGTAGAAAATGCTGCTGATGTGCTTTCCTAAACCAGAAACCCGGGGAAAGACGAACAGCATCCAGTCGCTCCTCTTTTTCCCTTCTCGAAGTTCGCGAGCAGCACGCTCGTATTCAGTCTCTTGCTCTCCTTCATCGACCTTGAGATCCTGAATCCGAACAAACCGTTCTATGTCCAAGTCGGGCAAGAGACGAGGAGGATCAATCTGTGGTGTGCGCATGGCTATTGTTTGAAAATGCGACTGTCTTGATTGGACTGCTCTCACGACTGCAGATTAGCGACTTTCACCGTTGGTAAATTCGCAAAGCGAGTTTTTCGTGTTGTTACTTTGTTATTCGCGCGATTCAAGTTTCGGTGCGATACGTGTCCGTAAAATTTAATTTGTAGGGCGAAGGAGTGCTCATGAGGACAAGATCGAGTCTCAAGCAGTCTGGACAACAAGGACTGCATAAAATGTCATCGCCATGCTTTGATACTTCAAAGATCTTTATAGGCTCAGCAAGCTATTGTTTGAAGCCGAATACAAGCGCAAAAGTCAGAATCCTTTGTCCGTATCTACACAGGTTTCCCGTTATGCATTATTTGCTGCCTCAGAATCGCGTCCGTCCTTCCTTTTGTATAGGACGGGACCCTTGCGGAAGACCAATGGTTCACTGCTTTGTTCTTCCCATATCCTGGAATCGACGTAATTCGTAGGCAATAAACACCCAAGCTAAAAGATTAAGGAATCCAGGATGGTCCGCGGTGATTTCTGAGGAGAGGCTGCGAACCTGTGACTAGGTCCCACGAAACACTCATAGTCCCATATGATGAGAAAAAATCGCTTCAAGGGGGAGGTTGAATCGTGCATGAGTGTGTAGTTACGATCCACAGTCCAACCAGCCATTATGAGCTCAGCTAAAGATTTGTCATGCAAGTTTCGATCCGTGCCTGAGATGGGCTTTTCATTTTGAATTTGGTATCTCCCTGAGCTACCATTTCCCTCCCCAGATACTGTGAATGTCTTCCAAGCGTTGCGTTGAGTTGTGGGTAGGCCATGTGCTTCTGACTATCTATCACTATGGCTGGACCTGTTGCAAGATCTGATGTCGCTCATAAGTTGTGAAGCAAGAGCCTGGCGCTCGCCCCTGGGAGGCGCCACGCATCCTCCCAGTGTAGCTGGCATTTGAATACAACAAGGCTATACTTTGCTATGAGCGCTGTTCATCACAGCATAATGTGGCTTTCCAAATGACTGATAGCCGGTCTATTCTTTGCATCCATCGAACATGGCACTCGGACCATCATGGCTGGACAACTCCTCATGAGGTGCGCTGCGCCTCGATCATCAATCATCCGGCGTTCGGAGCGACGGAGTCGCCCCCGCTTTAATATTGAATCTTCGCGCAGCAGGGAATCGAATGGCCTTTCTCTGGGCGGTGACTAAGATTTTTCGTTCCTTTTCAAACCATCCCGTCGCTATCCAAGCGAATAGCGTCCATCGAAATTTGGCAAATCGGCCCCATGTGTCTGGCGGGATGAAGTTGTGCATGGAAGCGTATTCAAAATATGGTGGATACCAGCCTGCGTAGTCCCAGTCAACAAGCCAGAGTGACCCTGTGGTATCGAGGATCAGGTTGCGAGGCGCGAGGTCATGGTGAGTGAACACTAGACCCTGGGTTTCGATGGGCTGAGCAACAGAGGCAGCATGGTCTTCGGGTTTCTTTCTGGCCTCCTGCCGGAAAGATTTGTGATTGAACCAGAAGTTCACAACACAGGCGATTACCCTGGCACTCGGGCTGATGGGCAACCTGTAACGGTCCTCGATCCAAAAATGAGCGACAAATTCCGGTACCCAGTGAGCCTGCTGTTGGCGATGTGGCTCTCCTCATCTTCCGCACCATGGTACGGAGCTGAAAAGCTAAGCGGATTGTAAACAGCCAGCCCAAGGAAGTCCAACAGTCCATCAAGCTGACACCGTCAACCCGATCTTGCATACACTCGATCAAGTCCCCTCCTCTTGGTACGATACGCCTGACGGCAGGTACGCGAACGCCGAGAGAGTCAGCGCAGTCAATAGCCTGCTTGGTGTCGTGGATTTCTTCTTCTCGGTACGACTTGGTGACATATTTTCCCGAAACTTCAATGACATGTGGGCTTTCATCTTGGGCAAGGCGCAGCTTCTCTATGTAGTTGGAAAGCTCAACATCGCTACTGCTTTGGATGGGGTCGTACTCGGTGGCCGCCGTTGCTTCGATATCGTCGGAAATCATATCGACGGAAATCCGGTGAAGTGGAATCACTGTCTCGAGGTCCGAAAACCGGTTGCTGATCTGACGTTTTGATCTTGATGAGCCGTGTGAACGGATATTTCAGGCGCTTAGGAGGGCCACGCAAACAAGAAAAGGGTAGCATCGGCCTGTAAAAAGGGCCGCTCGTGAGTTGGGTCTGAGCTACGTAGGCGCCCATGGTACCGACTGCCAAGCGAAATCACATTCGATTGTTCTATCTGTTGAACGGCCATGTACCCCAAATTCATCCCCCTTCGAGTTATCTCGTCATATTAATCGCGCAGACAGCCTTGCTTGTAGAACTGGCATTTTTCTAGATCCAACTTAGTCTTAACTGTAACGGTACGGCACCGTGGCACTTATACTGCTGGGTTATTTCCAATAGCGATTGGAAATTACATTACTGGTCTTTTGGCCAAGCGATCTATTTGCCAGCAGTAGAATCGTGACATTAACCTTGAGAGAAACTAACCTTTCATTAGTTCTAAAAACTCCCAACAGCCACCTAAGATAGTGATGAGCACCTGTGGCGGCGGCTATGGCCTCATTACCTGGTCTGCAGGATCAAGTATGGCAAGGCTGCGAAGCTGGTAGAATCCACAATGTTCCAAGCCAAGCCTCAACGATTGGCCTAGATATGCGGCGTAGGTGAACGACAAGTATCTTAAATACCTCCTCGTCCTCACAACGTTGACGTTCAAGGGTGTACAAGACACCATCGTTCTCCTCTACTATTCAGCCAACAGAACACTACATCTCGTCCTTAACTCATTTTTGTGTCTCAGATATATTTCACATACATTGCAATCGAACAGACTTTCCACATGATGGATAACAACTGGGATACTGATAAGCTGCAGCCGGCAGACTTGGCGAAGGCGGTTGCAACTATCCACGTTGTTGCTTACACCAATGAGAATAAGGAAGGCGACGAGGACGGCAACCCACCCACAAATGACTGGTGCACTTTCCTCGAGACACCAGACCATAAATCAGTCCGTCTTGATATGGCCCCGGGCTATGGCAGTGACGGGTTGCGTGGAAAGATTGAGATTTCATCCAAGACATACAACTGCACATCAAACAATATCAAGAGCGTCACAATTCGGACCAGCCTCGGCCTGACGGTGCAGAAAATTGTCGACTTGGTTTCCCAAAAAGGCCATCAGAAACACCAGTTCACCCCGGAGTGGGAGGGATGTAGGTGTTGGAACTATATCCTTATCTCAGACCTCGAGAGTGCGGGATATACCGTTCAAGGGCACGCAAAAGAAGCTTTCGACGCTATGTCATACTATTGGGTACATCCATCTGGGAAGGAAGCACGTGAGATTAAGAAGGGCACTTTTCGAATAGAGAGGGTACATAGGGGTTGGGGTTCTGTGTCTAGGACTTGTGATGTGTTAGCGTCCACTGACAGAGTCTCGCAATTTTCAGAGGCGTGTAAAGACGTCTATACTATAAACCTAGTGCTGTTTTATTTTGATTGTTTTAAAAATGGATCTGAATCTTTTAGATCCAGTAAGTACAAGTGACACGAACTAATGCCTTTGTTTTACTTTTCTTCAACACTCTGAAAACAACCAGGCCGTCCATCGTGCTATTTTAATGCCATGTTCTGTTTCTCCATTGCTGTTGCTCAGTCACCTTCGGATTCAGAGTGAGAGTGTAACATTAGTACCCAGACCAGAAAGTAAAGCAAATTTTTCCTGGGCAATCGCGGTAATTTTTCCCAATCTTTGTCGTACACACGGAATCCAAGAACCCACGCCCACGTCGTTCTTAAGCTTACTATCAACTTACGACCGTATGGACCAGACTACAGGTGGAGTGGAGTCAACAGATCTCATCTTCGTTTGGAAACCCCAGGCACAGGCTAGCCAATGAATGCCCGCTTACATAAGTCTAGAGGCCACCTTTGTGCCGCAGACAAAAGAAAACGATTTCTGCCAGACAACTCTGGCGCTCAACCTTCTCAAGTTCCTCCAATTTCGTACAAACAACCAAGCGTCGACAATGAGTTTAGAGACTGCCGACCACACAAAACAACTCGATGGGAACTGGGATATTGACAGTTTTGAGCTCGACTTGTTGTCGACACCAGTGGAGTGCATCCACCTATGCGCGCTTCGGAAGGAATTGAATGAGGGAGACGAGGAAGGCAACCCTCCAACAAATCACTGGGTGGTTTGCCTGCAAAACTCACCTACCTCAAGTGTCATGCTAGACATGGCACCCGGTTACGGCAGCGACGGTTTAAGAGCAAAGGTCGAAGTAGCGTCTTGCCGTCAACGATATACCGACGAGACACTGCGAGTGTTCTCATAAGTACCAACAAAAGCACTGAGCATTGGACAACTTGTGGCTCACATTTCTGATAAAGGCCGGCAAAAATTCACTTTTCACCCCTCTTGGGAAGGGTGCCGGTACTGGATCTCGGTATTGACGGCTGATTGGGAGGAGCTGCAGCTTGTGGAAAGCCGGGAGTGCCAGCTCGGCGAAGGAGGCATTGACGAAATATTGGGTCAATCCGGACCGCTCACACCCGAGAGAAATGAATGAGGGCGTATTTCGAGGGTAGCACTACCGGTCAAATGGATTTGCGAAGATGAGGACAGCCCAAAGTTCCATCTGCATCTGCGGAGGTATGCCGATACATGTCAATATCTGTTGGCAAGTACGACCCTCGCACTTAGAGGCTACTTTAGTTATCCCCTCCAAGGCACGTAGCCTCTCAGAACTTAAACAAAACAATATCAATACACAATTGCCTCCTATATGATTATTATATATATAAGAAACCTATTAATATTAATTAATAGTTATAAGTATTATAAATTAATAAGGTAAAAAAGGCAACCTTATAAGGATTTCCTTAACTTAAAAATTATATTCTTTTTATTAGCAAGCGCTATATAATAATAATTACTTCTTTAGGCCTCTTTATATTATTAAACTCCTTAAATAAATATTGCAAAGATTAAATAAACTAAGTAGCATTCCTTATAATATTTATATATATATTTATATTTAAGAGATATGCATTTATTATATATAAAACTTTATTAAAAATAAATCTATTTTTAAATTCTTTTTAAAACTTAGTAAAACTTAATTAAGCTTTGTTTTATTAAATAAATAAAGCTTATAATTATTATAATTGCTAAATAAATAAAACTTATAATTATTGTAATTATTAAAGCTAATGCAATGCTATATTATAAGTAAGCATAAGTTATGCATTATACTTTTAGCTAATATAAAAGAACTTAATAATAAAAAAAAGCCTTAGCTTTTAAGGCTTAAAGGAATTAAAAACTTCTTTTTCTTAATAATTATAACTTACTTATTATTAAATTATTATTATTAATTTACTTTTAAATATTACTTATTTTATTAATATTTCTTTATTTTATTAATCTTACTCTTTATAATATTTATTATAAAAACTTATAAGCATGGTTAATAATGCTAAGAAGCTATTAGCTTTTATTAAAGGGTATATAATTAATAAAATGCTTACTTAAACTTTAATTAACTTAATTTATTATAAATATATTAACTTAAAATTATAATTTATAACTCTTATATAAGGAGCATTAATAAAATACTTAATTACTTATTTAATAAGTACTTTAATAAGCTATATATAATAAAATCTTTATAATAATAACCTTTTTGTTACTTATTATAAGGATTATATGGCATAAATATAAGCAATGTTTAAAGCATTGCTAAATCCTTGTTAATAATGCTTAAAAGTCTTTCTTTAAATGCAAAGTATTTATATAAAATATAATAATTAACTTATAATATTATAATTAATTATTATAGCTTAAGCTAAGGAAAGATTAAAATAAATTAATAATAAGCTTTGCAATACCCTATTAGCCCTAGAATTAAATATAAATAAATATTATATATAACTTTAAAAATAATAATTATAAGCATAACCCTTATAAGAGCTATAAGCAAGCTTTAAATAATAATAATTATTAAGAGGATAATCTTTAAAATAATATTTATTACTGCTATTAGCTTTAAGCGCGTAATTATAAAACTTAAACTTAATAATGCAATTTATTAAAAATTAATATAGCTAGCAAGGCCTATTATTATTAATAAAAAGATAAAGATAAAGCTTATATTAAAGATATATATTATACTTAGCATAACTTTAAGCTGCTTTAAAAATGCCTTTATTAAATAAAAAGTATAACTTATATAAAACTCTTTCTTTATAATATATTTTTAATAAATGCTTAAATTTAGCAAAGTTAGCATAATTTATAAAAACCTTTAATAATTCTTATAAGTATATTAAGGATTTATATAATTTATTAAATAATAAAATAAAGATGTTTTTTAATATTTATTATTATATTAAAATTTAGCTAAGTTAATTTTATATAGTTTTTCCTTAAATGCTTAAAGATTAAGCTAAGGCTTATTACCTTTATTTTATAAATTAAATTAATATATTTATAATAATATATCTTAAAACTAAGATATATTTTAATATAAACCTTAATTATTAGCATTATTATATAAATTAAATAATAATAATATTTATAAAGATAAGGGTATAAAACTTAAATAAAGACTTATATAAGGTTTTATATTTAATGCTTAATAAGCTATAACTTTATTAATAAGCATTAAGTTAAAATTATATTAAGGAGGATAACTTAAAAATAATAATAATTAAAGCTTATAAAGAAGTTCTTAAGCTGGAAATAATTCTTTTTAAGCTAGCTTAATTATATAAAGAGTTATTTTTAAATTTAAGATTTATAATAAAAATATAGCTTAGCTGCATAATTATAATTTATATTATAAATAAAGTCTTAAATTAATATTATATTAATTATAAATATAATGATTAAAAGCTAAAGAGAAAATAATAATTATAATCTTAGGCATTTTAAGGAAATTAAAGATTTAGTTAATTAAACTTAAATTATTTAAGCTTTAAGCAGCTAAGATCTTATAGCATTAATTATAAAGCTTAAAATAATGATATTTATAAAAAAGAAGGAAGATAATCTTAAAAGAAAAAATATTATATTTATAAAAAGGAGGGATATTAATTAATTAAATATTTAGCTAATAAGCAATATTTAATAAAAAAAAGCTACTTAATATAATATAAATATAAAGGTTATAATAATAACTTTAATACTTTTTTAAGTAAATTTAAAAAATATAAGATAAATAATAAAGATAAATTTTATAAATATAAAGATAAATAAGATTAAGATAATAATTATAACGGCAATACTTATATTATAAAGGTAAAACCTAATAAGGAAGTTTATTATATAAATATTAATTTCCTAGTTAATAAAGCATTTATATATTAAATTATAAGAAATAATATCTTTTAAATAGAAATAATTATTATAGCTAGCTAATTTATCTTAAAGAATAAATATAATTAAACTTATTTTTAAGGAATCTTGCTAAATATAAAAGCATTATTAATATTTATAGCTAAATATAAGCAATTTCTTATATTGCAATAAGAAAACCTAAAGTATTAAATTAATATAATTATTATAGGAAAAGCTAAAGTTAAATTTAATAATAAAATAATTATTAATTCGCTTAATATAATAAAAATTTCCACCTTAATTAATTATATTAACTTTTATATTATTTAAGCATAAACTCCATTCCTACTTTGCTTAGTAAATATAAATAGGCTTTAAGTATATTATAATAATATTATAAATAAAATAGTTTCCTTTAATAATGTGATTATTATATTAATATTTAAAAAATAGGGTTACTTATGGTTTTTCCTAAATTAAATTATTAATGCTATATATTTCCTTTTAAAAATAAAAATAAGGAGACTTTATCATTACTTTAAATATTTATTAATAAATTAACTATGCTAAATGCTTAAAAAAGCCGGTAATTTAAATATTAATAAATAAGTAATAGCAAAGATTAAAAAGATATATTATTATTATTAAATAAATAAACTTGCGCTTAGGTATTTTAAGTTTATATTATGTAATAATTATAAATTTAATTATAAAATCTTAATTAATATAATATATTTAAGCAAATATCCAATTCTCTATATTATAAACTAAGCCATTGCTTTTTAAAAAGTAAAATTCTTAAAATCTATATTTATAAAAACCGTATAATAAATATTATAAATGCTTTAAATTAATATATATTAAAAATTATTAAATATTATTAAATATAATATAGGAATGAATTTTATATCCTTAGAATTCTGTTTAAAGGTATAAATAATAGAAATTAAATGCAAATAAATCCTTATAAAAGCATATTAATTTATTAAGAAAGTTAAGAAATATTATTAAGCCCTTAAATAAATATATAAAATCCTATATATTAAATTATATAATAGCATAAATAATAATGCTATCTTATAAATAGTTATAAAAGCTATTAATAATATTATTAAACTAAATAAACTAATCCTTATACTTTTAATCTTTAGCGCTTATTTATAAATATTATATAAATTACTATTATTATTATTAATATAAAAGCAAGTGAAAGCTATTTTAAAGGTTATAAAAATATTATAAAAAATTATAGCTAAATAATAAGTATAAAATGTATTAAATATTAAGGTTAAACTTATTTTTAATATAAAATATTTATTATAATGTAAAGTTTGCATATAAAGAGAAAAAGAAAAATAAAAGGGTTTATATAAGGTTATTACTATAAATAGCTATAATATAACCTTAAATATGCTAAATAAAGTTATAATGTTTAGGTTAATGATTATTTAACCATATTATTAAAATAATAATAAGGAAATGCAATTCTTATAAGTAAAAAACCTAGCTATAAAACCTTAAATGCAATTTATTATATAATTATTATTATTAAAAATAAAAAACTGTATTATTATATTATATATCTTAAAGAAAGAAAATAAAAATTATAACTTAGTAATTAAACTAAGATAAGATAAAGTTATTATAATATTAAGCTTATTATTTAAAGAATTTAATAAAATGGAAATTAATAACCTTATTATTAAAGGTATCTTTTAAATTAAAAAATAATTAATAAAGTAATATAATAAATATTATTTTTTTAAGTTTTATATAATATAAAAGGTAAAAAGCAAAATCATAAAACTTTATAAGAAATCTTAATTTATTATTTAAAGTTATAATAATAATAAAAAGGAATTAATTTTAATATAAAGCTTAATTATTTAAAGAATAAGCTAATAAATAATCCTTATACTTGCCCCTTTATTAATTTAAGAGAAAGGCATAATTCTTATACTTTAAGATATTATTTAAGCTTACTTTTAAGCAAAGTTAAAATTATGTAAAATAATCCTTGCAAAGCTATTAAAGGAATTAAAAAATAAATACTCTTTAAGCATAATTATTTATATTATTTAACTTTTATATAATATAGTAAAATCTAATATTTATTAATTTAATATATATTAAAAATATTATTAATAAAAGCTTAAGATAAATTATTTTATATATAATCTTTACTTAATAATTATAAAGCCTATATAACCTTTTAAAATAATAAATATATAAATAAATAATATATTAATTTTATTTATGCTAAACTTTTAAGATAAGAAAGAGATTAAAATAAAAGCTATAAAATTATAAAGAAAATTAAAATAAAAGCTAATGCTTAAAAACCTAATAAATTATAATAAGGCTTGTATAATTATAAATATTATTAGTTTAATTATTACTTAATAAAAGGAATAGGCTAATAAACTTACCCTTATTAATATAATAATTAAAGATGCTCTTTAAAAATACTTTAAATAAAGAGCTTAAAAAGTATATATAGCTTTAATTTATTAATTAAAAGCTTTATATAATCTTTTAATAGCTGCATAAATGCAAAACTTAAAGGTAAGAAATTATAAGAGCTTAAATATATAATTATTATAATAAATAAATAACGCTATATAAAAAATTAAATATATATCCCTTAATCTTAAAATAATAAAACTTTTTATATTTATAAACAGATTATTTATAAATAACTAAAACTTAATATTTTAACTTAAATATATTATTATTCTTATAAATAAAACTTATAAAAAAACTAAGGAATTTATAATAATAAGTAATATTTTTTATTAATTATTAATAAAGTATAAATATATTACTTAAAGTATACTAGCAAGTAAAATTTATAGCATAATAAATAAAATAAATATTAAAATTTCCTTAGCTATAATAATTAAAATAGCTATAAAATAATTCTTATTATTAAATATACCTTTAATTATTTATATAAACTTATATAACCTATATAAATACCTTATAAAGCTAGGAATAATAAAGAAAAAGCACCTTATAATTAATATTATATTACTATAAAAATTATATAAAATAAAAGAAATTATTAAAATAAGGTAAATAAATAAAAAAGATAACCTTATTAATATAATAATAAAATTAATTCTAAATATTATATTATAAAAGCTTATTAATAATAATAAGCTTTATATATAAATAAATAAGTTAGTTAAGAAACTTAAAGTAGCCCCTTTTTATTAAAGAAGGAGTAATTTATTGCTAATATCTTTTCTTTTTAACTTTATTATCATTAATTATAAAACCTTATACCTTTTAAACTTAAACCCTTAATATAAACTTTAACTTTTTATACTTTAATTAAAACCTTTTTAATACCTTATTATATATAAAAATAATCTTATAATTATTAATATTATTAATAATTATTATTTTAATATTAACCTTATTATTATTATTACCTTTTACTATTATTTATTAATAATAACGTTAAAATTAATTTTTATTAAATTTATTTATAACTTATTAACTTTTCTTATAATTAAAGAATAAATTAATAATTATTATATAATAATTATAAAGTTTTATATTATAAATATTTATTTTAATTACTAAATTCTTATAAAATCTTTTTCTTTTTTATTATAATAAAAAATATTAATAATAACTTATAAAAGTTATTTAATACTTTTATTAATATACCTTATAAAGATAATAATAATAAGCAAAATTATTTAATAAATATTATATTTACTTCCTGCATTAAGGATATACTTAATATAATTATTATTATAGCTATTATTAATATAGCTAGCATTAAAGGTAGCCTTATTACAACCCTTAATTAAAATTAAGATTCCCCTATAAACATTATAATTATAACCTTAATTAATAAAATAAGCTTTATAACTATAACCTTAATTAATAAGATAAACATTATAATTATAACTTTAATTAATAAAATAAATATTATAATTATATTCTTATTAAGTAATAAAATAAAGATTAAAATTATTATTAAAGCTATAAAAAAGGCTAAAATTACCTTAATTAATAAAGATAAAGATAAGCTTATTAATTTTATTAATTCTTATAATAAAATTATTATTAATAATGCTTATTTAATAAATATTAATAAAAATATTAATAATAATAACTTTTATTTACTTACTTATTTAATAAATATTAATAAAGATATTAATAATAATAACTCTTATTTACTTAATATTAATAGCAATTTAATTATTATTAATAATAAAAATAATTAAAACTAAGCTAATAAAACCTTAATAAAGATTATAAAGACTGCCTTTAACTTTACTTTTATGCTAAGCATTAAAAAGAGCAAGCTGCTTATTAAAATAAACTCTTAAGGAATTATTAAAATTAATAAGCTAAAGATTATAACTATAGCTTAAGCTAAGATACTTTTCTTAAATAACATTATTATAATAGCTATTATTTAAATTATTAATAACTTTTAATATTAAGATAAGTAAATATCTTTTAATAATATAATTAAAAAGCTATATATTTATATTAAAAGCATTAAAATTCTTAATATAAAATTATATAGCATCCTTAATAATAAGAATTACTAAGGTAATTATTATTTTAAATATTAAATTATTATAATTTCCATAATAAATAACCTAATAGGAATTTTAATTTTAAGTATTTTTTATATATATTAAATTAAAAAAATTTAGCTATTAAAGGATTAAATTATTATATTAACTTAACTTTAAAACTTTTTGCATTAAATTACTAATAAATATATATAAGGTTTATATATAAAGAAACTTATTAAGAAATATGCATTACTGCCTAAGTAACTTAAGTAAAAAATAACTATTAAGGAAATTAAAAAGAATAATAAAAAGTAAAAAAAAATAATAATAAATAATTAAGCTGCTTATAATGCTTAATTTTAAAAGGATAAAAAGTAGCTAAAGAAAATTAATTTAAAGTAATATTAAATGCATTTTAATAATAAAAATAAGGATAAAAATAATAATATTTATATTATAAAGGTATATAATAAAAATAAATATAAATTAAAGAGTTTAATATTAGCTTTATAAGCATTAACTTTCCTTATAAAGAAGAAATTTAAAACTAAGGCTATTATATAAAAATTAATAATCTTTGCAAAAAAAGCAACCTTAAAAGTTAAGTATTAAGAATAATAAATATAATGTTTAAAAGATAATGCAATAATAATAATTATAAGTTTAAAGGGTAATATAATAGCAAAGATTATTAAAACTTGCTTTAAAATTTATAAGTTATAATTTTAAGCCTTTTTAGCAATGCTTTCTTATAATAAAAATTATATATACTTAATATGCAATAAATTATAATTTTAGGGCTAATTATAATAAGGATTATATATACTTATTAAAAGAAAAGAAAAACTATAAGTATTGGCAAGTATAACCCTTGCACTTAAAGACTACTTTAGTTATCCCCTCCGGGGTACGTAGCCTCTTAAAACTTAAACAGAACAACACCAATACACGATTGCCTCCCATACGATTATCGTACGTACGAGAGACCTACCAACAATATCTGCCTACCAGTCTGGTCTTCAGCACCGGCGGTGACTTGGATTCAGTGATGGAAACATGGAGGCAAAACCAGGCAGACAGAAGTAGTACGTGGCAACTCAACATCAGAGAAAACGTTGGACTATCGGGCACGAGCGCCCCGGTTGTCATTTGACGGATCGCTATTCAGCCTGTCCCAAATGGTAGTACGGATATTAAGCCCCATCCTCGTCCGTCGTCCGCAATCCGCATCCGCTTCGAACCGTGACTGATCTTGAAAGATCAAGTGCTGGTAGAATTTGTAACGACGTTCGCCTTGACGCCATGTAAACTTGCACCGCACTCCGACCTGAAGCTCCCGTCCGAGTTTGTTGGATCCCGACCGATCGTCTTGCCCCAGTCGGGAATTTTCACCCACCCGCCGCCGTCGCTGCCGCATTTGTCGTTGATAAGATCGTCGGCTCGCCAGTATTCGTTTACCGAGCAGGGGTTCGGCGTGAATCCATGGTTGCAGTAGTAGACCTGTACGCCCCCACTCTTCCACGCCAGGTTCCCGCTGCCGTCAACCTCCGAGCCGTCCGCGTCGCACGTCCCATATATGCCGTCTGTCGTGGTCGTTGTGACCGCTGTGGCAAGGTCTGTACTCCAGTTGCTGCTCACGTCGTCGAGTTTACGTCCCGAGCAACTGACCTCCGGGTCGGGAAAGTAGTTGATAGTATCAAATAGGTGTGTGCTGTTGGAGAGACTGTTTATTTTGGGGGCATGCGTCGCGTTTAGCAGCGCGCCGCCCGAGACGAGGTTGCCGGTCGGCGCTGTGTTTGTGCCTGTGGACGGCGCTGTCGTCGGCAAAGCCAGTCCCAAGATGGGGACGAGAGAAAATGAAAGGATCAACGAGTGGTACATCTTGGGAGCCGGCCCGCGTTTGAGAAGCGAATGAATCAAATAGTGGGTTGAAAGAAAGACAGGCGGGATCTGCGGACGAGATCGCCAACAAACGAGGACGAACGGGGGGGGAAGAGCAGCGCAGGAAATAATGATGCGAAGAGGAAACACAGCCAGCAATAAATTAAACACTGCGCTAGATACGAGCATGGGGCCGTTGTCACAAACAGGAGGCAATTTCATTGGCGTCGGCTTGAAACGTTGAAACGCGGACAGAGATCCTAACATGGGTTTTCTGGGGACATCGGAACGTGCCGAGAGATTAAGGCCCTGCTCAGAGATCCGCATGAACCCACTTCCAAAAGCATCGCCGACGGCCGAACCAAACGTTTCTTCCTCAAGAGACCTCTTCTGGGTATAAAGCATCGGCTCTAGTACTCTATAGTCGTCGTAAGGGATTCTTCTCGTAAGAGCGCGATGACCCTCTTGAGCTGCGCCGCGGATTCCAGGTAGACTAGGTATTCCGGACGAGTCCCGAGCTTGGCACCGGACCTAGGCCCCCCCCCCCGGCGTGGATCGCGTGTGTCTCCAGGATGCCGGTACCCGGAAGTAATCCAGCCAACCACCAGCAAGCAAGGGAACTGCCGCGCAGCTCGTCCTGCGGTCGTCATCCCCGAATCTGCTAAGCTCAAGAGTGCTAGGCAATTCGGTAAATGAAACGAGGAGAGCTACCGAATGTTGTTTCCCCTGCCAACGCAACACTGCTGCGCCTCGCTACAAGCTTTTGCAAACTGACACGAGATTGCCGTGCGATGCCCTGATACGTACTCCAAAGACAGTGGAGGTGAGTCTCATGGTAGCAATAAGGGGCTATTGGTGACGGACAGACACAATGCACAGCCTCATCACGTAGTATGCTTTCTTGGTGGCTTCATGCTCATTTCACAAGTCCATGGCTTGGAGTGCATGATTTAATGTCTCCCTGTCGCCGTTCCGATTATCTTCTTCTTTGGTATGAACAGACACAGCACTCAATGGGCATCTCACTCGAGGACCCTTTGGTTCATTGTGGTCAAGGTGGAGCCTCTCATTTTGAATTCGGTAGTCGACCAATGTAACAAGTCGGCCACAATACGACCAGGTACATCCAAGTGGTAGTGTGAGAGTTACCCCTAGCTGCAGAGGAATCTCGCAATCAGCCATACCAGAGATCTAAGCAACGATTTTGCACGGGCCCACTCTGATGAAAAAGCCCATGAGATTTCGTAGTGCAAGGTGTAGAACGTTGTCCCACAGGAGGCTATTCCACAAGAAGATTGCCTATGGGGATGTCACAATGACAAACTTCCTAATAGCAAATATCCTAAAGGATTTTACCCCACAGCAAGGTCTCCCATAAGAGGTTGTCGCATAGGGAGGTATACTGCTGAGAATCATCTCATTGAAGGTTATCCCATTACAGGTTATCTTATGGCAGGTTATGCCATGTTAGGTTATCCCATGTTAGGCTATCCGATAGTAGGCTATCCTGTGGCAGGTTATCCCATAGGAGGACATCCCATAGGAGGTTATCCTGTAGAAGTTGAATACGTGGAAGGGATTACCAGTGAATGTCATTCATCAGAAGGATATCTCATAGAGAATCTTCCAAGGGAATCTGTGCAGTCAGAGATTGACCACACGAAGTGTCAAGGGTGATTACTCAAGGTTCCTCCAGCGTGCTGCCTGCCAGAATGCTGTGTATGATCTCCCATGATTGCAGCGTTTCCTCAGCCCAAATGCACGAACTCATGACTTGAGCTCATCAAATGAGTGGTTCAAGAACGTACTGAAGTCTGGCACGATAAGAAGATTGGAGCACAAAGCATGTAGCAGTGACATGTTGTCACTGTCAATTTCCGGAAAGCATTGCAGATGAGTGGTCGTACATTAACAGGCTCGAGGTAGCTTCAACGTGGCAAAGGATATTTATTATAGCGACCCAGGAATACCGAGAAATTCAGCATGTTCTCATAGCAAAAGACGCGCGAAGCCGTCTTAACCCTTTTCAGTCCTAGACGCCATGCTTGAACTCATTTTACCGGACCCACAATGAGGACAAGACTTTTCCCTCCCGTGTGCACCTAGCCTACTCATGAAGACCATCGGAAGGCCGTCAAAACGAACAAATACTCCTAGCTGACCATCGGAGCCTCTGAGAAACGACAACACAAGCAAAATGGCATACAGCTTTTCCCTTGCCAGTGTTCTGTAAAAGAAGCAAATGAAGGGAAAGGCCATGGGTATCGAGATATAACTGTTCTCTGGGAAAGAAGACCGGTAAGGAAAATCATGCAAATACCGGAACACTCTCGATCATATGATGGTTTGAGACCACGCCAAGGTAGTCCGTCCGTCCATCGTGTACGTCTAATCTCCGTTGAAGAGGCGCTGTAGGTCGCGAGTCGACAGTCTGCCCAGGTTCTTGCTTTCACCCTCATCGAGAGCGGCGTCGACAAATTTGCGCTTCTGCTCTTGGAGATCGGCGATACGGTCCTCGACAGTTCCTTCGACTAGGAGGCGATGAACCTTGACAGGCTTCTGCTGACCTATACGATAGGCGCGATCCACGGCTTGCATCTCAATGTATGGGTTCCAGAAGGGATCCATGATGATCACGTGGTTCGCAGCTGTGAGGTTGAGGCCTGCGTTTCCTGCCTTCAGAGACACCAGCATGACCTTCGTGCGGGAGTTGGGGTCCTGGAAATCCTGAGCAGCAGCGTCCCGATGGGCACGTGACATGCCTCCGTCGTATCTGCAGTATCTGAGGTCAAGCTCATACTTGATGGGTATCTCGAGCAGATCGAGCAAGAAGGTAAACTGAGAGAAGACAATGGTCTTGTCCCCGCTCTCTCGAATGTCCTGCAGAATCTTGCAGCACTCCGATACCTTGGCTGATGGCATCCAATTCTTCTTGAGGTAATGCATGTACCTCTTGTACTCGGATTTGTTCTTTCTGGCCTCGGTTCGCAAGCTCTTGAGCATGTGAGGTTTGATTTCCTCCTTCTTTTCTTTGCCCTTGCCCTTGGACTTGCCCTTGCTCTTGCTCTTGCTCTTGCCCTTGGACTTGCGCTTAGGCTTCTTGCCCCTTCCGGATGTCTTCGGCGCCTTGTTGGCACGTCGGTTGATGGACAGATCGTCGTCGTTATCGCTGTCTTCAGCAGGCTCTTCCTCGTCATCGTTATCGACAATGAAGTCCTTCAAATTGCCATTGCGGTCGACGTCAGAGTCATCCAGGTCGGAGTCGGATTCAGAATCGGAGTCAGAGTCGGAGGACTCGTCATCTTCTGTGGAACTTCCCTCTGAGGCAGTCTCGATATCAGCCTCATCCACAGCTGTTGGCTCAGGCATGTGAACTTCCTTGAACGATGTCAAGTTGATAACCCTCTTCGGATCGACAGCTCCGCGGCACTCCGGACATCTGAAGGTGCTACCTTCCTCGCCGGCCCGAATGTTGTTGTCGACAGCCCTCTCCGCAAGGGTGGTGAAGCACTCTGCACAGGTGTTGTGTCCACACGGTAGAACGATTGTCGGATCAATGACCGCGTCGAGGCATATGGGGCACTTGAAACCTTCCTCGTTCTGTGCTTTGAGGCGGGCTACTACGTCAGGGGCCAGGGTCTTGGCTAGCGCGTTCATGTCCTGTTCGGTGACCTCGTTGTTGCCGACGTATTCGACGTCGAGATTCAGATGTGGATGGCAGCAAGCCTGGCGAAGACGCAGGAGCAACACGAGGATGTTGCTGTAGTTCTTTCCGACAGTCCCCGCACGAAGGTATTTGTTGAACGTGATCCTCGTCTTTGACTCCAAATCGGTATAGAACTGTCGCTCGTCGTCTGAAAATTCGACGTGAGCGACTTCCTCCATTTTCGGGGGTAACGTGACTAGCGGCTTCCCATCAAGCGTAGAAGACTTCATCCGTCGGAGCATAATAGCCTTCAGCAGGACACGAAGGGCGTCCATGGCTTTCGTCTTGGTGCATTCTCCGGCAGAACGTCCTCGGCTCGTCCGGGGGGTCAGGCTCCCAAAGGTCTTGTTGAACTCCTTCTGCTCGTGGTAAGGCTTGATCTTTAGGAATTTGATGAGAGAAAACAATTCATGGATACCGTTCATCATCGGAGTACCCGTCAGACACCAACGGTAGGTGCCTCTGAGGGAGCACGACCCTCTTGCCTGGAGCGTCTTGTCGTTCTTGATGCACTGAGCCTCGTCAAGAATCACTCGATAGAATTTGCTGTTGGGGTGCAGGAGCGGGCAGCTCTTGGCCAGCTCTGCATCACGTTCGGGCCTGGCTCCCGGGTGTTGCGCTATCCACCTCTCAAAACGCTTCTGCTCGGCGCCTACCTTTCCATACGACGTCAGGACTACGTCGTAATTGCGAATGTCTTCGTATCTCATAGTCTTGTTATGCAGCAGCAGAACGCTTAAATGGTGGTTTGGCTTGAGCTTCTGTGGGGATGTGTCAGCACAAACCCAAAGACATGCTTTCGTGGAGAGTGGTACCTTCTTGATCTCGATTTCCCACTGCTTCAGCAGCGCAATAGGTCCCACGATGAGGTTCGTCTTGATTCTATCAGACGACGGACGGCTCACCATCAGAGCAAGCGCTGAAATTGTTTTCCCGAGGCCCATCTATCACGTCATTAGCAAGTCTGACTCTTCTCGTATCAAAGAGGTGACATTTGGTTCTGAATCCAAGCCCAAGAGTGATGTGGCGAGGGATGTGTTTGGGGGGGGGGGGGCGTGGAAAGGGCCTACATCATCAGCCAGGATGCCGCCCTGGTTCTTCCCTTTCTCGCTATCCATCATCCACTGAAGGGCAAGCTGTTGATGCGCATACAAAGCATATCTGAGCTGCTCGGGGGGTACCAATACGGTCCTCCTCAGGAATGTCCTCGTCGGGCCGGATGTTCGCAAGAAGGTCCTTGATTTCCTCGGCTGTCTTTCTGGGGTCATCGTGTAGATCTTCGTAGTAAGACCTGAGGTTGGCACTCAGGGGGTTGCCCAAAGCATCAAGACCGTTGACCCAGTCAATGTCGTTGGCCAGGTTGATCACATCGGGCAGATAACCTCCGGAAGGAACCTGTGGCGACGGAGCAGCTGCATAGGGATTGCCGTTAGCACCCCAGGTCTGCAAGGGAGCGTAGTTGCCTGAATTTAGGGTTCCTGGTCGATTACCCAGTGATGCCATTGGGGAAACATCACCGGCGTAACCTGCGAACCCGTTAGCAGAACTGAAACCAGGCAGACCAACACCATTGGCCGTGGTTCCATATCCGCCAGAAGGAAGGTAGCCTTGGTGACGGGAAAGGGCGGCCTGCCTTGCCAAATCTGCAGCTGAGATGTTTGATGCATAATTGATGCCGGGCAAGGGACTGGAGAAAGGAGACACACCCATGGTCGAAAATCCAGTATTCGGCGGACCCATAGTCGGCAGGGACGCGTTCGACGATCCGTAACTCGGTCCACCGTAGGCGCCGAAGGACTGGGAAGGTAGGCTGTGTGCCGGGGGATCAAAATAATCCTCTTCGTCGTCAAAGTCGAACGACCCCGGCATGCGGGATTGCGGTTGACTCGATCCAGCTGGATAACCATTGTTCAGACCGAATGGATCACGGTCCTGGGAAGACGGGAGCGGTGGTTGGCCCTGGGATGATTGCGAAGGACGACTCAAGATCCTGTCAAAGGCAGTGGGTCCAGTAGGTGCTGGTGACGCAGGCGAAGAATTCGAGAAAGAGTCATTCTGCAGGTTATTCTGGAGTGATCTAGCAAATCTCTCATCTGCCTTGGCCTGTTCGACTTGCGCAAAAGCTGCTTTTTGTTGCTCAAAGAGCTGCTCGATATCGGCGTCGTCACTATAGGAGCGTCAACTAGTATTCCAAGGGCCTAAGTATCCTCCTCTTATTGCCATATTCTAAACATACCCAGTCAGGTCAATAACCGAGGCATCGTCCGCCCAGAAGTCGTCTCCCACAGACGGAGTAGTAATCGCGGTGTGTTGGGGACTCGGGGTCGTTCTTCGAGACTTGACACGGGAGCCGGAGGAAGCGTCATCATCGAGATGGGCACCGAAGGTCCGCTTCTTCTGGCCAAAGGCAGAACCCGACGTAGAAGCGCTGGCGGGCGTGAGGTTTCCGGAGTTCGAGTAGGAACTTGGGCCTGCTGAGGAAACCGCTTAGTATAAACCTGGCACTGAATAGCAGCCGATGATACTCACCACCATAATCATCCTGCCGATACCACTGCTGCATGGCGCCGTTGGGGTTGGCTGCCCTCTTGGAGCCTGCCTCAAGGTCAGCAAATGTGGGAAGAGGAGCAGGCGGCGGGGGCAATGTGGGACCTTGAGTGTTGCCTCGAGCTCTGCTTATATCCTTCTGCAATCTGGCAACCTCCTTCTTGGCTTCTGCAATCTGTCTCTGGGTGTCGCTGTCCTGGGGGCCTTCTTGGAGGGAGGCGAGGATGGTTCTCGAGATTGTCAAGTCATCGAGGAGGCCGTCCAAGTCGGGCGGAGTAGCCCCAGCAGAGCTGGATGAGGCTCTGTCCATATTGGTAGGATGCGGCGTGAGACGAATGCGCAGCCGGCTGTCCTGGCTTGTGTGCGTGCGTGCCGTACGACTGCAGACTACCCCGATGGGAAGGCAGTGGGTGGTTGCCTGCGTCGCACAAGACCTGTTAGCATTCTTTTTTTGCCGCACTTGTCTCAAAGCGACCAGGCTGCAGCCGACTGAGCCCGAGATGCTGCATAGCGAGGGCTGACTTACTTGTTCTGCATCGACCAGAACGGGCTGAGCGGTCGCACTCCGGGGCTGGTTCTCCCAGTCGCAGTTGCAGTCGCAGAAACGCTTGTTCAGTGGCGCTGCATGTGGTCGCAGGACGGAGGTGGCGGATGAAACATTAGTGTTTGCTCAAAAGAGATCGCTCAGAAAGATAGTACAGGTGAAGAGAGACTGAACCTCGGATATACGAGGTTGGGCAAGATGCAAGACGCCAGTGAGAGTATCTGGGTAGGTTTGGCCGGGAAAGAGACGGTTGCTATGGTCCTTCCTAAAGACGCGCCCGTCCGCGGTCCACGCTTCGCGGTTGACAATCAAAGTGGCGAGGCGGCAGGCAGGCACCCCACTACGGCTCATTGTCTGGGCTGAGGTCAGTTGGTCCCTGGCATCCAAACCCATGCCTGTGAGCTCCGACCCCCCACTGCACCAGACCAGGCACACTCAAGACTGGTGAGAGCCATTCACATACTACACAGCCATGTTTGCCATGACTGTGCTTTGATGCAATCCTATATTGCAGCTGGCAGGAGATTTTTTTGGCCTACAAAGAGTACCCAGGTCCCATGCAAACCTTTGCAAGGCAAAATAAGGAGCCGGAGCAGTCATCAATGACCAGTTGACTTTGGACCTAATTTATAACGCCACCACGGTAGCACAATGGAGGCCGTCCAGACCTTGCGCTCCATTCATTTCGCATGAGAGCGGAGCCCCGTACCTAGACAGCAGAGCACTTTTTGAAGAGAACAGATATTCGCACAGAAAGAAACGGATAATGTACAGATACTTTACATCCCTAGCACACTCACACCCGACACACCCACACACCCATAATCAACACACCATAACCAACATACCCATCAATTGATAACCAACATACCCATCAATTGATAACCAACATACCCATCAATTGATAACCAACATACCCATAACCAACATACCCACACTCAATTCACATGCCCAAGCCTAATTAATATTAATCCTTATATGAATTAGGTGTAGGTGTGTAAATTGGGTGTGGGTGTTATGCTTTGATTAGCTAGGGGAATATTATTGAAGAGGTATTTGTGTACCATCCGTTTCCTTCTGAGTGAATATCCGTTCTCTTTTTGAATCGTGTACTATACTATCACTTCATTCCTCACCGTTAGCAGCAAGGCTGTATTGCAAACGACTAAGAACAATATCCCGTCAGCTTCTAGGTCCCTGATACTTGTTCTACCTAGCCAAATGTGGCTATACTCTTCTTCACTGTACCTTGAATATCGCCAAGTATTTGAGTACAGTTAGCCAATTTGTGTTGACGTCTGCGTGGTGTCTGGACTGAGAACGTTTACCCTCACATGGCACTGCGTAACAAACACCAGCTCAGATTTGTGAACCTCCGATAATCGTTTCCCAGAATCTTGACGATCATCACCTGCTTTCCAAAGCTCGGATCTGTTGCAGATGAGTCAGAAAATGTGCTCGGACGTGAAGTTCGTTCTACTGGGAGCGTACAAGTACTAGACTTACTTCAACAAGAAGCAGGCAACTAGAGATTGTGGGTGCACCCAGGTATCTCCTGGAGTTTCTGCATGCATGCATGCTTTGGTAGTCTCAGTACTGCTGCAGAGATCTTTATGGGCATGTATATGATGATCACCATCGTCAGTTGGAGCCTCTCGTAAGGAATATTACAGAAATGAGAAAATGAGAGTTATGCGAACCACGAGCGGACCAATAAAACTATAGGTTAATTATTGTAATCCCCATAGATTCCGTCCATACTGACTGAGAGAATGATTCAAGACATAATCATTCAATACTCAGTACTCCGAAGTTCAACAGGAAGACTCTGTAACCCTCCCACTAATACCTAGGCAACAGTCAACCAGACGATCTGAACAATGACATACAAGTTTTTAGTCTTCCACGCTGGCATGTGACTCGACTTTTGACTGAATCATATTACAACATGAATAATCCAACAAAATCTGATGGACTGCTGAGCCTCTCTCAGATATTTTTCGCTATGCCCGGCTCGACTTGGTTGAGAGTTTCCATCAGCTCATCGTAAAGCTTCCGCTGCATCTTTTGTCCTTCCTCGCTGCGCACATAAGCACTGGGCTCCCTGATCTCAAAGGTATCCAGCCATTTGCCATGCGTTTCTGGCCCAGCAGCCGCAGCGTCCACGATAACCCTCGATCCTGCCTCAGCTGACCGGCCGATGAGTCGGCTCGTGAACGCCAGGAAAATGGACGCAGGGAACTTGTTATCACGGAACAGTGCTGTCCGGCAGAAGCCCGGATTCAGGGTGTTGAGGATGACGCCCTTGTTGTTGCTCGTGGGCTTGGACATCTCCTGTGCCAGCTGCCGCACAAGGAAGACGTCCAGGAGCTTCGAGGTCTGATACCTGTCAGGTGCCACTGTAGTTGACTTGAAGGCCTCGAATACCTTCGGTGCCGTTCGTTCCTTGAAACTTGCCTGAGGCCGAAGTCAGCAGGTAAGCTATTGCAAAGAGGCGAGACGCGAGTTCTCACTGGGACAGAACATACCATGAAGTGTGCATCCGAAGACACAATCACTAGATTCGGCTGAACGTTGAATTTTGTCGCGGTCCGCCTCAGCGTCGGCAGAATCAGCAAAGCCATCAGGAACGTAGAGATAACATTGACCGTGATCGTGCTCTCATATCCCTCCGCCAGCACCCCCTGTGGTCCGACCATGGCAACCGCCGCGTTCTCGACGACCACGTCCAGGCGAGGCAGCTGGTCCGCGCGCCGGCAAAACTGCTTGACGCTCTCGAAGCTGCACAGATCCAGCGGCCACACCTCCACGATGCCGCTCCTCGCCCTCGACCGCTCGATGTCGGCCTTGGCACGCTCGCCCTTCTCAGTGTCGCGACATGCTAGTATGACTTTGGCGGCGCCGAGCCGGGCGAAATGGCGCGCTGCCTCGAGGCCCAGGCCGACATTAGCGCCTGTCACGATGACTGTCTTTCCGCCAAACTCCTTCTCAGGTTTCGGCAGGCGCCGGAACTGGTTGTAGAAGAAGGTGATGAGAAAATTGCTACGATTATGGTCAGTATGCGCCGACTGGCTCATGAACATGGGTGGGCAAGGGTTCACGGGATGATAGACTGACAGATCCAGGGCCATGATTAGAGTTGACAGCCAAAGGAACGGGTTCCTGCCCGACTCCGCAGCTACGTCCATGGCGTTTTCAAATGAACGCGTCAGTCGTAGGGAGAGATGTTGTCAAGTGGCTTCAATACTGCAACTGTATGATGTCTGAAGAAGTTGAAGACCAAACGTCACTGGTAGGGGCAGGGATGGTCCGAACTTTAAGATGAAACATGGTGTCGGACACATGTTCTCCCTCGCCGATTACACAGGTGGGTATCCAATAACATTGCCAACCTACAATACATGTTTGCTTACACAATGTGCAAGTAACTTTCGACATTCAGTTCGCCTCGGCAGTTTTGGGAGAATCGCGAGTGGAACATGCAACCGGTATGAGGGCTGGTTTGTTGTGTGACACAGGAGGGGTTGGCAGAGACGCGTGGTAAAGATCGGATTGCGATATAATTCGCCTATCAATACAAATCAGTCTATTAAAATGATATCTCGTATCCCGTCTATCCAGTTTTCTGGTACCGAGTTTCGCAGCTCAGTCCTGGTATCGATTCGGTCCATTCTCCCAGTGCCGGGACCGTCCATGGTAAACGCCAGTTGATGCAGAGAACGCAGTAAGTAAAGAGCAACGCATGAACAGGTCAAGTGCCTGTGTGATAGTGATTATCCAACAATTCCAGGCCACAATAGCTCACAACATTAGTCCGAAGAATCCGCACTCCCAAGCTTCTCGGGACCATCACCCTTTTGAGGAGTCTTTTGGCCCTCGAGTGTCGCCTGCTTCTTTGAATTGCGGCACAGACGCAGCCGAGCCCAGAGGCTCACCCCAAACAAGAGGACCCACCAAGCAAAAATGATTGGCAGGTTGCGGTACAATCTGTTCACGCAACCATTGGTCCATATCGTTACGAGGATCTCGTATAGGTTGTGGAATGGCCACGCATATCCTATCCGATAGAAGCCTGCGTTTAGCTCGAAGGGGAAGATCGTGCTGGTGACATTCAAGATAATCCAAGTGAGGACGACGTGTGACATGAAGGCCATGGGCACAAGTGCGGTAGTAACGTCGAGGAAGAGGAAGTTCATATGGCTCGTCAGCCATATTGCCATCCAGGTCTCGACAAACTGGCTCCCGGTGACGTGGAAGTCCCCCCGGAAAGCCCAGATGTAGCCAGTGCTTGTCAACGACGCGATGAAGGTGTATACGACTGAAATTCCCAAGCGCAAGGGAATGAGAGTCTTGGTAGGAATCTTGGCGTAGTAGTCGAAGCTGGTTGTGATGCCATTCAATGCAAGTACGAAAAAGAACTGCATGATAACGAGAAACGGAATGGTTGCCGTATTCCACAAGACTTTGGCGCTGCTCAACGTATTAATAACCTCCTACGGGTCCCAAATAACACGACAGACTGGGGAGCGTAAAGGAGAAGCTTGTGCTTACCCGGTACTAACCGGGGTTAGATTTTTGGTTGTAGAAGAGATAGGTCGGAATAGAGCGGCTCGGGCAGCAGGGTCGGATTGATTCATAGTAGATAGTGCTTGCGTGCCATTGATGCCGTAGTAGACAGAGCTCGTGGCCCCGAGGAGTGTCTGCATGGCGGAGTAGACGTAGCCTTGACTGACGACAGGATAATGTACTTCATTCCTGTTTCACTTGTTGGTCAGTCAGTGCTATTCATTCCAAAGGGAAAAAGGCCCCGTATTCGACCGCGGCGTCTAACAAAGACTTGAGGACGGGACTGAATAAGAGGTGGAGCCGTACCATACTAAGCCCAAGGCTGAGGAAGCATTGTAATTTCCAGCTGCCGATCCACCCTCCAACGCCTGTGCTAGCCTGGAGGAAGCATTGGGCGCCACATAAAGAGCCGCCCAGTAGTCTCCACTGCACACAGCGTCGTCGATCGCTGCTGTGTCATCGAAGTCGCTTGCAGGTTGTTCGTGAATGGTAACGAATGTGTTGGACTTGAGGCTCGAGTACGCGGCTCGCACGCTTTGGCTGATAACGCCACCATCATAGTCGACCAGAAGAACGTTGAGTGCATGGGTTTTTGATGGACTCTTGAAGAGGGATCCGAAGATGTAAGACATGTTGGCCAAAAAGAGAATATTGAGAAGAAGTCCGCTTGCGATAGCGGCCTTGAGGAATGGTTTCCTCGTCATGGCAAAATACTTTCTAGGCGACGGCGGCCCACCTTTGCCAGCTTCAGCTTCCATGTTTGGTTTTTCGAGGAAGGGTCTTTGGTGTATTGGGGTTCTCGAGACTTCAGTTGCTGCCGACGTCCAAGGTCGTACAAGTCAGAGATCTGCTGCAGCAGGAAAAGAAGAAGACACCTGAAACAATCTAGTTATGAGTATGTGCTCTTCTGGGCCTCTGAAAAGTAAAAGTGCGCCTGGGCATTGTTTTCAATTGTAGGTTCGCATCTTTGAAATGGGCCTCTCGGTCCCGTGCAGAAGCCGCACCAAGTCGGTGGTCGGAGGATAACTAAAGACGACAGTGAGACGAGCGGGAAAAAAATGGGTCTCGGGACTAAGCATAGGGTGGAAACTGCCCTTCCTCGCGCTTTCAAGCGGGTGGCCATCGGCGCGAGCCCACCGAAGACACGTTTTGGCCCCGACTGCTTGGAATCCTCCTACTGGTAGCCTGATTCATCAAGTGAGGTACTGCATAGGCCCCGTCTTGGCAAGACGACGTCACGGGCTGATGTCATCAATCCGCAGATTGCTCAAGGAACCATCGCTCACACCATAAATAAAAGCATGCGTAACACACCAGGTGCTCGTACAGCGGGCCAGCGGTCATTTGCATTTTGCCGTCCAGCATGAGGTTCGGGTGTCGCACGAATCTGACTGCAGATGAATGATCCTTGTTTAGATGATCGTCCGAAATATCTTCTCCCGTGATCGCACGAACGAACCTATGGCTAGATAGGCCTCCCCTGCACTGCCCAAACTTGAAGTCGGAAGAAGCAATAATACGATGCTGGTAGCCATCAGTTCATCACCTCGCCTTTGGAGAGCTCACGAGTGAAGTGGTCGACTCGGACACCACCACACGATTCTCACGCAGTCAGATGTCGACTGTGTCCGAACCCAACTTGCCCAAATAGGGAAGCAGAACCACTCACGAATTCAAAGTCTAAACGACGATATGACGACGTTTTGCCCATGGATCGAGGTTTTTTGCTAAGCCCCGCCACCATCACACCTCCAACAGGCGTCGTGGCGTTGAAATCGGTATGGCGGAGGCGGATACATCCCGGGCTCCGGACGCTCCTAACAACCCGAGCGGACCCCACGCCATCGACAGATTGTTCATGCGAAGGCGTCACTTCTCAACCCATACATCGTAATTAGATCTGATATTTTGCGAGGCTGCTTGCTGATTTAATGCAATTTCGTCATGCATTTGAAGCGCAATTGGGCTGGATGTTCGAAGCAATACCAAGGTACGAAACGGCTCAAGTGTACGCATCGAGCTTCACTATAGCCCCCGAACACACAAGACTTCGACTTATTAGGTTTCAAACCAAAGAAACTTGAAATGAATCCTACATGAGGGCCATTATGTGCTGGATTTCCTCATGTGTTTGTGACTCAGGGAGTTCTCAAAAGAGGATTATGGCCGGCTCATCCCTTTCTCTGCGCTACGTCAAGGTGTAGTCCGCCGCCCCTTTGTCCCCTGGGCCCCGACCCCACGCGCGGCCCAAGAAATAAAAAACAAAAAAGAATTCTCTGGTCAGAGCTGCATGTGTGATCCTAGCTTGCGGCACAGACTTTGAGCAAGGGTATCTCGTCTGGGTGCACGACCGAGAAATGCCTTCATGACCTTCAGCTCATCTCGCTTGCCGCCGGCCTCGTGGTCCACTGTCCTATACTAACATAAAGCTTGTCGAGAGCTCGGACTAGCAGCCTTGCCTTCTATAGAGGTCTGTCGTGGCCGGTTGCGTACTATGAGAAACTTCAGCCCTGATTTTGCACCTTGCATGATTGAATGAGCGGTACAAACCTCGATACGCGAAATGACAGTGGGCTGACCCCCATGTACTTGGCTCCGGTCGTTTCGAACCATTCAATGCTCTTGAGTGCTCCCAAGAAGCCGCTTCCCAATTCGCTCTGGTAAACTGCCATGAATGGGCAGGGCTTGTGGACCGGGCAGTGGAATGTTGAGGTCGTGATTTGCAGGCACAGGCTTCAAAGTGGTCCAAACAGGCTGGGTCATTGTAACAGGGGCTCATCCACCTCAGTACCTTCATGCTTTCCCAATACTTCTGATCTCTCATGCTCCGGCCGAGAAGGTCTTCGGGGAAAAATAAGGCCGTCTGTTCCCGAACCATGCCCCAAAAGCCAAGGTCCCCCTCCCGCCCCTGAAGGATATGTGGCCTGAGAAGGAAGTCAGACAGAAGTCTCACACCTTAGCCAATGATCTAGCTTCAAATTCTCGAGCACAAGACCGGCAGGGTTTCTGTCTTCAATGTGGACCAAGTCAGCGAAGACAACTTTTGTTCGCTGGCGAGCTTCTTCCGATACCATGAGCGATAGGAATCGCCCCTCCAGAAACGCTAGGTATGAGTCGATGAGCTGAGCTATACCACCAGTCTCGACGGGCTCTCCGAAATCGGGGAAGTACGTAGAGATGGGAGACAGCTCAATGGTTTCCAGAAGCGAGTCGGCCTTTGTAAACACAAGCACGAAGTCGATTTTGGTGAACCAGCGACTGTTTGCAATGCTTTCCCAGAGATCGAGCTGCTCCTGCATACGATTCACCGTTTCGTCCTCAAACAACATCCGACAGTAGGCGGAAGCATCGACCGTAAAAACAATGCTGTCCACGTTCTCAAAAGTTTGGATCCATTTCTTCCGCTCGCCCCTCACTCCGCCCACGTTGTAGACTCGTAAAATCTTGTCGTACAGGTGTATCAACGTCTCTGTGACTCCAGTCGTTTTGACCCTGCTTCTGAGAATGTCTTCTTGGCTGGGCACATACCCGGGCGCGATCAGCCGCTGGACATGGCTTGCAAAGTACGACACATTATCGCACAGCTGGTATTCGTGTCGTCTTCTGAATGCTTCTCGAACTCCGGAATCGGCCCATAGCTCCGTAATTGATGTCGCTACCTCTGCCGGGTATTCTGCCTTGGGCTGGGACGCCTGCATGAGAATCATCCCTGCGTGATGCTCATTCTTCTTGTACTGGAACGGGATCTCCATCGATTCCATTGCCTCGAGGACGACTCGGATTCCCTGGACAATGTTTGTGCGATTGATCTCCGCGAAACAGATGCGTTCTTCGCGGGTGTAGCCCCCTCCAGTGTACAACCTCATATCTTTCAACAGTGTCGTTTTGCCACTTTCAGACGAGCCCAATATCAACATCTTTACTTCCTGCTTCCTGACTGGGGTACAAGTAGAGGAAGGAAATATTGTGTTCCGTTTGGCTGCTAGCGGACCCCATGCTTCGCTGCCATTAGCCGGTTGATTTGCCATTCGGGCGCGCCAATACTTCCTCAGCGAGCGCAGTAGGGTGCTTTTGGGTGTTAATATTTCATTGGCCGACGTTGATCTAGGTGTGCGAAACATTAAAGCAGCATCTCTCTTTCGAGGCGACTTAAAGCCGGAGCTCATAATATCCACAGCCTTGTCCGCTGGAAGTGGAGCTGTGATGCTCTTATGCGCCGTGCCAGGAGGCTGACAGTGAGGACTACCTATCTGGTCGCTGCCTATTATGGGAGACTGGCTAAATTGGACGGTATATCGGTCGATTTCCGAGGTCGGGCTTCCATTGTGGTAGTTTGAATCATGGCCATAGTCGAGTAAGGGGAGATCACTTCCAGAAAGTTCAAAGGCAGATGAAGACTCTTCAAGCGGAACCTGCAGAAATTCCATGGGATGCTGTTGGGCACTGTACAGTGATGGGTCATCTGGTTCAGGAACCTTTGCTATTGTGGTTAGTTGCCTCAGATTCGATCTATGGGCCGATCTGTGGGCTTGCGATCCCAGTAGTGAGGCATCGAAGTCGAATTCAAGGCCTAAGGTGTTGGTATTAGTGCAGTCTGAAAGAGTGCTCCTGCTATCGGACACCCCAATGATTGAGGCACTGTAATCTCTTGCTTTTTTCAAGATTGCTCGACTATCTTCGTCATTGACGAGATTCTGTTGGTCTGCCAGAGTTTTGCTACAAAAGTCGTTAACTTTGAAGACAGGTCTCGAGAGCCCTGATACATACCATTGAATGGCTTGGAGGAAAAGACTGAGTGCATTGACTTGACAGTCGAGAAGGCTGGAATATGCCATGAGTTCTTGTTCACTCCAAAGAAAGGAAACCTTTTTCATTCTAGCTATAGTGGTACCCTCGTGTGACTCGAGTTCGTCGAGATGCTGCTGCAGAGCTGATATGAGCGGGTGAAAGGAATCCAACGCTGTACCAATCTGGGCTGCTAGCTGTTGATATCGTGGGTCGCAAAACAGATCCTTAGAGCCCCAAGACGAAATCTGGTCCAGCGCAGCTTGTACAATATACAATTGGCCGATGACCGTCGATAGTTGGAGCGGGACATTGCGGTATCGAGACTTCAGTTCGCTCAGCATTCCAATAGCTTTGGTAACCCCGTTTGCCACAGAGAGAGCTGCGCCAACGATGCTGAGGATGGAGACGGGATCCATATTTGACCACTGGGTATAGTTGGGAACGCAGGTCAGACCTTGAATCTCAGAGGCTCGTTAATGACCTGCTTTAATCTGACGGTGTGGTTGAATGTGTTGCATAGCCTCATGTGTGGAAGTGAAGCCTTGAGGGAATATAGGTCTGCTAGAGAAGACCAGTAGGGAGCTCAGCTGCGCCGCTTCCTGAAGCGCCAACCCATGTCACTGGTGTGACACAGCGTCACCGGTCGGGGTGCTTCTCTAGGGGCTGTTCAGCAATTGGTTAAAGGCTACAGAAGATCCTGCGAATGAGGATTCGTCTCTGATTGAGGGCAACCCACCTATTTTGGGTAGCTCGTGACCTCGCCGTATCACCTGCGAGATGACTCCTCCCGTTGCTTGCGCGGCCCTTTATCCGCGCTTAGCTGCGAAGATCCTTCATTTTTGGGCCTGCGAAAGTGGTCAACCTATCAATAAAGCCTCACACCGGACATCGCTCAGAACATTGACGGGGTCTATAACTCTCGAGGGGTGTAGAACGCCAAAGTCAAGATGGGCTTTTGCCCTCAGACAGCATGCTATCATGCCACAGATTTGGTGACGAGAAATGTCCCCTCAGAAAACAGAAATACTTCACATATGCTGTCATACACTACAGGCGCTGACAACAGCGACCACCCTCTAGGCCTCCAGCCCTTTCAGTCGCTTGCGATTAACAATCCCACCCAGTCGATACATCTGGCTTCATCCATTTTTCAAAGTCTTCCATATGTTCACAATAATTCAGTCATTGGTCCTGGTATTCTTCTGGCAAATGGCTTCTACTATCACATTTACCCCATTTGCAGTAAACCAAGAAAATCGCCCGGCGCGGATGTCTATATCGTTAATGTCCAGAATTGCCAGGTTCTCCTTTTCGACAGCCAGTTACGCGAACAAGGCCGTCTGCCGAGATATCCAAGATCTACGCTCTTGGTCCACGTATACACTGTGGAGATATTTAGAAATATTAGTAACCCATTAGAAGTTTCACTGCGGTAGGCGGAGCACCATGTGACCAGAGGTACTCCCAGTTTAAAAGAGCACACTGGCTACTCCCTCAGATTCTGAGGTCGACGTCACGCGGATAGAACAATTCCATTGGCTAATTATGCAAAGAATCATCCATAGCTGTCTCCTCCCTGTCTTCTGACCCACATAGACTCTCTAGATCGAGATCTGAAGTACTTCCATTGGTGCGAGGCAGGGTTTCATACTGCGTTCCATCCACCATACGAGAGGTTGTCACCTCCTTGACCAAAGATACCAAAGTCAGGCTACTAATGACGCTAACCACACCAACAATACTCCACACATTCAGACTGATGTGCCAGAAAATTCTATCAAGGGCCACGGCCCACAGAACCTGTGAATAGATCATAATGGTGGCAGCAGAGGATGTGTCCCTCGAAATGCCGGCGGTGAGTAGGAATTCCTGTCGCTGAATTTAGTGTCCATCTGGCTGAGCAGATCTGTTATACTTGTTAACCCACCATAAATGTGCCAAGAATTCCAACTAAGACCAGTAATGCCAGATCCCTCGAGCTCGTCGGCCAAGTTAAACGCTGGGAAAATCCGAGGGCTGTAGTGACAATTACGACAGCCCAAGCAAAGTAGTTTACGCTTATCAGAGGATGTGCTCGACGTCCAATTCGACGAATGGTTGCCAGGGCAATCTAGAATAATGCAATACTCATCAGTCTCAGTAACAATGAGCAGCCAGATAAGTTCATGTTGATGTATGAACTCACTACACCACCAGCGACGCCAACTAGTCCACAAACCACCCCTTTCAATTGTTTCGGCGTCTCATGAGACCTTCGAGATATAATCCCTGCTGGAGCCCCTGTAGGCCGGAAGATGGTGTCCGGCTGCACAACCAGAACAACACCTACAAGGGCCACCACTGCGCCGGCTCTGTCGGCAAGGCTGAAAGTGCCATGGTCGAAATACCTCGACATCAACATCGCGCCCATCGGAGCGAGAAAGTTTAATGCTGTTGCCTGAGCAATAGTTAGATAAATGATCGAAACTAAGACGCGGTTAGCGAGCTGATGAGGAAACCTCAAGAGACTCGACACAAGTTCATACAATAAAATCCAATGGCTCCACATACTCCGCCGACAGCCCTTATGACCAGAAGTGGGCGAACATCCTTGGGCCCGAGAAAAAAGTCAGGAAAGCCGCTGCACCACAGGTATAACGTGCAGCTGATGCCGGTGATGAAGAGCCGGACCTGGAGGATCTGGAAGGGGTGGACAGGGCGCTCCCCTGTCTCGAGGACCTTGACGATGCCATGGATGAAAGCAGCTGAGACCTGGGACGCCAGGACTAGAAAAGACGGCTTGTGTCTAGCCACGAAGCTCGCATCGGGGGCGTTGTTTCCCATGGCACAATCGACCATGACAGGATTTCGGCAAAGGGAGAATGGGGAACCAGAGAGATGGAGGGGCAATTTAAGAGGTGTTCGTCATGTGGCAGGATTTCGCCGAAGAATACTCGACTCAGCTACACCGGGCCCCTCTGTATTAACTTTCGGCATTGTCACGCAACATGCGTGGCAACTTTGAAAGCAAACCGTCAACGTCGACTTTCAAATGAAGGTTTGAATGGGACTGCACTAAGCCTGATCAAGATTTCAATCTTTCCGGATCATGACTGCCGCCCGTCGCGCAATGAACAAAAGATTGCCATTTTATTTTAATACTAACAGATATTCTGGGCTTCTGCGAATACAAATTTGCCCTAGGAAGTGTGTTTGTTGCAAGGAGAAACGGTACAACACCGCCTGATGACCTATGTGCTGACACGGGCGGACTCCTCCAATCAGCGACGAGGTCCACGGAGGCATGATTCAGCGCGTCTTGTTAAAATTAAGGGGTCAGTTTGAGGAAGACTGCTCTGGGTGACTCGAGTTCGTGTTGAAGTTACCATGTGCGAAGAGGGGAGACCACGGGTTCTGGCCCAACTGCCATCGGAATCAAGAGAGACTGATATAACATTCCACTGTCCGCATGGCTACATTCTGGTCTACCTTGGGAAATACTTTCCCTTGATCTACTAGCGTTCGTATCCTTGGCACAATAGAATGAGGATCGAGCATTCTGTATAGGGCTCACTGGTATACTGTTATTGTTCCCTCCGAAAGCTGGGCTCATTACAAGTCACAAGTCTTTCATGGTGATCTAGACAGCGGTTACAAGTGCTGCATTGCAAGTAAGGCGCCACTTCGTATCAAAGGACGGTAATTCTAAAACGCACTCTGGAATCCAGTGCGGTCTTGCAAAGCACTGCCATTACACACATGCAACTGGAAGGCCGTCTTGGTCGGCTTGAAAACGTCTCAACTCAAAGCTCATAGCACGCCGCTTGCCAGCGTCCCTGAATAGTGATGGAAGCTAGTTTACAACAGGTCAGACCAGTATGGGAGTCAGTAATCCGGAACACATAAAATCACCTTCATGGATACACGGAGGGCCTGCTGATCTTGAATGTGAATGTATGCCAGAGCTGTTCACACCGCCTCCTCGATGACGCAGTGCTCCTGCTTCGCACAAGTACTGGCTAACGTGGAACAAGGAAGGAACGAGGCTTTTCATCATTTTGAGAGCTTGAGCAATGAACCAAAACTGAGCTGTTGTTTCTCCGCAAGCATGAGACAACTCAGGTCGGTGGTCCCTGCCCTCTGAAGAATCAACCGGATAGCTGGCAGGAGAGCTACCCGCGTGAGCTTTGAAATAGCAGCTACTCGAGTGCGGATGGTACCTGCCCACGCAGGTGGGTGTTTACAACTGTTGGGGCTCATCATACCAACATGTGTTGAAAGAACCCTCCACTATCATGTCCGTTTTCAACACCAACCCAGGACTTTATTCACTTTCAGTTGCATGAGAATTTGTACGACAAAATTAACCTTCCTTTTGGTACTCAAGAGAGACATTTTACTCTAATAACCGTCCAGCAACTTAGCAGATACGCCTTTCTCTGCTGTTCACAACACCAATCCTTCAAGATGTTCAACGACCCCCGCTATGAACAACTATGCCTAAAGAAAGCCAAGGAGCTAATCGAAGCAAGGCTGAAAGGAGTGCAAGACTGGGAACCTCACTTTCGGGCCGCGTATAACGGCCTAACGAAAAGCAAGATATCGAAATACCGACGCGGAGTCCCAGAGATGGAGAGCCTTTCTGACGACCAAATTCAATCTGTGTATCGAGATATCGTGTTCTCGAAGTTCTGTGAGTCACTGGAACCAGATCCCATCTCGCCTGTGTCAAGCCCTCCTCCCCAGCAGCCTCACGGGCAGGCCGATGCTGCAGACGACCGATCACCTGAAAATGAATGCGAGCAATCTCCAAGGGCCTCGGAAAGCCACTCGCAGCAGTCGGAAGATGCAAGCAACCACGAACGGCCTTCAACGACTTCTGCCTCGTCACGCAGCCCCTCCAAGCCTCCTTCAGCTTCTAGTGTATCCCAGAGCACAGATGGGATTCAGTCACCAGAAAATGTTGAGACAGAGGCGTCTCGACCAGCGGCAATTCTTGATGCGTTCCATCAATTCTTCACACGGACATCTTCTGAGCAACCAGCAAAGCTGGTCTTAGAAATTCCCTCGTCGATATATGTTCCAAATCAAGGGCCCCAGTCATCACCTCCTGCCCAGTCGGCCCGTACCCACGATGCAGTGGGACAGGACCAGAACGGGAAGCAGAAAGACAATCCTGCACAGACGGCAATTGAAGCCCCCGAAGCCCCACTGCCCTCACAGCCTGCTCAGATAGGCGCACAGCAACAGCAGCTGCCCGATGCTCAGCTGGTCCCAGCCGACGGTGTCTCGGCGGATCTGACCACGTCTGAATCGGTATCCGAACGGGTCAGCGTTACGGTGATGTCTGGAAAGCTCTCCAAACGCTTTCAAAGAAGGCTTCATCTTTTTCAGATTGGAGATCCGACGGTGAATCAGGCAAATGCTTTGCTCAGCCTGGCACTAGAGCTCATGGAACAAGTTACACAAGACCCACTGCTCAGCCATTCTATGGACCCGAGTCGTCTTGAGAAGTTCAACTCATCTCGCGAAGAATTGAATAAAGTCATATGTCAGGTGGAAGTACCGCTGTTGATTAAGATGATGAAAGTACAGTGGACCGGTACGCGAGTGGAGCAGGCCTGAGATCAAGCTTGGTAATTGGGCAGCCAATCTGAGGCATGCTTGGACTTTTGGACGAACAGTTCTGGATTCACGTATGAGCGTCCAGGTTCCGAGATTGAAGTATTGTTACATCAAGCATGGCAGTGGTAGACTACTGGTAGCGGTGTAGAGCTGAATAAAAGCCCAGCGTGATTTCGTTCCTCCCGTTTTCCTAGGCCTCAATCTGACTGGTTCCAATGTGAACTCTTGACCCGCAGGAAGCTTATCTCAACCTAACAAGTGGCCCATTGTTTGGCCAAGCTGTGGTAGCCTCTTGGCTACTTGCATGTGAGAGAGGTATGACAGGCCGTAACTTCGGCTTGTTCCTTTCGAGAATCACCTCAAGGGACCACAAGCATATCAAGAGCATTTATTCGTACATACAGTCGCTTTCGAGGTATCTCTTTTTCATGTCCGTGTAAACTGAGCACAACCTCACGGAATGAAATCATCTGGCGCAGGAAAGGCGCAGGGGTCGAGGCCGTATCGCACCTCTACGATGCCGGTGTACTTTGCCTCCAGCTGCTGAACAGCAGTCTCTGCCTGGTCGTACCAGCTTCCGAAGCGCCAGACGATGCTCCCACGGGGCACACCGTCAGCTCCGGTTGGGAGCTCTTGGAAGGTCACCTCCTCGGTATCGAACCTCTTGAGCTTCTTCTTGAACATCCGATCGAGGTTGTAGATGTTGACGAACCTGGTGGGGCCCTCGATGATAAGAACCCGGGTGATAGGCTCAAGGGCCAGGAAAGACGACGAGAAGACCCAGTTCCAGTCCGCCCAGATGAGGCGGCCCTCCATGAAGAACTGGTTCTTCTGAGCCAGCTCTCGCAGTCTTTGGGCCTCCTCCCGGGTGGCAAAGACCACCTTTGCCGCCCACTGCTGGCCGGGGCGCTCCGGCGGGAGGATCTTGCTGAAGAGGACCCGTCCAGTTGGGCCAACACTCATGATGGCTCGGATCAGCTGGCGGATGCTGCAGCCCGGGGGGAGGTTCTTGACCCAGAGCGCAGCATTGTTGTCGGAGGGGTTGCGGAGCTGGTAGGTGCTGTCCACGTTGATGTCTTGCATGCGGACGAGCTCGTCCGGCTGGGAGACGGATGGGATTGGGAAGGAGTTCATGATGGTAATCTAGCTCGAGTGAAATTGAGGTGTCTCTTGATGACTTTGGACTGTGCTGCTTTGACTTGATTCGGCAAGCAAGGTGGTGATTGAAGGCGTGTTGGTAGAAACAGGCTCACTGGCCGGGTGCAGCAGACACGATGGAGGCAGCTTACATGCTTCAGTGAGCTTTTCTAAGCCATACCGGTGCCTAAAGTTCGCATCCCCAACCGATTCCTGAAGCCAAAGTTCAAAGTCACATCGAGATGCAGTATACACATAACTTAGAGTCTTGGGTGCAAGGTCATATCCATTCTACGACCTCCTGCTGCATGGCAATTAGGAGCTATCCAAGATTCATGAGATATTTGAGGCAGAGCTGGATATCAGCTGCTGAGGATTTTGTGCATCAAGCCAAACATAGATTGGACGCTTTAACATCCCTTACAATGCCAAACTACATGTTATGCTTTGGGTGCACAACATCTCAGAATGAGCAGAGAATGTGCTTCACATTGCCACCTTGTCTCACTATAGTACACCTAGCATTGGAACAGGGTTGATATAGTTCTTTTACACCTAGTGTTTAACGTCTTGATTGTGTCTGCGGAGCTGATTTTGGCCGGGTCACAAATTGAAAAGATTGTCTGGTACATTCTCAGTTTTTGCATGTGTGTCGTGGCTGAATAGGTACTTGTATCTCGATAGAATGTTTACAAGAGCCCCACAGAACATCAGATGGATCTAGTGTCTCTGGCAAGGCTGCTCCCCATTGCTAGCCAGCTTCCTGTGGGAGCCTCGTATGTCAGCCGCCTATGTCAGCTTCACCGTCACAACAGAACGAGCCGGAAGCGAGACTGTCACAGCGCCGCCAGAAAGCGTGGCAGCCGTCGAAGCGACAGAGTGCGAATTATCAGTGAGCCAGGCTGACGCAGCTGAAGGGGTGAAGCCATTGAAGGAGACCTTGGCGGACTGGGCTGATCCGCCCGAGTTCGTAAAGACCACGACGACAGAACCGTCTGTGTTCTTGAAGGCTCCGATAGCGACGCTCGAGATGGTCCCCGAAGTGCCAACGCGGACAGCCCCCGGTCGGATAAACCGTGACCACATGGCTAGTGCCCAGAGGCGACCGGAGGGTATAGCATTCGCGCCGTCGAGAACGGCGCTGGATGGAGGAGCATGTTAACGATCGCGATGGAGACCAACAGGCTGTGAATAAAACAAAACGGTGGAAAACATACACTAGGTAGCTGGACGCCTGGCCTTGATTGACTTCGAGCCCTTGCCAGTAGATATAACCAGAGAGGTTCGCACCAAGGATTCCGGTGGCGACCTTGTTCGCCCACGTAAGTCCCTCGCAGAGGCCCCCACTCGAGTACCAAGTCGTGCACCAACGGCTATTGAGGTCCGCCCCCTCCGTCATCCAGGCGGGCAGCTTCGTGCCTGTGATTGCCGAGTTCGGGTCGCCGGTGTACATGTGAGAGGTCAGGAGCCCCAGGTACTTCTCCATACCGGCCGAGATGAGGCGGCCTGTCACCGTCTTGGCGTTGGCCCAGCCGATCGTGTCGCAGCATGCGATCTTGACCTGGGTGTCGAGCCCCGCCGACTGCAGCGTCGAGGCGAGGGTGGGCAGGAAGGACGTCACCTCAACGGGATTGTTGACATTGATCAGCATCGACGAGTAGCTGACTCTGCTCTCTGTGTAAGCCTATTTTCTGCAGATGGCTCTCTGCTGGCTCGCCCAAAATCCCTCCCCCTATGGCGTCTCCTGTTATTTGTTGAGGGAAAGAGGATACTCACGTATAGTCTGGCTCGTTCAAGAAGCCAAGATGGGTGACTGGAATTCCTGCATCCTTGTAGTACTGGACATACTTGACCAGGAAGTTGGCGTAGGCCTGTCTCCAGTCACCAGAGCTGCACGAATGTCCCGTCGTCCCACACAGATAGCCCCCGTTGCTCTGATCGCCGTTGGTCTTCATAAACCCAGGCGCGCTCCAGGCGTCGGCATAAATGGTCTTAACGCCGTAATTCATGGCCTCCCGGCTCAGCCAAACCTGTCCGGAATCGTCGTTGTTCCATGAGTACGCGGGAGTTCCACTCGGCGACCCGGGGCTGGTGGGCAGGATGCTATCACCCGACCCTCCAGAGCCGATGCGGTTGCGGATGATGGAGAAGCCGGCGCCCGTGGTGGTGTTGAATAGGAAATTCAGCCCTTGCCTCCTGACCGCTGTATCTCCTAGGTTCTCGAACTCTTTGGCACGGCCAAACGCCTGCGAGAATCCAAATCCATCGATTGTTTGATATGTTGTTCCGAGGTTGACCGTGATGGCGGTCTGGGCTGTCACGAGTCCCAGATGGGCCAGAATTATCATTGACTTAATTGCTCCCATGTTTGCCGGTGGTCTTTCTGCAGGTGGCCTAAGGCAAGGCTTTTACTTCTCCTCCCGTTACAGACGTCAGGATGTGTTTGTGGCCGCACAGCAATACGGAGACTCAAGCAGCGGCTCAACAGGTACCTATATGCCTTTAATGACACCCGCACCGTAGAGAATAGTCAGTGGGGGGCATCACCTTAGCCATAGAATGGTTGATTCAATATAGGCTGACGGGCGCGGGCTTCTCCGTGTTTCCCTTTCAGGTAGTAGCACATCCCGGCTGGGGGTATTCGATTGGGCGAAACCAACATGAGCCGGTGGGGAAATATCCAGGTCATCAAAGTCACTATCACCGTTCCATTCCGGTTTACTACGGTGGCCGCGGCGTACTTGGTCAGGTGTCCGCCAAGTACGATCATTCTGTCATTTAAGGTGGACTCGAGCGCTACTTGGGATGCTAATCGGGTAGGAAAGACTAGAATGATAATTCTTGGCGTTCATCTCCATCACTCTCTAGGATCCAGAATTGACACCGATGGCAAAGACTCAGGACATGAAGTGTGCTTGGCGCAGAGGGGAACGGCAACAGACATTGAGCTGAGGCTTTGGAATACCCAGTGTTCTTCTCAATCGGAAGGGCCTGCAGTGTGGCATGGATTTCCAAAGTTGGATCGTTTCTTGCGAAAATAAAAGCTGACAACAGAAACCAGTCCGTCACCATCAGCTTGGCGGAGGCGCAGTGGTGGGATGGCTTCAGGTACTCGGGCTTCCAAGCTCAACCAAGTCTTGCTTCTTTGTTCTTCCTCCGAGGTTCTTTCCCCGATCTCCGGATCCGTGCCGCCCGGCCCGCGCCGCCAACCCGCCCCACGTGCGGTCCCGGGTGCTGTCGCCGTTCAATTTGTTGGTTCTCGACCTCACTGGTTCTGGACGACAAGGTTGCCATGGCCGTCGTGGATGACGACGACATCGTCATTGAGAACACCGTAGTCGATGGTGCACAACGACCCGATCTTGTCCACATCGATGAGGGAACCTGGAGTGAAACTGCCAAAGGTCAGGTAGTAGACGTTGGTCGGCTCGATCTGGTAGTCCATATTGGGCTCCGGCATGAACGTGGCAGCTGGCCCGACGCTTCCGGACCCAGCTTTGGCGCCACCGAGACCGATCACGTATTTCTCTGAGCAGGAAGTGTTAGCTTGTGTCTCTGTCTTTTCCGGGCATGAAAAACACGCACGCTTCTTCGCCTCGGCGATGGTGAAGTCATTCTTGGTCTTGATCTCGAACGACTTCACGTATGCGCCATCTGGAAATGTGCCGTCCTGGAACCATGGCGCGTCGTTGCTCACGGTAAGGCCTAGAGTCGTTGCGGGAACCACCTCGCCGGTGGGCTTGGTTGAGCCAAGATTGATCAGGCGCTCCTCGGTGACGTCGACCTCAACACCATCGGCAGGAGACCCTACGGACGTTCCTACGATGGCATAGTACTAAGTGTATATGCTACGAGTAATTAGTGCCGTTTCGTCCTCGAGGGTTCATTCTAACGGAAGGAAACTTACGAGAGTTTGGCCGTGTTGCCCTTTGGAGTGTTGCCGGTTGCGAAGACATGGGTCCAAATTTGGCTCTGAACGCGGCTGGTCACCTTGGGGGGCTTGTTGAAGAGAGCATAGCGTTGATGAGCACTAGAGTTGTTCTTGATCGTAATAGTATTATACTCATTGACTATCTTGACTGTTGCTTTTCTAAAACTTCAGGTGTACTTTCAATGATATGTGAGGGTGATACAGTTGTTGCTGAGCGTAATATAGTCTGTGAGGAGTATCTAGCGAGGAGCGCATCTCTACTCATGCTTATGACCTTCAACGTGTGAATAATGAGTAATTGTTATTCTCGATCGCCTGTCGAAATATGTGCTTCTAATTGTCCTTTCCAGATCCGGGAAAGCTCTCACTAAGAGATAACTGTTGTAAGAGCCCTTTGCCGTGATACTCAAGCAAGCTCTAGATGCCACGCCATTATAGACGAAAACGTTATAATTTCTAGCCAGCGCAATAGTATCGAGCCAGACTTGTTCGCAAGTGAACAACAAAGAGTCATCAAACATCAGGGGAAATGGATATACAAGAGTTTCTTCCTAATTCCAGCGCGGAAACTGGAATGCTGCTTGCGAAGTACACTCCAAGCTTCAGAGACGATGTTGACTCGACGACGAAAACATTCAAGCCTTGTCTCAGCAGCCGTGTTACGTGGGGTGTGGCTTTTCGGTCGTTTGAGACCCTCATCTAAAATCGTCGGGGTTAATTTTTGATTTGTCATGTTTACGTGAATGCATGTTGATAGTCTTGCAAATCCAAGGCCAAGGAGAAAAAGAGAGCTTCTTCGGTATGCAGGGGCTGTCAGACAACACCAGCCTTAGCGCATCACTGAAAGAAGTTTAGCTGGTAAAGTAGACAAAGGAGATCAAAGCCAGATTTCTGTCGTCTGAGGCCTCTTTCAGTTCCACCCATGCGTAATTAGTAGGGCGGAAGCCTCTGGTAGTGTCCTCTATCCTGCCTCCTGTGGCGCCCCGGGGCACTGTTAACGGGCTTTGAAAACATCGCCGTCATTGCGCACTATGCTGTCATTCCAGATGTTCATTTGAGTCGTCATTTACCGCTCTTCGGAAACATTTGACAGGGAAGAAGCAATGTCTCATAGCCCCCCGTTCACTACATCTGTGGCCAACAAGTCTGGGACAGTGCAATCCTATGCGGTCTTCAGCGAGGCTCCAACCATCCGCTCCTCAGGGTCTTCCCCCGGCATCTCCAAAATTTCAACCATACGCATCATCACCAGTGTCAAGGGCGTGAGCAGCGGGCAAGGTATTGGTTACTTTACCCTGAGCAAGAAACTATATGCGATATGTGGCACTTACGACGTGGACGGTGACCCTGGAGAAAGTAGATACCTTCTTCTCCTTGGCTTTGGTTGAGCCATGAGATGGCAACCAGTGCCTTCTACTTTTCCTTCGGAAATTCTCCTCGCCCTAGATTTTACACGCTGACGCTCGGATCCTAGGTCATGAAGAGCGGTTGCCGGCTGGCACCGGGGCCGAAGTCATTGACTATAAGCTTGTGACCTCGGGTAAAATTGATGCCACGGGGAAGGCTATCGGGGGAACACTCCTGGAGGTCGATTCTAGCGAAGGCTCCCCCGCGTTCGTGAAAGGTTATGAGCAAGAACCAGTGGCTGAAGCCGATTGCTTCGTCATACGAACCCGGTCCGAGTTCACTTCACAGGAAGCTAAGTTAGTGTCCCTGTTTTTCTTTCGGCTAGGTTTATAGTTTTCCTTCTTATTGGGGTCTCGGGTCGTATAGGGTATTATGATTTCCCGTGCTCAGACTAATCGAAATCCTCGTACAGACAAATTTCTATGAGGCGTACAATAGGTTTTCATGCGACATTCGTACCTGGACCAAACCAGACCTACCAGATCGAGCCTTCCAAAGTCTTTCATGTTGCCATCGGAAGTTACAATGCCCGAAATATTGTAAAAAAGAGCCTGCGTACAGCCACAGCAACATTTCGTGTCGACTTTGAAGAGCTAGGCACAGACGATGTGCAGCTTGTCCATGGTGAGCGTGGGAACTTGCAGAGACTGGTGATCGAAGGGGCAGAAGAGGAGTAGGAACTTTTGATCGAGGAAAATAGCAAATTATTAGCTGCAGATTTGAACGAAAAAGTTGATCAGCACGTTCCAAATTTAACGATTCACTATGATCCAAAACACTCTGTAGCATAAAGTGGGAAAAACCGGTCTAGACGGTGAGGGCTCCTTAGACGGATTTCATAGGTCAATGTGCTGAATGAGTCCAGTGTGCGGAATTACTTGTAACGCAGGACCAGTACTCAAACTCTAACTTTTTTGTTAACCATGTTATCGATTAATCCAGTAAATTCACTTAAGAAAATCAGCGTTGTGACTTGCAGAGGGCCTTAAACCTGACTCGAATCATGGGGTGTATGTTGGTGATGTATCAAGAGGCACGCATAGTTCTTTTCGAGACAGTTACTTCAGACACCCGCCGCCCTCCCACTCCTCGCCGCCAACATCCCTACAACCTGGTCCGTCAGCCTTTCCACCATGCCTAATCCAGGGTCATGATCCGGATTGACCTCAGCAATTGTGAGACCTCCAACCATGTCACTCCCGACAAAGACCCTCAACGCTCGCATCATCTCCTCAAATCCGACCCCCGTGTAGTTCGGCAAATGCGCCAGTGGGAACATGCGTGGATCGACGGAGTCCACATCGAGATGCACCATGATGACATCGACCTTCTCCTCGAGGTACCTCAGCGTCTCCCCCGCGCGCTCCTCCGGTGCGTGTGCCACCGAGGCCGAGCTGACGACCTTGTAGCCGTTGTCGAACAGGTACGCGAAGTCCTCGGGCTTGTTCCCCGCAAAGGACATGTTGGTCCCGAACAGGACCGTGTTGGAGGAGTCGCAGACGGGCCCGCCGTCGGATGACCGGGAGAACTGCTCCATGCTCTGCAGCGCGCCAGGCCCTCGGACCAGGTGCGTCATGTTCATCCCTGCGAAGATACCGGTGGAGTTGGGGTCCGTTGGCGAGGCAAAGTCCGTGTCTGCGTCGATGTAGATGAGGCCGACGCGCAAGGGCGGAGATTGTGAGCCCGCGTGATGCCAGAAGGCGGACATGATGGCCGGGGACATGCCGCATTCTCCGCCGAGGATGAGCTGGAAGGGGGGTTGAGTAGACGGGGAGGCGCCGAGGTTCTGTGCGAGGGTGTGATAGACGCTCCGGCACACTTCTATGCTGGCGTCTCCGTTGCGGGCACGGCCCGGGGAGAAGGTCGATATTTTGTAAGACGCGGGTGAGTCCAGGGCATGGTGCTCTGAGATGGATGGAACGCCAGCTTCTCGTAGCTTTTCTACGATGCCAACATCTCGGAATGCCTTGGGTGCCTTTGATTTTCCTGGGTAAACGGAGCCGCAATCTGCGGGCACATGGGTGATGGAGACTGAGCCTGAGGTTGCCATAGTTGCATTGGTTTCAGCTGAAGATTGTGCATTTTTAACGCATCTGATGCAAGGGACGAGTGCAGACTTGATGCCCTTTTTGTATTGTTAACAAGCATAAAAGTTGTGATGACAATCCAAGTGTATCGTGAAGCAAAGGCGTAGACCATGTCAATTGGTGCCCTCTACGGGCGGTCTCAGTGCGCCCTTCTGAATTGAGTTGGTCGGTCCACGGACAATACTAATAAGAGCCACCGCCTCTGACGTAAACTCTGTCATGTCTCCAGGGTGCGAGCTGCCAGCCGCTAATGGGACGATTGTGATAGGACTCGTTCGAGTGGAACTTGAGATGAAGGACATCATCCCATAGGAGATCATCCTATAGCAGGTTATCCCGTAAGATGTTGTGCTTCTTTATGCACCTAACCCACTAAACAGCACTACAACGATCACAAGGAACGCTATAGATTGTATGATATGGGTATGTAGGTTGCTTAGTTGCTAATTATGCTTAAAGGGCAATGCCTTTAATATTTTAAGCTGCAACGCTGCTTATATAAACAACTACCTACCCGCTATTTATAAATCCATATTATCTCCTTCCCTAAATAAACTATCCTTAATCTTATTATATAAATTATATCCTTTAATAAAAAAAAGTAAGATATATATTTAATATTTAATTCATACCTTTATTAAATAATTATTCCTTTTTATTATTATAATAAATAATAAAGTAATATAATAATAATACACCCTTATTTATCTTAATAATTTATCTTTTAATTTAATTGCTTTTATAAAGATTTATTAAAAGAATAATAACTTTTAAAAAATAGCTCTTTAAGTAAGGAAGTTTTAAGTTTAATTCCTAATTTAGCTAATTTCCTTTTTATCTTTCTTTTAATTAATTAAGTATAAAAGGCGCAAATTATTTAAAAATAAGATATTTAATTAAATTAATAAAATATTAATAAATAGCTAATAATAATTAGCAAGCTATTACTTCTTATTCTTAATTAAATTGCATTAATTAAGCAATTTAATTATAATTACATTAAAGCATTATTTTATTAATATATTATAAACTTTCAATAAAGTAATTATTTATAATATATGTTAAAAAGAAATTTATATTATTATATATATTCTTAAGTATAATACCGCTAAAATTATAAAAAATATAAGTATTATTAATATAATAAATAATAATAATTTAAAAATTATTATAATAAGGCTTATACTTATAAGTATATTAATATACTTACAAAACTTAATTATTAAAAGTAAATATATATAGCAATACCTTACCCTTTTAAAGAAATACTTAAATTTAATTATAAGAAGCTTTTAACTTTATAGCATAATTCCATATTAACAAAGCCTTATATTCCTTAATTAATTGCTTTATAAAGTTATTATCCTCTTACTTTATAAGTTTTTATATATAAGCAATATAAGGTTTATGCCTTAAAAGCAGCAATATATTAAAAAAAAGGAAATAAAGGCTATATTTACTTAACTTTAAAATTTAATTATATAGCATAATTATTTATTATATTAAAGCTTAAATATCTTAATTTAAATTAACTAGCTATTTTTATAAAATTATATGCTTTAAGTTTTTATTAGCCTTTTTAACTTTATTATTATTTCTTAACTTAATTAATATAATTAAGCATAGCTTTAATTTATATTAATAATGCTAAGCTAAGATAGCTTTATTAATAAAGTAATTAACATTATTAAAGATTTATTTATTAAATATACTAAAAATATTAATAATCTTATTTAATAATAAGAAAGTATTTTTAAATTATTAATTTAATATAACCTTTATCTTAATTTATTTAATAATATATTTAATAGCTATTAAGATTAATATATTATTAATTAATATAAAGTTAATAACTTATCTTATTAATAAAGCTAATAATATAATAAAATTAAGGTTTAATAATATTAAGTTAAATATCTTTATTAATTAATACTTTATATACTTAATAATAACTTATTAAATAATAAAAGTAATTTTAAAGTATTAATACTCCTTTAATACCTTTTAAAAAGTATTGCTAATTATTAAATAGCTATATGCTAAGTATAACTTCTTTATAGCTATAAATAAATCATTATACTTTAAAATTAATAAAAAAAGTATTACCTTTAAAGTAATATTAACGTTATAAAAAGGATTACTAAATTATTATTTATATATATAAATTTTATATAGCTATTCTTAAATAATTATAAAGTATTTTTTTATTTATTTTAAGTTAATAATAAAGGGGAAATTAATTTCTTTTTAAAGATATTTAAAAACTACTTATAAATTTACTTAGTTAAGCTTATAAGGGTATTAAATTTATTTAAATAAATCCTTCCCTTTTTTATACTTAAAAATAAGTAAAATAAATTTAAAAATTATATCTTTAAATAACTTAAAAAAGTAATTAATAAAAATATTAATTTTATTAATATAATATATAATATAAATGTTATAATATTTAATAGCATTAAGAAAATATATAATTCTTAATAATTAATTAGCCTTTATATTAAGAGTTTTAAGAAACTTATAATTTATAAAAATAATAATTTTTATGCCTTAAATTTAATAAAATTAATATTAAAATATTAATAATATGTTAAGAAATTCTTATTCTTAAGCAAAATATTAGGTTTATATATTTATTAACTTTTTTAAAAAGTATAAAATTAAGTATAAAATAAATTTAATTTTATGTAAATATAGCTAAAAAAAAGATAGCGCTTATAAAGCCTTAGCTAATATTTATTTTTATTATAAAAGAAAGTTATTAATTAAAAGTCTTAATAATTAAAAGAATAATAATGATATTATAAATATTTTATTATTGCTGCTATGCTATCTTTAATAAGGTAATTAGCTAGCCTTTAAGGTTATTAATATAGTTAATTAAAGCATTAATCCTTTTAAAGTATATTTATATTAAGTTATAAAGATATTTAATAATATTAATAAAGCTTTAAACTTTTATAATTATAATTAACATAAGTTAATTATAAATAGCTATAATCTTTATTAAGTTTATTATAATGCCTTCTTTTAAAATAAGGAAGCTTAAAAATATATCTTTATAAATAAAGAAAAAGATCTTTTAAGTATTAAAAATAAAATTATAATAATATAATTATTAAAAGATTATAAGCAAATATTTATATAATTATAATATAAAATCTATCCATATAGCAACGTTATTTAAAAGGCTGTATATAATATCTTAAAGGTCTTAAAAGACTTCCTTAATAAAAGCTTAAAAGGTAGTTAAAGCGTTATATAAGCTAAATAGCATTATTAATTATTTATATAAGCTAAAGGGAGTAATAAATGCTATCTTCTTAACATTTATATAGTAAATATTAATATATTAAAAGCTATTTTTTAAGTTAATAAAAGCATAATATTTATAACCCGCTATATATTAAATTTAATTTATTATATTAAGCATAAAGTATATATACTTTTTAATATATTTATTAAGCTTTTAATAATTATAATAAAAATGCTAAATTATTTATTATAATTTAAATATATTTTAGCTTAAGGGGATAAGTTTCTTTAAAATTAAATATAAAGTTAATGCTTAAAAGCTCTTACTCTTCTTAATTAATATTCCTTTATATATCTTAATAAAGTTATAAATAACTTATTTCTATATTAAATTAAACCGCTAAGAAAGCTAATAAAATAATAAATTATCGCTAATATTAATGCAATATTTAATTTTTATTAAAAGGTTTATTTAATGCTTTTTTAAGTTAAATAATTTAAGGAACTTAACATAATATTCCTTAAGGTAGCGCTAAACTTAAGGGTTATTTATAAAAGTATTTAAGTATTATTTAAGGGCTAAAGGTTAAGTATTTATAGCTAAAAAGGCCATTTCCTTTACTAAATATATTAATTATTAATAAATAAATAAAATTAATTTTAATTAATAAGGAAATATAAATAAGCAAATAATATTTTATAAAGTATAATAAATTATTTATTAATAAAAGATTATCTTTTTAAGCATTAACTTTATTAAAAAGGTATTATTAAAAATAACTTTATAAGAAATAATAAATTAACTTATAAGGCCAATCTTTATAATAAAATAAGCTATTATAAAAATATCTTTAATAATGCAAGGGCCCTTACCTTTAACGCCTTTTATATAAGCAAAGTAAAAAGAATTATATAAAGCAAGTTATATCGCTAAAAATTTAAAATAATAATAAGCAGTAAAATTATAATTAAAGAAGGTATTAAACTTATAATTATTAAAAAAGTTAATTTAAAAAACATTATAAGGAATGTTAATACCCTTATAAGCTAATTTATTATAAATAAATAATAATTAATTATTAATACTTACTTTTATAAAGTAAAAATGCTTTAAAGCTAAATATAAAAAATATTATTATATTAATTTACCTTATTATTAATAATCTTTAGCTATTTTTAAAGATTCTTTAGCTATTTATTAAACTTATTATTAATAGCTTTAAGATTATTTATAAGGGCAGCAAAAGCAATTTATATATCATTTCATTTTATAATAACCTTCTTTATAAATTAATTAATATAATTATGTATAAAAATAACTATATTGCCATGATTACCTATATAAATAGCCGTAGCATTAAAAGAAAAAGGAAAAGCTATATTAAAGCAAAGCAAAAATAATAATAACTAAAGAAAAAAAATTAATAAAAATAATACTAAATTAATAAATCTTTTATTATTAATGCTTATTTAATAATTATTTACCTTATAGCTTGCTTATTAATTATTAATAAAAAATATTATAATGCTTATTATTATAACTTTTAATTAACTTTATAAATATTTACTTATAAGTAATAACTTTAATATAAATATTATTATTATATAAATTAATTAATAAAGTTGCTTTTTAAAAGTAAATTATTAATAAGGAATAAGGTTAGCAATAATAATTTAATAAGTTTTAATTATTTAAAAGGTTATTACCTTTAAGGAAGGCTATTAATTAATAATATAAAGGTTTATAATTATAATTTTTATTAAATAAATATTTTAATAAGGTTTTCTTAATAAAAATAATTATTTTTATACTTCTTTATGCACTTAACCCATTAAACAGCATTATAATAATTACAAGGGACGCTATAAACTATATAATATAGATATGTAGGTTGCTTGATTGCTAATTATGCTTAAAGGGTAGTGCCTCTGGTGTTTTGGGCTGCAACGCTGCTTATATAAGCGGCTGCCTGCCCGCTATCTACGGATCCACAATGTTATCCCTTATAAGGTCATCCCATAAGGGGTTTCATCCCGTGGGATGTCATCCCATAGGAGGTTATCCTATCAGCGATTGTCACACTAGAGAAAGCTCAATTGAGACATGGACCGGGGTGTACCGATTCTTCGGACCACAAGCCGACGTCATCAGGGTCCTCAAACTGGAGTCAGCGGAGCCACGCCGAGATCAACTCCACAATATGTGTGCAATATACCGCAGGGCGGGGGCTGAGGAAGGCTGCATACATCTAGACTCATTCTGTATGCATTTTCGCCTGATGTACGAACAAATCCAATGCCGCTGGCATCGGGCTTAGGCTGATCCGGATAGCACTTTTAACGCTGGGGGGCTGAAGTCATGACATATTGTCTTGTTCGGCCCAGCATCAAAGCGAAGTGATAGTCAGCATGTGCAGTTTCACTGTGACCAAGACAAGCCCAGCCCCCGGACCCTGCTCGCACCGCAACGTCTCCGGCCCCGAGCCCGAGCCGATACCCTTTGTGACGGGACGCATCTGCACCTCCGTACTAATATTTTTAGGTGGGCCACTCAGTTCAAATTTTAAATCATTTCTTCTTGTTTGGCCCAACCTCACCCAACCCGTCAGCACCAGATCCTCCAATTGATCCCCTGCCCCCAGGCAATCCTCCGCGCGCCTTTCGTCGGAGCAAACCTTGGTCAGATGTCAAACTAAGAGCCGTCCCTCTGGAGTTGTCGACTCACCGGACCGGGGAAAGCCCAAAATGGACCGCCAACACCGCGCCGACGAGCGCGCCCCCCTGCTGTCCGACCGCCCGGCCTCAGCCCCGGCGGACGACCGCATCGAGGAGGGCGTAATCCACTGGCGCTCCGAGCTGGCGCTGCTGCTCAAGTACTCGCTGCCGCTCATCGCAACTTACCTGCTGCAGTACTCGTTCTTCGTCATCACAATCATGATAGCCGGTCACCTCGGCGCAGACGACCTCGCCGCAGCCAGCGTGGGCTCAATGACAATGAACGTCGTGGGGTTGTCCATCATGGAGGGCATGGCGACCGCTCTCGACACCCTGTGCGCCCAGGCCTACGGCTCCGGCCACAAGGTCGGCGTCGGCCTCCACATCCAGCGCATGATCGTGCTTATGGGGCTCTCGCTGGTCCCCATTGGGCTGGCTTGGATCTTCTCGCCATGGATACTGCCTCTTTTTGTCAAGCAGCACCATCTCGCTGTCAAGGCGGGCGTGTTCCTCCAGTACAGCCTGGTCGGGCTGCCTGGCTATGGAGCCTTTGAGGCCGGGAAGCGATTCCTCCAGGCCCAGGGGGACTGCAATGTCGGCATGATTGTGCTCATTATCTGTGCACCAGTCAACGCTGCGCTGAGCTACTGGCTTGCCTTCCCCATGGGAATGGGCCTTGGGGGTGCTGCCCTTGGGTCTGCCCTGAGCAATAATCTGAGGTTCATCCTCTTGTTTCTATACATCATGTCACCCTTTGGGAAATGGTCCCACGTCTGCTGGGGCGGCTTCTCGAGAGATGCACTCCGGAACTGGGGCCCGATGGCATCCCTTTCCTTTGCTGGCGTGATTGTTCTGATCGGGGAATGGGCCGCATTCGAAATATTGACCTTCAGCACGTCGTACCTGAGTACTGACCATCTCGCGGCCCAGACACTGTTGGTATGCTCGATGCTTTCCTTGCCCGTACTATTTTCACCAGATCGCTAACTTTATTGCAGACCACTGCAATCGTCGTTGTCTGGCACATCCCATTCTCCATCAGCGTCGCATTATCCACCCGCGTAGGCCACCTCATTGGCGGTGGCTTTGTAGACACCGCACGGCGTGCCACTGCTCTGTACTTCTTCGTCTTCGTCTTCGTCGGCCTGTTCAACGCCGCTGTCCTCTACTTCTTCCGGTCCCCGATCGTGTCCGTGTTCACCAAGGATCCGGCCATTCGCGAGCTTGCAGTCGACTCCATGTGGCTAGCTGCCGTCTTCGAGGTCATCGACTCTGTCGTCAGCGGGACCAACGGCCTGCTGCGGGGTCTAGGGAAGCAGAGCGCCGCCGCTTATATCGCTGTCGGTGTCAACTATCTTGAAGCCGTACCACTTGCCATCTGGTTAGAGCTCGGCGCGCCAGCGCTTGGGATAGACGGAGTGTGGATCGGGTTTGGCTCAGGCGTTGCTCTTACCATTGCCCTGGAATGCCTCTACGTGAGGCTGCTGGACTGGCAAAGTGTCGTTGACAAGGTGAAATGCAGGGAAGATGTCAACGACTGAACTGGGCACCTCAACAGCAGAGGACGAGAATATAGATCAAGGCGACCTTGCCTCGAGGTATGGGGGTGATTGAGATTGCACCGCCCACAGCAAACAGGCAATTCCGACTCCGGCCAAGGACTCATCAGCGTGAACCCTCTCTCCAAGCTGATCAGGTCCGTTGTCGACGCCTTCCGGACGACGAGCTCTTGTCACTTTGGAACGAGGAGGCACACTGCGCTCTCGATCAAAACAAAGACAGATCTAGGTTCCGGTGTCAAGCCGTCGTGTTTCACGCACGGGACCTGCCACAGGCGAGCCTGGGCAGCCTGAATAATCTGTCGAGACCGCGTTATTGTTGAACTCGGACTGCTCCGTGGCAGACTGCACGTGGTGGGCATGAAGCATGGGTCGATGAATGTATGATACCAGGAACTCCCAGCTGGGATTCCAAGGCGAAGAGCATCGCAGAGCATCGCAAAGCCATGTGGAGGGCTCGGTGCTGGTTGTACGCCTGCCAAGGGTGGAAGCGTTTAGAGGGAGCGGATAGCGCGAGACAGAACGCAGTGCCGCAACATTCAATTGCAAGACCAATCCACTCCTACTCTTGTCACATCATACAAGCTCTAACACAATTCTTTTGTCAATGGCCGGTCACCAGTAAGAGAACAATTCACCTGGTCACTTATCTAACCTCTTGAATATTTTCAGCAACTGCAGATTTTCAACTCCAGGAATAATAGCTGGGCAGTCCGGAAGGTCCCCATGTCGAGAGGTGTGCGTCGCAGGAGAAAGGTTCTAGACTGGTGAGGACGAACTGATCGGCCACTTGCTGACCAAGCCTCCAATAGTAGAAGGGCGCTGGGGAGGACGAGGAGATGTCGAGCGGAGGTCGCAATGGAGCTAGCTAGCTCCTGCTCGGGTCGCAACAACAGGTGGTGCGGACCGTGTCATCGAGCGTCATCTGGCAGACGGCAGATGGTCCGGGCCTATACTGTTCTCGTCCACAATGACATGCGACCAGCCACATCCCTTATGAAAGTCTGGCGCGTTGGGACTCCCGGCGGCCAGCAAATTGCTCGGCACAGCCATGCCAAAGAAGACCGGTGGGAGGAAAGCTTCACTCTCAGACCGGCAAACGCCCGTGACATCACTGCTTTGAGGTACAGTAGATGGAATGTTTCGGGGGACAAAGCTGCCGTCGAACCCAGCATCCATGAACCATGATATGGGACTTGCTTGACCACCCTAGCCAGCCCGGATGCTATACTGTCTCTCATAAAACGAACATCACATTGTACCTGCGCAGGCAGCAGGCAGCGCGCAGAGTCATAGGTGCCCGATCATCAGGGGTCCACGGGATTTGTGGAGTCTGGACCCTGAGGGACTGCGAGGTGCGCGAAGGGACCGACGTAGCCTCTGAACTAGCCCGCCTGTGACGTCGTTAGCGGCGAATCTCCAGAGCTGCGAGAGCTGCACAACGCCGCACACACGCTGCAGTAGCACAAACGTGCCCTCCCCCCTGGCCCCCCGACCATCACTATACCTACCTCATCGAGCATTATCCAGTATTCACAAGACCACGGCCCCGGATCGGACATATCAACTTCCAAATTCGTCGCCACAGCAATCCTTTCCCTATTCAATTGAGAAGAAAAAAAGCCTTGTCAAATACTGGGTCAGCTCTCCTCTACTTTACCAAAACCACAACAACCTCCAGCAAGAAATAAAATAAAATAAGGAGCAAACACCAGCCTCGACAGCTTCGACATATCACAAACGCCAACCGCCAACATGGCCATCACAAGACTGTGGTTCTTCACCCTCAAGCCAGACAGCTCGGCCCGCGACCCGGCCTTCCTGTCCCTGTGGGCCAACATCCTCGAGCTGTGCGCCATGTACACGCCGAGCCCCAGGTCGTCCTCGGGCTCGCAGCTCCAGCTGGCCCTCAACACCCCGCCCGGCGCAGCCACCACTTCCTCTTCCAGTCCAGCCAGGACGAGCGCCTGCTGGTGCTCATCTCCACCTACCCCTCCATGGCCCTGTGCAGGCAGGCCGACGTCGCATACTCCAAGCGCCACAAGGACGAGGTCCTGCGCCACGTCTCGCACCGCGCCCTGAGGCAGATGGACATCGAGGATGCGGAGGTCGTACCGGCACTGCTTGAGTCGCGGTCCGGGGGCAAGGGCGGGGAGGTGAGCGTGACCGTGTCGAAGAGGGACCCCCTTAAGCTGGAGCTCGTTGAGTCGAGGTCGAGTGGCGGGAGCCGCGCGCCCGTGCCGCCCCCCACGCAGGAGATCAGCGGGCCGGACTCGTCTGAGATTCCTCTCATACCGGGGGTTGACTTCTCGGACGTCCTGGAGGCGCAGAGGAGTGAGGGGAAAAGGTGGATAAGCATATCAAGGGGGAAGTCGGATCATCAAGTAGAGGATGAGGAGGTCTTCCGTTTGAAGCAGCTCTTGGCTCGGTGAGGACCGAGGCTAAGTAGGGCGACGGCGAGGGGCGCAATTAAAAGAAACAAGGCAGGGTGTGGAGGCCACGCATGTCCCTCAGGCAATGTGCGTCGTTGGAAGTAATTAACAATACTCATGACTATTACTCGGAGGGGGTATCATCTATGAAAAATGAGGTGAGTTCGAGATGCTATCATTAAGGAACAGCATCAGATGTTCGTACATGTTCGACCAGAATCTGCCCAGGCAGCTTTCCCTCCAATAATCATAGGTTGCGGTCGACCACCCTCACGCTTCGCAGGAGGCCCGCGGGGCTCATAGACCCTCTCCTCTCCAAGTGCTTCACTGTAGCCGCTGCAGCCACTTCCTAAATCCCGTGGCCTGGGGGCGCTTCTCCTTCATCGCGGCGATCCTCTTGAGCTTCTCACGATGCTTGGCCTCGAGTAGCGCTGTGGGGCTGTCGTCCTTGTACCACTGCATGGCGCCGTACGGTTCACTGCCGTCCTGGCTGTTAACCAGCGACCTGCGGTTGCGGCTCGAGGACTGGCTCATGCGCACGCGCTGGACCTTGCGCAGCTTGATCAGGCCGTACCAACCCACAAGCAAGCTGAAGAAGACCGAGGCGCCAGTTACGCCTGCAAAGCCCCAGTTCGTCTCCTCGATGAAGTTCTCCAGGTTCATGCCGTAGAGGCCCGCGAAGAAAGTGCCCATCGCCAGGGCCAGGGTGCCGACACTGAACTTGAGCTCCAGAAGCATGAGAGCATTGCGGTTGGCGTCGAGGATAGCACGGATGCTGCACAGTGACATTAGCAAGGTTCCAAGTTTCAAGGGCGCACGACAGGGCACCTACATCTCCTCCGTGTTCCGGATTCCAGAAACCAAGTTGCTCGCCTCCTGTACAACCTCGTCGCAAATCTTATGATACGATTCCAACAGCATCTCAACCTCGGTGTGATCGTCGACCTCGCGCGATATATCCCGCGTCTTCTCCGTCAAGTACATCTGGCTCAGGTCGTCGTCCGCCTCCAGCAGCTCGTCGATCGCGTCCCGGACCAGCCTCACTTTCTGCTCAAAGGTGCTGACCTTCTTGGAGAGCACCAGCAGATACCGGAGCTTCTCCCTGTCAACGTCCTCTTCCAAGTCGCCTAGCAGGTGCATGACCGGCTTCTGAACGGTGCCAAAGTCCTTCCATATCTCCGACGTCACTGACATGAGCACTACCTCGAGCGCGCGGAACTCGTACGGGAGGCCGCCTGCGGTGCCGGGGGCCTGCTTCTGCCGCAGCTTGCCCTGCAGCTCATACATGAACTCGGATTGCGCAGAGGAGGTCGAAGAGCCGTAGACGTCGAAGAGCAGGACGCGGTCGTGCTTGATGAGCACTCGAAGGTGTAGGAGGTTAAGAAGGATCGCGGCTGGCCGGACGAGGATGTGCGGCAGGTTGGAGGAGTCGATCTTGCGCAGATCGCGGGGCATGAGGCCGTACTGCAGTGTCGAACAACATGTATTTAGCAAAGCTTCTTTGCTAGTCGAGCGCTCAGCTGTGGGTGCTTGTCGGTCAGGGCCTTACCTTCGCAATAAGCTCACTCTTCTTGAACGCGCCGTCGGTCAGGATGGCGTCGCCCTTCTCGTCCACCTCTGTGCACCGTAGCACAGGCTCAAGAGCAGCCTTGGCCCTCCTGGCTGTCATGGACGAAGTGAATATCGACGTGTCAAAATCGTCTGTGGTCCTGCTCCGAAAGTCGGGCTTCGCTGTGTTGTCGCCCCATAGTCTCTGCTGCCAAGGCGTCTTGCCACGCTCCTCCTCATTAGGCTCGTCCGTGGAGGCGAATCTCCGTGATTTTGTGGCGGCATTTCCCCTGACAAGATCGGCAACAGTCGAGCGAGCCTTTTTCAGAGACTTGGGAATTATGCTCTCTAGGTCGAACACCGCGGAGTGGAGGGCGGCTTCGGATCGGCTGGTCCTCGAGGTTGAGAACCGCCGTGCCGGATGACCGGGTTGTTCTGTAGCATGCGTCGGGCCTCGAGAGTCCTGAAGAGGCGGGCCATGGCATCTTGCTCCGGCGGTACGCACATGGCTGGGGCTGAAGAAGGGAATTCCTTCAGACTGGAATCGCAGAAACCGGAGCAGCCTGCGAGAAGGGACCGCAGGCTGCAATGGCGGGCGCATCGTGTCTGACCCTTTCTGCCGCTGGTGGACAGGAGTCAGCTTATTCCAGCAACTCGGCGCTCTCTATGTTGCGATTGGGAGGTCCTGTCATGGTGTGCCGAAGTTTTCAAGAATGAGGTTTTTCCACTACGTCAAGCCTGCAAGCTAAAAACTTCCATGCTGTAGGCACCCCACTGCCCAACCCAGCCTGGGTAGCGCACACCCCCTACGAATTAGGAGGCGCTACCGACTGAGCGGTGCACGCTAGGTGTGTCTCTAGGCTGTCTAGTGTGTCTCTATAATGTCGTCCATCAAAGTCCCTTTATCAGAGTCTGCATAAACTATTCACCCTTATATACCTCTTCACTTGGAAGATGGCTCTCCCCGCTCTTGAAATCGAATCATGACCTTCAATGGATTCCATTTTCGTACCCAGATCTGGAGCTGTACGGGTGTCGGAACGACAGAGAAAACTTGCCTCACACTGCCATTTCATCGCCACGCCTCAGAGGAGCAGTTCTTGAAAGAGGGCTCAGGACTGCAATGAAGCTGACACCAATAAGAGTCCGTGGCAAACGAGGGCAACCAAAGCCTGAGAAGAAGCGAAAAGACAAGGGACTTGATGATGCCGATCTGGAAGGACCACCGGTATCAAATTCGAAGCGGGCCCGAGAACACCATGGGAAAGATGGTGACGCCAGGATGAAAAACGGCCTCTCACGCCTATCTCAACTTCCTCAAGAGGTACTCGAGCGTGTCTTTATAGCTTCGCAGAATCTGTCACTACCCCTGGTCAGCCGCGACTTGCACCACCGTCTGTCGAGCGACTCCATCAAGTATCAAATGGTCGGTGCGGCGTTTGGGTCAACTTGGGATGCATATTATGGATTTGACAAGTTCGAGGTCTCATGCTACGACGGGTGGCAGTGGGACGTGAAGAGGTTCCAAGGCGATCCCGACTTTCAGGTGAGTTGAGGGCTTATGGGACGCAAGTTTTCTGCTTGCGCCGGGGCCGAAGAGTTCACGTCGCTGATTCCCACCCCAGTCTGCCATACTCGCCTGTTCCTGGGCCAAAACTCCAGTTCTTCTGTTGTCCTTTGATGTCTGGGTCCGGCAGCACGCCGCTGGGCGAGCCTATTTCACCATTCCTCAACTGAAAAAGGAGCGCTTGGCGGATGTGCCTCGGCCAGGAAGTCTGTACGACAGAGCCTATATTACCGCCGCCAACGGCGATGAGAGCGCTTCCACCATGACGATGCGCGAGAAGCTTGGCTTCGACTTCGACTGCTTCCTGAGATACATCATGCCCCCCAGCACAGACTCAAATGCCCTTTCCGGCCGACAACCCCTCAGGATCCTTGGCGATCGTCTGCGCGCCTTGCTCGGGACACACCTCGAAGTGCACCCCGGCACGAAGATCCCAACGTCCCTCCTCTCAGGGCCGTTCGAATCCGACAAAGGGTCCATTGACATGGGAGTAGAGAAGATGCAGCGCCTGTTCTGGCTCGTGCGCGGCGGCGCCTGCATCCAGGAGGACCAGACGTGGGAGGCCACGCGGACAGGCTTTCAGCAGATCCTACAGCTCATCGCCAACGCCGGGGCGCGGGACCCCACGGACGACCACGACGAGCCCCCCAGCGGGCAAGGCGAGACGGCATCATCACCACCGCCAGCACCACCGCCAACAGCAACACCCCTGGAGAGGCTCAAGCTCGCGGCGGGCCTCCTCGCCCTGTTCGACTTCCTTGGCATCTTCGACGCCCAGTGGCCGCGTTACATCGTCCAGACGTCCCTGCTCCAGGTGTCCCGGATGATTCCTGACTCGTCGCCGCGGTCGGCGCAGGAGTCGCTGCTGGGCGCACTCGCCTCGAAGCTGCGCGGTGTGCTAGGGCGTCACGGCGAGCGCGTCGTCGACGCGCGGCATGTGGGAATGGCATGGGCGGTGCGGCTCGAGAGCCCCCGAGCGTACGTGCGGGGGGCCGGCTTTACGGACATCTGCCGGCAGCGCGCCAAGATGTTCTTGTATCCTCCCGAGGGCACCGCCGAGGGGGACAACCTGCCGTCGTCGCCGGTGGTGGGAGCTGCTACTGGTGGGCTCGGGCACGAGCCGTGGTCGGACTTCGGGTTGGATTGAAGCTTTGTTCACTGGGAGCCGGCGTAGAATAGAGATATTCCTATAGTGTGATGCAGTTTACCGATGGCCAAATACCTGGGTACGGAGAAGATGATAGAAAATAACAACCCCATTGAAACTCGAGATCCATGGCATCCCAGTCGCTATACTGGTAGTCGTGTTGTGACCAGAATATGCAGTGCCGCTGGTCATCAAATCTGTCCAGTAATGTAAACTAACCTGCATGCAGTGTACGTTCTATTTCCGACAATGAGGAACACATTATCAGATTAGCATTATATGTATATAGTCTACTCCCTCAAGCCTTGATAATCCCAGGCCTTCTGTCTATTGTATCTACTTGACCTCTAACACGGGAGAACACACCACGCTCTTGACACCACTCTTATTTTCACATGTTCTTCAAAATTCCCAGCACACCACCGACCTTCTTCACTGCGCCCAATCCATACCCCGTCTCCACCACCCCCTTGGCAAATTTCCAGCTTCGGTCCTGGCTGTCAATCGGATACCTGATAGGCGGCGGGATGCTCGTCCTAACACCGGCCCACCCCCAGCGGTCCGCACACACAGCCTTGATATTGCACAGGCCCCTGAGCCCCTCCTCTGCGGCAAACCGGCCGTACCCCGAGCCCGCGACACCGCCGAACGGCAGCTGAACGGCGTAGAAGGCGGCAAAGTCGTTAATAGCGACCATGCCGCACCTCAGCCCCTTGACGAGGGCCTGCAGGACGGGGTCAGAGTCCCGCCCAAACACGCTGGCGCCGAGGCCGAAGTCGGGCGCGTTGGCCACACGGAGGACGTCAGCTGCGGTGTTGGAGGGGGCGCGCATGAGAACCATGACGGGCCCGAAGCATTCCTCATGGGCGATAGCCATGTCGGCCGTGACATCGACGAGCAGGGTCGGGCTGAAGTAATGGCCGCTGGGGTACTCAGGGTGAGCATAGCGCTTTCCACCTGAGAGCAGGCGCGCGCCGTTCTTGACTGCGTCCTGGACCAGGCCCTCAAGTCTTCCGAAAGAGGCGTCGGAGATCAGTGCACCCATGTCTGCATCTTGGCCCAGGCGGATGGCCTTGACACGAGGCTCGAGGCGTTCGATGAGCTTGTCGTAGACACCAGGCGTGGCGATGATACGTTCGATTCCAATACAGTTCTGGCCCGCTGCCTGGAAGGTGCCCCGGAGAAGCGTCTCGCAAATCCGCGGGAGGTCGCCCTTGGCCGAGTCCAGAACGACGCAGGCATCCTTCCCGCCCAACTCGGCAACAACTGGGATCAGGGCCTTCGCAGCCGACTCTGCAACCTTGTGGCACACTGGACGGGAGCCGATGAAGGTGATGTGAGATCTTGGGGTGGGAGGTGAGATGGTTCGCGACTTGCGGCCAGCAGGCGACAGTCTGCACCAGGGCCGGGTCATGGCCGTGGGCGATTAGGGCGCCCCTCGCGATGCTCGCAAAGTAGCTTGCGCTCCATGCAGTCTGCTCCGATGCCTTGACTAGGATACCATTTCCGGAGAAGATTGCCGAGATGATAGGTCCGATGAGGTTGTGGAAGGGGTAATTCCACGAGACAAGGGCCGCGACCACGCCAAGTGGCTCATACTGGACGGTGTTCTTCTTGTACATCATGAGCAGGTTTGTGGGCCGCCTGCTGGGGGTCAGGGCCTTCTCGCCGTGGTTTATGGTCCACTGCAACTTCTCGACGGTGACAAGGATCTCGCCGAGCTGGGCGTCGACCATAGTCTTCCCAGAGTCGAGGCAGGCCACGCGGCAGATCTCCTGCTGGTTGTCGAGCACATACTGCAACATTGAGCGCAGGACCTTGCGTCTTTCCCTAAAGCTCGTGTTGGCCCATGTCTTCTGCGCAGCCTCGGCGGCGTCAACGGCTCGGTCGATGGCGGCCGGGGTCGAGGGGTTGATGAATCCAAGGAATTGGCCGGTGGCTGGGGCGTAGCATTGGATTGCACTGGCGCCGGAGACCTGTGAGAAACTGGTGAGCCATTGTGTCCACCTTTTGTCGAGGAAGCATCACTCGCACCTTTATGTTTGGCTTCTGAAGGATTTCCTTGGGTTCGGGCACCTTGGGCTCGGGTACTCGGTAGCGGATCGGCTGGTCGTGCTCGCCCTTGAAGTAGAAGACGACGGCAATGAGGAGCAGAGGACAGAGAATCATCCAGACGAAGATTTGCGCATTGTCAAATCTGTTACCACAACCTATGTCAGCTGGGTGGACGACGGTCGTGGTGTCACGACTGCACGTACGGGGGCTCCCGAAGGCGCGCCTGAGCTTGGGCGAGCCATTGATCAAAGAAGTCCCGGGCCTGCATCTTGTGTTCCATTGCCCTCAGCTGCCCCTAGATAACTCCGCTGCTCAGTCCAAGGCGTGAGTTGTAAGGGTCAATTCATGGCTTGGTGTGGTTGTTGGCAGGAGAAGCAAGGCCAGAACTAATTTGCTGTTGTGGTGCCACCAGAGCTCTTTGCCGGATGATTATCTGGGGACCTCGCGTTGGGTTTCCAGGGGTCTTCACCGCGAATCGGCAGGCATGCGCTGCTGTGTCCCGCGAGCACCCTAAAAGCTGGGGGCTGCATGCGCCGATCCCACCCAAGTGCCACTGCTGGTTGACAGCTTCGGGAGCACAGGCAGTATGACATGCCAACCAGGTATGTGTGCTTCTCACCTTGATTTCTATCAATTCTTTGCTTAGCAACGAGAGGAAGAGAGGGACAACCAAGTTGAAGAGCAAAGAGCGCCTGGTTGATCCGCCGGGCTGGCGAATTTGCCTAAAATGTCCTCCCTGTCTTGTAGAATATATCCCAGCTTTTCGAGGACTCGCCGAGAAGAACAAGGCACATAATATCTAGGTTTGGTGCCATGGTTGCTACTGTCTTTCCCAACCAGCCGGCGCCGTCACATGCAGGCCGGTCAACTCTAACGACATGGGACCACATCACGAGAGGGAGAGGGCATTCCAGATCCCTGCCAGTCCCTGACTCGCTCTAAGCCACCGCCAAGAGATTAGATTGAATTGATAAATCCCCCACGGCTTCCCGGGCTCCTCGGCCCAACGGTCGTCGATCCCTCCTCATCGTCCGTCCCCGTGCGTCAGACCATTCTGGGCTCAGTACTTGTTCCTCAAAAACCACCTATACTTCCAGACCATTCGTGCCCTTCATTTCCAAACCACGCAGCTCACAATGAAGCTCACAGCATCACTCTCGGCCATCGCGGCCCTCAACGCCGCAACAGCCTCCCCCATCGAACCACGCCCCGAGTCCGACCAGCATCCCATTCAGCGCATACCAACGTCGTACGAGTCCGCCGTGCTAGGCCGCCGCATCCTCGCCCTCAGCCCGCTCGCGACCCTGTCCACCGTCTTCCCCTCCTCATCCTCATCCTCCTCATCCGGCGGCCACGACGCCCCGGACCTACACGAAGATGCGGGCGCCCTTGAGAACCGGCCCCGGGGCCTGGGCGGCATTCCCATCGGCCTGATGGACTATGTTGCTGACTGCGGCGCCGAGGAGGAGGGCAACCCCACCATACTGGCCATCAAGATCGCCACGAGCTTTAAGAACGTCGCCGCGGGGAGCAACTTGTCCATCAGCTACAACTGGGTGCCGCCCTACCCGCCCGCGAAGCGCATCAAGTCGTCGTCGTCATCATCCTCACACAACCCGCTATCCTGGCTTTCCAGGTGGTGGTCAGGCAATGGCAACCGCGACGACGACGACGGAGACGCGGCCGCCCTTCCCCCGCACTACGACCCGGTCCCGTACAGCGCCGCCAACCTGCCCCGGTTCAGCCTGCTCGGGCACCTTGAGGAGATATCGCCTTCCTCGGAGGCTGATGCTATAGAGCTGCAAGAGTGCTTCCTGAACGCGCACCCGGACGCCCGGTACTGGCTCCCGGGGAACCGGATCCACGAGGCTGGCTGGGTGCGCCTCGTGGTCGACGAGGTGTACTTCGTCGGCGGGTTCGGCGACCGGGCGTATATCGGGTGGATCCCGGTTGCGAAGTGGCGCGGCGTCACGAGGGAGGAGTGGCAGGCTGTCAAGCTCCCCGGGGAGGAGAAGGGCTGGAAGGAGTGGAGTGTCGATGAGCTGTGATGCGGTGCTCCGGTGGGAGGAAATCAGCATTTGCTCGCTAGGAGCACGAGCGACGTGCTGGGCATGGTGGGAGGTTGTGATGGCATCACTCGTTTTATGGCAATCTAGGATCATGGCGTTGGCTTAGCGGCGTTCACTCTATCACATGTATGGTTGCATATACGTTACGCAAGGCCGTTGTGGCTGAGACAGGCATGCATGATAGCATTCAGTATCACCATTTCACACGCAGACACCGCAGGGCAGGCATATGTTTCCAAGCGCAATAATTTTGACGGGAATACTCGCAAGAAAGTGTCCCATAGAGTAGCCTCTTCTAAGTGCATAGATACCCGATCCCAATGTTTTCCATTTCAAGCTACCTTATGCCCCAGCCGTTTCATTCCCTAATCCACAGCCCGTCCGACAAACCATACCTTTCGAAATGTGCAATGCTACTTTTATGTCAGACTCGCTCGCTCAGGGTATCGTAAACACTCTTGTACAATGGCCGAAGTCCAAAGTGAACAAACAGCCTCCATTTTGAAACCCCGCCAGGTCCGCCAGGCCTCTCAGTCGACCCGTATGACAACCCTCCAGCCCAGCGCGCCCGCCTCGCGGATGGCACACGCGAGACACCCGCGCCTGCGGCGGGAGATCAGGGCGTTCCAGCCCCTCTCCGCGCACAGCGCCCTGACCAGGATCTCCATGTCGCTGCCGAACTGCCGCCTCCTGGTCTCGGAGTGCATGTTCTGCTCCGTCGTGCCCTTGGCACTGTTCTCCCTGTCCCGCTCCTTGTTCTTCCCGTTCCTATCTGGCGACGTTCCCGGGATGTCCATGTCTGGCCCGCCCCGCCCGCTGGCGCTACTCAGTGATGAGTGCCGGCTCGATGAGCTCTGGTTCGTGCTGGCCCTGCTGATGGCGGGCGACAGCGGGATCTCGTGTGCCTCTGGCTGCGGCAGAAAATTAGTCATGGCGTCGATGACGAGGACACGAGGTGGTTTGTCGGTGCTGGATGCTGGGGCGATGCTCGGGGCAAAATTGGACGAGGCATCGGTCAGTAGCTGCTCCAAAGTCCAATTGGGTTTGTTGAGAAGCTCGGAGAGGTGGATGGCAGTATAGGTATAATATTTGTGGAGAGGATGGCCTGAAGTACTGTCAGCTGGTGCTTCTTCCCCCGTCACTTTAGCTGTCGAGGCACTTACATTTGATTTTGGCATGACCAGACTGCTTGCCATTTCCAGGTGCAAAAGGGCCTGACAAATCGAACTGCTGGATTGTAGGACTTGACGGCGATTTCAAGATCCTGACATGTTGTGAGGGGACACATGGGTGGGCCGTCACGAAGTTTACGTCCTTGGCCACAGGAATTGTAACCATCTCGTCATCGTCCTCCTCCCAATTGGTTACGTTGAACGTGATTGTAGGCGTATATGTCCTCATCTCCTGAGAAGTCGTGAAGTCGGAGAATGGGGTTGCGATTTCCAATGTCGGTGTTGTCTGGACCGAATCAAGCGGTTCAGACAAGATGAGTGACCTCAGCTCGACACTGATTGTAGGCGGTGGTGACTTGTAATTGTTTTCGTAGGGAATGATGAAGTCAGCAGGCAAGACGGAATCTTGTTCGGAGCCTTCTCCAAGGACAGAAGACTCTCGCTCGATCGCAAGCTTGCCCCAAAGCCTGGCCTGCTTGCCGGTGCGCTTGACGTCCTCTGCGGAATCTGGTCAGTATTGAACAACGAGTGACACGACCCGGCGCCGAGATAGGTCACTACGGTGGGGAAAGGGGTCCAGGTGTCAAAGAGAACTTACCAGGGATGTCTTCAACGTCGACGTCGACCCAGCCATCGCCCAGGCCCAGGGGCATGACATCACTCGAGATCCATCCCATGCATTCTACAGCACCCTTTCCGGCAGCCAAGACCCGTCCAACCACGCAGGCCGTACTCCAGAAACTTTTCCCCTGATACATGAATCCCCCGCAGAGATTCGCCATCGGCCCGAGCCTCGTCATCGCAGTCACATCATTCTCGATCAGAGTCGACATGATGAAGTGGTACAGTCCTTCACCTGGTAGCATCAATCCCGACACGTAACTCTTTGAAAGCCAGCCAGCAGGATGCAGCGCTGCGCCGACCTTCTGCCGCCGTGAGGCTTTCCTTTCAAGAGAGCCATCATTGTTCGCTGCCGTGAAATATGACGATGTCGTTTTGCCTGTTCTCGTCGAAAATGGAGACTCCAGTGGCGTGTTTAGAGGTGTCCCTTCAGTTACTGCGCGACAGTTGTCAGAAATTCGTGACGCCTGAGTCTCGAGTTCCGGCCACTTGAGTCTTCTCGCAAAATGTGTCAGGCCGCGAACCTGCCTCTCCCAGTACTTTCCCTTCATGACGTATATGAATTGCTCCTTTGGGTGTTTATGAGCGTCGTGATGCTTAGAATGAGGACGGTCACTGGTGAGTGTCATCTTCTGCGTAAGGTTCGCAAGCCAGCCTTTGGGCGTCTCGTGGTCGCCTGATGGCTTCGTCTTGGTAATCTCAATGTTCTCCAACCATGCTCGGGCGAGGTGCAGCGACCACTTGACAGAAGAATTGGCGTCCCTCTCGAAGCGGTAGACATCCGAGCGCCTGACATCCTCCGGCAGCTCGTCACCCTCTGTGATGGCGTCCAGGCGCACGAGCAGCTCGCAAGCAAGCAGGATCTGCAGCAAGAGCCAGTATCTCTCTTCATGTAAACCCTTCGAATCTTCTGCATCCGTGATAGACGCGCCATCACTGACACTATCCTCGTCGTCCTCATCAGGGGTGCCCCACAGAATCTGTCCCAGACGGATCCTCCACTCGACGTGCGAAAAGTCGACCCAGACATTGGGCGCCGCAAGAACCTTGAGCAGAGCCATAATCTGTACAGGCAGGCTATAGGGATTTGTAAGTGATCGGTTTGGCAGATGCAAGATGTGAGTGAACAGCTCCTGGAACAGCTCATGGCACGTGGCCTTGTCCTTCCGGTGCTCCTCTTGATACCGCTGAGCGTTCTTCATCAGATGGTCGAGGACTGTGGTCTCATCCAACCTCCTCAGTCCGTCTTTGGAGGTGAGAGCGGCCTGCCTGGCCTCGATGACGACCTTGTCCTTGGCGCCTAAGCTCCCGAATCCCCACTGCTCCTCCTTGAGGGCATCCGAGACACCGAGCTCCAGTGCGGCCTGGTAGCCCATAGTGCCCTTCTCGAGTCCCTGCATGCTGAGCATGTTTGGCCTCTCCCTGCACCTGGGGAAGAAATGGGCGCGGCGTTTGGCGGCCATCTTCTCAGATGTCGAAGCGGATGGGCCCCGGTCAACATCGCGTGTGATGTGGGGCCATGCGGTCACGCACCCCCAGGCGGCATCGTCGATCTGGGAGTGGTCGGTCAGGTCTCTGATGACCAGGGATTCGTCCCATGGGAACGCGACCGAAGGATGTGGCGCGCCAGTGTAATGCCCCTCAGCCCGCGCGAAGAACTGCGGGGCACCCGAGAAGAGCTTCTCGAGGTCCTGGTCAGACAGGGTTGCCATGATGCGGTTGAGCCTCAGGGGCGGGCTGGAAGTTGTGGTTCCCGGGCCGCTCTGGTGCTCGGACGGGGGAGATGGCAATGGCTTGTCTGGGTTGACTGGAGAGCGTGGTGATGCAGGAGAGAAGGAGCCGGATGCCGACGCCGAGTGTGGTGAGGGAGAGGAGGTGGTCTGCCGAGTTGGAGAAGATGGAGATGTACGTCAGCCACGATGCAAGTTAGATTGAATGGACTCCGCCAAGGGCAATCGACTTCAAGGAACACATGCAGGAGACAAGAGAAGAAGAGTTCCAAGGGCGCAGGCTAAACAATAAGATTCACACAGGGGTTGAGGCGGAATGCATCGTACGATTCAGAGATCTGGATGCAGGAACAGAAAGAAGGAAAGGAAAATCTATGTCCGGCAGACAGACGGTCACGCGACGAGGTGGTCAGATTCATGTACAGTAGTATGTAAATGACGGGAATAAACATCGTCTCCCGAGGAATTCTGGAGACGAGGAAAAGGGACCCTCCAAAACTCAATCGGCACCAGCGGAAGGGACCTCGAGCCTTGTGTACACGGGAGGCAGTGCTGTGGAAGTCTCCGTCGGCATGGGCTGATAATCTGGGGTAGAACCTTGGAATGTGGGGTTCAGACAGACGACGGGAGCCAGGGTCTGGGTCGGTCGGTCTCTGACTTGGGTCTCGAGCGGTGGGACGGTGGCATGAGAAGGGGGGAGGGGGATAACAGACGGAGAAATGAACGTTGGTTGACTTGACTTACCGCTGTGGCTGGTGTGACGGTTACCTGTGGCGTCTCCGTCTTCTTATTGTCCTTGTCCCTCTTTTCGCGCGGCCTGAACGCTAGGCTCTGCAGCCTCTTTAGTCTCTGCGACTTCCACCGGCCCGGCAGGCTGCTGCCAGTATCTGAGGTGGCAGCAATGGCACTGACAGGGCGTGGTCGCTGGCTGGGATTCTTGCGCAACGTCGGAGATGGGTGTGCTGGCGCCTCTGTTGCAGTTGCGGTTGCGGCTGCTGTTGGGCTAGCATGCTCGGGCTCAGATTCGGGCTCCCGTCCACGCTCGATCCCGTGGCCAAGCTTATGCTCAGTGCCAAGCTCAGGGCCTTGCTGATGCTCATGCTCATGCTCGTGCTCGTGCTCACTCCTTAGGGGGCGGTGTTCGGGCAGAGGCGTCGAGGCAGCGCTTCGAGATGTCCAGCTGGGACTAGATCTTCCTGTGTCAAGGTCCCTGCGGTTCCCACGAGACGAGTGGCCCAAGAAACCGCGGATGAGTTCCCGAGTTGAACTTCTCCGCGCCAGCCTCGCCTTGGTCCTCTCGTCCTCCTTGGGCACGTTTTTCGCGTCGTCGGGCGACGCTATCGCTGCGCCGGTGCCGGTGCTGTGACCGCTTGCTCCCGTCCCGGCGACGCTGGTCTCCCCCGTTGCGTGGGCTGGGTCCAGACCATGGGCGTTGTGTTCTAGGTTCTCCTCGGCCGGGTCTGTTCTGCTGTCGTCCCGAGCAGAGGTTCTCGAGTTGCTCTGGCGATCACGAGACTTTCGCTTCTTGAAGAACGACAGCGAGGGCATCTTCATACGTCGGGCGGCACCGGGAGGCTCTAGTTGCAGATGGCCTAATTCATGAATCGGCTTGCTGCTTGTACTTGGGCATGATAATGACAGAGTGTGGCGAGAACCGCTGGTCCGGGTTGTACTGCCGATGGGTGGTTGCCTGTGCTCCGAGCAGTTTCAATGGCCTGGTAGGTCTGGCGCATAAATAACGACGAGGATAGTAACGAGAGCGAGCAAGGACGTCATGCAGTTGCCAAATGCTGGCTGAGCTGGGTCACTCGAGAGACGAGCGACGATGACTTGACAGGCGCGGACAAAACAGATGCAAGTGGCAGCGGAAGGCCCCAAAGGATCAAATGAACGACGGTGAGCAAGTCACCTTCTTTGGTGATGCGAAAAGAGATTGGAAATCATAATTATGCTGCATCTGTTGGAATTATGAAAATGCAGCCCTCAGCCTTCCATGCTCTCTGGCCAGGCTATCGGGTTTAGCATCCGGCTCAGATATCGTCTAACTGATACACATGCCGTCTTCTCACCAACCGGAACTCCAGGCAGGTGTTCCCTGGCTACTCTAGCCGATGCCTGGGCTGCCATGAGTTCACCCTGCAGCTTCCACAGGGCCCAAGCATGCAAAGCAAGATTAGGTGTGCTGCTCGCGTGCAGCCCATTGCGACCCTGAGACTTCGAGATCAATTTCCAGGCTTCCCGTGTGTCTGTCTAACTACGGTGGTGTGCTGGCCGACGTGCTGGAGATATGATGCGACGGCGCTTGACCTCAGCCATTCGGATGCTGTCAAAGTCACCGCCAGTCGGGCACTACTGACTGTAGATGGAATGGTTGACACCAGTCTTCCAAGTTTTCCAAGGTTTTGTGCTGGGGGCTACCAGCAGCTCCAGCTATCCAGCGGTGCTGCGGTAGGCGTGGCGTTCACAGGTGCTCCACCAGCCGATGCAATTGCCAAGGCCCGATCCGACCGTCAATCACCCAGGGCCAAGCTTTAATGCCCACCCAGGCCTCCCAGTTGACAATCCACAGTCCCGCCTTGAAAGCCACATGCATGCACCGCACCACATGGTCGGCCGTCCTCACAGGAGAACATGGGCACTGCGTGCTCAGATGTCGGTCGGAAGACGGTCTGCAGCTTGTGTGACCTGTGTGGTTTTCGAGTTGCTTGTTTCACATCAACATTCGCCGTCATTCCATTGATCTGAAACAGCTGTTGGTCTTCTCGAGGACTGTCTCTGCATACTTTATCCTTGTGTACTCTTCCGTGCTATATGCGGTATGCGCAATGTCGGCTGCCACCGGTGCGGGTGAGCTGCGGCGGCAAGGCACGTCGACACATGACCCGAGATTTATCAGATCTACAGTCCCATCAGACGTCGACATGCAGAATCTGTGCCGAGATCCTGTCTATGCATTGCATGCAATGCAGGCAACGGCGGTCACTGGAACGTGCATGCTCGTTCTCTCTGTGCTGTCCTGTCGGTGCTCGAACGTGGTCTTGATATAAGGAGATGATTCAGCTTGAAATGAGCGGTGTGTCTCGCGTGACATGCTCAGCCAGTGCCAGGAGCTTCGGGTGGTCCTCCTGCGATCTTGCATTCAATGAAAGGGCCGCCGTGTCGGCGACCATAATCTGTCTGAGCCGTCCGGTCAGGCCGCCGGGGTTTCATGGATTACGATCAGCAGATATTTCGCGTCGGGGACAATGACAAGCTCCTGCTTCTTGGTGCGCACTCGAAGCAGCTTCAGCTCATCCTGGTCTGGCTGTCAGCCCCGTGCGCATCTCTTGCCCCTGGGATTGTAGTATTACCTCTGTGTCCAGGCCACGCACCAGCCCGCCGGCCGTGTTCACAAACGCCCATACCATGGACGCCAGCTCCTCGGCACCTTGCGTCTCGCTGCCCGTTCCTGCAGCCACGGCGCTTCCAGATGACGCGGGTACATCGGAGGTTGACGCGGAAAGCGTGCTCGCGGCGGCGGCTGCTGTTGACGATTGCGAGTCTGATTGCTGCTGCTGGGAGGATGTTCGCAACGAGGATATGTGCCCTGCTGTCTTGAGGATCGTGCCCGAGGCTCGGTCGAGCGCGATAGTCGCCTTCACACCGGGCTTCTTGGATAGCCGGCTAAGGGTCTCTTCGAGCGCATCGGCGCCGTTGCTCTGCGAGTCGGGCGGGCAGGGGTTAGCGCTGCAATAAACGATTGTTTGTGCAAAGGAAGAGGTTGACCCGGGCTTCCTGCGTACCGTATTTACATCTGCCATTTTCAAAAATGGTGGCGCTCGATTCAGCCTTCACAAAATATTTCACGGCCAAGTCTTGCGCAAGTAGGTCCCAGGTTGGGTGTGGGCTTTGTTTTGTTTACCTACGACGGCCTGCCGAGTTGCACCCTCGGGGAGGCGCTTACCAGGCTCCCCAAGTGCCGGTTCTCGGCCTTCACCGCCTTTGCCCAATTTGGTCGAGCTCTCAACCTCACTGAAGATTTCTCTACAACGACAAGGTAAGTAAATATCCCCGATTTCCGGGTAGTTCAGACATTGTTCCCCTGGCGCAGAGCCGTTAGAGTTATCAGGAGCTGACATTGTTCCAATGAAGTCAAAATGGGCTCAAGTGCCAGGAAAAAGAAGGAAAAGAAGAAGGACTTTCAGGCATGTCTCACGCCCTTGGGATACATGATCCACCAGCCCTAACATGAGAGCAGAAACCCAAGTTGAAGGTTGGCAAGACAAAACCGAAGTCTTCGAATTTCACAGATACAAGTTTCCAATCAAAATGTAGGCATCACTCATCCCACACCGACGAACAATTCTCACCGCACAAAGATAGCCCAGAAAACTGATGCTGACTCTGATCATAGCCATCGTCGTCAACCAACAGTCCCTTTCGGAGACAGCCCCTGATGACGTTGCTTTATTCAAGCATAATCTATCACTAGCTACCTCCCGGACTGACAAGCAGCGGCGCGAGGCTCTTTCTCACCTCATCAGCCAGCTCACGTCGACACCGCCAAACAACCCCGTCGGCGCATATGTTCTTCTCGACAAATTGTTACCACTGATCACGGACACTTCTTCAGCCATCCGCAGCAGCCTCCTGAAATTGTTCCAGGCATTGCCCTATTACGAAATCCAACCTCATGCGGACAAGGTCGTGAAATGGGTCCGCCTGGGAATGCTACACCTCTCGGCGGAGGTTAGGGACGACGCGCTCAAGTTCATGGACTGGCTGCTCGATGTCGCGGTGGATCAGCTGCTGGACGTTGCCGGCGGGTGGACGAAGACGCTGGACGCGTTCGTGGCGATGATGGGCTGGAGGAACGCTTCCGCGTCATCCGCCGCCGCCACGGGCAAAGGCTGGAGCTCGGCGCCGAAGACGACCTTTGGCGCGGACAAGGGCGGGTCTGCGTATGCTCACCAGATGGCGGCTCTGGCAAAGTTCATCCAGCTGGGCCTACAGAAGCCGCCACCGGTCGAGCCGTGGACTGATGCTCAGTACTGGGACCAGGTCTACAGATTGCCTGAGGGGCCGAACCCGTTCGGATATCTGCAGCTGTTTGGCCCACCGCAGGATGGGGAGATTTGCGCGGACACCGAGTCAAGGCAACGTGCACTGTGGCCTTTGAGGGACTTTATGGATAAAAAAGCCGCCCAGGCCCGAATGGAGGGTGGACCGGCGGGACGAGCGGCCACAGACTTGGCCAAGGCTCTTGAGGAGGGCTTTAAGGGGTATGAGCATGACGAGCTCGAGGAGTTGGACTGGTGATCGGTTTGTCGAGTCAAAAATGGCACAGCAGAAATGTGACCGGCTGCTACACATCCGTTCTTCACGGTACAGCGTTATCACCGTGGCGGGACTTAAACGTTGAGGTATTCAGGTGCGCGTTTCCCACTTTCATGCGCAGTTACATTCAGTGATGCTGTGTCTCTGTCTTCAGCATTCCTCGTGTGTCCTTGAGCCATTCCGCGCTTACTCCTAAATCTCTTGTCCGTGTGCAAGTCCTGAGCAGTCCTGGCTTTTCTTCATACTGGTTCAAAATCCACGTGGCAGCACCGTGTTGTTCCTTGACAACCCACGTTCCACGCTGGAAGTGCAAAGCCGGCTCTTGTCTCATATTATTCCTTCAGGCCTCCTGCCATGACAAATCATCTCACAGCTTTGTGCTCGCCCATCGTATCAAACTGCTCTCACTTCTGGGCCATTTTGACAAGACCGCAGAGAACAGTGCCCTCTTTGATCTCGCCCTGCCTCGAAGTTGTTCTTCACGTCGGTGTTTCATCGGCAACGCGGTCGAACTTTCATCATCGTCATCTGTGGCTACGGGGCACGAGTTGTCAGAGGGACCTACATACTGCACGGTAAGCTCTCACACAAAGAAGGTGCCAGCCTGGAACACACCTTCCTGCGACCACTCAACCGTATCTCGACGCGCCTGGCATCCTTTGCTCCTGCCACCTTCAGACTGCTTTTCCTACCTAGGCAGGCTTCAAGACCCTGGAAACCACATTTAGTACCTCCGTCCATGCCCTGTACCTAGGTATCTCTCATGTAGGCAGATGCCTGAGATCCTTGATCTCTCACCTTTCAGGCCCCGGCCTACACCTTTCCATCAGGGAGCTTTCCTTCTTAAGGCTCCCACCTCAGGTAGCTTCCACCAGCTCTACCAGCTTCCGCCGAACCAATCGATCTGGTCCACTGACCGTAACCTTTCCCAGTACCCTTGAAGCCGCACACAAAACGTGACACCACCTCGCGTTGACCACTTCGACCGCGACTTTTCTTTTTTTCCCACTTCCCCTTCTTTCCACAACGGACACTGTCTTCGCTCTCCCTCGAGAAGACAACGTCCATCAACATCCAACATCATCGTCAACCGTGCTTTGGTTCTCGGTCATCAGGCTCAGGTAAGCACCGCTTCGTCTTCTTCTGGTCAGCATTTATGGGCAAGTGTCCTTCGCCCTCACCGTCAACCGTGAACCGTGAACCGTCAACACTGAAACCACCCAACCTCCATCATGAACTCAAGGTCTGTCTCATCCACCTACACCCATCTTTCCAATCAGCCTCAGCACACGCGTCCTAGGCATCGGCCTTTTCCCTTCCCGGTCGTCTTTTGCCATCAATGGTCGCAATTGTTTTTGGCATCCACAGCTTCCCCCACCCCAGAATTTCCCTGCTGTGACGCGCCCACATCGTCACCCCGTTTACTTCACGGACTTGGGACAAGCAACATCATATCCAGCAAGGCATCTGCCTGTTTGGGTCTCGCCATCCTTTCTCATCCACTTCTTGCCTGCCTAGGCAATACCGCCCGAGACTGAACACTGCCTTGTGTCTTTCGTCTCGTCAAACATTGCCTGCAGGTAGGTTGTCCTTTTTCCAACCACGCCTTTGACTTCATCTTCCCCTGCCCTTCAACTTGTCAACTCCTTTCTCAGCAAATATCATCACGGGTCTTGACCGTCCTTCCACTTGTCCTCACGCCTGTTTCTTTCCGAGCACTCCACAAGGCTTTTCTCCTGCTTCCTTGCTCTTTAACGTTTTCCCCACCCGAGTTCCATCGCACTTACCCTCCCGCGTCATGAGCTTGTCTTCCTTCATCTTGTCCGTCAAGGTACCGTGTCCATGAGAACAACCTTGGGAAACCTGCCTCCTCACTGCCTCTCAGCATAGCCCTCTATCAGAGCCCGTCTTTGCCACCCAAATCCACCAGCACCCTACTAACGGCCTCTGCAGCTCCTTGATCTGACTGATTTTCCAGCTGTGCGCCTGCAACTGCACTTGGAGCGATTGTCCTTTCTGGTAAGTTAGTATCCCCCTTCCGCCTGCTTATCTTAACACATGACCTCTTGCCCTCATCCTCTGTCAAGCTTTCTTGGAGGCTGTTTTTGCGCTTGCTTTGCCCTTCCTTTTTGAGTTTGATTCCTTCAGCCTCGTCTTCCTGTTTCATGCAAGGCCACAATTCTGCCCCATCTCTGACCTCTCATCCTGTGTTCTCTGTGCGCTCATACTTCCTCTCAGCCCGGATAGTTCAATCTTCTTCGCCCATGATGTCTTCTGGTTGGGGACCCAAAGATGCCTCCGGCTCCGGCTGGGGCTCTGCTCAGCAGCCCAACGACAACTCCTTCGGCACCGCTGCCATGTCTGCCGCCCTGCCTGACACCAACGGCCACGGCCACACTGAGGCTGCCAGTGGCTCCGCCAACAATCCCATAGATGGTAAGTCCGCCCAGGCTGCCCCCGGCGGCGGCGGCCCTGCTGCTGAGGGTGCTGGCGCCGATGGATGGGTTCCATCCATGAAGTATGATTACGACCAATTCGCCGATGCTCGTGGCGGCGACTTCGATGGAAACAAGCGAGTCTACCACTGGGATGGCGAGGAGGGTGACCTCGGCCCAGAGTTCCCGGAGCTCGAGGAGGAGCTCTTCGGTCCCGCTGACAAGCGGGAGCTCCCCTCAGGCATCGACTTCTCCAGGTAAGTTGTGCGCCCTTTGCCTCCCTGATATGGAATGTCCAGCTAACAGCCCTCTAGCATGGCCCAGGTCGACCTCGAGCAAGAGGGTCCTGTTCAGATCCATCCAATCATGCGCTTCAGCGAGGCTGGTCTGCATCCGGCTATGATAAAGAACATCGAGTTATCTGGGTACCGAGCTCCCACCCCGATCCAAAAGTACTGTCTTCCCGCCATCACTCGTGGCCACGATGTCATCGGCATCGCTCAGACTGGTAAGATCCTCTCTCATCGGCGCGCACTGTACCCAAGGGCTGACACAACTACAAGGTTCTGGCAAGACTGCAGCCTATCTCGTTCCCATTTTGAACAAGCTCATGGGAAAAGCGAAGAAGCTTGCTGCGCCGCGTCCGAACCCGGCTACATTCCGACCTGGCATCGACCAACCCGCTCGCGCCGAGCCTCTCGTTTGCGTCGTGGTGCCTACCCGCGAGCTTGCCATCCAGATCTTCATGGAGGCGCGCAAGTTTTGCTACCGCAGCATGCTGCGTCCCTGCGTCATCTACGGTGGTGGTCCTATTCGTGACCAGATCGATCAGCTAAGCAAGGGTTGCGACATCCTCATTGCCTCGCCCGGTCGTCTCCTGGACTTCATGGATCGCCCGCAGAACTTGACTCTTCGCCGCTTGAAGTTCATGGTCATTGACGAAGCTGATGAGATGCTTCACGATGACTGGAAGGAAGATTTCGACAAGATTCTCGGTGGTGGAGGTGAGTCTTCCGCATAGCGTTGGTTCTGATTCTTTCTTGGCTGACATGCTACACAGAGCAGGAAGAGGGCAATATTCAGTACCTGCTTTTCTCGGCGACATTCCCCAAGCGTGTCCGCGAGCTCGCCATGACTCACCTGGCCACTGAGCACGTTCGTTTCCGTGTTGGTCGTGCGGGCCGAGCCAACGAGAACATCGTGCAGACGATTGTGCAGACTGATCCTTCCATGAAGCGTCAGGCCATGTACGATCTGCTGCACTCAATGCCTCCAGCGCGCACATTGATTTTCGTCAACAACAAGCGCTCCGCGGACGAGCTGGATGACTTTCTCTTCAACCGTGGTTTGCCTTGCACTTCCATCCACGCCGACCGAACCCAGCTTGAGCGTGAGGATGCGATGCGTGCGTTCCGCAAGGGTACCATGCCCATCATGATTGCTACTGGTGTCTCCGCCCGTGGCATTGATGTTCGCAACGTTTGCCATGTCATCAACTTTGATCTTCCCAGCCAGGACCATGGTGGCATCGAGGAGTACACCCACCGCATTGGTAAGTCTCGTGATACAAGTGATTTTGTCCTTCGTAACTGACTATTTCTAGGTCGTACTGGTCGCATTGGCAACCGCGGCTTGGCAACATCTTTTTACACGGAGCGCGACGAGCCGCTGGCCGCGGTTCTGGTTCGTACTCTCCTCGAGACCAAGCAGAATGTCCCCGAGTTCCTGCAGCAATACATGCCCGAGGGCGAGGAGCTCAAGAATCTCCAGTTCCCTTCGGAGCAAGATGATGATATGGGAGGCGCGGATGCCGGAGCCTGGGGCGAGGGTGCCGGCGACGATGCCGGCGACGCTTGGGGTGGTGGTGGTGGTGACACTTCTGGTGCTGCTGCCGGTACCGGCACTGGAAATGCGTGGGGCGGCGGCTTTGATGGCGGCGACGCCTGGGGTAGTGGTGAGAAGACTTCTGCTGCTGCTTCTGGTGGCTGGGAGACTGGTGGTGCCTCCACTGGTGGTGGTGGCTGGTAAGGAAGTTGGCCTTTCTTCTGTCCCCTGGTTCCTGGCAGTATGGCAGCGTTCTTTGAATGATGCCCCGAGTTTGATGGAAGAGACTTTTTTATGAGGGAAGCTCTTCTTGTCTTCTGGTTTCGGTCCTGCATTTCGCGGCAAGGTTGTTGAGCACATTGGTGGTAGAAACTTTGCGAAGATCCTAATGGCCAGTCTGGTCGGCAGTCTGATTCGGGCATGCAGCATGTCTCCTGTCATGTGCCGTCAGATCTGTTTACATCTTCAAGTAGACTAGCATCTTTGATAGTTGATCAACAGCCTGGATTCATTTGCTTTGACTGTCACTCAGTGAATTGTGATGATCAGATTTTCCTGTATCCCTGTCTCCGCAGCTTCAGAAACCCAAGACACTCACGTAGCACCGTTTGTTAAGTCTCATAGAAGGGGGATCGGGCACTTCCACTTTGGTTCCGGCGACGCTCATTATACTGCCCTCGTGATGAGCAGAGTAAAAGCCGCCGCGTGAAGGTCTCACTTCTGAGCACCAATACTGCCATGACAGACGCTGAACCAATGCATAGGCCTTAGGGGCTCAACTGTGCTATGCGGGTATTTGAAGTCTACAAATCAGTCACTGATGTCGTGATCAACTCCCTCAAGACGTGATTCCCGCTCATCTCCTTGAACTTGAGCTGAAACCCCTGAACGCTCTGTACTGTAGTACATGCATAACTGCCAACAGCATTCATTCAGTGCTCGAGGACGACCTCGTGTGCGCTAAGCCTTGCCTGTGCCCTCGCCAGAACGCATTGATGTGGATCTCGCGTTCGGGTAAGGGACGGCATTTCTTGGTCGGACCGGCCTTCAGCCTCGTGGAGAAGACGCAAAAGGACACGAAAGAATCTTCTCTCCTCGAGAGGCACCAGGGAGGTGGTTTCTTTGGTTCAAATAGAAGCCCTGATGCGTATGCACATATTAGCGGCGTGTTTCATGCCCACAATGCCGCTCCCTCCCTCTAAGATGTCTGCCCTCGCTCTCCACAACAGACAGCTTGTATCCCTACCAGGAACTCCGGCAACTGTTGCCGACATTGGCACGCAACTACGGGTCTCAGCCTCGTCTGATCCTGCTCCCGTGCAGATATTCGCCATAGAATAAGCAAGGCTATGGATGGGACAGGACTGGTCCCGTCCCATCTCGAGCAGACACCACATGGGCCAAGTGAAGATGTAGAGCCACAAGACGGTCTCTCGTGCAGAAAATTACGCAGGACGAGCTAAAGGGCTGGCTCGCACATACGAGATGCGCCTCTTCGACTGGATGCTCATTCAGCACAGTCATAGGGGATTGCTTTTCTCCCCTATTCTTTTCCCCCGGCTCGCCTCAGCTGGTGTCGGCACGGGGCAACGACAAGTGCTCTCGTGGACTGGAGACCACGGCAACTCGAGCTGAGATACTGCCAAAGGAGGCACACACGGCTAGCAATCTGAGCGGCAACAGCAACAACGGAACTGACGACGGTACGCAAGCTGCTGTCAATGTGTGAGGCCACCGGGAAGCGCTGAGGCAGGATGGGTGGGCACACCCGGAGGAATTACAACTTTCTGTGCCACCAGAACTTCCTTGTCTAGAACTCCATTTGATGCTACCCCACGCCCGTCCTCAGGGTGAGGTCTGTCCTAGAATCAATTTCTACCTTACGTGTCTCTTCAAGTCACAGGCCTTTCCAGCAAACTCGCTTCGAAAGCGAGTGGTTTTCTCAAAGTGAGTCACCCGGAAGGAAGACGCGAAGCATATTGGGACTGTTATGTGGGTGAACTGCCGTCACAGAACAGTATGGAGAGAATTCGGTCACTGAAATAAAGTGACACGTTCCAAAGGTAGCCTGTCTCCTCACACCACAACGTGCATCCCTTGGCCCATGAGCTGGCAGCATGTCTTGTGAACATGACAGCCAGACTGCGACGCAGAGGTTGGAACCATCAGGCAAAAGTCCCTCCTTACACGTTCCCGTCCTACGTCGGCCTTCCGGAAGCGTGACGTCGTGCGCATGGTCCGAAAAGGACTGGATTCCACAACCAACGACCGGGACGAAAGAAGAGACACACAGACCATCACATCATGGCAAGGGAGTGAGACAGATGTTTCGAGGAGCTTTGCTTACTTTCATCTATCTTCTGCATTCGGCTCGCCGACACCAGGTTTTAGAGCACTCGCCGGAGCCAAAAACGGTCAAGTCTTGTGACCTTTTGACTCCAGCCAAGCCATTTCGGCCAGTAGCCTGAAGTGATCTGATCGAGCATCACACACACACATAAGCTATTGCGTCCCCTCCCAGGATCGCGATCTGTGATGTGACCCTTGCCAAATCTTGCAGTCTTGCCGTCTAACGCGCGCGGGAAGGAGGGGGAAGGGCCAGCATCAAACGCACGTACCAGGCTCCCCTCCGGCCCATCCGGCCCAACCGGCCTGGGCCAAGATGATACTCCACAGGGGACGGCTGCGGTTGACAGGAAATTGTAGTGCTTATGTGGAGGCGAGCATTCGTGCCTGATAATTAATGCCCTCAGCTGCACATGAATGACTTCTTATCCGCGTCGTGAGGGACGACAAGAGGGCCAAGCCTGGTAGAATGCAGCGGCAACACTTGTTGCCTATCTAGTGCTTGTCCAGTCGCTCTGACGCACGCCGTTGTTCGCGAATACGACAGGACGCAGGTTTTGAACTGATTCCTCCTGTCCGAGATATTCACGATGGATGGCCGGAGGATTGCGGTCATGGTTTGGATCCACGCTCTGCCTGCTCACCCATGCATCAGCTGACAAACCAGGGGCAAAGCGGAGGCCCGGCGGTACTCCGATGAAGACGACGTTTAACAGTTCTGGGGGAACTCTCACCGATACAACGGAATGTATATAGATCTACAACAGGATTCAGATGGCCCTGGCATCTAAGCAACAAAGAGCCTTCCGTCTGGAGATCAGCTTCACGGTGGTGTTTGGGGGCACGTACCTCTGAAGAGAACACTTTGAGGAGGAATTACCATGTGACAAACGGGATATGAGAATTGACCAAATGGAAGGTCCCTCATGTTGAGACAGCCGTACTTGGTGGTGGGTGTGTTGGACTTGGAAACTCTTGCCGCTACCAACGAACCAGCCCGGCTTGAAGCACCATCGTGAGCAGCCCCTAACAGCCCCGGCACGGAGGTTCACGGCCAACAGGATGCCACCAAGAGGTTCAGTTCCACAGTGACATGAGGCCGGGTCAGGTCAGATGCGTGTTCCAGATAGCGCACAAGAGCCTGGCCCCGAGCCTTGGGTTGGTTGCTTTGATGAGTGGTGGGCGCTCCGACTTGTCCTATCACGGAGGCCATGGTTAGTTTTTCTCGGGATGACTCACTCGGGACAACCAGTGCGGCGGGACTGGGAGGGAGTATAGGTCCGCCTGACCGGACAGACCAAGGATTTGAGCCGGGTTCGGCAAAAGGTCTGCCCAGTTGAATGGTTGGGTAGGAACTCATTGTTCTAGCCTGTGGGTGTGGGGCTGTAGGACCTGTTCTGCCGGATTACCATGATACCAAGCAGTTGCGTGCGAAACTTGTGATGGTGGCATTGCGTGAACGTGTAGGCGGTCCTCGTTTAGCACAGGCCCCGTTCAGCTTGTTCGACCCGGTTTCGCGGGTAGTGGTAGCATTGGGGATTTCATGGAACCTCAAGAAGTCTGTTCTTGTGTATCACGGACACTCGAAGTCGTCGACCTCAAATCTAAAGGTTTTGTTTTTGCCTAAATCTTGAATTGTTCTGCTCTGCTGCTGGGTAGCGAACGGCGAAAGCTTCGAGAGCTCTTTTGCTGCTGTTGCTGCCGAGGAAGGATTACCGTCCGCTCTGGAGATGGCCTCATGTTGAAGGAAATCGCCGAGTGCTGGACCGGCCCTCGTCTTGTCCAGTGCAGGTTTCGTCGTGCGTGTCGTGTCGGCAGAGAAACTCGAGATGTCCGGCGGATCGTCAGCGGAGCTAGCTGCCTGCTATGCTTTCGCAGCTCTGGCGCCTACCCGCACTTTCTTCCCATCCAGTTGTCTCTCGTTTGTCTGCCGTGAGGTATGCCTCGACGAAGCGTCGAGCAAGCATACCCCATCCGAACGCCTCGCACACGACGCTGCTCTTCCCTTCATAAGCCATCGACTCCACCAGATGGATGTTCGAACAGGAAAAGCAAACTTATTTCACACTTCATCGTACACAGTTCAACCACCCATTTCCATCCCATGCAGAACCCTATTTGAGCCCAAATTGACACCTTCCCAATGCATGCAAAACGCAACGACGCGCTTTTCAGCCCCGAGCTCTTGGCTGCCCATCCAAACGGTCTATCGATCTGGACGCTGCCAAAGAGCAGTGGTATCAAGTCCTCCATCCAGCCTCCCAACACAAGACATTCGATGTTCCAGATTATTTTTTTAAAAAAGCGAAAAAGGGAAAAAATATAAGTGATAGTGATTGTAGTAATGGCAATGGACTAGCCGGGGTGTGCAACCACGCGGCAAGCCATCATTTAATTCAAAATACCCGCCCACATCCCGGGACCTCCTAGACCTCCCATCGCAGGGTGCATAGACGAAATGCTGTACTGCGCAGCTTCAGCTGAGCAACAAATTCGCTTTCGGCCATCGTGCGACGAGGTTGGGAGCGGCACCTGATAGCTGTCGTCGGAGCCTACAGAGGTGTACTGTTCGCGCAACATCCCACGGACATTCTCCTGAAGACCGTGGTCGACTGAAACTGGTCGGCTTCGCTTGGAACCGATCTTGGGTGCAGAAGTCGCCATCTGCGGTGTAGCATGCGAACGCCGCCAGTTATCGTGCAGCTCCTGGAGTGCCCGAGCCGCATCGTTGGTGGCATCGTCAACCTCGCTTTCTCTCTTTGATGCAAGTGTCTCAAATGACATGCCTCTCAAGTCATTGCTCACCGGTCCGGTGTATAACTCGGGGGAGGAAGTCATGTTCTCTTCATAATCTTCAGGGACCGACGCGATAGTGGGCCTAGACGCATACCTCTCACTACACAGCTTCGCAGAACGGCAGCGCGCCAGCACATCCAACTTGGTGTGCGGCGCGCTGGTAAGCGATGACGCCGATGAAATTGAGGAGGAACGAGACGTTCGGGACGTGTCCGAAATCATTGACTCGGGTGAAGATGGTGTTGAGACTGAGTTTGCAAGAGAAGACCGACGGGTTGCCGTGTAGTAGTTCTGTGGTGAAGACGTAGTTGGCCACCTTTCCATCTGCGCATTGCCAGCTGCGCCCATTGCCAGGCTCATTGAAGAGCTCCTGCCAAAACAGTGCGACAAGCTTGCCAGTCCGGGGGAGGGCTCGCGGGCAGCACTGGGCTGCGGGGTGAGACGTGGAGTAGGAAGTAGCCCAAAGGTTGGCGGTAGCCGCACAACGGTATGAGCTGGTGATGGCGCGGGTTCCATGGTGTTGGGGGTGGTGTAAGCTCTCGGGGTTGGCGTGGCACAGTCATATCGCCCCGGTTTGTCCTGGGCTGCAGCCAGGACTGATCGCGGCGATAGTGACCTCGGGCTCATGGAAGGCGCAGGAGTGAATCCGCCCATTGACACGATGTCTTCCAAATTGTCCAAATCGGCGTTCAACTGGAGTATGATCCTCTTGAAGTCCTCGCATTGATGCTCGAACTCCACGAGGGCAACGCCAGATCCGGGCGATGGCGGCTGGGACGGCGTAAACTTCATGACGCAGTCAGTCCAGCGGTTGTACACCTCCTCGGTGACGTGCAAATTCCAGTTGACCGCGAGAAGGAACGCCATCTCGTTCTGGTTGATCTCGTGGGTAGCGAGACCGGAGATCTTACTCCAGGCGCGAGCCGAGTAGTTCCTGTCCTGCAAGTATTTCGAAGCCAGGATCAGAGCCGCGAGAAACATTCGGCGGCCACACTGAAGAGCGCGACTGGCATGGCAGTCATCTGTCTGCTCCATGGTGAAGTCGCGATCTGGGAGGTGGTCCTTGATCAAAACTAAATAGTAAAGTGCGACCTGCAAAGTCGAGTAGCTTGTCCGAGAACGGCGCAGGGTCTCTTGAATAAAGGTCCGCAGAGGCAAGACGCTCGAGTTGCTAGCCTCTTCGCGGCATACCACAGAAGACGTTGGCCAGATGGCCTCGACGATCTGAGTGGAAGAATCTAAAGCGAAAGGGTCTGTTAAAACTCGGGCCGGTGAAGTGCGCATTGGTACTCGTCACGACTTACCGACAAGATTGTCGACGAAGTTGTGCTTCCGCTCGACCTGTCTGACCAACGGGGGTGGGCAGCCGGTTCGGGATGTCGCACTACTGGAAGTCCGCCGGGGGTTTTGGCGCAGACCCTGGGGTAGAATGCTGCTCGACCTCAGGGAGGCGCAAGAGCTCTGCTGGGAGAGAGACGGACGGGATTGAGGGAGGTAGTCGGAGTAGTCGGTGAGGGAGGAAGTTGTGGAGTAATCGGCGGAGAGTTGAGACGATGCATCAGAACATACCGAGACCGAGGAGGCCGTTGCGGAGGAGGCTAGTGAAGAAGTATATAACACATTTCGGTAGGCTGTGACGAAGACCGGCGAGTCGACGTCTGCGGGCTTCATCTTGATTCGAGGTTGCGCAGAGGAAGAGGGAGGAACGTCGTCGAGCTATTTCGAGCGCGAATAGAGCCTCTATGTTTTCCAGTCGCAATATCTAACCAAGAAAGGGCCTTATGCGGAAGCCATCGTGTGCCACATGAAATATTACTAGTCGGGATTGGTGTTATGGGATTGGTGGAGTCGTGAGTGTCGCGAGGCTGTGTTCCAAAGGGATTCCGTTGGATGTCGAGTCCCACTAGACGAGAGAGTATGGAGAGGTCCGCAAGGTGTCGGTATTTCTGATGCAGTCGCCGTTTGCTGGCGATGTCATGCCGTCGAAAAAAGAGGAAGAGAATGGTTTTAAATGGATGTCATCAGACGCCGCTGTTATTGAATCGTGAGTAACTGCTTGTTGTCCGGGAGGCAAAGGCACAAAGGGAGGGTGAAAGCGAGGACCGGAGCCTAGCAAGCCCGGCGAGAAGGAAGACTCAGCTCTAGGCAGTGGCAGGCCAGGCTGAGGGCAGGTGACAAGACGGGATGAGTATGACGGTGGATTATAGGATGGGGTATTGTATGAGTGAGGATGGTGAGGATGGTCTCTTGCCAGGCAGTGTGTTGGTCACTCCGGCATTTAATGAGGTTTAGGTATCCATGGCCACGGCGATGGGTGGTGGCAGGTTGAAGTCCCGTTTTACGTGTCTCTCGATGACTCTTCCGGACGTGTGATAGGAGGGAGAGTGGCGAAGACAGCGTGGGTGGATATGCAACCGGCCTTTGCCGCCCATGAGGAGAGAGGCTGGCTTGGGCCTTGGTAGGCTGGGTAGGCAGGGTAGGCAGGGGGGTGAGTGTGGGCTGTCCGAGGGATGGGCTGGGCTGGGCTGGGCTGGGCTTGCGGCCTGTACTGCGGGAGGGGGGACCAACGGGAGGACGGAGGCACCTACCTGGCTAGAATGAACGGTAGTGTGACGGGCTGGGGGGCGAAGGCGGTAGCCTGAGAATGGGTCTTTGGGGGTCTTGGGCCTAGCTTGGGCTGCTGGGCTTGTGTGGCGAGTGCGCAGCGCGTGCGTACGGGCTCGGGCTGTGACTGACTCCAAAGGGGAGTCCGAAACAGGAGATCCTGGTGATCCTGGCCCGACTCTCAAGACTGACTAACACCGGCCAGCACCCAAAAAAAGAAGTCGTCGTTGGTTCGGTTTCCAAGCCCCGGCAGGGACAAAAAGAAAAAGGAAGGGAGGCGGCGAGGGGTGAGTCGATCACACGGGCGAAAAAGGTATTAATGTCGGTGGATGGCCTGACTTGTTCCCTTGTCCTCGCAGGAGCAAATGAATGCCGCACAAGGAGACGGAGAGGACAGCCCAAACGAACCGCGGGTGGGATTGGGGACAAAACAGAGAGTATGGGTATAATGAGGAGAACCGATTGAGAGGAGATTCTGGTCAGGGAACAACGAGGCGAACAGCAGAGCAGAGCAGAGCAGTGCGCAAAAGATCAGACCGGAACCACGAGATGCTGAGGAGAGAAGAGTTGTCGACCTGTCAACCAGATGCTCAAGCAGACTACGAGGAGTCGCTTTGCATCTCTCAAACGGTGGAATCGAGCATCTTGACTGCTCTATGGGGGGGAAGGAAGGGAAAGGGGAGCGCAGGATGTGCTGTGACGCGGGCACTGAAGCAGTTTTGAAGATTGCCGTCCACACCTGGCAGTCTCCCATCCATGGACGGGGTACCTGCGGCGTGCGCCAGATCTGTAGTGCAGCGCAGGTACCTCCCGAGCATGGCAGGGCCGAAGGGGGTCCTCTCATTGCCCATCAGCAGGAGCGAATGGACGTGTTGGCGGCCCGTAATCAGACTAGCGTGCGCAATCAGCTGGCAGGCGATTGGCTGCAGCCAAAGGTGGGAGTGGAGTGGCCCACATCTTTCCCATCCTCTCGCACACAGTAGTTGCCAGCCCCCCCCTGCCACTTGACTTCTTACAGTGCTGTTACTGCAACTTCCTCGCATCTGCAGCAACCGACCAGCCCCGTTTCTGCCTAGCTCGGTCTCTGCAGGTGCAGGCGCATCTCATCTCATCGACGGCAAGGTTGACAAAGAGATGACTCTTACGGCTTTGCCCCCAGGACAGAAACCTACGCCCGGTGGCCTACAGTGAAAGTTCGTGTGTCTATCTGTCTGTCTGTGTGTCTGTTGTCTGTTGTCTGCATGTGTGTGTCTGGCCGGCATGCAAGAGGCCTTTTGAGCTGTTTCCAGCTCACTTTCACCCACACACGCGCGCCCGCACGCCACACGCGCACACACACAACACGCATGCGTGCATGTGCTTCATCATTTATTTCATCAAACCGCTCACGGACATCAGCTCATCTGCTTGTCTTGACGACGACGGCGAGCGGGCCACAAAAGCCCTGGGATCTAGACACGAGGATTGAGAGTGGTAATGCGAATGATAAGAAACGGATCGTGAAATTTCCAGGGTCGCAAGAGTCATCATCGGTGACGAGAATGAGATGAAGGGGAAGGGGGCCGTTGAGAGGGGACATGGATGCTGTCCCCAGAGAACCCGAGTTGTTCCCCCGAGGTCCTTGGCACCACTGGCACTCACCCGTTATCATTACTCACTCTGGCGGCAATGTCAGTGCCAGTGTTACGGTTACTATTAGCAGCATTTTTTTCACCAGCAACCCAGTCAGAGTCAGCGGTCAGTCGACCTGTAGGCATGTGGGACTGGACCTAAGTCAAGCTTACCACTGTCCCGCGAGCATACATTGACTTTTGATGATTGATGATTTGTATGTGTCATGTACACGAGCGACAGCAGACGCGCAATACGATGCTTCAATACGGGACTGGCGAAATTGCGATGACCTCACGCTGCTGCTTGCTGCCGTTCAAACATACACAACCAGCAGAAGATGCAAAACATGCCAAAACCATCTTTAGAAACTGCGTATGGCCTCGTCCACCTGGATTTGTGGGCGAGGTGCGGCGCGGGTGGCCGTTGTTTCTCATCGCCTCCAACATGATCGATCATTACCTACCTACCAAGGTAGACCACACAGTTCTGACATTACCAACACCATCATCATCACCACTCAGGGCCAGCCAAGGCCAGGCCCTAAGCCCCCTCTCGCCCTCGCCTCGCCCCTCGTCTAAGCCCAGCCGGGCCCTAATAATAAGTCTGGCTGCAGCCGCCGCGCCCGTGCTGCCGTGCTGCGGTGTCCGTTAGCATCCGAGGCTGCGTACGGGGCAGCCCGGCTAACATGGTACTCCCCCACTGCCCTTCCCTGCTGCCTCCATCGCAGATTCCCATCCATCGTCGTAAGCCACTTACCAACCAACCCCGTTCCCAAATTTGGCATCAACGATCCTGCAGTTTCATCAGAGACACAGCCTTGGCTCACGGTGGATGCAGTAGCTGTCGGAGGACGGGTCGCTGGATTGCTTCTCGCTCTCGCTGCCGTCGAGCCTTTACGCAATGATCCACAATGCCCGAATGCCAACTGCCAGGCTGTTTAGATTTGCTGTGTTTAAACGTCCAAACCGAGGCGACACGGTGCGACAATGTTACATGTCGTTGTCTCTCCCGTCCTACACTGGGGGACACACACACCTCTCAAGTGCCTGGCCAGCCACGGGCGACCACACCAGCTAGCTGCCTGCTGTCCAGGAATCCTGTGCATCAGCAGCATCAACCTGTCGATTCAGCGAGCAGGCTGATGGAACAGCAATCAGCAGTCTCTCACCAGCTCTGTCACATCACCACATGCATGGCTCAAGCCCCAGAGCTGCCTTCCCCATCATGACACACCCGAGGGCGATCGCGAACCTGCGATTCCGAAGTCTGCCCCACCTTGGCTTCAGAGAGCCAACGGTAGTGAGGTGACCTGCTGTTCAGTGTCCGGTCGCTCCGCAGCATCAGTTACACATATCCCTCCTGAGACGGCACCAGAATCAACGGCACTTTCGGTATTGGGTTACGTTTCCCGAGACTCTGGTCTCCCATGTCTCTCGACTCCCACCCTCGCCGGCTTTATTTTGTTCTTGGGATGGTGGAAATGCAACAACCACGCCACCTAGGAACAACCCAATCTCACTGTGATGCTGCCATCTCAGAGCATGCTCCTGTTCCTTCTCGCCTGCTGTCTCACCGATCACACAACACCTATGTCATGCTGGCGTTGGTCTTTTAAGCAGACATCAGGCAATCCGCTCTGCCTTGTGACCGATTAGAATTTGTCTGCGGCCATGTCTTGGAGCCAGGCAAATGTGGCACAGCCGGCCATCCATTCACCATCATCGGCTTCAGGCCTCCTACGGCGGGCGACTCGGCCACTTTCTGCATTTCTGTCTGTCCGTTGAAAGTTTGGCACCCCACAGAGAGACAACACCACTGATGGGTCCACTCGGATGCAGAAATGCAATGCTATCGGTCACCCCACACGGGGCCCTGTGCAAGCCCGCCTGTACTCAGCCTGCTGCTGGTCGTCACCGTGGGCTGAGACCGCTCGGGAGGAGAGGAGCGGAGCGGCCCCCAAGGCCCCTCCCCCACCGCCTTCGAGAATGTTCACGATGCTTCACCTGATCTATTCCATTCCCAGCTGACTTGCTCAGCATCCACATGGGCATCAACGTCACTGCTCCAAAAGTACTCGCAAGCCCTCAACCTGTTCCGGTAGGGGATCCCCGAGCGTGCCCCCGACTTACCGGTCTGCAGTGTCGAAACCTGGAGACGCCTCCCCTGTTACACGTGCCCCAATCAACACGGGCCCAGTCTTTCCCCGCTCCGCCATGGTTGCATACCTTCCTTGTGCGAGAGCGTGATGTCTGGGTGTGAGGGAGGCTTCGCTCACACACTCGCCCATGGTGCAGCTGTGGGCCCACACTCTGCCCTTCGTGTTAAGCAGATGGCAAGGGCGCTGAATCCAACTACTGACGCGGACCGAATGGGAACCAGTCTTCGCGTGCCAGCAGCATGAACTTATCAAGCAGGCAGTGTCATTCTGCGTCAAGCATTTTGCTGCCTCAACCATAGCACAGGACTTGGGTCAAATGTGATCGACAAGGCGGACAACTGGCCCCGTCCCTGTGCAGGCCATGTGGTCGAAGCCAGGAAAAGTTCCAGAACCCGATTTATCGACTACCAAACTCGAAACAAGCCAATCCACCTGTCACTGGACTCTCGCGGCACATCCTTAACACGTTATGCTATCGCAGCCGCCGCACTCCAGCTATGTGACTCTACCTAAAAGAGGTTCACCCGATGACTCAACCGCTTCCAGCCTTACTATAGACGAGGCAGAGTTTTGGTCATGCTGAGCCAGGCTTTTTGAAGACTGTAGAACAGGGCCTTATCCCGAGCGACCTCGGAGTCGATCGTGATCCCGTTGGAGTGCTCGCTGTAACATTCACGGCGTGAGCGATCGAGACGTTTGAACAAAGCTTTCCAGGCCTTAGTCGCCCAGCCTAGCTCACGGGATCTAGTGTTTAGATTCGGCCTAGACACCTTGGCTTGGACAGAGTGTCCTCGCACGAGGTGTTCGCAGCGGCAGAGGCGTATAATGACGAGCCGAAATGAAAATATCAGCGCAATCCGTGACCGAAAGCGGCACAGGCAGCAGAGCAGAGACGTGTCTTTACCGCGCGGTTGGACCACAAGGTCGTCCTCGTGAGATGAGGTTTTACGATAACCGCGCCGCCAGCTCAAGGCTGACTCACTCGTCATATGTTCCCCAAGTGACCAACGACATCGGCTGGGGGGCGAGCCTTGTGGCTGGTTTGCTGGTTTGGTGACGTGCAATCTTGTTTTTTCCTGACACGAGGTTTTCGGTATCAACCTCCCAGCCCCTATCAGCCATCGTGATCGGCCCCGGCAAATTCTTTCCAAATTCGTGAGGAATTTCCGATCGCCCAAGATTTCGCTCTCGTTTCGGCAAAGAATTGCAAGATGGCTTGCCTGGCCGAGAGAAGTTGGTGGTGTGCTGCCGCCCAATGAGGACCCGCCTGCGGTATTTCGTAAGAAATGAGCAAGCCCTGTCCGTGAACACTAGGGCGGCGCTCATCACCACCTCCCTCTTGCGGGGGCCGAGGTCTTCCTGATCCGGTGCAAGATCGGGGCCACTCTCCTTCGCCTTCGCCCCTGTGCGAAGCACAATGCCAAGCCATCGGTCGGTCTCGAGGCCCGAGCTACTGACCGTCTCACCTTTTTCTCTCGTTACAGTGGCGTTGCCGGCAACTCTCGGGTTCACTGATGATGATGGCAATTCCATTCCAGGCAGTAATCGACATTGACGATAGCCTCGGATTCACCCTGCAAACAAGCAAGCCTAGTTCTTGGCAATCCATGACGACGATGGCGAGGCCTCGCGGTCTAAGGTGCGTGGCGAAGCGTGGGTCGGACCGACGGGGCCCTCACGACGAAACAAACGCCCCATCGCAACCGACTTCGTTTACTGCACACATTGACAGCCTCGCCAGGCAAGCTGCGATGGAGTAATGGAGCGGGAAAATGATCCACTTTGTTGCTTGTTCTTCCTCGCCAAAACAACAAGCAACATCGAGTGGTCACCTAGGCCCCAAACAACCTCGCCTTGCCCGGCCCCGTCGGGCAAAAGCGGTGAGCCCCAACCGGGACAGCGCTTGGTTGTCTGATTTGCCAGCTGGTCCGGCTCAGCCAGGTGGCAAACTGAGCAGGGATCGGGAAAGCTTTACCATCCCGCTGAGTCACTCTGGCTCACGTTTCAACGTCCGATGTCGTGTTCGCGTGTCGCTGGCGAACAGAACGGTGAGTCTGTCACCCATAACGGCTCGCTATCGCATGGATACCAGATCTCGCGGACCACGACGGCCAACGAGTGAGTCTTTGGAGGCCGTTCGGAGGAGTCAAGTGACTCCATCCCCCTGCCGCCGGCGGTGCCTCCAAAGGGTCACAGCCTTGGCGGCCTCGCCTTGGAAAGCCGTGTCGTACGGACACGCTCATTCATTCATTTCACCCATGTCGTCAAAGCTTCCCACCGAGGCGGCTATTCAGCAACGCTCGTGGGATTCAGGCCATGGGCCGTCACTCATCATCGTCCATTGTCGAGTTTCCGCTCCATCCAATCTTGGCAGGCCCATTTGTCATGGTCATGCGGCGATAGGTCTCGCCCTCCGGGAGCTTCGGCCAGCCCAGGCAGGATGAATGGTTAGCTCGGTTCCAGTTCAGCTCAACCGGGGCTGGTCAAGGGCAATGCTGAAATACGATAGTTGTCTGCTAGCGTAGGCAACACTCGAAATCATTATCTTCAGAAAGAGATTAGTTGCTTTACAGGTAGATTGATTGTAATCATTGGGATTAAGATGGTGTCATGTGGTCGCAGTTCTCGGGCTGCCTGTCGAGACCACGACTGCAAGGGAGCCGCACTGGCTGACTGGCGGACAATTCACGTGGCAAGTGACACTAGGTCGGCTTTGAATAATGAACTCGCGTTTCAACGTAATCTTTGCATTTACCGTTGTCCTCGCCCGTGCTTTCCCCGAGCTCATGAAGTGAAGGGGTTGTCGCAGGCCGTCTCGGGGAGTTTGACACGGGGGCAAACCCACTGGCCGTCTCCCCGGATGACGCCTATGCGAATACAATTGCCACCAAAGCCACCGCCACCCATCCAACAGCGCTGGTGCGCGCCGAGCGCAAAGCTCCTGACCACGGCAGACCTACCTTCCACTCCACCAAGGGCGAATTCTCGCCAGCGCAGTGGACGCTCACGATAACTGTAGGCATGCGACTGGGGTCGTTGCTCAACCTCATCGCCTGCTCTACAAAGTACTTGACGTCGATATTGCCAAACCTTAAGTTGACATCAGTTAGTCCATCGCATTTCTTACTCCCATCCACAAGCAAAGAGCGTCAGGAGAGGGGTTGGAAAGGGAGAGAGATGAGCGTGAGACTCACTGAAAATACAAATTCACGTCGTCCACGCGGGCTACATCAAAGGAACAGGTGCCCCAGCTGAAGAGCAGGGCGTATATATCGCCCCTTCCGTAGCCGGTGACCGTCCAGTATCCGCTCCGGCCGGAGACGTAGTCTACGACCTTCTGGCAGTCTGCCTTGAGGACCACCTTCTCCCCGAGGGCCTTGGCCTCGCCGTAGGCACAGGCCTCTTGGTCTTCGCCGAGGGGTAACCATACCACTTGGCGTTCTAGGGCAGCCAGGTCGTTGCCGTAGTCCGGTGATGCTGTTTTGTTGACTGCGGCCATGCTGTTTTCTGCTGGGCCTGGATGGTTCCGCTGGGCTTGTGCGCCTGCGGCGATGAGAGACGTTGAGAGGAGAATGCTTGTTAGCTTCATTGTGTCAATCCTACTTCGTCGTTTGACTTACAAATCATATGTCGTCCGGTACCAATTGGCAATATTGAATAATGCTTTATACTTGAGTTTGAAGGAGACTGACAAGTGCAGAAGATCCGACGAATCGCAGTGTGATATGTAGCAAGGTCGCCAGTGACTTCCAGACAGCTGTCGACTCATTGTGGACAGTTACTTGCAGCTCCTCCCCGACGCAGGTGTTCATCTTTATCACACGGATGTGTCCACCTCAAGTTCGGTTGACAGGCTGGTCATTCGAGGCCTTTCCGTTCTCCTCGAGACATAATTTGGCCTCTAGCAGGGACATGGAGATTTGCTTGACAGTGGAGTGCGTGTGTGAATTGGCTTTAGGAGAAGAATCTAAAAGCCAGCCTAGGCTCGGCTTGCAGGAAGATGGTTCTGCTTGATACTCGTGAACTGCATTTTGCAGTTGGCGGGTTTTGCCCCTGCTTTCTCTCACGGCGACAAGCCGGGGATCTGTACAGAGAGCGTATTTCGACCAGCGACCCAAGCTGAAGGACAGGACTGTTCGGCTCTCGAAAACTGGCACAATTTAGGCTCACGATGTTCCTTGGGATAGTTGCTTCCGCGTTGGCCTTCACTTTTCCAGTACCATGGGCTCTGTGACGCCCAGGAGCCTCGCAGTGTACTTGCACGCGGGCTCTAGTTCATAGGCATTTCGTATTGTTGAAAAGGCGCCCTCACACGTGTAGCACACATTCATACACGCCCGTGGACCGCTCTTAAACTTCCTCTGCCGGTACGTATCTTGGATCATATGGGAGCCCCTAATCACAACTTGGCCGGTTCAGACTCGGAGTTCCTTGGTTGTGGCTTTGGACTCGCAACATAGTACGTGCTCACCGACCTGGACCGTCGGGCATGCATCAAGTCCACCAAATGAGTGTTGCGAGACTTTTGTGCAAAACAATCCACTCGACTGGAATGGTCTTCAGAAGGCGCTTGAGCGAGGATTGTCAGAAAGGATCTGATCTTCTCCGAAATGTTTATGACCTCACCTCCATCATCTTTTCCATCATACTTCAGTGATTTCTCCTGGGTTGACAAATCCACACAACTATGTATCAAGGATAGGGCAATTTATCGTGTACCAGGTATTCATTTAAAATAAATCTGGCTCAGACAGTGCGCTCGGAGTATGAGTTAGCTGTGGGGGTAAATCTTGCGTGCCCCTAAATCTTCACACGTGGTCGAAGGCCTGCGGCTCTTCGACGCGACCAGTACCTGGGAAAATGAATCATTTTTTGGTGTTCTTCATGGTCTCAAAAGAAAAAAAAAAAAAAAAAAACAACAACAAGATGCTGCATCCTAAACAGCATATTTGTGTTCGGTGATGTAGTCATGCAGTACATCCATCGGCTCTGGTGCCGGCGCCTGTTGCGAATTCTTGGTTATTATTTATGTCCAATTGCCCTGGCATGTTGCAGGGGAAACAGTGTAACTCATCTTGAGGCGTTACTATCGGCTGCACTGCATTCGCGGCCTCTTCCTAACATACTCTTCTTTAGCATGGAGTTATGGTCGCACCTGGTGCTCTGTCTGAACCTGGAATAGAGTTGCAATGGATCCTATTACTACGCTCTGTAAATGCAGCAGGGTATGTTTCAAATGCCTCTAAGTTTGAGACAGGCCTGGAGACTGTATCCACAGTCTGTTGTTCATTTCTACTTCCTCTTCAGTTTGCGCCGGTCCATGGCCAGTGCCAACATGCACTCTTCGTTCCAAAGCTGATGACCTTCTCTCAAAACAGGTTCCGGTGCTTGAAATCACACATCATGTCGGGAATTCCGGCGTCGTGCTTCCCATTCCAAAGGGCATAAAAAGCTTATATCTCTCCCCGCATTAGAATACCCTTCTGGTACATCAAACTGGTATTGGCTTTGGATAAGAGACAAAGTGTTAGGGAATAGACTTCGACAGTCCTGTTCTGTGGCGTTCTGCCAGTTAGGCAATGAGCAGCAGGTAAATGTGTAAAAGACGAGGAGGAATGTTGGCAATGTGCCTATAAAATGGCTTGTCTCGGGATCATTCAGCTCAGTGAAGCGAGTAACGCTGAGAAACACTGCTCTGCCCCTCTACTTTCATCTCTCTGCTACCGCGAGCCTGCCAAACCTAAGCCCCAGGACCCGAACTCAAGTTACAGATCAATGGCTTCACTACATCAGCCCTCCACCGCGGCTGGAAGCAAAGACTTCGCCCCAAATCTATCGGTGAGGGAGACGACAGTGCAATGATCAACATCCGTGAGTGGTACAGGAAGAGCTCGCAGTCAGATGCAATTGTCATTTTGGATGTCCGCTTCCACATATCAAACATGATGAAGTGTGGTATGTACATGTTCGCAAGCCACTCTAAGCTCTACCACAATTTTATGCAGCTAAAGTTAAGTGCATCACTCTCGGAATGGCGCCACGTGGGTTCTAGGAATCAAAACAGGCGTGGTATCGCCTTGTAAAGGCTCTCTCCTGAGTCCGGCTCGGTGCAAAAGGATCTGATGATGCTAATCGCTGCCGAGAAATTCTAGGAAGTGTCAAAGCCACATTGATAACGGAAATGCACTCGGACAGATAGATGCAGAGATTGCGTCGAGGCTGTCTCTTTGCTTGTAAACGATGACGACCACGATTTGAAGATGGCAGAAACTAGGAAATCACGCAGAGGTGATCCATGTCACTACCAAGGTTTCCGTGCAATCAAGACCAGCAGCCGGTCAGTACTCGTCATATTCAACAATGTTGTAGACATTTGCAGGTCGGAATCACAGAGACCAAGGTAGGAATCAAGCATCACGAACAAGCTACCTGACGTAGATGGAAGATCGGTATGGCTACAACCGGAGTGAATGGGTGGGTTTGGGCCAAAATCATCCTTTTATTGAGACTCTCAGATTGCCCTGTCTGAAGCATTTAAATAAACTTTTTCCTCCTCGCCTGTCACGAACCTGCAAGGCAGAGAGGAAAGGCCGTGTCCGCATGCCGCAGATATTCCTACACGATGATTTCGAGTACTGCCCAGACCTTTGTTTTCTGTGGATTTCGCGACTTCGATCTGAAATATCAGGTTCACCAATCCCATAACACATTGCTTCGCACATGGCGGATGAGTCCACAGTTGAAGGCGCTCAAGAAGCCATGTACGTGCTGGCGTCAATACCCTCCTTGGGGAACTCACTATGATCATGTTAGTTGGTGCGCAGGAAAGACAGGGAGAGTGACACGTACGGAATGGCGACCTCGAAGCGCTTGCCAACGTCCTTGAGCACGTCCTTGTCAACGTCCTGGCTGACAAAAGAGATGGCCAGACCCTTGGTACCGAAACGACCGGCACGACCGACACGGTGCAGGTAGGAGTCGGCGTCGGCGGGCATGTCGTAGTTGATGGCCAAGTTGATGCGCTCGATGTCGATACCACGACCGAAAACGTCGGTTGCGACACAGATCCGCTTGTTGAACTCCTTGAACTCCTTGTACCGTCGGATACTTGGTGTTTTATCAGCCTCAATCCTGACCATTCATGACAATTGAGTTACTTACCGCTCCTCTTGACTAACGCCGGAGTGAACCGCGATGGAAGGGAAGTTGCACTCGCGGAGCAGCTTGTCGAGCTCCGTCGCGCGGACGGTGCTCTTCACGAAGATGATGACCTGGTTGAACTGGAGGTCATCAAGCAGCTCGTTGAGCTTGCGGTTCTTCTCACGCTCTTCGAGAGGCACGAAGTACTGCTGAAGACCGTGCAGGGTCAACTTGGTGTCCTCGTCGACGTAGTGCTCGGTGGGGTTCTGCATGAACTTCCGGCAGATGGGCTTGATCTCATCGGAAAGCGTGGCGCTGAACATCATGACCTGCTTCTGCTGAGGCGTGGCCCGGAAGATCTCTTGGACATCGCGGCGCATGTCTAATCTTGGTCAGCGTTTGCGTGAAAGATGTCTCAAGGCATGAAGCCTTACCAACTTGGTCCAGCATCTTGTCACACTCGTCGAGCACGAAGATGCGGACACTGCCCAGACGCAGGTACTTGTCACGAACAAGAGCGTTCAGACGGCCAGGGGTACCGACAATGACGTGGGGATGGGTGTCCTTGTTCTTGAGAATCTCGGCGTCCTTCTGGATGGGAGTACCACCGTAGAAGACGTTGGTCTTGATGTCGGGCATGTACTTGGAGAAGCGGTTGTACTCGTTGCGGATCTGGAAGGCCAGCTCACGAGTGTGGCACATGACCAGGACTGAGCACTCGCCGGCGACGGGCTCGACTTGCTGAAGAGTTGTGAGGACGAAGACCGCAGTCTTACCGAGACCAGACTTGGCCTGGCAGATGATGTCACCTCCGAGAAGCGCCTGGGGGATACATGTCTGCTGAACTGTACGGGCGATCGGAAGTCAGAAATTTGTCTCGCAAGGATTGAACGGAGGGCGGTGAGGGAGTCGAAGAGGTCCGTCCATCGTCGCAGCAAAGTTTCTCGTTGTCGCAAATCATCGTCGTCAACCAGTCGCAAACATCAGCCGCTAAAAACATATGCCCCACTCGGCAGGCCCAAGAACGACGTGACGCACTCAGTCCAGCCTGTCTAATGGAAGGGCTGTTCTGGACGCTGCCGATCGACGACCAGCCACAACCACCACCGGGCCCCCGACAGCAGCCATCGTAAGAAGGCAGGCGCCCACATAGAGCGTTCCGATGCAACCAGTAGATTGTTGCTTCAGGTGGGTCCAGGCGGACCAGAGCAGACAATCACGTTGGCCACCCGCGAGCGCCGGTGGCCTTCCTCATCACTCCAATATAGAAGTCAAAATATGGCGTATTTTGTTCTTCTTTCAGGCGAGGGCGAGGTCTGTTGTTCCTCTGAGACCAAAACGACACCGACATGCGCTCCCCCAAGATGGACGAGATTTGTTCTGACGAGATGTTTCTTTGCCTTTGCTTTTGCGTGCGAGATGGACGGATCCTTTGGTATGCAAGAGGGAGCTTGGTTTGGGTAACGATAGGCTGGAATGGATTAAGAGTTTTTCAAGACTGACCCTCCGAAGGATGCTCGAAACCGCAGTCGGTGATGGCGCGAATCAGCTCAGGCTTCAAGAGGAAGTCGCGGAAACCGGTGGAGTGGATGCCGACGTAGGAGCCCTTCTTATCGACGCTGTCGCCAGCCGCAGCCTCGGTCTTCTTGCCGTTGGCGGGGGCGGTGGTCTTCTGGGTCTCGAGCTCCTCGTCCGAGTAGTCGATGAGATCCTCCTCGGCAGACATTGTGATTGTTGATGGGTTGCTGTCGTGTGCAAGTGTCGGAAACGCGCGACGCCAGGCTGGTCACGCAGGTGGGTAAACAGAGAAGAAATGCAGGAACGCGGCTGACGGGAGAAGAGAAGAAAAGGTTTTGTCGATGCACAGGCCGCAGACAAAGAGCAGAACGTTTGAGGTTGGGTGATTGTTTGTGGAGTGGAAGAGGAAGGTTGAGTTTGGCTGGCCGTGCGAGGGGAAAAGACGCAGGCAGGTATGGGAAGGTGGCGCTCGAAAGAAAGCTAGCTTGGGAATGCTTAGGCCAGGTGCGTGAAGTTGACAGCAGCTGGGGGAGAGGAGGCGGCTGGCTGACAGGGAAAGGGCAGGGGCCGCTGGGAGGTAGTGGTGCAAGGGCAGGTCGGTCGGTGGGTGCAGGTCCTGGGCCTGGGCCTGGGGTGGGCAGGTGTGCCTACCTAGGTAGGCTTGCTCCTCTGCCTTCTCTCTGCTAGCTCGGGTGCCATTGGCCCTGCACCGCCCCAGCGGTTGCCTTTCCAACAGCCTAGGCCCGATCTAGGCATCTGCTCCACTTTTCCACAAGCAGATCCGGGAGCTCAGCTCAGGCGCACGGGCCGGCTCCAGTGGGGCTTGGTCCTGGTAGTGCCTGGTAAGGCTGCGTGCAGAGTGACCATGAGCTAGAGCTCAAGAAGTATTGAATGAATTCGGAAGCGCCAGTCACACAAACCACAAGCTTACAAGCAATCGCTTGCTCTTCCGCAACCCAACAAGCCCATTCTGGAAGCAGTCTCACCACTGAGTATTCCGTATCACACACACGTACAAACACCCGAGGTCATCAGCAACTGAAGAGAGCCTCGGATTCGATCAGGGTTGCCATCACCTTGCAGACACCAGCATCCTAACATTTCCTCCTGGGCATCATGGCCAAAAAGAAAGTTGCAGGGGTTCCAAACAAGGCCTCATACTGCCGCCTCTCCTTCATGTACCAAGCGGCATCATTCCTGGCAGCAGCATCTGCCAACCAGAGCCAAAGTTCCGATCTGGCTGCCTCACAAAAGACGGATTCTGATTATCATATGAAAGTTGACGGCGACAATATCAACCACCCCAATTCAGAGAAGCACCGTAGGACCGCCATGCAAACTCGGAATATGTCTCACAGACTGCTTGCAGACCTCCGCTCCGTCTCCCTCAAGTCTCAGACCCGAGTCAGCCCGGCCATGAAGCGGTCCATTTGCAAATTCTGCGACACGCTGCTTGTCGAGGGCCAGACATGCACCTCCACCGTCGAGAACACGAGCAAAGGCGGCAGGAAGCCGTGGGCAGATGTCTTGGTCATAAAGTGCCATACCTGCCACCACGCGAAGCGCTTCCCCGTCAACGCGCCAAGGCAGCAGCGCCGGCCCTTGCGCACTGCTAAAGAAGAAGCATCGCAGCAGAGTGCGAAGCAGGGTGCTTCCGACGAACCGCAGCCTCAACCACAGAAGGAGCCTTGAGGCACCGTCAATCTATTGCGCTTGAAGTCAGATGCTCGCCTCGGATGGCGAAAAGCAAATCCTTGCCTGGCGTCTTCTTCCAGATCGTTGTTGGGGGGGGGGGTGGGTGACATGCTGTGCTGCAGCTCAGCTTCGATCTGACCGGCACAGCTCTGAGCTGTGTGAGATGCGCCTTTTTCCATAAACAAATCGCCTGGATTCGCACCACAGAAGCTGCATCGTCAAGAACTTCATGGCGAATCGTCTGATACAAGACGTCCACGCATTGAGAAGGGACGGTGTGTGCCACGAAGGGTTCCGTCACTTCTGCCCGCCACCCTGTTGCGGGGCCTGCTCCTTCACAGACTCCTCGCCCAGGACCTTACTCGCCGCCATGAAGCTGAAATAGTCAGTCAGGAACACGGAATCAGGACGGGTGACAACAGTAGAGGAATGCTTACAGTCCACCGTGCCAGCTACCAAGTCCTCGCATGCATTCCGCCTGGACACTGGTCATCCGGAGAAGGTTCTCGGTGTCGGAGAGGTTGTTGGAAAGCTGAGCGAGCTGTGAATGCAGCTGGGTCTGTACCCGGAATGTTAGCCTCACCGGCATGCACTGTAGAATCGAAATTGAATCTCGGTGTATATCGTACCAGCTGTCGCTGCTTGAGGGCGCTGCCCGAGGTGGCCATCGATTGCCGCTGTACGTTTTGGGTGTTTGTATTCATGATAACTGGAGCTCGATAGAAGATACAAGAGAATGTACAACTTGTTCCGGAGACCTCAAAATTGGACAGTCGGGCTTGCCTCGTTTACCTTAGCCTTGCTGCGGTACGTGATGTCGGTGTTTACGTGACGCGCCGCCAATCAGCACTGACTGACGGGCATCCGTACTGCAGCACAGTATCCCCGCCAACAGCCAGCTGGTTCCATCTGTCACCAGCTGTAAGCCTCCCATCTCTCAAGTCAAGCAACGCCATACACTAGACACTCTTGGACGTCCTGTCATCCGAAACGAAAGTAAATGCGCATGAATGTACTAAACATGAGGTGGCAGTCCTTCCAATTTATCCTAGGCTACCCGCTGAGGAGTAGATCTGCCTAGGTACCGCCCAAGTACCTACCTAAGCCACCAGGGGGGGGGTCCTCACACTTGGCACACCTCCGCCCTCCATGGCTCATGTGTCACACCACCAACACAGAAGCCACCCGACGCTTACGCGGTCGTCGGGAGCTGCAGAAGACCGCAAACTCGGAGCCGGCGGACTACCTTGGGCGGAGGACACCGGATGAAGGCCCCCCTCCCCAGTAGAGGTCCCAGCCTGAAGCAGCCCCATCCACCTCGCGGCAAGCTCGAGGGACCCCCTCAAGACCCGCCCCCGAGGCAGAGACAAATATAGAAACAAGGGACCCTTCAGCCGTGTGGAAAAATCTCCCTGTGCCACTCCGGGCGGGCAAAGAGACGCACGTCTCGTATGTCACACGCGCATCGTGTATCCACCCTTTTCTGCGCGCCCTACCTCCCCTTATTATGTATGCATGCACACATAGACCACGTACACGCAAACGCGCACAGGCAGAGAGAGAGAGAGACAGCGGGACACACTGTAGCACGCACCGGAGCCCGCCACGCCAGCTCCACTGTCGTGTCACCCGAGAGGCAAGACACGAGAGGGCCAGGACGGGAGGGCGGTTACGTACCTGTCCACCGAGAGCACCCGGGGACGAGGCCGTCTGTCTGGACCGCGCTGAGCGCCCCGAGCATGTCGTGCCACAGGAGCCGGTAGAACAGCTAGCTGGTGAGGGACAACGTGACCTGGGCCCATGACCCCGTCGGATACTATCTAGTTGGGCCAACCTTTGAACAGGATCCTTCTCCGCGATCCGAGTCTAGGAAGCCAGGCAAGAGCCACCGTATGGTCCACTTAGGAAGTGAGCTGATGCGCGATACAATTTCTTGTTGCCCCTAAGTTTCTACGCCCCCTTCACGACCGGCCCATGCGATACACGTATAGACTCCGTAGCCGACTCCAGGCCGCAGCGCTCACGCTGCCGAGCTGCCATTGGCATGATGAATCCGCCCTAGCCCAATAGATTATGTCCTTCTCTCTCCTCCGACACCAGACCACCCATCCCCCGAGGATATTACCGTGATAGACATTAGATAGATCAGTCATGCCACCAAGACACGCCCCAGAATGGCCCCAAAAGTGAAGGGATCATCAACAACACTTTAAGTAGGAGATAGCCTGCGCACTTGTTGTCGGATGCTAGCCAAGTCGTGACTTCCGTGCGACAGCACGCCCACCAAGGCCGAGCGAATCAAAAGAGGAAGTTCCGTGACTGAAACGAGAGGAAACAGAAGCCCCATGAGTCTATTATTTCATGAAATCCGCCCCAGCGTGAGGGAAGGAGGAGGGCTCAGTTCCTACCATCACCACCACCCATCCAGCGCCCCCCCCCCCCCCCCCATGCATGCACCTTCGTACTGATGATTTCCCCTGGTCATCACGAAAGAGATTGATATCCCAACAAATAATCCTAACAAATGAAACCGACACAAAGATAATGAGACCTCCAGTACATGTAGTAAGTCGCTTGCTTTGGTAAAGGAATGCAAACTTTTCCGAACAAGAGCGAGATAAGACAAGGGAAATGGGAAAAGGTGACAAGGAAAACTGAAGGAGTGATGGAGAAAATGTGGTTACGACTTCCACGATTGTTGTTTATACAGAAGCAGATCATATCTCGCCCTTCCTGCAATGCTTTCCCGTCCCGTTCAAGGGGTGTTCCCCTCCTGAGCACCTTCCCCAGGGCCTGACCCTATGCAATTCCCCGTACACTCCTGTCAGCATCCACCTCTGTCACTCACTCACAGTCTCTCCCTCCTTCTCTTTCCACGGCGTCCTCGAATAAATTGGGCTGACAGGTGGACGGCGGGCGGCGGGCGGGCGGCGATGAAGGAATGTGGACGAAGAAGAGGCCGAACAAGGATTCCAATGTGTTGATTGCTGTATTACCAGAAATAAAATAAGTATGTTGTGATATGCTGTCTTTCGCCGCCGTGCCGTGCCTGCCAAGGTGCCCTATGTACTTTGGGATTTGATCCCTTCTCTGGCTTCATCCTTGGGATCTCGTCCACTAATATTATGTTGGTGGCTTTGTGCGGTCGTCTTTTGTGTCGCAAGCCCTCCGTTACCCCCAAGATTGGAGACCCTGGCTCCGGCGTGTCTCCTTCCCGTTCGCCTCAAACGCCCCAGTCTATGTGTTCGTGTGCATTTGTTCATCGCCTCAGACCATTCATTATAGGCACGCGGCTAAGTAGCAGCAGATTGTCGTAGAGAAGATGCCGGTCGTGGCTTCTTGCAGCGGCGGGACAAGGTTTCTTGAACCCGCCGTATCGACCACGCCGACGTAGTTCGGGATGCACAAAGAGGAGTGGCTGATCAGTCGGCTTCTCTGGGAGAGACTGATCTGATACTTGAATTCCGCAGTGTCGATATACTCGGGTATCGCAATCGCCCCTGTGCTCGACTCAGAAGGCCGTATCCAGGAATGCGACGCCCCTAGCGTGCTGCAATCGTAGGGCGGGCCCCAAGGCTACTTTGGCTGCTGTGTGCGGATGGCGTGTCGAGGTTGGTGGATTCACCACTGCCCGCGCTGGCGCTCGCACTCCCGGTCAGACTAGGCACATTCTTGCCCTTGTTGGGAGGGTTCAGGTTGCTCACCCCAGCGTGCTGTTCGACTTGTTGCGGTGCAACAGTATTGCCCTGGCCTGGAGGATACTGCGGCGTCGGCTGACGGACACCGTTCGGCGGTGACGGTCTGCCGTTTACGCCGGGACCGCCAGGACCACCAAGCCCGTTTGGCGGTGAGGGCCTGCCGTTGCCTCCTCTCATAGACGGAGCATATCCCGGTGATTGACTCGCTCGTCGAGGAAACGCTCCGTTCATGCCCATTGCCATCGGCCCGCCCATAGACATTGACCCAGCTCCGCCAGGGCCCCAGCCCAGGTCATCCATGCGCTGAGACGTCATTGAGTTCGCCCTCGATTCCTGTTGCATCGCGCTCCGGTCAACGGCACCGTATCTGTTGGACGTAAGTCCCATGAGAGGGTCCTCCAGCAGATTCTCGCGCAAGCTGGGGCCCTGAGGGCCTATCTGGCTTGAGCGATTCCTGCCAAAGTTTGGTCGGAAGCGACCACCCCTGGAGGCCGGCATAGCATCTAATCCCGGATTCTTGCGAAACTCAGCGGCTGAGGGCTTATGCCCATGTTGCCGGTTTTTCCGGGAAGTAACGCTCATCATGTCAAAGTTGTCGGGGTCGATCATGGGTACCGGCGGGCCTGAATTGGGGTCGAAGTAGTCACCTTCGTCATCATCGTCGTCGTCGTACATTCCTCCAGGCCCGCCATTCATCATCCTTGGCGGAGGTCCGCGTCTCGCTCCCATCGGCGGCCCCATCGGCCCTGGACCGGGGCCTCGCCTCATCCTCATCTCTTGTTCCCTCAAGGCCAGCTCGCGTTGCCTTAATTGCAGCTCGCGTTCTCTGGTCGCCAATTCGGACTGATCAAGGTGCCCTTCGCCGCCTTCGGGAATGTCGTCATAGACCACGAGGTGGCTAAATTCCTCCAGGTCGGTACCATCCATCGACCCTCGCCTGGATTGCTGGCGAGGGTATCCGTTCGGCCCGTTCATCGGCGGTCGTCCATATCCATTAGGGGGTCCAGCATTCGACGAAGGGCGACGCATGCCAGGGGGCGGTCCTAGCTGCGAAGCACCTCGAGGTCGTGGCCGGCCGGGCATGCCGTTTCCGTTGGGTATGCCATTGGGCGGCACGCCACGAGGCGGTGGTTGCATCGACATGCGAGGCATTGGTGACGGGAAGGCCATTGATGTTGGTGAGCCAGACGGGGGCGGCGGCCCTGCTGCTGCAACGGTGTCCACCTTCGGCCTGTTTCGATTGACCACGTTCATGTGGTGCAGCATCGCGTACAAGGTCTCGATACGGGGCACTTTGACGCCGGCCTCCTTTGCCAGCTTTACAGGTGAACCAAGATATGTCTCGACTTCCATGGGCCGCCGGGCTTGATAGTCCTGCCACATTATGCTATCTGTCCCTGTCTGCTTCAACATGTCGTCGACGACTTTCTGTTTGTACTCGGCGCCGAATTTGCAGCCCTGTGCGTCAGCCAACTCGAGCAATTCCTCGATTACACCGAATATGAGTGTCTTGACGGCAGGCTTTGCCAGGAGTTCGGAATAACTCGCAGTCTCGAAGAGGACGCTGGCAGGATGAAAAGCGATAGGACTGTGAACAGCACTGTTAGATACACGCTAGACCCACGGAGAGGGAACAAACTGACCCTATCACTCGTTCGTACTGGTGTTGCCGGATGTTCGGAGACACTTTGGCATCCACCTGGCCTGTGCTTAGAGTCATAGCAAGAGCCGAAGACATGTCGTCTTGTATGGTCGCAGGGATCTCGCTGTTTCTCTTGGCTGGTCCGATCCAAAGTTCTGTTGACCCTTTGTGCTCGAACTCGCTCTGGCCAAGTTGTGTGAGATCCGCACCGGCAACCAGGGAAAGAACAACGTTGGTGGGGTACCGCTCCTCGATGGCTGCCTCGACGCCTATCGCGTTGGTGGTGTTTACCAAAATACAGGTATGTTGGGGGACAACAACTGAGTCGATGACTGAGGCTAGATCGTACACATCCGGTAGCGCCTTCACACAGAGAACGACATAGTCGAAGTGGCCGTCTTTGCGGTTAACGGCTTCCTCGGGAGATTTGACCACTGTTGTGGATGCTAGTCAGTACTTGAATCTGAACAGACGACAAAAGGTATAAAGTATTATTTCACATACCCCGACGTGGCTTGAACCGTTCATTGCCGAATACTTGTGATCTGCGAGAGCTGTTAGAAAGGGAACAGTTTCTGGCTCGGAGTAGGGTGCAACTTACTTGAAAGAGATGCCATACTGAGCTACGTGGTCGTAGCCGGACTTCCACACGAGGGTGACGTCGCAGGCGTTGGTTGCCTGTAACCTCCAGGACAGGAAAGCAGAGACGGCGTTTCCACCCACTGTTATAACGTTCATCAGCTCCAGATCATCCATGTCGAGGACATCAACCAAGGACGGATGAGGACCGGACTCCCCAGGGGGAACTTGAGAACCAAGAACGAATGTGCGGGAGTGGAGATTAGGAGGAATGCGGCATAGAAGCGGCGGGAAGGGGTGCTAGTTCAAGGGAAGAAAGTGGCCCATGGCCCCGAAGAATGCAGTGTCGCACTTGAGAGGAAGTGAATGCACGGCGGCGGCGGCGCAACACAGACAGCAGATGAAGCTCGCACAAGGCACAACGAAATCGAGGTCAACGCACCTGATAATATCTTGAGACGGGGCGTTGCGGGAGCCATGGCTAGGGGCCCTTCTGCAATTGGCCTAGCGAGAGGCCGAGTCTCGAGGGTGCCGTTGTACAGCTGAGCGAGGGGGCTTGCTCGAGGCTGGTATGCAGAAGCGCTCTCGCGATCAGCAAGACGGAAGGTTTGCCGCTTTGGAAGTAGCCCGGTACCACGACTAGAAGACGCGAGGGCCTGCAACTCCCTTGCCAAGTGGGCTGTGGCTGGACTGGGCTGAACAGTTCGGATCTGCTCTGGCGACTAATTGCCTGTCGGGGCGTCTCACGATTTTGGTGGCCGGTCCCCAGGTCTCCGCGCCGCAACCTTGTGTGCCTCCTTCTTCCTTGGTTCTCCCTCTTCCACCACAGGTTGTATCCAGATGGCGTTTGGTCGGACGCGCTGGTTAGGTGATGGTTATTGGGACGGGGCAGTCTCGGTAAACGCAGACCCCATTCGGCACGCGGGCTTCGTGACGGGTTGTGCGGCGGTGAACGAGCGTTGGGTCACAGGTATGGAAGCACGAAGGGTGCGGGTCTTGCGGACGATGGTGGCGCAGATAGGACAAGCCCGGTGGGACTAGAGCAACGACGGTGCAGCAATGAAGCTGTGGCTCGAGGGCGCGCAAGAAAAAAGAAAACGAAAGGTGACTTGAACGAGTGGCAAGCGTTGGACAGCGCCTGAGAAAGAAGAGGTGATGTTAGTATTGAGTTCGGATGGGACGATTGCCAGTTGCTGGTTGCCTCCTCCGTCTCGAGTGAAGTGACCAGGAAAAGACAGGGCCAAGCAAGCGGAGAATAAAAGTAAAAGGCAGAGAGGCAGAGCAGAGCATTGTAGAGCAGAGGTAGTAAGTAGTGCAGGCAAGGCAGGGTGGACTGGGCTGCGGGATCAGACTCGGAGGGGCTGGGATTGCCGATGTATTCAGGTTTTGCCCTGGGTGAAAGGGTGCGGTGCACGCGCTGATAGGCCGCGCCCGCAGGCTTAGGCTGGGCTGGGACCAGGAAGTCCCGTCTGCCACCGGTGCTCACCTTATCAGAGTGCCGTGCCCTGGTGTGGTTTGCGGGCTCGTCCCTCCTGTTTCTTGGGACGAATTGGCGGCGTGCAGTGGTCAGGATCAACGGTGTAAAAGTCCAGAGGTACCGGTGCGGTATCCCAGCAAGCCAGAAAGCAAGGTAACGAGCGTCTTTGGCTGTCGTCGACGACGAATTGGTGCGAACCAGCCGATGTGTCTGTGGTCGGTCCTGGGTTTGAACGAAGCCAGGTAGAGGGCCGGTCGTAGGTTGAGCTGGAGGAAACAGCGACAGCGACTGCAACAGCGATTGCGACTGCGTTGGGTGCAGCGAGGTCTGCAAGGGTGGACAATTGAAGTGTGTGGAGGGTATGCGAGTCCTTCCTTCCACAAAGTCCACAACGGCTGTCCAGCTGCGTATGTGGCAAAGAGATCCTTTTGGTTGGGGGAGGGCCGGCGTGTGAGGACAGGATACGCCGCAGGTGGGAGAGCTGAGGGTGTACGTGGGAGTGGGCGTGGGCGTGGACGTGTCTCGTGGGACGGACAGGCAGCACAGGCAGGCAGGCAGGACGAGAGAAGACCAGGGAAGAATGGAAGCAAGGTCTGTCTGTCCTGTCTAGTCTAATCGGGCCTGCGAGTGGCACCCGGGCAAAGCTAGGGATTCAAAGGAGACCATGGACTGGAGACTACCCGTACGGGCCAGAGGAGCAGGAGCAGATTGGGTGTGGACTGGACGGCCAACACAGCACACAGCTACAGCTAATAACGCACCTCACACAGGGCACACAGGGCACACAAGAGAGCACACGCACGCGGCACACAGTACCTGACCAAGGTGGCCACAGGCCGCATGGGTATTGGGACGGGGGGCCGGGGGGACGGGGGGGTCCCGTTTCTCTAGTTGACATTGGCGGCACCAATTTGACGCGACAAGAAACAGGCAAGACAGGACAAGACAAAGAGTGGGTGGAGATGCGGCCCCAAGAAAGGCTGTGCAAATTGATGGATGTGCTTAGCTGTAATTGCGCGGACGGGTTGACTGGGCCTGCAGGTCCGGATGGGCTCCTTTCTCTTCCAGGCGTAGCTCGTGTTTGGGTGATGAGGACGGGTACCTCGCCCTCGGCTGTCTCATTCATGCTTCCGCCAGGTACTGGGTACTGTGGAACGAACGTGCTGGCACACTTTTGCAATGCGGCAGCACACCAGTTACTGTAGTTATCTCGATCCTCTTGTACTCCGTACCCATTCCCATCGCGCCACGGTACCATCCCACCTGGGCAGCTATCTGCTCTCTGCTCTGATGCACGAGGTACCTGTGCAGGGACCGGCCCATCAATCCAAGATGATGCTTCTGCCCCCCAACGCCACTGTGTGTACGTGTAGCCTGGCCCAGTCCAGGGGATTGCGGAGGATTCATGAGCTTTATTTTATCTCCCTAGAACGTGCAGCCTTCTATTAATAATAAGACGAACTGGCCATATGCGCTCCACCCCTCGGCCGGGAGAGAATGTTCTGAGGGTGATCTACCCACGGCAGCAGCCTAGGCCAGTCTCCCAACGGCTTGGTAGTGCCCAGCCTGCGGTCTGCAAATACGGATACGCTGTGGATATACGACGCATTGGGTGCCAGCTGAGCCCAAGGGCAGAGCCGGCGCTGCCGTCGTCACAGGGCAGGGGCACACTCTTCAACACCACACTGGCCACACTTGGGCTGCGTCTGCATGTGAATACCACGCTGCTGACTGCTGTTGATGATTGTTGAGCTGTCTGCATGCAGCATTTTCAACGTCGGCGAAGCCCCTCAAGACCAAAGTCTAGTACGAGCGATTCAACGCCGTACACTTTCTAGACGCGCGTTTGTGCAACGCCCCGTCCGAAAGGGCGGCCGCAACTCCCATCTCGGCACGCTCGGGAAGGAACGACTTCGTCGTGATATTAGATTTGGCAGCGGCGATCGGCACACCACCTGTACTGCACACGTAGCACTCGGGTTCTCTTCTCTCCTCGCTACATGTTGCAATATACAATTTGGATTCGCGCTGGCCCTCACAATACACAGGCGGTCCGGACTCTTCTACGCCCTCTCCTTCGTCTCCAGGAGCACCGTTGAAGCCATCGATGGCGTGTCGTCGAGGAGCAGGTCAAGGCCATGCCAGGGGTCACGCGAGCCCCTGCGTGGGGCCCAAACCTTTCCAACGTGGCCTGCTGGCTGTGGGTGGGCCATTGGGTTCTGCCCAGGCGACCGCTGTGCTCCACCAAAGACAATTCTTCCATCAGTCAGTCGAATGTCCCGAGTGGACCTAAGACCTCACCAGTCTCGAACACGCCGCGACACAATCAGGCACCGTCTCACTCGGTCTCAACTTCCAATACAGCTTGCACAGTACAGGTCCGCTGCTGGAGCATGCTCAGAGTCAGTTGCGTCTCCATGAGCCTCCATTGTATAATGCAGGGCGTGGGGCTGCTGCTGTCGGTACAAAAATTAAGGGGGAGTATGACTTGGAAATGCTCCGGCGAGTCTGTCAAGGCCCGACAGATCAACATCGACAACAGACTCATCTTTTATTGTTGAGGAGACCTCCATATGTTGGGTGCGCTCAGAGCACTTGGTATCGTCACTCTTGCGAACGTCTACGATCGGTCAAAGTAGATCGGTTCATCGATTTCCACGTTCGAACTTCAGTACTACCACATTTGACGTAAAGCACACACGGCAGCCTGGACTTGTTCAGCACCATCCATGTCTTCGGCAGGCCTGATCCTTGCCTCCCATCCCGTTGACCATCGGGTTACCGGACGCTTGGACGACGGAGCGCCGATGGTCGATTGATCGTGGCTGGTGGACGACGCGTTCCATACTCATCATCAAGAACTGCTCAACAGCCCGGCGGGTTCTTTTGCCAGACAATTGCTTGGTGCGGTTTCTAATTCACCCATACGGTCGAGCTTCCAGTAGCTGGCAGTTGGCAGATGGTATTAGCTGCAGCTCGCTCGCTTGGCTGCCTTCCATCCCACCCTCACTGCATCAGTGAATTTGAACACGGACATCAGCACACCACCTAGATTCCGTGCCAATCGCTGAAGTAGCCAGTACCAGCCAGTACCACCCGCCAACAGCAGTGGCTCCTTGGTTCAGCGTCTCCTCCAGGAAGTAGAGACGACATAGAAAGCCCCAGGTCGTTCGTAATTTGTATGGCCTATGGCCGAGAGATCCGGACGAGTCCGAGGCTGTCGGGCAAGGAGGCCCCATGTCGACAGATGCAACCCTTCAGGGAGGGATGCGATAGACTGAACTCAATCCATTGAGCTCATTGCCGCTTTCGTTATCATCAGCTACAAACTCCGGACGGTGGTATACCTGTGTTTGCAGCCAGGCATTCCTGTCGGACCTAGGCCTTCTGGCCTGATGATGGCTGCCGCGCAACCCTGGTCTTTCACGAGCAGCATCGAACGGACCATGTGGGGAGCATAGCCGCGTTGCCAGTCGGGCTGTCCAACAGCTCCGCTTTTACCATCTTGATTTACGCCCTAGCATGTGTCAGGTACTTGGTACACTACCGAGCAGCCTGGGCGACATTTTCTGTCAACGCCGAGACAGCGCGATCCCGCTGTGGTGATCCGGAGAGCCACGACACAAGCGAAACCCGAGTATAATACAGTGTTGCAGAAGAACAGGCTCTGGCTGACAGACATTCTCGGGTTGCCAAAAAGTTCGCGTGCTTTTCAACCAGCTGAATGGCCGGACGGCGTCAACTCGCAACCCGTCCGGGCGCGCTTGCAGGGCGGCAGCGATCAGCTTGGCAAAAACTTGGAATGGGAAATTGGGAAATGGCATCTTGCTGCAGGAGTCGCGCACCGCGTGCAACTGCCCCTATTTGTTGCTGACGCTGGGATCCCTCGAGTGTGAATCGACGGGTACCAGTGCTTCTTAGCTCGATCCTTTACCTGCCGACGACCCACGACAGTCCTGTCAAGCCGGAGGTATTAGCCCTAGCAGCAGCTCCAGGCCACCCAGGCTGGTTGCGATGATGCTTACAGGGCTTGGGGGCCTTGTGAAGTGACACTGGCTGTCAGCGGTCGGCACCTCGAACCGAACATTAAATCTAATTAACGGGACGGGAAGACTGCGGCCGAAATTTGTGATGGCCGATGAGTGCACGAGCATCCACGGTCTTTCGAAATGTTCGACGACCGACGCGGCCAAACTCCCCGTCACGCCTGTGCATGGCGGTCCCGCTGAGGACCGAAGCAGCATGTGGAGTCCGGTACACGTTCGACGTCTCCTCCATAAAATGATGGCCCGATGACGATGTGTATGCGAAAATCCGAACGCACGGTCGACCACAATAGAAGCGCCAACAGCCCGAGATCCACACAACGAAACCGCATTGTGTTAGATGATGGGCAACTTGCGAAGAGCGATTTGCAGTTGAAGAAGGCGACGCCTGTGCACACTATGTCCACTGATTCTAGTGTACAACGGCTTGGTCATCTCATCAGCTGGCAGAATCGGACTGCGGTAACCCTCCCGGAGCTTGTGGCTTGATGCCTGCGTCGCCTGGTTTGCTGACAAGACATTTTGCATGGCACGCCGGACACTAATCTGTATCCGCTTGCCCGTGAAAATATAACACCCATGCTCCTGAATGCCTCGTACCTGGCAAAGCATCAGCGGCTGAGCAGAGCGTGGTTGCAGGCCAATTGTCAGATTGCTACGCTTTGATTCTTCACGACTCTGTATGCCCGTCGTGCCAGACAGTCGGATTGCTGGACGGGACCGGGTCCGCGCATTACGTATGTCACAAGAAAAAGAAGAACGAAAAACCAAAGGCATGCGGAATACGAAGCTATAACACCCTCATTATCAATGGCGAACTCGTCCCAGGCTAAATTGCAGATAACAAGATCCGAGCTAACAGTATGACGGTGCTGCAGGTGTTGGCCACTTGTGGCCATCCTGCCATGAAACCGCGGAAATGATTTGAGACCCAGGCTATTCCCTCTTCTGAAGTCTTTCGCGGGCTGACGAATTTCTCCCACGGCTGTCTCCTCGCACGTGCATCATACCCTTGAGTGTCACCGGCAAGGTGTGAGCGTGGCCAGCGTGGATGGGGAGTGTCTTCTCTCTTATGCCGCACATACTGTTAGATCTTTGCTGCTGCTGCCTAACAATGGAACCTCGTGCAGATCTGCACGTTTGCAACAGGCCATCTCAGCCTTGTTCCAAGCCCCACCCACAATCCACAGCTTTGGGGAGCAAGTCCATTCGGTCCACGCGTTTTCGGTGCTGGATCAACACAAGAGTCTGGTTGACCATGCTCGTGCGGTCCACTCCGATCCAATCTTTGGGATCAGCACTAGACCCGGCTTTGTCAAGGGCGCGCAACACATCGAAACAATTCTTCACATTTATGAATCTCCACGATGACGAGGGAATGATGATGCAATGCCAAACTCAAGTTGGTGATGTCTACCAATTGAGGCAGGTGCCACGGAGTCGCGGTGAGATCTGGCGGTTCATCTCCAAGAGGCCGCCGTCCTGTGAGCGGTCTCGAGTGCCTGCGCAGATTGAATAGTTTTCACATCCCACGGACTAGTCTATGCTGTCACATCGCAGCATCTTAATCTCGCCATTGCAGGTTCCAATTGGCGAATCAGCGTTCTGTCACGCCCTGATTTTACCCTTACTTTCTCCCGCTCACGATCGCCTCCTTGAAACAAGTCATGCCCGGCCTGGGACGGCCTCGCCATTGGCCGATCCGTGGTGGAGTGCTGCACGCCCAGATGCGTTCTGGACTGCGCAAAGTATATTCCCAGGAGCTTACCAGCCCCCTCCATGTCCGGATACTGCCGACCACAACTACTATCATCGATATTGGTCAATGGCATCCCGAAGCTCTGGAAGAGGCTCCGAGGAACGGGGACGTATCTGTTGGCGACCCAGATGCGGCCTCCGATCCGTCCCGCAACGGCCTCCGGCGGACGGGCTGCGCCCGCTCAAACCGAGGCCGTACGTTGCAACGCGTGGGCAAGAACAACGACGGACATCTGCTCCGAATCGTGACACCCAGACGACTGACCGACACACCTGTTCAGCACGCCTTTCAAGGCAGGCTAATTGAGGCGGTCCTTGATTTCTCGCGCAGTTACCAATCGCCTGGCAAGGCACGGTCACACACGCCGTCAGCTTTGACGACGCGGCTGCCCTTCAACCATGGTACCGAGCAAGGCGGATGTGCCTGGCGACCCAAACGGTTCGGCCCTCAGCGGGCTGAGGGCCCAGACCCCAAAGTCGAGTCTCCATGGGCCCCTCCGCGTGCTGGCCCTCGCCCCTCTAATCTGCGGCCTGCCGTTTGCCCCAGCTTTCCGGGTGTCTGCTGTCCCGGGAATCCAACGGTCGCCAACACCCAATTGTGTGAGTGTTTATCTCGCTGGCTGGCCGCCACACGTGGCCCTGCTTTTGCTTCATCTGCTATGGGCCAGGGGTAGAAACACCGAGCTGGCCAACAGTAACGATGTGCGAGGCTGGTGCCTTCCTAGGGTACCAAAGACTTGGTGTTCCTATGTCCAAGGTCCGGACCTTCTCGTCCTGACGCCGAACTTGTGTGCTAATTCCGGTGTATGAGAGGATGTGTTGTCGCCACTAAGCGCGACAGCATCTATAATACGTATTGTTATGGGGGTGAATATGTCATCAGCGCGGTGCTCAAGGATACTCGACTGGCTGAGAGATGGCCTGTGGGCTCAGGAAGTCTTCCGGATAGTGCTGGACCCGTCTGCGGCCGAGTGGCCATCTGAGCACTGTCAACCTGTGAAAGGCGTCAGTCAGTTTCGTGCCGGCGTGCGGCCTGTTCCTGGGCCTGCAATCGTGCATGGTGGCGTGCTGCCATGCCGTGAATATCTGTGCGCATATCTACTTGGAGTATTCTCCGCCGACGGTGTGGCGCAAATTGATGCGCGCGTGGATACGCGAAATGCCGGCAACGCTGAGGTCAGCTAGCTACCTAGTAGTTTGTGGACTCGGGTTGCGTCTCCGTCCTCTTGTGTAAGGCGGTAATGCAGACGTTATTGTGTGCGGTGCCACTTTGCCCTCCCGGGGACGTTCACTTCCGCAACCCAGTGCTCGGGTGATGCGGGTGAGCGAGATGATCTACGCACAAGCTGGAAAAGCTGAAAGGGGGATTTGCTCTAATGAGATTCCCTTTGATAGGGCAGATGGGCTGGGGAGCGATGTCCGCAGACGGCAATTGGCCTGCGGCTCTTTTGCCACACATGCAAGGGCGCGGAGATCACTTTGTCTTTCAGCAGAGACCAGAGGGTGCGATCTGCAGTCCAGTCGCCCGTCGCGGACTGAGGTCCAATCTCCAATCTCACGGCTGCCGTTTCTTCGGTTGAGCTGCGTCAGCCATTACCACCACTACTTACATGGTCGCCCGCGGGCCACACCGCGGTGCGGTGGTGACAGGAGTGACGGAGCCGGTGGGGGTTGCATGCAGAACGCGTGATCTGGGCTATTTTCATCACGAGCGACTGAGCAACATGAGCATGACGATCCATGTGAGAATGCATGCTATCGAGTTGCCACTGCAGAGGACTCCCTTGGGAGGCAAAACTATGCTCACGAATGATGGGGGGAATAGCCTCGCTGGGAAACAACCACACTATCATTGAGAGCATCTTCCGGGGCTAATTTTGCTTCTGATTTTCTATCGTCCCCGGGGAAGGTTGCTTGGGAGAGGAGGAAGCCTGCTAGAAGATGTCTTAGAAGGCAAGCAGAGTTTAGGCCACACTGCTGCCCAAAGCTTCGTGCAGGCACAACGTCCGACTTTGCCCTCTTCTTTCTTTTTCGTTCCAGAGGAACTTTCTAACTCGTCCTCTCAGCCCCAGCTACCAATATATGTCAAACCGTGTGGGCGCGGCCGCTGCCGAGGCGGGCTCGCGCCGGAAGAAACATGAACAAAGGTGTCACAAAATATGTAGCTACCCGAGACACAGGAACGGACGGGCGGGCTGGGCGCTCGTATACCTTTCCGACAGGAAAGAGGAGAAGCCATAAGTTCCGAAAGGAATCAGAAGCAGTGGGCAACATCGGGCGTTGCCTGCTCCCTCTCACCCTACCACTCGTGGAACTTTCTGCCGTGCTGTTTCTCGTAGAGTGAAAGTGAACAGCGATATATTTCGTCGGATAGGGAGCGAGTGTATATTCGTTCAGAGTCCAGGCCGTGGGCTGCTATGTGAGCTTGATGAAAGCCGCGAGACGGCGGCGAACAATGGCCACTCGCACCCACTAAAGACCATTGCTGCTTGCGTCCATGATGGCGTGGCGAGGCGTAATTCTGCGAGAGGTCCCGTGGGATCTGTCGCATCTTAATGTATACGGGAGAGGGAAAGCCCCTGTCCACTGTCCTGAATTCGATGTGCTGGCTAGAGAACCGCGTTGGCATAGCAGAAGTAAAAGGCAGTCCCGAAGATTTCGGAACTCCGGAAGGACACCGGGTAGGTGCACGAGTACTGGTATTTAGCACATCAACTACGTCCAGGGTCGTCCTCCCTGAGAACCTTGCTACTGAAGACTCGAGAACCTAAAGTAGTAGGCATGAGTAGCCCAAGTATAGGGATTACTGGCCAGTCCAAAGGGCTGCGAGTCACTGAGGGCCAGCTGCAGAGGGAAGAGATTTTGATCTCGAGGGATTGGGTATCGTAGCGAATAGCGAAAACATCCGCCCAGAAGTGATCATGCTCAAAAGTTCTAGAACCCAAACGCCCTCCCAGCAACGCTCTTCAGTTGACACAAATTCTCACCCGCTTTCTCAGAACAAGTCCCATCGGGCTCCTCAGGCGCTAGCAACAGCCAAAAGCCTCCTCTTGATCTTGACGCAGCGCGCAAAGTCGAGCTTGCCGCCCTCCTGTGGCATGTGCTCGCCGCTGGCGACGCACAGGACCTTCATACGCTCGTCGTACCTCAGGCCAGGGAGCAGCTTGGGCGTGATGAGGAAGTACTGAGACGCATGCTCGTTGCACGCGATCTCGACCATGCGCTCGTGCATCATGCGCTCGTTGCGCGGGTCCATGCCCTGGTTGATCTCGTCGACGACGCGGAAGGGCGCCTGCGCCATGGACTGAAGCGACATGAGGTAGAAGATTGTGGACACGGCGCGCTCACCGCCAGATTGGCGGTGTTGGTCGAGCTTCTGGAGCGTCTCGTTCTCTCTACAGTTCAGGCAGTAGTCAGTTGGTTTGCACTGCAAGAAGTCATTGCCAACACAGGGTATATGTGCACCTACCTGAACTTGACCCTGATATCGATGGCCCACTTGTCGAAATCCTCGTCTTTGTGGACGCTGACCTCTCCAGCGCAGTTGATCTGTTCGAAGTTGTAACTGAAAGCATCGTTGATCCTGTTGATGATAGCATCAACTGCAGGCTCCCACATATCTTTCAGCTCTTGAATCTGTTGGTTGAGTGAGTCGAGCTGCCGCTCCCGCTTAGCCTTGTCCCGCTGACCGCGCTCAATATCCCTCGCCCGCTTCTCGAATTCCTGCAGGACACCAGGATCTGCGGCATGGATCAGATCCAGTTTGGCCTTCTCAGTTTGGATTTCCACATCCATGGTTTCCAACGTGTGGCCTTCCTTGATCCCGGAGAGAAAGTCTCTCCTCACCTCGTCGATTGCGTTGTCTGAGCCAGTTGACAGGAGTTCCAAAATGACATTCTGAGCTTCCTTGGCCTCAGCTTTGGCCTTCTCGGCCTCGCGTACCAGCCTCAGCAGGCTCTGCTTTTCCTCCTCTAGCCTCTGCACAATTTCCGAGTTTCGCTCTTTCAATGCGGCAACGTCTGATTTGGCCTCAAGAGCACGCAACGCAGCTTCAATTATGGCCTGGTTTGCATCACGGAGCAGCTCGAGTTGCTTTTTGTGCTCCAGGACACGCCGGGCTTTCTCCAATGCAAGCTTGTCAACTTCACCGTCATAAGACGAAAGCCTCTGCTTGGTCTCCTTCAAGTTCTTGACGGAGTTCTGCAAGCCTGACTTCAACACAGCTAAGGCACATGTCAGTAATGCTAACGTTGTCGAGAAGGTGCTCGGACAAACCTATTTTGTCTGGAAGGGCCTTCCACTGGTTGAACTCGCGCTGCAGGGTATTCTTCTCTTCCTCTAATTGTTTCTGCATTTTATCAGTTCGAGAACTCCACAGGAATGGACAAGCGACCCACCACTGCTTCTTGGATCTCCTTTTCCTTGTCTTTCAGAGCCGCGTTCTTCGCCTTGAACTCCTCGTTTGTTGTCCTCATTTCTTCGAATTCTGTTTCACACTGATGCAGACGCTGCTCGAGCTCGTTTTTTGCCGCCATATCTAGAGGCCCGTCCGTCCAGTACGTACCGGGTCGAATAGCCCGGGACATTGTGGAGGTGGCACCTGGTCCATATTCCCGACGACGTGTGATTCGATACATTGTGTTGCCAGTGGCGAAAGAATTGAACACCTCATCGTCGTTGATTTTCTGGTATTGCTCCTCGCTGATGTCGTTCAGGGCCACCCCGGTAAGGTGGAGCTTCTTCTCTGAGCACAGCATCGCAAGCACCGGATCGGGTCCCTCAACGAAGTCCAAAGCGTAGCCATCCAAGCCCATAGCTGCGAGGCTCTCCTGAGGGACGGGGGACCGAAAAGAGGACAGATCCGCAGTGATCGTTCGGACTGTGACGGCCAGTTTCATGTTCGTGAAGAACCGATCAGTGAGCTTCTTGTGGTCATTCCTGGTTTGGGCAGTAAAGCAAAGAAAGTCATCCCTCTGCAGCAGGGACTGCACATGGTTCGAATACCTCTTGTCTTTCATGGAGCAGGTTAGCATTGGCGGGCCGAACACCTGCTTCTCGAACTGGTCGCCGTTCTCTTGAAGCCATTCCCAGGCCGATGCAACTTCAGGCTCTGCCCTTCGGAGCTGAACGAGTCTCTGGCCTTCCTGGGAATTGAGATTCTCGAGCTCCCGCTGTATCGTCCTTTTTTCCTGTTGCTTCACCTTGCCGCGCTCCCTCAACTCTGCCATTGCAGTGTCGAGCTCTTGCTTCTCATCCTTGACTTCAGTGTCCATGCGGGCTCTTTGTTCACGCTGAATACACATTAGCCTGTCTAGTCCACATGCATTTGAATATCTTGGGGCCCGGCAGCTTACAATTTTATGGTTCCATTCGGCAGGATTGAAGTCGAAATGATTGCTCCTGTACTGGCCCTCAAGCTGGTTGATTTTAGACCGAGCACCTGCTACCTGTTTCTTCTTTGCATCCAATGACTCCTTTTCTGCCATTTTTTTGTGCTCAAGAGTCTGAATGCCCTCATCCACCTTCTCAATTCTCGAGATAATCTCCATGAGATCTTGCTCGACCTCTTGGCCTCGTCGCTTCCTGGCTTCGAAAGCATCCTGGACCTTTCTCCGGTACTCTTGCTTCAGATTGACATCTTCAAGAGACGGTGCACACCTTTCCTCGAGTCTGCGATGTCTTTCTTGCGCCTTTCGCTTGTTCTCTCTGCAATCTGAGAAAAGTCTTCTCTTCTCATCGTAGTCGAGGACTAAGCGCGCATCTTGCAGATCAGAAACCCTGGTCTGAATCTCCTCTCGCTCTCTCAGGCGCTCGACGTCGGCCTGAAGACCTTGTTTGCCGGGTCTCCCAGCCGCGGAGGGTCTCCGCGTCGGTGGCGAGTTGCCTTGACACCGCTTTCTGCTCATCGAATAGCTGCTTCAGCCTATTTTGTTGCTCTATGATGACTTCTGGCGCGGCTGCTTGAAGCGTTCTCGTCAAGAGCTCCACTGAATTCAGTCCGGCAAACTCGGCTACCTTGTCCTGGGGTAGGAATTGGCAAAGGTTGTCGATTTGTATTCGTAGCTGCCGCGTGACGTGCTGGATCTGTTTGATCGTGGCCTCCCTCCCGTTCAGAGAGAACTTCCGTGTATTGTCCTCGCGTTTGATGACCAATTTGACAACATAGTTGGCACGATCCTCAGGTCTCTTTTGCAGCTCCACTTCCACTGTTGCGTATTCCTTTCCGTGCTTCACGAACTCACCAAATGAGGTAGCACGGCCAAGAACACTGGCAGGGTAGCCGAGGCCCAGGCATATGGCACACACCAAGGAGCTCTTGCCTGTGCCATTGGGGCCAATCACCATGTTCAGGTTTGGGCCGGGAAGAAATTCTGCCTTTTCGTAGATGACAAAGTTCTCGACCTTAACGCGCACGATTGAGCCGGTTGCGAATCCAGATGCCGGCGTGCCGTTGTTCGCGACATGCCCGTTGGTACGTTGCAGTGGGGCGTCGTGGTCGCTGTCAGGGAACTCGTCAGTCCTCCCTTCACTGTCGTCTTCGTTGTCTTCTTCTAGCTGGCTTGGGGCGCCTCTTCCGCCTCTGAGTCGCATTCTCTTGTACCCATCTGACTGGGCGGGGGAAGATCGGTGGTCGAATCTGGCGGCATCGGCATCTTCCATCTGCGACCACGAGCGTCGCCTCGATCGCCTTGCCGTGGCACTTGACATTGTCGCCGTGCAACAGCAGCTGAGCGTCGGAGAAAGTGGTAGAGATAAGAACGGAATGGATCTGCGCGAAACTCATCAAGCCGATGGGGTGGCAGAAAGACTGGGAGCGGCGGTTGGGCGGCCGAAGTCAGAACGCGGTCCAACCCGTACTGTGTAGACAGACGCGTCGCCATTAACTTTTGGCGGGGTCCTTGCTTTAGATAGACAGCCAATCAAAGAGGGATCTGCTTGCTGACTCAGCGTCAGGGGTGATCTTCGTCGACCTCAGCCTTGAAGATCATCCATCTATCAAGAGTCGATAGTTCAGACTAATTTCTCAACAACATTCCACTGCATTCACTGTGTCGACTCATCAAGGTCACCCACCCCATCGCAAAATCCTAGGGCATCTCACGCTCTTGCACCCATGCTTTCAAGATGCACCAGTACCGTGGGATATGCAATAAACCAAAGGATATATATTTACCTCCTACATGAGACTCTCCGCCGGTATCACATCAGCCTCAGCCTGGTTACCTCGTGCTGGCAGCCGAGCGGGTGGGATTTGACAAGTCTGATGATCGTTTTGGGCAGACTTCCGTTCTCAAGATCTCGATCAGTCAGGGGACGGTATCGTGATGCTGGTTGGGTGGTGACTCAAGCATCGTCGTGGAAGGCTCTATGCTGGATTTGGAAAGCAAGTGCTTTGCATAGTGGAGGTCACGTCCTCGTCCTATACTGATAGATAATTGAAGCAGCCTCCGCAGGTTCCAGTTGCTGTCTGTCTGTTATAGGTTTGCTGTTCCCAGGTTTGAGGGTCCGTGTTGAGAAGTTGTTTCAAGAAGCTGTTGGCACAAGTGTGTGGACAGTTGGACAGCCTCAACACTTGAGGGCAGGATGACCAATCTGCCTGGCCTCGATGCTCAGTTAGAAACGCCTCATGAAAAGCGCATTCCAGTGACTTAGTCGATCAATGTCTACCTAGGTATGGCTGGACCCTTGGACCCGGGTTTTGTGTTCAGTGTATGTTATGTTGGCAGGAAGCTGCGCCCCCTGCTAGCACACCTGTGCACTTGCACTTCTTCCTTGACCTTAGCCCTGTGCCCTTCCCACGTTGTCAACCGTCAGATTGGCCCTTCGCAACGTGCATCCTGAGCCTCAAATCAGGGCTTGATTGGGAGCTGGGAATATCATCTTTTCATCGGCACTTTGTTATTAGTGAAGCGGTCGGCCCAAGCTCTGGTTTCCTCAGCGACCAAGCATCCTCGTTGCATGCATGTATCGTCCCCTCCCTCCAGCAACCCCCAGCATCAAAACAACACCACTGGCAATCCACACTGACGCGACGTCCTTGACCTGCTCATCCACCACAACTTGCTGAATCCTCATTGCAACTCCAAGTGCTTACTGGTCTACAACCCCAGGACGCAACCGCGTCTCTTCGACTGGTCCCACTGAGCAGAATCACTTATGCTAAGCCTTCCAAATCCCTAACTCCCTCTACCACATCACCTAAAACATGCGCTGAGGCCTTCCAGACGGCATCATCTTTGGAGGAACTCCAACATGGACAAGCTCACAGCTACCCATGACCTAGCGCCGCGCGCTCCCCTTGGTGACAAGGGAAAGCGAGGCAACAGCGTACCTCCCAGATACCGTTCTCACGCTACGAAGACCTACGAGAGTGACTGCAAAGAGAATGTTCCCAACGTGGTCGCCGAAGATGATTCGGTTCCTAGGAGGCCCAAAACGGTAACTCGGCCTCTGTCTCAGCCACCCGTCGATCCGCGCCTCTCCGTCATTTCGCAAGCCTCTCGGGATCAGAACGCATCGAAGCGTGATTCCCAGGTTTCCAACGCATCTGCCTCGACAGCGCGTTCCAACGACTCCAAAATTAAGACGCACATTGGGCCGTGGCAGCTTGGCAAGACCCTTAGCAAGGGCTCGTCAGCTCGCGTGCGGCTTGCGCGCCACCGGCTGACCCACCAGTCCGTCGCTGTCAAGATCATTTCCAAGAAGACTGCATACCTGTCTCAAGCTGGCAGCATCGCACAGCTCGACAAGGTGGAGAGGGAATTGCCAGAAGCAGACGATGGATTTCGCCGGTTACCTGTGACCGTGGAGCGAGAGATTGCGATCATGAAGTTGATCGAGCATCCAAACATCATCAAGATTCTTGACGTCTGGGAGAACCGGAATGAAATGTAATGTGACCCCAGCTTGAAGCAATTCATGTGAAGAGTATATCGCATGACATCCTGCTAACTTTGATACACTTCTGCAGTTACCTGATTCTCGAATATTGCGACAGCAAGGACATGTTCTCATATATCAACCGATACGGGAAGATGAGCGAGCGTGACGCGGTCTACGTCTTTCGACAGATGATGAGCGCCATGGAGTATTGTCACTCCTTTAATATTTGCCACCGGGATCTCAAACCAGAGAACATCCTACTCTCGCATACGGGTGAAGTCAAAATAATCGACTTCGGCATGGCCGCGCTCCACCAAAACGACAAGAAACTGCGCACTTCCTGCGGAAGTCCTCACTATGCTGCTCCGGAACTTCTCAAGGCCAAGACCTATCGCGGAGACAAGACAGATATCTGGAGCATGGGTGTCATCCTGTTCGCCATGCTGGAGCAGAAACTTCCCTTTGATGACGAACACTTGCCTACAATGCTGTCATTGTCGAAGAGGGCACTCTACATCATGCCTGATAGTTTCAGCCCTGATGCCAAAGACATGATCAAGCATATTCTTGTGACTGAGCCGGATAAGCGCATCTCAATTCGCGAGATGTGGGACCACCCACTCATCAAGAAATATGACAAGTTCCCTGGTTTCGAGCAACATCGGAGACAGCCTGTAGACATGAGAGCGAGGTCAAAAGATACCCCCATCAATGCTCGCGACATCGATCCCCAGATCCTGCGGCCGCTCCGTGCCATGTGGCACTCTGCCGACGAGAAGGAAATCACGTCCAAGCTTTTAAGCAAGGGGCCAAACGAGCAAAAGCTCTTCTACCACCTTCTCGTGAGCCACCGAGACCGACTGTTAGAGAACTACGATCCCGACCTGGTCCACTCCACAAGCGACTACCATCATCTACGTCCGCCGGCGTGGACAACACGCGTCTCAACCCGTCAGTTCAATGTTCAGGGGCGAGCACCATCCCGCTTCACTGTGATATCGACTGTCGCCGACACGGAAGCCGGTGGCACGGTGCGTAGCTATGACCCATATTATGCCTCACGCGACCTGGCGCCCGGGCAAGCGAGTCACGCGAGGATCGTGGTTCACCGTGCCCGCAGTCTGGAGCCTGGAAAAGCAAGGAGCGTGACATCCGGTTCCGTGCCGTCTAGGATGGGAACTGGATCTTCGTCGCTGGCAAGGAGGAGAGTGAACCCGTCGATTCGCTCGCGCACTGTGAGCTATGCACCATCGCAGCGCAGTTCAATGAGTTCAATCCGCAGCAGTCGTCAAGGCACCACGAGCGTGCTAGTCAAGCCTCGACACAGACGCGGCGTGAACTTTCCAAGCACCCGCAAAGGCCAACCATCAGCCAACCAACAAGGACACGGCGGCGATATCCCAGCATCTGCCAGCATTGCGGGTGATCAGTCGACATATGACAGGGACAACACCTCGCCAAATAGCCCTCGAAAGAAGATCAAGAAAGAGCACGACTCGACATACTCGCTCCGTCACATTGGCGCTTCCGCTTCTGCTATAGACGAAGAGATCACTCATTTCAGCAACAGCATTGCCAGGGATTGCGATGATGCCTTCAGCAGCTCGCTTATCGGCTCGCCTTCTGACACTCTGGATAGGGCCCGCACAAGCCTTACACCCTTTTCTGTTGACTTCGGTACGCCTCCGATTCAGAAGACACCAGAGCCTGACTGCACACCTCGTACTGGTACCAACCCCTGGGATTCAAGGCCGTTACCACCCACGCCTCCGAATGAAATCACTCCCAATTCTCAGCGCTTCCACAGTCCTGAGAAACTGAACACCAACGGTCGAAAAGGCCCAGATACCTCCCTCAACGTGGCACCTTTGGCACTTTCTTCTGCAGGCCAGCGCCGCATTACGTCGGCACCTGTGTATGCACAGTATGCTCGTGAATCGCGTCCTCTTCCATCGATTTTCGAGTCGCCAAAGGTACTCAACGGTCAGGCTCGGATTGTTTCAGCACCGCCCATGAGAACCTCGGCTGCACTGCCAACTCCCAATGACAATAGTAACTTGGACTGTCTAACAGTCAACGCCGAGCACACGATCCGAATTGTGGAGTCTCCTACAGCGATGAAGTCGGCAGGATCTTCTATCATCCCTAGGCCACTCAACGTCCGCAAGAAGTCCACAAATGCTTCGGTCGACACAGGCGAGGTGCGAAAGACACCACAAGAGTCGGATGGTCAAAAGAAACACAGTTTCCACAGCCGGATGCCGGACCTGCCCGAAGAGCCGACGACGAATGGTAGGTCAAGCAGCAATGGTTCGTCTATCGGGCCCAGGAAGAAACTGTCGACATGGTTCAGACGCAACTCGAGGGCCAATTCAAAGGGCGAGATGGATGAGACTCCTGATACTTCGGTGGTGAGCGAGGATCAGCCGCGTGAGACAACGGCAGCCGTCGCCAAACCTCAGCGATTCGATTCATCCTCTAGTGGCATGCCACCACCTACTCTGGCCGCTCAGCCCTCCAAGAAGAAGAGCTTCATGTTCTGGAAGACCTCGAAGAGCGATAATCGAATGTCGATCGCAGGTACGAACTGAGATCATCGTGAGCTGTCAATTTTCGGGTTGTTTGCTGACACATATCACAGCCCCAGACTATGAAGACGAAACCACGAGCTTCGATGCCACCCATCGCCTCTCTGGAGCCACATCGCTGACCCAGGACGGCTATGGTGACAGTGCTGATGCTGTCGCGCGGAAGATCGAGCCCCGACAGAATTGGCTGGCACGTCTCTTCCGTGTCAAGCCTTCCAGGCGTTATCTTTGCCTGCAAATGTCGCGCCGTCGCGCCCGGCAGGAGGTTACTATCCTGCTGCGGGAGTGGCGCAAATGGGGCATACGAGATGTCGAGGTTGACAAGGAGCGCAACATTGTGTTTGCGAGAGTGGGCAAGAAGAACTGTGAGTGCCCGGTCACCGACCGATTCTGTTATTTCGGCTACCCTTCTTCAGTAGGACGGCATTGGCTGACACAGTGCCTGAAATAGTCCTGAACATCAAGGAGGTTCATTTCGCTGTCGAGATCATCACAGTGATTGAGCACGGCAAGCGCAATCACCTCAGCATTGTCCGCTTCACACAGGAGAAGGGGGCCGCGAGCAGTTTCCACAAAGTGGTCGACACGATGCACAGCGTCTTCACGAGCCGTGGCCTCCTGGTCCAAGACAGCAGAAAGGCCAAGATGATGATCAAGACGCTCAACTCTTGAGATTAGGAGGCAGGGCTCTTGTCGTCTTCGGACAGCCACTTGCCGTGCCTAGGTAATGCTGGTGGCCTCTGCTGTGTGGTTGGGCCTTTGTTTGCTGGACGACGGCCCACGGCCAGAATCGAGCATACTTCGGTATCTCGGCCTGCTACTTCTGTATATCAAACAGCTTCTTTGGACTCTCATGATTCAAATGCCAGCCACCACTTGGGCTGGCGACTTGAAGTGTCTCGAAGCAACTGGTAGGCAAAATGTCACGAACAGACCAGGTGGGAGGCGACTGGGGTTAATAATTGGAAGAAAGTGCTCTGGAATAGGCTCCATGGTGGTTGGAAACTGTTGACATTGGATGGCCGGGACATATTGTTGCTTTACAAAGGCGAGCTTGGTACTTCCGTGTTTGCGGTCGAGAGGCAGAGGAGCACCGTGATGGACTGGATCGGGGACGAGACTTCAGCCTTGGCTGTCTAAGCTGTCGTCGTAATTGAAGAAAAAGAAAGAAGAAGAAGCCAAAAAAAAAAAAAAAATAAAAAAAAAAAAAAAAAAAAAAAAAAAAAAAAAAAACCGCTGACAGCTTGATAGTTGCGGTCGGAATGTAACGTGCGCTGCAACTTGCGCGGCTTCTCTGGTCTGTTCTCTTCCCTCAGCTTGGGAGAGCGGAGACCCCGACTACTTTGCAGCTTGGAGCTGTCGATAGGCAGAATTGGTAGAAATATGCTTTTACACCTTTTAGAAATCGAGTCATCCGTGCTGTCGACAGTAGGACAAGACGTTGTGCAATCCTATGTATATCCTGTGGCGATAGCAAGCATAGCAAGCGAGGATCGGAGAATGTCGGCACAAGCAGGTCGACCTCGGCTCGACTCAGGACGCCCACCGGCTTCGGCAGTATGGAAGTCGGAAGTTGGCCGAGCGTCGGACAGGCCTTCTCCTCTTTCTCCAAGGCGTACGTGCCCAGGTGCCTCGGATTCCCTCCCGGTGGTCCAGCAGAGAGCCCAGGCCGTGGGAAGGGGAGCAGATACGACATGGGCACCAGAATCTGGGGATGTGGGTACTAACGACTAACATGCAGGACAGGCCGTATCCGTCCGTCCATGGCCGTCATCCTCACCACCATGTGGCCGACCGTCACTATTTTCCCGTCATGGGAAGATGAGCACCGAATCACGGAAGCCAAGAGGCTCAAGACTGCCGTGCTGGAATGTCACTCAATCTTGCATCGTGACAAATGGGGACAAGATAGACATGGATGGGCCGCAGCGCCGGGGCTGGGTGGGCTAACTACTTGTTATGACGACACGGACCTCCCAACGGCTTCCCCTCACATGTCAATCCAGCAGTCGAAGTGTCAGTGTGAGCCGTGAGTTTCTGGCGAGGTGAACCTTGCAGTGCCACCCTGCCCTACAAGCACTCGGCCTTCCCCCACATTATCACAAGCGCATCATCGCCTCAGCTTGCCGGCTATCTGGGGAAATACCCAGGCACGAAACTCCCTCTCACCCGAGACGTACCGACGGCCAACCACCAACCCTCCCACGGATAGCCGCCCCTTGACCAACCCATACATGCCCGTACTCGGGCTGTTCTTGGGCTCCAGCACCAGACACCGAGTTTGCTCCCCGATCTAGACTTCTAGAACAAGGAGAAGAACACACCAGGCCATCCCCCTACCGGACAATCGTCTCGCCTCCACGCCAGTTACTGCCGAACCAAGTTTATATCCTCCTCACAGTCTCCTCCGTCATCATTGATACCCTCGTGCCCCCCCCCTGCTGTAACATCACAGCAACAACTAGTCTATAAGCTCCCTTCTTACTCTCCGAGCCTTCACCCCTGGGCATCACGCAGTTACGCCCAGACATCGTCACCACCTCTGCAACGGCTGGACCTGTTGGCTTCATACTGCACACAACATCAACCCACCCGAGCACACACAATCTCACACAGCAGCCATGGCTTCCACGGACACCATCCTGCAGGGCGTCAACATCCTCGGCGCCGTCAACGACGAGCACAAGAAGATCCTGACGCCCCCGGCGCTGGCTTTCCTGGCCCTGCTGCACCGCTCCTTCAACAACACGCGCAAGCAGCTGCTGGAGCGCCGCAAGATCCGCCAGGCCGAGCTGGACAAGGGCAACCTGCCCGACTTCTTGCCAGAGACCAAGCACATCCGCGACAATGAGACCTGGAAAGGCGCACCGCCCGCACCTGGGCTGGTGGATAGGCGCGTGGAGATCACGGGCCCGACGGACAGGAAGATGGTGGTGAATGCGTTGAACTCGGATGTTTGGACGTATATGGCTGATTTCGAAGGTGAGCGGACTCCTCCCGAGGATATCTCCTGGCATTGCTGGGCTGCGTGGCATGTGACAGCCAAGGCGAGACACCGAATCTGGGACTGACAAGCTACGAGGGCAGACTCCAGCGCTCCCACATGGGACAACATGATCAACGGCCAGGTGAACCTCTACGACGCCAACAGGCGCCAGGTCGACTTCAAGCAGGGCCAGAAGGAGTACAAGCTCCGCACCGACCGCACATTGCCCACGCTCATCGTGCGGCCCCGAGGGTGGCACCTGGACGAGAAGCACGTCACGGTGGACGGCGAGCCCATCTCCGGCTCCCTCTTCGACTTTGGCCTGTACTTCTACCACAACGCCTTCGAGTCCGTCAAGCGCGGCCACGGCCCTTACTTCTACCTGCCCAAGATGGAGTCGCACCTCGAGGCGCGCCTCTGGAACGACGCCTTCAACCTCGCCCAGGACTACATCGGCATGCCCCGCGGCACCATCCGCGGCACCGTGCTCATCGAGACCATCCTGGCGGCCTTCGAGATGGACGAGATCATCTACGAGCTGCGCGACCACTCCTCGGGCCTGAACTGCGGCCGCTGGGACTACATCTTCAGCGTCATCAAGAAGTTCAGGCAGAACAGCAACTTCGTGCTGCCCGACCGCAGCGCCGTCACCATGACCGTCCCCTTCATGGACGCCTACGTCAAGCTACTCATCCAGACCTGCCACAAGCGCGGCGTGCACGCCATGGGCGGCATGGCTGCCCAGATCCCTATCAAGGACGACAAGGAGGCCAACGACAAGGCGATGGAGGGTGTGAGGGCCGACAAGTTGAGGGAGGTGCGCGCCGGCCATGATGGGTAAGTTCGCCAACATACACTTTCCCTCCTTGAATCCAGGCACGGGGACATTGTCGAATATCTTGGGGGACCAAAGTCACTAACACGGTCACAGAACATGGGTCGCCCACCCAGCCCTGGCGTCGATCGCCGTCGAGATCTTCAACAAGCACATGCCGACGCCAAACCAGCTCTTCAACCGGCGCGAGGACGTCAAGATTGGCCAGAACGACCTGCTCAACATGAACGTCCCCGGACAGATTACCGAGGCGGGCATCCGCAAGAACCTGAACATTGGCCTCGGCTATATGGAGGCGTGGGTCAGGGGTGTCGGTTGCGTGCCTATCAACTACCTGATGTGAGTCTCTGTCCCATCTCATCCGGCCACTTTGGAAGGGCGTACTTGCTCTTGTGAGATGCACTTGTCAAGGTCTTTAGTTGACTAACCATGAGGTCAATATAGGGAGGACGCCGCCACCGCCGAAGTCTCGCGCAGTCAGCTCTGGCAATGGGTCCGCCACGGCGTGACGACCTCGGAAGGCAAGCGCGTCGACAAGGCCTACGCACTCAAGCTGCTCAAGGAGCAGTCAGATGAGCTGGCCAAGAAGGCCGGCCAGGGTAACAAGTTCCACCTGGCCGCCCAGTACTTCTCAGGGCAGGTCACGGGCGAGGACTATGCTGATTTCTTGACATCGTAAGTTGTTACTCTCACCCATCCCCCACTCCCACCCGTCTTCGACAGATTGTCCCGAGTTTGGACGAAGCCAGTCAGTGCTTATACTAACATACGATCCGTAGGTTGCTGTACAACGAGATCACCACTGTTGGAAATGCTGCACCTGCGTCGAAGTTGTAATCTAGTGGACTAGTGTGTGAGAGGAAGGCTTGCCTCGTTGGAATTTCCAGGAGGAATGATTTTACCGAGCATGTACGAGTTGCGAATCGACAATATTGACAATATGTTGATCTACCTGCTACGCTCCTTCATTATTGATCATGTGGGGCTCGACTTGTTTGCCCTCCTTGCTCCCACGCGCTGGGGTGCCTACGCGACGGAGCAGGTTGCTATAGTTTCACCCGACTCTGACATCAAATTGTAGAAAATGCGCATGTCATTGTACGGATTGATGCTGTTCTGGCATCCGTCAACCCCAATAGGCAGCTGACATTTCAGCTTCCAAAGTCTCCCATTCATCCACCGCTCGCATGGCACACTGAGCAGTTGTGAGTGACATGCCGTGAACGGGATTCGACGCGAAAAAGTGCGGTACAAAGGGAAGAACAGCCATCCCATGGCCGTGCCAGCCCTGGATACTTCCATGTTGTAGTCGTCTTCGGAGCTCCTGACCTGCAGCCCGTCTGGCTTGGATGCTCTCGTCTGTCGCTCGGAAGTGGTCGCACTACCTTCAACGAAGACCATGTTCAGAAAGGATGCACGAACCACCGACTGAACACTGTAATTCACACACAAGGGTCCGTGAGGGTACATACACCTTCAGTTTGGAGGATACCGCGTGTGCCGATCTGGGTCTTGTAGAAGTGGAAGATGGGACAGCGACGTCCGACCAGGCCGAGCCATGCCCATCACGAATTAGTGATTTGCCTCTCATACTATCCCTCCCGAAAGTCTCCTGGGGATCTTCGGAAAGAGGTACGTATCAGGTTACTCTGGGCACGAGGTTCGAAATGAGGGTATCCAGAGGCAGACATGGTCGTGTCACTTCATCAGTGTCCTGCTATGTCACAGGCAGCATCCGAAGAATAGACTGGAAATGGGCCGGAGTGAGGCATCATCATTCTCCCTACGAATGCTCACAGAAATGTCGAAGAAAAGGTTAGCGCAGCAGTGTTGTTCGCCTCAGCAGAACAACATTGGCCTCTGCTGCCTCAAGTATGCGGCGGCAATGGCCATCTTCTGTGTATGTTCCGGGACAGTCTAGCCCGCTCGTCCGGCGGCGAGAGAAAAGGTCGAGTGACTGTGTATGGCAGATGGTACCGGCAGCAAGTCAACTTCGACCTCGAGCAATGGCCGTCTACAGCAATACCGAGCCATCTACGTCCATCCAAGCTCTAGAAACCCACATGGACCTGGTCCTGATGAGGGGGATGCTCGGACACGTTGATGGAATTTTGCTACGGGATGAACAAGACCAGTCGTACGTGGATTGTGAAGCACAACCACAAGGAGGGAACCTCTCCAGGGCGAAACTGTCCAGCGAGCGTCTTTTTCATCGGAGAAGGCGACTTTGGACAGCTCCGACCAGAGAAGACGCAGCCAACTTCGAGCAAGTGTCTACTGATAGCCGCTTGAAGTCCGCATGACACCCTCAGACACGAAAGAATTACATCGCCGTCTCTGGACTAGACATTACTTCTTTTCCAATGCCCACCAATCTCGAGATTGTTGAATATATGAGAAGCAGCGGCTACCGACACAGCGGCAATAGATCTTACGTGAGCCCACTGGAGCGAGCCCTGTGTCGCCAGCCCGGGGAAGGGCCGGGGCAGTGGCTGGAAAGCCCTGTCGGCCCTCGAACATCATTGCCACATCAAAGAGTTACCATCCGTCTTCTCCGCGTCACGTCTGGAACTGAGTCGATACCGTGACTTGACACTGCCTCCCCTTCACTTAAGAGCACGCGACTCTGTGTGTGGCCGTACACGCGGCAGTTGTGCCTCTGGTATAGCGCACGACTGCCATCAATTAGAACCAAGCCAGCAGAACACTCGAATGCCCCTGTGCGGGACACCTTGGTCACGTAGAGGCAGGCCTAGGCAACCAGTGGAGGTGGTAAGGCTCTTGATGCCGAGAAAACTTCACGCCGTCCAGCCGTCGGCAACGTCCCTCGCTCAGCCCTCCAGTCCCGGCATGATGCTCGTTGCTCACGCATCAGGTTGGAGGTCCACGCGGAGGAAGTCTAAGACATAGTTAGCCTACCTTCTCTGATGGGCCTAGCCGTGAAGTCTCGTCTTTCATCCTGAACCAACACAGCCGCATGAGCGGTCGCCTAGACCGTTCTTTGGCCTCATTTGTGGCCTCAATCAACACACAGAGTAATCATCGCTGGGAAGCAAGGCCCATTGGGAAATACAGGCTCAGGGGTGGTACTTAGAGAAGAGGCCGCAGCATGCCCCAACCACCTGCCTGGCGACGACACCGAGGCGAACGTCGAGGCGAGCCCGGAGCTCGTCGCGGGCCCCAAATGGGATCTTGCGAGCCTCCTCGGACAATTTTTCAAGCCTCAGAACTGCCTCCACGGGCGTGATTCCAGGCCCAGCCCTGTCGTATGACAACCATGAGGGTGTGAAGGCGGAGAATAAGCTGGAAATGCGCTGGACGTGGACCCTGATCGTGCCAAGAGGCGGCGCGATGAGAAGAAGGCGGCCAGACCAGTTGACCGGTTGGGCGGATCGCGCTGCGAGTTGACGGAGCGTGGGGTGGCCGCCCTGGACAAAGGATGGGGGTAGCTTCTCATTAATCATCAAAGGCCACCAGCTGACATCCTATAAGTGATAGATCTGCACGGGACTGGTGCCATCAAGAGACTGCCACGGAGCTGGGTGGGAGGACTGCATGGGAAGGTCTGGATTCGCCATTTTTGTCCCATGGCCGACCTCGACGCGGAGATGTTCCTCTAACGACTGACTGCACCGAGTGGGACTTAGTCAAAAGGCATCAAACGGCACATTCCAATCGGCGACCTATCTCATTTTCTTCACACATAGACGGCATGCAGATGAGTCTGCTTAATATGGGATGACCCATGGCAGAGTTCCGGCTCAGATCACATGGCTGCTAGAGTTCTGACCGCTGCAGCATCCAGGCCTCCGGTGTAGACCAGTACGCAAACACTTGTGCGTCTCAACACCTGCAGACTCATGGCGGCAGCATGGATGTCGAAGATTTTGTTCGGAATGGATCCTAGTCCTAAGGGATTGTTGGGTGAGTTGGGCGGCGACGAGGTTGACGATCTTTGGGACTGCATCGCATCAGGGGCGTGGGGGTTCTTTGCCACGAATGCGCTCGGAGTGTTCTTCCCTGTCGACAGTAATTAAAACGTATGAGATTGCTTGATACGAGAGGTCATACCATTCCCCATGTCCGTAAGTGTTCCCAGACATTGCATATCGCAAATGCCCATGCAGAGGCTTTGGGCAGAACTGTGTTCCTGGCCGGTTGGAGGTTGATGAGTCTGCCTGCAATCCAGCCAGAGCAATCAACACAGACGTGCGAAAGCTGTAGACTCTGGAATGTGAAATCTCAGCTGGGTGCAAGAACATGTGGAGCCTTCTCCCCCCTGGAGGCCCATTTGCCCGCGTACAAGCTGAAAATGAGAGACATCGGCAGCAGGGGGGCGGTGAAATTCCGCATGACCTCTCACCGAGAAGCAAAAAGGCTGAACACTTGCACATTCTTTCATCTCTCCAGGGAATCCAGGCGTGCCAGGTTCCTCCTGGCGAGCTTCAGTGCTGTACTACTGGTGCCTAATTCCCAGCACGACAGCCTCAATTCCCCATGTCATGAGGATGTTTTTCCGATCCAGGCTTGTCAAACAGGATCGCTCGTATCTGACCAAAGGGGATATCTCGCATACCGAGCATCTGAGACAAGAGGTGTAAGTAGCGCGGGAGGAACCTCGACTAGAACCCAGCAGCTGGGGATACACAAGATCCTTGGGTGCCGGAATATTTGAAGGTGCCTTTGCGGTATCGAGGGAAAAGAAATGTCTCATCAGCCTCCGAGATGTGGCCCACCAGCGGCTTTCGGCGACAACCAGACGCTGACAGCCTTGTCACAAAAGGCAATCAGGGCTTTCTAGTTGTCTATTGACTACACTACCGTGTATCACATTGGCTTGAGTCCGCATTGACCTAAGAATAGGTTGTGTAACTCACCCGCGAGAGTCGCAAATGACATCAAGGACAATGGCGGATACCGGCTATCGCATCCTTTCCCGCCTTTCAAAGAAAAAAAAAAACAGAAAAAGGAAAATCAATGTGAAATCGTGAGGATGGGCGATGTAGGTCTGGAGCAGAGTGAGAGATCGACACAGGGATCTCCAGACCCAAATCGCTGGATCTCGTGGTTGGGTTCGCGGGGAGGGATGGCATCGAGCGTCGACGCCTCCCGCTAGCCTCGTTAAATGTGATCGGCGTCGTGTGGCTCTCTTCGATGATAGCGCCAAGCTTGACACCCCCCAGAGTGCGTGAAAGGCAACCGACTTTGGCCTTGTTGTGTGTGTGTCGGCTGCTGTAATCATCGAAGAAGCACGTGTATCGTCCAATTGGGGTTGTTGAAGTCGAAGGAAGGTGGTGGGCAGCCTGCGTTCTGCACATTGATCCTGCTCGCTAAAGCCTGCAGTACTAGCCTGCAGCCGCGCGGTAGAAGGAGGTATGTCATTGCGCTTCGGCCACGCTCGTTGAAGCATGCTCAGAGTACAGCGAGCCAACAGCTATTAGCCGAGTCGCTATAGCGCCAGTACCTCGTGGATGCTCTTCCCGTGCTCGACAGGTTTGTGCGGAGCATCCGCCAACTGATGCCACGCGACACCTCGCGTAAGGATACGATGATAATATGCCTGCCCAGTGTCTCGACCTACGAGAAGGTTCCTGAATTTGGCCTCCGTGGCAGAGAGATCGCCCCCCCCCCACGGGGAGAAAACGCAGCAACTCGCATCAGATCCCATCAAAAGTGTTGCTTGATCCAGCTGTTTTCTCCCTGGCAGTGGTCGAGGCAGCGAAGGCCCTGACTGACCTAATCGACGGTCACTAGGCATCATTGAGAGACTTCGGTATATTGCTCAGTGGAACAGCAGTTTCCGGTGCGATTGACCGTTGCCGCTTTCCGAAAGGCTCACACATGCTTGTCATGAGTTCTGTTTCCTCCAGCCCCCGTAACACCAAACACACAGTGTACAGCGCTCCTTCTCGCTGATGGTGCCTCGAAGCGCATCTTGTACGAACACGGCAGAACCGGGTGTGGTTCGAGGTGGCAATGTCGACCGCCAATTCCCAAAGATCTGGGCCCGGGCCTCCATGAAGGTCACCTCATGGGCATTCGTCCCACGCAGCTGGCAAGGGTTTCCAGGGACCTGTACTTCTGCAGCTAAGCTGCACCTCTTCACATTGTGAGGCTTGGCGGCCACAGACCGACTGATCGGGGGGGGGGTGGGCCACTGACCGCCATCCCGTCTCTATTGCATGAAAGACACGGAATCTCGCACACACTAGATTAACTCGTCATTTGGATCTAGCGTGTGCATGGTTCTTGCCCTCTCACAGTGTGTTTTGCACTAGACAGAGAAGAGAGGGGCAGGTGATGGCCGATTTCAAAGAGGTGACAGCTGGAGGAGATCGCAATCCGAGAGCTTGCAGCGGAGCATTTGGGCTAACCAGAGTGGGGACCGTCACACTCGCCGGCCCGAGCAGACTTGCGTGCGTCCCTCAAACAGCTGGAGGTTTAGATGGACGCCTGTCACCAGGTTGAAGGGTCGGATTGTGCTTGACTCTGTGGACTGTGGTCGATTTATTCCATGGTAGGGCCCTCCCCTAGCCCAAACGAGGCCCATCTGTCATCCGGTCTTTGGCCCAAATCTCGATAGCCTCCAGGGCCGGAAGTTTGACAGATCCGGGGCAGGACCATATGCACAGCAGAAGGGTCGGGACACAAGTGGCTTCCGCACAGATCAGATCGACGGACCTTTCTGCTTTGGAGAATCGTGCAGCAATACTGCGACGGTCCTCTACACCGACTGCAGCATTTGCCTGCAGCTCGTCGTAATTGGCGCCACTTCTGCAGCCTGTGCATCTACCACGAGGTTCAAGGATTAATGCCAGCCAGCCGGCCAGGTCAGCCAGCCAGCAAGGGGAGGAGGATGGAGGAGCAGAAGCGACCGCTCGCGTCTGGGCAAAAATCCGTGGGGAAGGCCTCGGTTGTCGCCGCGAGGTGGATGGACTGGGGTAGCCTGTTGTCGTCAGAGACAGGCGTAGTGGCCACCGATACCTTGGGTACCTTGCTTGAGGGAGCCACTCGAGACGTAACACGACCCGAGCGCGACTGTTTCCCGATTGAGCAAGACCCAATCTCGGAGACTGGCCTTGAATTGATCCGCTGTTGTCTTACCTAGGGAGGGAGGTGGGTGTGTGGGCAGGGTTGGGTTGGGTACAGAGTAGGTAGGTGCTGTATGTGCAATGCAGGCTGAAGTGCCATTCGACGATGGTGCTGTGTCGCCCATTCAGCTCTCTACCGGCCTCGCAAATCCACACCCGGGGACGAAGCGAGGCCGGGCCCGCATCCCAGCATGACCCCCGAACTAGCGGGAGAGGGGGAGGAGAAGGACAGGCTATTGCTAATGATGCCGCTGGCGTGGTTCATCTCTCGAGGCACCCAGACTGTCGGAATCTGCTGGGCTTGTGGCGCAAACCTAAACAGGGATAAGCATCCGGTGCCACACTGCAGGTGAGATAGGTTACGGTGTGCAGTGCGGTATGCTAAGTAGCAACGTAGGGCTTGCCTGCCCGCATTGACTCGCTTGGCCGTGAAGCTGGACGGGGCCCCGAGGCCTCAAGCCCGAGCCCGAGCCCGAGCCTGAGCCTGAGCCTGTGGCTAGGTCTGGGCGTTGGTGATCGGCTATCGCGGCGCCTCTTGTCGGTGGAGACGAGGAGCGGAGCGGAGCACAGGCAGAGGCACAGGCACAGGCACATGTGCTGTAGGAAGAACCGGGCTGGGCCAGATCGTCCTCTCCCCTGTCGGCGATGCATCAACAGTCCAGACTCGACACCGCGGGTGTGATCGCATGCCTGGGTGGGATCTGGGTGCTGCTAAATTTGGGAACCCTACCAGCCCGACGCAAGCCGGCAGTACTCAACGCTGTGCTGCCTGCGTGCATACATGCTACACAGCACTGCGTGGGAGTCGAAGGTTGGATGCGGATCTGCCGCTCGCCTGTCACCGGCCATCCATGGCTGGCTGGCTCATGACGTACCAAGGCCCGAGGGGAGGAAGGGGCAAATAAAAAAAATTGAAAAAGGGAAAAAGGAAAATCCAGAAGTCGTCTCGCCAAATCTAACCGGATGCAGCCAAGTGTTCCAGGCCCCAATGCCGCTGACATTGCGGTTCAGGGCTGAAGTGACCGCTGGACTGGCGGGTGTCGTGGGTGAGTCGATGGGTGACTGATAGAATCGTGATTCCATCTCGACCACGACCGCAGAGCAACAAGCTGGGCTCCTATGCGAAGGTGACGAGGCAGTAATAAGGTCAGCAGGTGCCTCCCTCCATTGGCAATTTGGATACCTTAGTACCATAATATCATGGATATTAGGGATGTACCCGGGTAGGTGCCTATCTACCCTGGTAGGAGGAGTGTATAAGATTGCGATCCATGGGTCGTGCCTGTGTATTCATGCTTTCCCAAATGGTGCTGTACCTAGGTACCAGACAACATGGCAACTGCAACTGCATCTGCATCTGCACCTGCAGCTGCGCTTGGCCCCCGCCCGCGCCCGCACCTGCCCTCTTATTGCATTCCAACGTCTTCGAGGCATTGAGTTCAGTGCTGGCAGGGTTCGGCCGGGGGTGGGCTTGTCCATCTCCCGAAACCCAATTCAACAAACGGGAAGGCGCCACAAGCCCATGGTGCAGGAAGGTGACGGCCAGGCCACAGACCCAGCAATCACAACCTGTCACAGTAATAACAGTCCGCGTTATTACGACGGCTGCTTCTCCTGATGGGAAATGTGGCTTCGCGGCGCCGTGGGGAAGGGACGGGATCAGGTACCTGCCTCCCAGTTGATCCGCACCATCCCTCCTGTGCTCTGCCCCAAAGTGTCCGGCGAGGACCCCCTGCTTTCCGAGGTTTGAAGGAAGCCACTCTCCATTCCTGCCCAGTCCTGGCCTGCCTTGCCGTGCCTGCCCGGGCGCTGTGGGGAGAGAGAGACCTAAAGCCCCCCTCCTCTGGCATGTGTCTGACGTTTGACAGCCGCTTGACAGCCTCACCCGTCTTCCTGGACGCATGCAGTATATTGTGCCTAATCTTCCCAAGAATGCTTCCTTCCCCGGTCCCGCCCTTTTTGAGATCTGCCATGTAGACCGGAATCTATGCGGCCCTCCAGACCTCCGCCACCCCACAAGCAGTACAACGACGTCGCCTTCATGGCCTTGCCTTGGCTTCGTCCCAACTCGCCCTGGACCCCCTTTTCTGTCTGACGGAGCATGTGTGATCCGCGGCAAGGGTCCACCCTGACAGGGCAGCCCCGGAACGCAATATGCAGAGTTACATGTAGGCTACGTACCTCCGCAGGCGGGAGCGCGACCTTCTTCAACCACTTGCGCACACGCACACGCACTCACACTCACGCTCAAACACACACACCACGCACACCACAGGCACTCGGGCACACACACACACACGCACACCAGGCAGGACGGCACAGGCAGGACGCAGGGCCTGGCTTCGTCACATCTTTCCGCCGCGGAACGGTCTGTTCATCAAGTGGAACAAAGCGGAGCGCGCACGGCTCGCTCCTGGAACAAGCACACCCCCCTCCCGCAGCTGTCCTCCTCCCCCCCCCCCACTTCGGGGCCAGATTCGATCCATCGCTCGTCTCTCATCATCGCTCCTCGCCCGGAGCCCGTCGCTCGCTCGTTCATTGCACATGGCCAGATGGCCCCGTCGCCCATCATTAATGCTGCAGCCTGCAGGACTACTGTGTCCCGCGCTACCTCTTTCCAAGGCTGTTCCCTGTGGGCAGCACACAAGCTGAATGGATGCCCAGGCCCAAGTTCCGTCCCAACCTTGGAAACTTTGCTCCCCTCCTGCAATCAAAAAGACTAAACATTCAGCTGACGACTTCAGATGCACCATTCCACATGAGGACGCTGCTCGCTTTAACATTGCATCTCTTCTACGAGTCGCATTTCTCATCTACAGGTCCACCTACTATCAGGCTTAGTCTTGGCCCCGTTCCTATTTGAAATGAGATGTCCGGTTGGTTCAGTCCCGACCGTCGCCGGTTACACAGGGAACGGACTGATATCCGCACTCCCAACGCAGCAAACAAATTGCACAATGTCCCCCTCGCACAAGGCACGTAAATCGGAGCACACGCGGGACCGGGCCATAACGCGCGAAGTCGCACAGCGTCTCTGACAGACAGGCATGCAGCATTGGCCACGAATGAGCTACACCAGCAATGAGCAAAACGTGACAAGAAAGTACAGATTCCTCTGACTGTGGGTTGAATGGCACCCATCAGCACGGCTGTTGACACGGCGGACGTGTTGGCAGGCGATCCTATTTCCTCAATGCTCGAGCCCTGGCAGCGGGAACCGGCTGCGAGGCGTTCGACCGAGGATCACTGGGGCGTCGTGCCGGCAAAGCCACTGCCGCAGCGTTGCAGCTTGCCAACTTTGACGTCTACGTACCGGCGCGCGCGTTCCTTTTGACGTCGCCCTACTGTTCGGCACCGCAGAGACTGCAAGAGCACTGGTACGTCTGCCTCGATAAGCAGACCTTGCCACTGGCTAGCCAAGCTCGCCCTCTTTGACCCCAAGCCGGAGTGCAGTTGTCATTCAGATGTCTCCTCGCCGTCCTCGCCAAAAGACACCATGCTAAGGTTGGGCCGCTTTTTGTCGCGGTACCAAGGACCTACAAAGTGCTCTTGCACTCTGGCACCAATTTCAACTCGTTCCTGTGCTTGCTTGATACGGCACAAGCGATCGGACATCGTGATGGAGGCTCCGTCTTGAAATTGTTACGGACAGGGCGGGACAGTGCTATCGCGGTACACGTTTCTACCACCCCCCCCCCCCTTCCCAGCAATGTTGACCGAGACCACCCTTTCAGTCACTTTCTGGACTCTGCGTTCCTCAAAAGGTTATCCAGGCCGGCAGGCCGACAATCCTGAGACTCTGAACTCAATAACAATGTTGCATGCTTCACAAGCCATACACCATCTTGTGACAGCTTTACACAGATCAGATACGTCTGAGTGTTTCGATCACATCCCCAAGAGAGGCACACCATTTGGGAGGGAAAAAAAAAAAAAAAAAAAAACCAAGATCACAACTGATACTGTTCGTGTATCTCAGACTATTTGAATCTTCTCATTCATGGTCTATTCTTCTGACACCCCAACCCTGAGTTTCGCAGTTTGCGTGTCACAAACGACGATGGGAACCAGCCGTGGCAAGGGGCCTGCATGGTCGTCAAAGCTGGCGTCTCTGCGGCATTAGGCTCGAGTCAAGCTCTTCTTCGTGCAGAGAGAGTATCAAGTGCCTTCAAGCGCGATGCTGTTCACGTTGTTGGCTCGTCTGTGCCTGGAGAAGGCGTCAACCAAGCATCAACGATCCCTTTCAGCTCACGGCGGCGCGTGCGACAGATTGTGCTCCTCGAGCCCTTGGTGGCCGCTAGGACAGGGATTCCTCAGAGTGTGGGTTCACGTCGAGCTCAGCGTCTATCAGGTGCAAGGAAGTACGTACACGCACAGCAGATAGCGCGGGCATCCCAATAGGATGGGTGTGTGGCGTGAGCCCGAGCCCGAGCCCAGACCCTTTAAGCTCATCCCGGAAACCTGGTGCAGCTATAGGGACAGGAACGCCAGACATGGGGGCTTGCCTCTCCAATGCTACGGTGTCTATTCCTTTCCGAGGACGGTGACAGGGGTCGAGCGTGGCAGAGACGGACAGGGCAGGCGATGATCTAGCCCTTCTGGGCATGGAGAGCTGTCCTGGGTGCCAGTCCTTTCGCACAAGTCGGGCCAGTACCGTAGTACTCTTGTCGCCTCCCTCTTTTGTTCTCATGCTACGTCTCGCGCAAATTTCACCTCTTGCTACGGGTTGGCTTACGATCAGAGCTCAAAGGCATGTCGACTGTACTGTGTCGTTCGCTCTCCTGGAGTGAGCCCTTGTACGTGGACCTTGCCGTTACCTATGCTGTCTTGTCGGCTTTGTGTATGCAGAGACCAGCCAGCACACCAACGTCACTGGGGAGATTATCGATGCTGCTAGCCCCATCCGACAAGCGTGTTCACCGGTGTACTTGTAAACCTCCATCTCCCCCGCCCCCTTTGATTTACACCCTTCTGCTGAACACAGGGTGCTCATCCTTCTGGATCCAAGCGCAAATGCCCAGGCTCTGGACCCAAACGTGCTAGCAAGCGGGATCCGCTAGACCGTTTCCTTTGCCTTGGGAATTGGCGCGTTTTGCTACGTACCGCGGAAACCTCTTCCCACATGCCATCGACCAGTCGAGCCAGTGTCCCGATGCAAGGCCCCATGGTTCGGAGGGACTTGACGTCCTGTCCGAGGCCTGGTTTAAGCCGCGTGATCTACCCTTGCTACTCTCAGAACTCAGCTTCCAAGATTGCCCGCCATCTGCATCTGCATATCCACTTCGGCAGCCGCTCTGTCTATCTCACCATCCCTGTCAAGCCAAGGGTCACCTGGCTTGACCCTCAAGCTACCCTCAAGCTCCAGGGGCAACCTCCTTATATTTTCTTGAAGCGACAGTGCTTCCCCTTGCAGTTAATCACCCATCCACAAGCAGATCATGAGACAGCCCGGACGTTCTGCAGACTGGAGACCACTGACACTAATGCGTATTCCACGTAGAAATCCGTCCAAAGCAGCTTACTGCTTCTCTCATCATTCTTGCAAATATCAGCTGGGTGCCTGCTCCTCTAATTCTGACAGCGGGACCTCTCCGTAGTAAAGCACCCCTCATATGCACAGGATGTAACAGGACTTCATGAAATCAACAGTTCAGCGACGACCACGACCGTCTTGCGGCATTCTCACCATTCGCACACCTTTACCTTGCAGAGGTTGTCTTCTGGACAAAACCCTGGGATCACTGGCCGTGAATCTCCCCTCAGCCGGCCGCCTTCGCCCAAGCGAGTCCCAAGGCAACGGAGACGAAAGTACTGGTCACTCCCGCTTCACATTGGCGCATCTGAGGTTTGTCTGGCCGGGTGCGCATACTGTGAGTATTCTCTGCACCTTGTGCTCCTCAGCGGGCCAATTGTGAAGGAGGATCACCCAGGGGGTCTCAAAGAGTTGGCAGCCCCCCTGCACGGATTTCAATCGATTAACACAGAGCAAGGCCAGCATCCCACAACCAGAAGCTTTCGGGCGCCACAGCACGTATTCCAATCCCGGAACCATTTACCTGCGCTAATATCCCCTGGGCTCCCACTGCCTCGGGCACCTCATTCGCCGTCTTGGGTACCCTGCCTCTACTTGGACTGTCTTTTCTCGCAGTTCATACCAGCTCGGCCAGATATCCGCGCAGCGTGCCTTAGCCTCGTTAGCAAAAGGGAGACATCTGCGAGGAGCTCCAGCATAAGAGAAGAAGCACCGCAATCCTGCCTGGGGTTTGAAAGACACACGTCGATCCAAGGCTGGGAGCTCAGGAACTCAACCCGAGACCAGTCACCTCGTTCTACCGTACTGATATTGGGCATCGGACGACCTGGGCGTTGCCCTTTCTGTTACATTTCATTTTAGCCCATCTGAGGCTACTCGACGAGACATTGCACAAAACCCATACCCCCCGGGCCAAAAATATCTGGCCCTGACCTTGCTGGTCTTGCAGCTCGGTGCAACACAGCTCGCCATTAGAAGACCTCCCTGGTCCCCACCCCCAAGCTCCCCGGATCCTTCCAGCCCAACCCAGCAGCCTTCTGTTCACTGGGGAATAACCTTTGTTCAATACATATTGTATAGAAAGGCGGCGTGGAAGTAGGTCTCCTGCAACATATATGTTCATCGTCTCTTGCGGCAACTGGACGCAACCGCTCTACACAGGCACACATCCTCTCAAGTGTCTCTGCTTATTGACTGGCTGTCAACACTACCAACAATTCACAAGTCGACTCTGGCACACCGTCGCTCCTTTTGGATCACCACAGCTTTCGGAGGCCTATTGACACCAAACGACGGCGGAGTTATACACCAGGACTCCTCCGACCCCTTGACGCGGAGTCCTTTCGGCTCAAAGTCTCCTTCGGAATCTACAGTCGAGAATAATCAGGCAAGCGTGCCGTTCATCTTCCGTTCTCAAGCTCGACAAGTCAGCTACTCACTTGCGCGCAACCTGTACGTACATCGAAGCTCGGGTACGCGGCTTCTACACCGCGAAGGCGTCTGAAATCCAGCCGGTCCGCATTATCGAAATGATGGAAAACCATGCCGATCATCTGGGTCACGGCCATGGCCACCGACCGACACCAGAATCTGGGACCAGCCGTCAGTTGATGATGCCGCCTTTCCCAAGCCTTCCTCCGCAATCCCAATACCCAGCTTCAGATATTCCCAGTACGAGTAGACCTTCCCCAGCCCCAGTCACCACTTCCTCGCTGCTTGCTTCCAATGGCACCCCCAGCAATAGTTCGTCGCTGTCTCGTTCTTCCTCGCGCAACTCTGGGCCGACCATGCTGACTTTTCGAACCAGGACGATCAGTGGCCGATGGGACAGCCATGCCCCTGCAAACCTCCCCAGTAAACATGCATGGCGGCTCCTCTCCTGAGTCGCATGCCGGGGGAACAGGTTATACGTGGGGTACCCACGACTCTTGGGCTGGTCGGTCACCACAGCAGTATGGCAACAGAACACCAGGTGCACTCAACCAGGGTGGTTTCTTCTTCCAAAACATGAATACGATGCCCTCAACCACGGCACACAGCATCTCCCCGATCACGGCAACGACACCAGGTGACACGCTGCCATCGTTTCACTCTTCTCCCGCAACGAGCATGTCACATCTTTCCATTGACCAAGCCACGAGCAACGGCAACAGCAATGGGATATTACCACCATTTCGGCAAAATTCCACAAGCTATACGCCACGTCCCACGCCACCACTTGGTCGATCATCTTCGTTCCCAAGCCCTGCAGGGACAGTACCCCCTTACGTTCCTGGCATCTCCTCGATGCTGCCCATGTCAACAATGCCTTCATCGACGCGTCCAGGTCTGGCAGCGCCAATTTCCCCGCTGGGAAGCTCAGGGCCCCCTGGGCCCCCAGGACCGCCACCGCCGGCCCCCGGCCCAGGAAGGCTTTCTCCGTACTCCTCGGGGCACCAACAACAATATATGCATAATCTGGGCAACCCGGGGCAGCCAATGGCCCTGGTGTCGCACTACTCGCCAGCGGCGGCAGCAGCAGCCTACGGGGGCCATTTTGGTGGCATGATGTTTCAGTCGCAACAACGGCAGCCCGACAAACCACATCAGTGCGACCAGTGCCCGACGGCCTTTACGAGAAATCATGACCTCAAGAGGCACAAGAGGATACACTGGGCAGTGAAACCATTCCCATGTGATGGGTGTGAGAAGGCATTCTCCAGGAAAGATGCTTTGAAGGTGAGTACGGGGCTAGGTTGAGTGCCTGGCCTTTTGCCAGACCAAGGCACAAGTAACTATTATTCCCATGCACTCCGTTTACTAACCTATGGTGTGCTCACAGAGACATAAGCTGGTGAAATGCTGTGGAAAGGATGGAAAGGACAAGAGAGATGGGAGTCCATCTTCAACAGAAAGCCAGGGCAACAGCGGCGAGTTGTCACCGAGGGATCCCAAGAGGTAGCTGGACCAATGTACACTCTGGCGGCTGCAGAGGATTTCGGGGACTACCGAAGCTGGACGACGCACCCAGCAGAACAGCTTGTGTATGGGCGCTGTCCTCAACTCCACGATGACCACAGGGCTGGGGCGGTGTGGGCATTGCGCGCCTCAACAGGTCTGAGGGTGCTGATTTCGCGCCTAGGACGATTTTTCTTGGCCTGGTGCGGCTCTCTAATGGCTTCGCTTGAACAGAACCAACGCTCAAGGAGCCACACTTGCTATAATAGGCGTTCCGGGCTGCTGGCTGTTCCATTAGGGCATGTGGCGGGCTTCTCGAAAACATGGCAAGGCGTTCTACAGGACGGGGAATGGTCACGGAAATAGGGCAAAAAGAGCGAGAGAAAAAAACGACAAGGAGAGGCAGACCGTCTCATGGCATTTTCTATGTTTTATAGGGTCAAGGAAGGGGAGCAACAGGGCAGGTTCACGACATTTGGCCACGGGCAACGCTGTTTATCATACAGAATGTAGTATTTTGCTACTGGGCATGGATGGTTTGGAGGCCGGGCTTGGGGATTTAATGGAGTTTGTGTTAATTGAAGGCATCTGTCATAGGGGGTCATCATTAGGAGGTCATAGTTTGACAAGATTATTTACTGGGTGTGACGAGGCCTTTACATTGTCAGAGCCTGAACGCCTTTGAGTGCAATCCGTCTGGTGGCGGGTCTGGCCGAACTCAGTCTCGAGCAGCACCTTGTAGGTCTGCCTACAACTAATGGCTCGTCACGAGGCAGGTGCGACCTCGGTTCTCCCCTGTTCGAGATCTCAACAGCGACAGCGACAGCGACAGCGACAGCAACAGCGGGCGCAAGCGTGACGTCGGATCTGAGACAATGGTCATCACCAGGCCCAGCTGGGAGGGAGACTTTACGGGGCGAGATGCGTCGCCCCCGTCACTGCACCCGCTTATCTTTTGTCAGTGGTCTGCTTCCTGCAGCCCCCATCCTCATCTCCATCTCCAGTCTCCAGTAAGCGACAGACAGCCTTCCAACAGGTCGAAGCTGCTGCCAAGCTGGCGCGGGCTAATGAGCTTCCGCGGCGATGGATTGAGGCCAGAACAGAGGGGGACACCTTCTTCAGCCGGTGCCCAGACCAGCGGCTCTAGGTGAGACAAGCATATCCTGGAGACAAGCAGGATATGCCGCACTGAGATACTGGAGATTTCAAAGTGCCAGAATGCGCAATTTGGGCCGTCACCCGCCTTGTTCCGCCAGAGCCGGTCCCGACTCAGCTGTATCCCGAACGGTGATAGCGTCTCATCCCGTCATTCCGTCCTGGGCCTTAGCTCGCGGGAGGCCATGAGTGGTCTTCGAGAAGGGACTCGCTGCTGCCGCGCCCCTTCCCTCCCTCCCTCCCACACGCCAGGTGGTTGGGGAACGCAAGACGGTGCCCACAAGAGGCGCGACATCACTACAAGAGAGGACTAGGGATTCCGAGCGGATGGATGTGTGGGGAGGTGCTATGGTGTGTAGTACGCGATTGACTGATCCTTGAACAAACCGGGCTGACTTGTTGTTGTCGATCCCAGGAGATGTTGTCTCTACTTGGAGGGGAGGGGGGGGGGCTGCTTGGGAGAGCACGTCCATCGACTCAGAGGCCCAACAAGCTCTCCTCCCCCCTTCATTACGCGTCAACAGATGGCCTGGTCACAGGGAATGCACTGTGATGGCTCGCGACCGAGAGGGACTCGAGTCTGGTGTCGTATAGGCGGCCAGGCCAAGGCACCCCCACGCTCCATTATTTCCAGGCCGTCAATATCGACGTCAACACCCACTGCCCCTTGGCTAGTTGAGATACACCGAGCATCAGGCCCCGCAGGCCGTGGTCTTTCATCTAGGATCCCAGCCTGCACCACAACCAAAAGGGCCTCAACTCCCCCGTGACCACTCAGCAGACCAGCCTCTCCTGTACGCCGCACGCAGCCACGTATAAAGAGCTGATCCCAAGGACCAGCCATCACTGACCGGTGAAAGTGGGAAAAGGGGGGGGAAGGGGGTAAGCGGCCTCCACCAGGCCCACGGCTGACCTTGCCTCCCGGCCTCCACTGGCTTTGCACTTCATCCGAGCAACCATCACCGACCTCACCGGCCCTGTTTTTCCAAGCTCCAAGACAATAAATCCTCGCAGAGATTGCGCTCGAGAGCACGACTCCGAGATCACCGCGCCTGGAGCCTACCCTTGGAGAAATCGCGAGGTTAGCGCTCGCCTCGAATAGGGTGTTTCTCCACCAATCTTGTCGGCCTCGAAGCAGCCATATTCCATGACTTTGGATCTGGAGGCAAGCCATGTCGCACAAGTAAGACGTCGTGGGCCCTAGGTTCCGGAACTCTCCCCGTCGACCCTGTCCCAACCTCGCTCACCCTCATCTCCCCCGTCTTCGAAGCTGAACCCGAATCGCACGCACAACGATGGGTTTCGTGCCCTCAACCAGCAGTAATGGCGGTCAGAAATTTGCTGTTCTGCCTTGTGCGACACCGAGTCTTTTCGGACCGAGCAAGGGGGCACTTTTTGCCTCTGCGGCACCGTTCACGGGGAGGCTTGCCACCGTATTGTCAATTTATTTTCGAGACACTGACCGGCTCTACTAGACTCGATCGTCTCGGTTCCAATTCCAGCCCCGCTCGCAACCCAAGATTGTCTTGTCGTGAGAGCTTGCCTCTCGCGTTTGTCCAGATCGGGGTGTGTTGGCTGTCTTGTCTTGGGCAAGGTGCCACAGACATGGGCCTTGACTGGCCGGCTGCACCCGGAAAGCCTAACCCCCCGGGCAGAGAAGATTCGGGCTGCGCGCCGACCTGCAGTCGGGGATATTGCTGGATATTGCCCTTTCCGATGTCAGTTCCAGCACAAATGCACAGCAAAGACATTTAGAGAGACAGCTTGTTCTTGCGTGCCACACGCGCCGGGTACCGTACCACAAGATGTCGTTGAAATAGACTCCGAACCAGAGCCCCTCCCCCGGGACTACGGTGGGTACGATTGGAGCATCATCCCTGCTTGAGTGTGTATCAACGATACTCCACCGCATATCTGGGGTAACAGTGGAGACTAGGAGACCCTGTCAGAGAGCTCGTGGCCCGTCGAACGACAATCCAACGACACGCGACGGCCATTTCGGATCGAGTCGACGACAAAGTAGCTGTCACAATACCGGGCCCGTGAGGACTCGGCCCGGATAGCCACTGCTGATGGGTGGTCCTGCTGCAGCAAGCCATAGCTGTCACTCGTGTCGAGCGCCAGCCATTTGCATGGACAGGCCGCGGCAGTGCGCAGGCAAGGCCATGGTCCTGCTTCGATCCGTGACCCCAACGCTCACGGCTACTGGCAGGTGGTACGCAGGTTTCCTCCATGGGCGGCGGCCACGAGAGATGGCTGTGCTCGGAGCCTCTGCCTGCTGGGGCAGCGGGGAGCACCTCGCGGTGGGCAGGCTCCCGGAAGAAGGAAATGATGGGATTCCTCGTCCTTGGCTCCTGAGGCAATCAAGTGGCTCGGGGATTTATTGCTGTTACAGCGCAGCGCCAATCCCTCCTGACCCAAGGCCTGGGTGGGAAACACCAATGCTACTCTCAGTCGTGGCAAAACACCAGGAAACACGCCCGTTTCATGCCATGCGGGCCTCAGCTGGGCCCACATGAGCGCGCTACATAGCTGCTTATCAACACCCACCTCCTCGCCGTGGATCCCGCGGGATGCAACCCAGCACAGAGCCAGAGGAAGCCCCTTGTTGGGCGCCGCTGCTGCTGTGCGAGCATCCAACCCCCCTCCCCAATCGGTCTTGGGAAAGACAAGCCAGGGCCACCTCGCGCTGCGCTAGCATGTCGTGCAAGGCACACCAAGTGCTGTGACGCATCGAAGCAACCTGGGCTCCGCCGGGCCACAGGGGAAAGGGGCGGGACGATCCCCACGCGCTCCACTCACGATTATCCCCCCCCCTTCGTGAGCGCCTCCAAGCCCCTGTTTCGAGCTTCTGGCTACTTGAGTACTACCTAGCTATTTGGCTACCTTGCTTACCCTCTCCTGCACTGTCACCAGTGCTCCTGTCGTACGGCAGTAGTCAGAGTAAATGTGTGCTGAAATTGGTGTTCAGATGCAGCGGGGCCATTGTTGCACCGATGCCTGGGCTTGCCTTTTCTTCTTTCTCTATCCCCCCCCCCTAATTTTCTGATACTCCTTGCGTCACGCTGCTTTGCGGCGCAGGTACGGGCCTGGCTAAGCGGGAATATCGGGCTTGCTCCTGAAAGCCTCTTGGGTGAATAGGTGGGTAGGTAAGCATGCCTCACTGCTGTTTCGTTCGCTGCACCGGGCGGTTAACTCGTGACTGGGCCTTGGGCGACTGAGACGCCATGTGGACACGACCATTGTCTTTCTGTTGGACAGTCACTGTTCGGGCTCTGGGTCACGGTCCGCCCGGTGGGTTTGATTTGGGGAATATGCCTTCATGGGAGCTCACATAGCCTGGCTGGACTTGGTCGTTATAGTATGGAGCTTCCAATCGCAAAATGGTTGGAAACATCCCTGTCATAGCCTATTATACAGGGCTGGCCTCCTGATCTCTATGAATGTGAAATTTCTTTTCTGTGTGAGCGTTGAAAGGGGGAATATCTCTACTGACTGGACACAAGCACACTGTGCTGCTCATGCATCGCTTGATCCTCCAATACTCCATATGGTGATCACCATACACCAGTGAGATCGGTGCCCAGGTCATGTGCTTCAAGTTTCGTTTCGCCCACGGAGGATTCAGAAGCAGACATCAGAGGGGGGTGATTTCCACGATCACGCTGACAGGGGCCATCGGGCTTGTGGTCGTGTCCATGGAGGTCTGCAAGGTGCCTGACACCCAGAGTTGGGCAGGTTTTCAGGTTTTCTATGTGCTGCCAACGTCTGGCCTCCAGCAGCACTCTCCCTGGTCCCCACACCCTCCTGCCTCTTGTCTTTCTGTCCCCGGTCGGAAGAACACAAAAGTCTACTCTGCTGCGTTCCCGTTGGCCAAGATACGATGTTGCTGACGTTGTCCCGATGGCCATGAGACCTCTGGTTGCGGCCGATAGGCTGACTGGGATAACGGCCGTTATTACACACTCATTGCTCAGCGCCGGCTGGCCCTGGGCGTATGAGTGGATGGGGTGGTCTGATGGCCTTTGGGGGCAACTCGCTGGTTGCCACACTGAGAAGAAGGGTGAAGGTGCTGCGAGTTGGTGACCCGCCATGACTGGACGAGGGCTGATCATCGAGTCGGTGGGGATGTTGGTCTGGGTCTGTGACAGACAGCCTTCTAAGTCCGGCCACAGGCTATCAGCGAGTGTCTCGTTTGGATCTGTAGCTTGCGCGATGGGGGGTGGTGGATGGAGTGATGGCATTTGGTACTTTCCTAGGCTGCGATCACGGCAGAAAACGACCCAGCGTTGGTCGAGGGCGCTTCGACTGTATGAAGTATGTGGCGTTCTTGGCCACAGTGCTTGTCAAGAAGCGTCTCCGTTCTTGCGAAGAGGGCACGCCCTGGAATGTTCATAAGCCCAGGGCATGGACATGGCTCTACTTTGATGTACATGGTTAACGCTGAGGCAGACTTGACAGCAGGACAGGGCGGTTCACTTAGATACCGGACAGGGCTGTCCTCCGATAGGCTCACAGCCTCAGAAGATATTTTATTGCTCATGAAAGTCATCTCACAACCTTTCCATTTTGTAATGATTGGGTACGAGCCACGATATCTGTGGACAGGGCAATCCCGCATCATCACCATGTGATACTGATGCCATCCTAGCCATGTCTTTCTTCCTCGTGAGGTTACCCACAAACACGGCAGACGGACAGAAAGATACTTGGCCCGTTGTTGTTTGCTTTTCTCTGCCCGCGAGGTCGAATAACAGAGTCATGGTTGTCAGGAACGTGTACAATTTACATGAGAGGCTCGCACCTGACATAACCCTACAGTCAGTCGAATGGGTTGGGATGTCTGGAATGAGACGACGGGACTGAGATGTCATTCCTCCATCCCAGAGTCAGGAAGACTTGTTGTCTGAGTGAAGGAGAACTCGATACGCACCTTTGCTGTACGCCTAACTCACGTGTCGACTCCCGTCTACCCAACGCGAAGCAATCACCTCAAGGCAGCGAGTGAGCAGACTCAATTGTTTCTACCAATGTTCTTGGGTGTAGGATGCTTCTGGGTCTTTCGAACTGACTTCTGTTGGACACGCCAGCCCCAGATAGCTAGTTTTCTGGCCGTGATACCTGGCAGGAGACTCAAGGCGGCCTCGCAGCAGCTTTCCCTCGAGCCAGACCAGCATCAAGACTCTGGCCTCATTCCAACTAGAAGCTACATAGACAACAAAATACACCAGGAAATCACCTCCGGCGAGGTGGCCGATTTGGGTAGGCGTCAGGTTTCGACCTACGCCGATGATCCCAAGTTCAAACCCAGCCGGCAACCAGTAAAATATCAGCGACGGTCTGCAGAAGACGGAGGTATTTTCTGACTCTTCGGAGGGTCTTTTTGACCTTTCACCCTGGTTTTGCTCCCCCAGCCTGCAGAGCCAAACCTGCAGAGACCACCCCTTTTGAATATCCAAGCTGGGGAGATTTTGTATGTGCTAGCAAGCACGAAAACGAAGAACATTAGTTTCGTGTAAAAATAAAGGCAGGAGATCCTCGATGCCCAAGACATCCGATGAAGTTCATTAGGCTCCAGGGCGTAAGGGCCTACCACCGTGTCGATGATCCTGTCTCGGCGCACCTAGCGAGCCATGTGAAAAAGCAATACATAGGAATGTGTTGTGACAGGTCGGGAACCGGTATTTTTGACCGTCAACAATCCACAAACCAAGGTCTAGCAGAATACAGACCTGTTAAACCATGGCTCCCCGGAACACCTGCGCAGGGTAGTCTGGCGTGACCGTCCGTGCTGACAGTCTGGGCCAACATCTGGTGAACGATTCATCCAGGGACGGCAGACTAAGTTTGGAGTTGGGGGCGCGTCATGATCGGAATGGTGGTATCGTGGCGGGCTGCTGTCAAGCAGCGGCAACTGGCTGCAGCGATACTGCGCAGAGCACAGGATCTGTGTTCAGTTGGACGGATGTAGAGGAGGTCCCTGCTACTGCAACACGCGCACTCTTCCGCGCCTTGAGAAACTGTAAGCAGTGTTTGAGTATCTCATAGTAACAGCAGTTGCGATAGCATCCGTACGGGGCGAAGTCCATCACAGCCAGATGCACGCAAGCCTTGGGACTTCCTAAACAGACCATAGCCACTCAGAGAGCACTCAACCTTTTTTGCTTGCCGAGCCCTCACTAGAGGTAGCACGCAACATGTTCTTGGGAGATGGCCCGAATTCTGCCTGCTAACGATCTGGTACCTTGAAGGTTCTGAGCACAAGACCCGCAGCACGTCACGGTTGCCCCAATGTGATTGCGTCCGACTTTGCTGCAGGTCCATGCAGTGTGTTGCTCGCACCAAAACAACAATCGCAATTTAAGCATCAAGGCATGAGTCGCATGAGTTGGGGAACAAAAGCAGAGCCAAAGAAATCGTGTTCGTACCTACGGTGACTACTGCAGATCAAGCTGAGCATGAATTCACATCCACAGCACCCGAGCCTCAGGGCACCTCGCGATTTCGGTTCAAATACGGGTTGCAACTGCAAGGTTTATAAGAAGTCGTGGCACCGCGAATCTGACCGTGATCCCAGGGCCTTCGTGCCTCGGCCCTCGAGATCGGATTTGATCTGTGACAGGCCACCTGCGCAGGCATCTTCAAGCGTAGGTGGTCGTTTTCTCGCAAGTGCAGTTATGTTACCAGGCTCGGGCAAGTCAAACGGTGAAGCTAGTGGCTATTGAGGCTGTTCGGGGCCGTGATCCCTCCCCATCAAGCAAGCCCACAATACGCTGGGGCGAGACGTTTGAAACTTGCTCGAATGCGGCAGCACATAGAGAGCAATCCCGCGAGCGCAGGTTTCAAGCTGACACTATGGTAGAATCTGACGAGATGCAGGGCCTGCCTTCAATAGGAAACAACTTTGATGTTCCAAGAAGCTCTGAATCGATCTCATCCTCTGATTGCCTCCCTCATGCCAGAGACAATGCAGGAGCTGTGCTAGATAGACGGGGATCATAGAACCGTGCAGCTTTGTACTCGAGTTTGCACGTTTGCAGAATCGACCGAGCACGAGAGGCGGGGGATTCGGTGCGTGCTCATCATTATCCACACATGTGTTCCGTCCATGTCAATGTCAAGTTCAACACTCGGTGAACTGACGTGCCAGACAACGATACTAGAATCTCAGAAACGAACACGATGCTCCGGAGCTCCGGAGCGGGGTCATGTAAAGGTGTCCCTATCGCAACTGGGCCCATTGCAGGAAAAAAGGCAAATACAGTTTGTTGAAGAGAGTGACGTTGATGGTCCTGAAAGCAAGGCAGAATCAGCAGGCGACCACCAACTCCACGGATCAGTCAAGGACCTGAGAACATCATGACACGCCAAGGCCCACCCGCCGAGAGATGCCCTGAGGTTTACAAGGGAATGATTTGGCACAGCCAGGCTCTTCCGCTATGTTTAGATTTTAGTCCAATGGTTGTCGCGATCGTCGCGATGGGACGACCGAGAAGGGCCCAGCTAGTGGCGCCCAGGCCGTCGAGGCCGGGTGGGATGAGGACACCGAATTATGCGTTACCGCTCGTGACGGTCCGAGCCTCTGCTCACATGAGCTTGAGCCCCATGGGCTATGGGCCACGGATGCAGGAATAGGGAGCTCTGGTCCCTGGCGGTGATGAAGCCGGCGCATGGCTCCCAAGAAAGAGACCAAGATGGCATCGCAGCGCGCCGGAGTGGTTCGACGCGGCCAAGGTCGAGTCAAGACTTTGGTAGTGCATGATGAGGCTCGTCGGGTGCTGGGGGAAGCACAGATTTGGGACGACAAGGCCTGGGGGAGCGTCCTTGGCTGTGTGGGACCTGCGCCGGAACGAGTGGAGGGTTCGGCTGGGCAGGGGAGGCCGGGGAGGCAGGCAGGCGGCTGCTGATCATGGAAGCTTGGGACGCATGCTCGCATGAAGCATCTCAGGATTGTCGAATGGTGGGTGGACAGAGTCAATGCTGCCGCTGGGAGAGGGTGGAATGAGGACTGATGTTTGGATTCGACCATGCGACAGAGGTGAGGATCGCCGCGAGCTCAGACGAAACCGCAGCTCTAGGGACTGACTGACAGGCCTCGCAAGGTGATAGTGCAAGGTGGACTGGCCGTGTACCGTCTACCAGGCCGAGATCTGGCCCAGGCAGCTTGTGAGAGCCGAATGGAACGCGATCGGTAGAGGGAGACGTGAGAAGGGGTCCAGATCCTGGGCTAGCCTGAGCAAGTTGCCCCGTACCTTCTGATATCCCACGCCGAGTCTCAGGTCGGCCGCAGAGCCAGGCCTGCTAACACAGACTACCTTCCCCACACAATGCGACGGCGCGGCGGTGACAAGGGTAGAGTGCCCAGCCAGGTGCTCTTCGCCTGAGTGAGCAAGTTTCCCCAAAGGTCACTAACACCCGATCGAGCCTCACCCGCGCATGCACCAGCAGGAAGAGCAAAAAAAGGTTCGACAGCCCTCGTTTCGACTTGGTGCTTGTTCCTTGTCCATCACCGCGACCCTCACACTCACCCAAGGAGCCCAGCTCCACTCACCCAGTCCACCGTGACAGATAATTCCCAAACCTGCTCATTCTATATCTGCGCAGGTTTTGGAGTCTTGTTCCTGCCGTTGAAACAAACACATGCTCGTCGCCTCCAGGTTCATATACTTATTAGCTTCCCCCCCGCCTCGCCTCCACAAGTTTGCTCGTTTCTGTCAGCACTCTGGAAGTCCTCATAATTTAATAATACCGGCCGGTCCATCACCATAGTACAACATCACCAGCACCAGCACCATCACCAGCACCATCACCATCATCATTGCCCAACCGAATAACACAGCCCACCAGTCACAATGGCCATCTTCCCACGACACGGCGACGAGGTGGAAGCCGCAGCCTCCATGGCAGGCATGACAGGCATGACAGGCATGGACGGCATGGACATGAGCAACTCGTCCACGATGATGGCCACCATGATGGTCGCCTTCCACAACGACATCGCCACTACGCTATACTCGGAGATGTGGACGCCCTCCAACGCCGGCACCTACGCCGCGACCTGCATCTTCCTCATCATGCTGGCCGTAATCTTCCGCAGCCTCTTTGCCCTCAAGGCCATCCAGGAGAGCCGCTGGTTGGATCAGGAGCTCAACCGCCGCTATGTCGTCGTCAATGGCCGCCGCACCATGCCCGATGACCTCGCCCGCAACAGCCTCAAGGACAACATGATGCTCTCTGCCAACGGCGTCGAGGAGGAGGTCATGGTCGTCAAGAAGAAGCACACTCACGCTCGCCCGTGGAGGTTCTCGGTTGACCCCATCAGGGCCGTCATCGATACTATTATTGCTGGTGTTGGGTACCTGCTGTAAGTCTCCATCTTCTGCCTCGCCAAGACACCGCGTCGCTGACCCTCATCTCAGCATGTTGGCTATCATGACGATGAATCTCGGCTACTTCCTCTCTGTCCTCGGTGGCACGTTCCTCGGAAGCCTTGCTGCCGGGCGCTATGCGGTCATGGCGGAGCACTGAGCGAATCCACTGCTGGACAGGGGGTGGTACATAGCACAAATGTCACATCGTACAATGCAAGACGGCACCTACGACAGCTATCACACCAGATTATGTCTCTTGACGACGGGGCGGCTCGAGGATCACAGTCTCGACACAGCACCGCGGGAGGCACCGGCACTAGATGACTCGGCACACCTCGAACACACAAGGGTTCGACTGCGGCGCTTCGATGTGGTTTAAGTCGGCGGATAATATTGGAGAATATGATCTCATGACATCGTAAATAAATGATTGAACGATTGTTGACACAACTTGTGCTTGTGTCGACTGCTTTGCCCTATTGACTACATGTAGGCTCGTCCTCGTCTGCCTGTCATTTGTTGGTCGTGATAGTACGCTCGTCGGCCACCTTGTACCAGCGACTCGCGCGGCCGCTAAGATCAGAAACGTGCTCAACTAACCTGCCCGTCGTGATGGGGGGGGGGGGGCCCACTCGCCCGCCTCGCCCATGAACCGGACCCACGAACCAAGCTTTGGACCCCTGCTGCTGCTGCAGCAGCTTGCAGTGGTTCTGCTGATGAAACCGCTTATCTCAGCCAATTCGGGAACTCAAGTCCCGCACCAGTTTTAACTCCATGCCGAACCAACTACAAACCATCAGCAGTCTACGCAACTCTACAACCTTCTTGCTTTTCTTTTTCTTTCTTCTTTCCCCCCCAAAATGTATGATGTCTCCAGAAAGATGCTGCGACCTCCTGCGGCGCGCCACGCTGCCCAGAACTCGAGAGACCTTACCACGGGCTCCACTCCTCACCAGAAGAAACTTCCGCTTCCCTCTTTGCAGTCGACGTGGGATGAAGGCTAGAGCCAAAGCCATGTCTGCTGACGGCCTTCCGCCCCTAGAGCATGAGGCAACTTGCAGTGCAAGAAAACAAGCTATACGCCGATGTACTCAGTGATCCCACGTTGCTGCGGGAAAGGGTGGGCTGCTCTTGTGCCGGTGCCTTTACCCAAAGAGAGCATCTTGGCGCTCGATAAGGGCTCGACTTCCTGCGCTCATATCGGCCAGTCAAGCCGCACAACCACCTTGGGATGAGATCTCGGCTATAATGAGTAAAGTCGCCTGGGCTGGTCTCGCATCGTGGTGGCTGTGGCCAGGTCTTGGCGTGCATCTCGCTGGGCAAGGCCCCCCAATCTGTCGGAAAGCCGAGTGGCTCTCTGGCTATGCGTTGCAGGAGGTCTGACTGACTATTCGAAGAGTCGCTCAAGTGGCGGCGCGAGGGCTACGAGCTGGCTGGTCGTGCCCAGGCTTGCGATGGGACTCAACGGCCCGGGGCAGCGGATGGGGGCTCTGGGACCGATCTCGCTAGTGCCAGATCGTTGATACATACCTTTGGTCAGGGACGCATGGGGATCTGGCCGTAGCCAAAAACGTGGACGGGCCGTTGAGAATCGCCTATCTTGACCGGTTCAAGGGGCCATGGGACAGCGGGCTCACCGTGCTGCCCTACGAACCTCTATCACGGCAACTAAATGTTGAGAACACTTACACCACGTGGGCCGGCGAAGTATCGTGAACCTGACACGTCAGGCACCAAGGCCCTGGAGGCGCAAGCCGGAGGCGCAAGCCGTTGGCGCCAACAGTGTGAAGAGACACCCCGGGGGTGTCAACCTTATTTCAATAGCCGGGGCGCCGTCTCAGCCCGGCCGGCCAACCGAAACCACTCGGCGTGACTTGCATTACGGTGCCTAGCACCACGCTTCCCAGGACACGAGACCATGAAGGATTGATGGACTATAAGACGGTCCTACCTCATGGGCGCGTAAACCGCACCAGCAGCCAAAAGTGCAAGAAGGGAGAAGGGCGATCCGTACTTGCCCACGGCGGACTGTGTTAGGTCTAAGCTTTATCCTCGACCGTCGGGAACTGCACGGCTCGTAGCCACGATGACTACCATCGATGAGGCCTGGGGAGGTACACAGAAGGGCTTGAGGAGGTACGCAGAAGATACATACCAGTTACTTTCAATTAATGGCTGAACTTTTATTTCATGAGTAATTACTACTGTTTCCAGGTTAGTTGACTCCCTGGCCTGGGTACTCTACACATACTAGCAGCCTTAAAAGCTCCACCTGCCCCAAGGAACCTTAGACACACAAAACACATGCCACCCTTCATCACTTTCACAGAGACTCTGTTTCTACCTCCCAAACTCATGAGTTAAGAGCGGCTATTTTCAATGACACTCGTAACCTGCCCATCCACGGAGGCTGGCCATCAGAATGGAATTCCGGGTACACTACCTCAAAACTTTCACTCATTCAAAGACAAACATCTCACATGGTTTCTCACGCATCTGGATAACCCACAGCCATGGAGGCAGCCTTTTCAACCTAGCAGGCAGGCAGTGACACAATATCTACCTAGCGCGGTCATGGCCTCGACCGGCCCGCGTACGCATACGGCAAACACGAGCCGAAACCCGGCACCAGCAGACCTTCCCCATGAATCATCGTCCCATGCCTGGGAAGAAACCCCAGATCGGAAAGGCCCGGAGGGTTGGAGGGGAGGAACCACCAAGAAGATCGAATGATCTGAAGGATCTGAGTCGCAAGTTCAAATCAAAATAAACATCCCCAAAATCCCAATCACGGGTATGGTAACCGGTCCGCAGGAGAACAGCCTAAGGGGCCTCGCATCACCCTCCCGAGGGGATCGATCGATCCCAACCGTCGGTCGAGCACCTCCTGATGCGGCGGGCCTGTTGTGCTTCCGCGCACAGGGACACAGAGAGCGAGAGGCTCAGAGAGGAACCAGCCACTGCATCATGCTGCGCAACAGAGATGGGCCAAGTTGCGGTTGCGCTCATGTCCACTCTTCCCAAAAGCTTTTCTGTGCTCACAAATGGGCAGCGTTGTCACCGGCACTTGGAGCATAGTGACAGAAAAGAAAGGGGGCCACTGCCAGCCACGTGACAATTTTGGTCAATTCCGACCGCCTTCACCAAAAACATCACGTGGGAAAGAAACGAGGCTTAATAAGAATGTCCTCGACACCGGCCTCGAAAACGTGTCACTGCCCTATATCCCAGTTTCCGCAGTTTCATAACATGGGGGTACTGGGGATCAACAGGGCTGACACGGATGGACGGATGGGTTCAATGGGGCTCGCATCCCAATCTGGGTAAAGTGGCAGTTCGTCCGTGTAAGTTACCCTGTTGGGAATCAGAGAAAAGCCACTCCTCCCCTACCACCGTTCTTTCGACAACAAACCTCGTGCATCCCCGTTCCCTCCCCCGACCCGGCATGAAATTCAATTTGGCTTTTCCTCCCCTTCGTTGCTTTTACCGAGAGAAGAAAGTAGCCGTATGCCTGGAGAAAAACTCCAACTCCCCGGAAACGGTCACTTGGCCCGGGGCTAAGTGTCTCAAGCTGCAGACGGTTCAGCCAGCCTCAAAAAGCTTGAACTCGCCACTTGTACATGTTATTAATTGTATGTATACTTATACAAGTAAGTGTCCTCGCCCCGTGTGTCTGAGTAGAATGGTTAACGATTGAATTAATGTTTTGGCCGACGCATATATGGGTGTCTATGAAGGACTCGATTCAACTACTATCATACAGGTTTGCTTAGCTATTGTTTTCTTTTTCTCCTTGCAGCTTCCTTCTCCCTTCATCTCAATCGCTGAAATCATGAGAAATCCAGTCTGTTCTTAATTCACACCGACCAAGAACAGCCTGCCACGTCTAGAACTAGCCGCCTTATGACAGATGCGATAAGACAGGGACCGTCGGAAGGCATCGCTTCGTGTGATCCACGTGTTCGCAGATATTGCTTCCCGTTTCGTAATCACCGGTGGGGTGCATCGTTTCCATCCATCGTTCATGCTCATAGTCAAGTTGAGATCTCGACCTTTGCTCATTCTCGCAGTTTCGTGGATTATGGCCAAAACGGTGATCCGCTGGCATGAAGATGGTTGGGCAAAAGGATCGAACGGCAGAACACGTTTATGCTGCCACGCCGCATTCTACCAGGCAGATGCGAAGAGCGCACGACAACCGTTCGCCAACGGTTCCAGCCTCATCCGCCACGCCTGGATGCCGCGCAGCAGGCATGCATGCGTGTATAGTCGCTCACGACATGCCTCGCACGCGCGTGAGCAAGGAAAATGAAAAGAGCTGGCTGGTGTGATGCGTCTTCGCACACACAAGACGAGCCCGGGCATTACCACTGGCTGATTCCCCGTGTCACGAGGGCCAAGTTAAAGAAAAGACGAGACACCACCCATGAACGGGAGACATGGAACAAGAAAGTTGGTGGTGTTGGCGAGCAATAAAACCGAAGAACGCCTCAAGACCCCAGCGGTCTCGAATAGTGAGAGTGTCCATGGGTATGGACACCCCCTGATTCAGTTTATTCGGGTATCAACGCGCGAGTTATTTTCGATTCGTACTGGTCGAGGCGATGCACCGGGAACTATGACTGATGTTGGGCGTGCTGCGGCATGCCCGCTTGAGGTGGAATCGCGTACTGCGGTCCTCCGCGCTGGACGTAGCCCTGGTATGCGAGTGCCGACGATGGATCCATGGGTCCGACGTTGGGCATGTAACCGGGAGGCATGTGAGGGTTTTGAGGCATCGAACGGCCTTGTTGCTGCTGCATGTGGTTGGGTGGCTCTTCGGGTGAGTCGACTTGGTTGGAGTCATCGACCCCATTTTCGTTGCCCTGGCTGGGCTCCGGCGCGTTCAGACAGGCCTGCGCAAATGGAATTAGTATGGCGCCAGGTCAAGGAGGTCGTGCAACACTGTGCAGCACTTACCTGGATCAGGTTCTTGCCCTCAGCCTTGGTGACGAGCGGCTGAAGCTTCGGCGTTGTGAACGTGTAGACGAGGCCTGTCTCCGACACGACGAGCAGTAACACTTGTGTACCGGTGAGAACGGACAACTCGTAAGCCTGTTTTGCGAATTACGGTTAGTACGAGGCCATCGCCAGAAACATCATAGCTAGTATGTCTGC